TTTTGGGATCTTAGCACTTCAAACTCACGGGATTCACTCCCAAAACGACGAAAAACGTGGAAAATTATCGAAATTGGAAAAACGCGAAGCCAAGAGGTTGAATCTCAGGGAAAGGGCTTAAAATCAAAAATTTTGGGACTTTAGCACTTCAAACGCACAGAATTCAACCCCAAAACGGCGACAAAATGTGGAAAATTTTCGAAATTTGAAAAATGCAAAGCCAAGAAACTGAATCGCAGGGAAAGGGCTGAAAGTCAAAAACTTTGGGGCTTTAGCGCTTCAAACGCACAAAATTCAATCCCAGAACGACCATAAAACGCGGAGAATTTTCGAAATTTGAAGAATGCAAATCCATGAAGTTGAATCTCAGCGGAACGGCTTAAAGTCGAAAAGCTTTGGGGTCTTAGCCCTTGACTTCAAACGCACGAGATCCAACCCTCAAACGATGGCAAAACGTGGAAAATTTTCGAAATTTGAAAACGCGCACCGCTTACATCTTTGCCTTGCTTAGTTTCTTACTTTGGGGAGGAGGGGGATCCTAGTGGGAGGGATGTTATCGGACGCTCCGAGCTAGTAAGAACAACATTGGCTTTGTCGCCATAAGACTACTTATGATGGATATGGAAAAACGACCCCTCCGCAGGATTATGCGAAGCCACCGCGTGACTCAAGGGAGATCGTCGCTGTCTTCTCCACTGTTGGAACTACTCCAGGCGCATCCCTCGGTGGTTGTATATACTTAGTCATCCGGTCTTCGTTGTAACTGTTCTTCGCTTTTTCCACTAGAAGAGGAGGACTGAAATGATGAGTCCGGATGGCCCTGATGAGGGATACGTCTGCAAAATATATCCTTAACACTGAAAATGGTAGCGTTGCTGTTGGACTCGCTCCTGCTAGTGCTCGTACCTCCTGTAGCAGAAGGCGAAACACGCCGGCCACGGTAGACAGTAGATTGCATCTCACAGTGGCCATCGATTGCGCGGGAGGGCGGACGCAAGAGAAACTTGCGCGAATCAAAGAAAGTTCCCGCGCCCCCCGCCGAAGGGCCGTCCCGTGCAGGTCGTACTCGTGTCGATTGTTGTCCTGGTATCTCAGTTCTTCCACTTCGGTGCTGATTGGATTGGGGCGCGCCTCTTCATTCTAGGCTTCTCAATCCTAAAGCCAGCGGCTGCCTTAGCCCTAGTGCTCTGCTTTCTAGTAGTGTTATGGTATTGAATCCGCTTACAGTATCAGTATGCTATTCCGGTTAGTTTCTGAGTCAAAGCACTTAGGTCCTTGACTTCTATAGTCATAGTGTCTCTTTAATAAATTTTGTCGCTGTTTGTGTGTTGCATGCTGTAAAGAAATCTTTTACGCCGTGCGTTTCTATGTCTAAAGCAGGCACTTGCGAAAAAGCCTCCGCAAATGCCAGTCCTTGTTCTTTCATCAGATAAGTCGAAAACCCGAGACAGCGTTCGCGGTAGGGATTGACTATATGTTTACGTAGAAAGCCCTTATTCGTTGTTGTAGCCATACTTCCCTCCCTCATAGTTAGAAAGTAAGTCAGCATCAACCTGAGCAGCACGCTTCAAAATAAGTCTCCACGCACGTGAGTAGTAGCCAGTTAATGGACGATAAGCAACAGCTCCTATGCCAGTGTCTTCCTTAACATTCTTTAAAACTCTGTCCTTCAGCATCATTTTCAAAAAGCGCCACTTATGTTTTCTCCTTCTTAGTGTTAAACTAGTATCGTTCTTAGGCGCAACAGCTGGACTCTCTCGTACGTATGCGAACACGGGTCTGAGTTCTTAGTTTACCTACTTCAAGCGTCAGCTGCTACCTTTAGTATCATTCATAATTTAGGCTTTCAAGTGAATTAGCAGGTAATTAAAGAGCCGCAAATGCTTAGCTGGCTCATAGTATTGTCGGGTAAGGAGGAAGACAACTTGAGAAGCAGAAAGTAACTAAGTCAGACACAAGAAGAGGGAGCAAGAGCAAGAAAGCCGAAGACGGTCAAGCAGAGGAGGAGGCCCGGCCTCGTCAACAAAGTAAGAAGAAAATACGAAAAGAAATCGTCCTACAGAAGACCAAGACATAAGAGCCGTTAGAAAGAGAAAGGGATAGAAGTAACAGTGGGGAGAGTACTAGGCATGTGTGGGGCGAGCAGTAGAGCTCAAGCCACAAGGAAGGAGGGAGAGGTAATACAGCAAAAGCCCCTTCGAGAAGGCGAAGAAGATAGCAAGGATCTTGTTGATCCAGAAACTCTACTGCGCGGCCTCAGTCAGTGAGCGCGCGACGCGCCCACCAGGCCCAAAGAAAGGGCGCCAGGAAACAAAGAAGGGCAAGAATAACCACAAATCCACCCGGCAAACAGTCTCAGGCCTGGCGGTTAGTGATGAGAAAGGAGAAAGCCGTGGCTTTCAGAGTGGCTCCTTTATCATACATTTTGAAAATGCTGCGGGAGTTGTCTGGCGAGCGGAGTGGTCTGCGGTTCAATAAGCTTCAAGCCAAGTGCGTGCGCGGTCAGCTGTTGTCGTGGAGTGGGTTTATTTCTTGGGATTCTGTGGGGGTCGGTGACCCCCACGGAATTCCAGGAAGAACCTGCGGCGATATAGCTGGAGCAGAATGAGAGCCCAAGCGGAAAGCGCCCAAGCCATGCCCAAGCGGAAAGCGCCCAAGCCATGCATCGCGCCGCCCGCCGACGTGCGCGGGCCAGCAGGGAGTGAGGCAGGCCCGCCGCGTGCGGGTCGGGCGTTTGCGCGCGCGCTGTTTTGAATAACGGCAAAGGAATAGCAGAGCAAGGCATGGCGCTTGGAGGGCGCCTCGCTCATGGCCAGAGGCTATTGAAGGAAAGGCAACCAACGCAGCGGAGACGGAGGGTGCTACAGGTCGCAAGGCACACCCAGGCAGAGGACCGGGTGCGCGTGCGTGGGGCATTGGGCTCGGGGGGAAGTACGTAGCAGATGGCGGGAGGCAACGCCAGAACGCCCTGGGCGCTTGAGGGGTCGCCTGCTGGCTCTCGGGGGTCTGATTGGTCCGCGATCTAGACGAGGGCATCCAATTCCAAGCAAGAACAAACACAGAGGAACACACAAGCAAGAACATTTAAGCGCGAGCACCTAGCCAAGAACATGCAGACAAGAACAGCCAGACAAGATAGAACACCCAAGCACGAACATCCAGACAAGCACAAGAACGACCAGACAAGATCGGCCAGGCTGGCAAGAGCATCCAGACAAGGACACCCACGCAAGGACATCCAGACAAGGACACCCAGAAAAGATAGAGCATCCACATAAGGACAGCCAGACAAGGGCCAGGCGGATGGCTTGCCGTGCGCACAGGTGGGCCATCCGTGTCTCTCCGTGTTGTTCTGCTTGGAAGTGGGACGCGCGTCACGCGCCGCCGGGTCATGTTTCCCGGTATTGTCCTTGTTTGGAGCGTAACGCGCGTCACGCGTAGTCTGTTCATGTTCCACCCTAAAGGTCGGGGCTGCAGCGTGACACGCGTCACGCATAGTTTTTCACGTTCCACCCTAAGATTCGGGCTTGGAGCGTGACAGAGTGCGCGACAAAAAAGGAGCACCACCAGAGGACGAGGAGAGCACCACTGAGGAAGGAGGGGCTTCGGCGTCTAGTAGACATAAGGACAGTGTCGATTATTGGAACGTCTTCAAGACGAATGTGTATTAAGAACTAGTAAAAGAACTTTAAAACTTCACATATATCAAGTATGTAAACTTCATGGAAAAGGAAAATATTAAGATGTTAGTATTTTTCGTTTGAGCAACAGGAAAGATATATCACATTTCGACGTTTGACTATGACTTCCTTTTTGAGCCGAGTATTGAATAAGTGTCTTCTGGGCTCACCAGCGGCATGCGCTGCTGCGGTGCGGCCTTGACACGCTGCAGCGCAATTGCGTTGTCGCGCGCGTTCAAGAAGGCGATCAGTTGCGTGACGTATTTACTCGAGTCGGCCTGTGTTGCTTCGATAGCGCCCGCCTGTTGTGCACCCGTCGACGCGTTTTTTTGTTTGAAGCAGGGATAAGCCTAAGGATAGAAGGAAAGCTAGTCGGTTGCTTTACTTTAGTGCTTTGAGCGTCGCTGGACCTAACCCCATCAACCTTAAAAAAAGGAGGAAGCCAGGCCAGTCAAGATTTGCCGCACACCTCTAAGCCAAAGGGGAATTACCAATTTCCTGCTAAGGGAGGAGGTTACATAAAAATTCATCAGCGTGACGTCAATACCACGTCTTGCCGCAAGGATCGGGTGCAAGGGTTCCATCATACCCATTTGCCGCTCTGCGAGTCGCGCTGCGCTTTTGCCCTTTGCATGCACCTCGCTCACCCAGTACCGGTGCGCAGCGTTCAGCCGCGCCACGTGCTCATCTCCGCGCTCTCTTGCAAGACGTCGCGTCGGCATCTCCCGCGACAGCTTATAAAATGGCGGAGGCGCTACCTGACCGTTATCTGCGCCACTCCTTGTACTCTTTGTTCCGCTACTAGTCGTTCTACTACCTCCAACAATACCAGAAATAGTTGCCGAGGGGCCTGTGAAAGTCCCTATGCGCACGACAGGGGGTAATTGCAATCCTCTATCAACGTGTTGTGACTGGCATGAAGATGCTGAAGATGAGTCCCTTCGCTCCAACATCAACGCAAGACGCGCGTTTCGCTGCATCCGTCTTGCGGGTTTCGCTCCATGCCTAGTACCAGCATCGCTTCTTGAAAGGGGGAAATGGGATGTTGGCCCTACTGTCGATGGTTCCAAACAATGTGTTTCGGCACCAATGGTGCTGACGCCAAGTCGAGAGCTAGCTTGTGGGTGCCGATGTGACCAAGGAGCATTGTTGGTGCCTGGCCTGGTGGACTCTTCCGGATATGTACAAGAACGGTGGCCAGAAAAAGCTTTGTCCTGCTCCACTTCCATGGGATCGTCACGCGTTACCGCAGGTGGGCTCTGTGCTCTCTTTCGCACAAGCGCAGCAACACCATATTGCGATGTCCCCATGTGACAGAAGGGATTGCCAACGACGATGAACCACACCCACGACGTAAGAGCCATCATTAGGATCGTCACGACTCTGTCGAGATTGACTGATTTCATTACCAAAAAAACTTCGAGGAAATCTAGAAAATGATGCTCAAACACTTCGAGTAGTACCGTAGCAATGTCTGTCGAAATGGGATCCAGTATGGAATGTCGCAACCATGATCATCGCCATCACGACTTAAACTTGTTATGCCTCATCTGCTCCTGTATTTCTGACTTCGTTCGCACATTATTTACGCTGACTTGCTAGACTCGCAACGGTCAGGGTAACACCGCAGAATCTGTGGGCGGCGGGCGCGGCAGAGAAAGAATATTATGCCAAGTAGTACATCTATCGTGTAAATTTTTTTCATGTGTGTTTTTTGAAGCCGAGTTGCGTTCTATGCATGCGCATGGTGAAATGCCTATGAAGGCTGTGGTTCTTCATCATGAACATTTTCTACTTATACGAACTAACATACAAGGCAGCCGACCATTGTTGTCGTAAGTTGTAGACTAACCAGGGCGGCAAGTTCTGCTCAAGAGCGAGTTACATGTTGGTATTTGATGCAAGAGCAAGGGGTCTACAACTTGAAGATTAAGATGTTATTACAGTGAAATCTTAATGTTTGTGGTCTACCTCTCGAGGCAGTATTTTTTCATTCTCATGACTCATATTAATACTATACATTATAGTTCTGACAAGATATGAGAACGCGTGGGTGTCTGCATGAACGCCCGGTATTAGTCGAACTAGTATTTGTAATGGTCTTAGATAGGTTTTTCAAGTCAGTTGATGAGTATACAAAGAGACAGCAGAAGTAGCTTGATTTACTGGTGCTTTGATACTATTTCATCGAACTCTGCTGTGTGGAACTGTTGTGTGATACCTACTTACTTTCTTCATGTCGCGCCTCTAAGTTTATGTTGTAAGACCGATGGTAACTCTTCGCTAGGAATAGCTCCCCTAACCGGCTGCAAGTAAGTGCAAACGTGTCGAATGCGAACTGGTTCAGTTTCTCGCGTTGCTGGCAGCAACGATCCCAATCCAACCTCCTCTTCTCCTCTCTCTCGATCAGCGGATCACGTGCCCGCATCGCAGACAGAAAAATCTTTCTTATGGTAAAGCGTTGAGGTTCCCCTCTGTGAGCTTGAAGACGCGTCCTAGACCCGCCATCTCAACCCAGATTTCCAAATACGAGTTGTCTGCTTCCTCATAAACATTAGCGATGTTCATGTTTCTTGCATCATTCCTCAGCACACGACTGCTGCTCCTGCTACACGACTGAAAACAAGTGTGCTAATCAAAGATGATATGCCACTCAAATTGGAATTCGATTTACAATGACAACTCTGCACTAAATTAGAACAATTTGTAGTGCGCACTTTTTACACAACTAGCTTGACTTCTATGGTAAATTTAACTACAGGAAAATGTCATAATCGTAGTCTTGTACGCCTCTGGTGATGAGGCGTCATCTGCCTGAGGGCTGTCCGGGACGTTGGCGCGCGAAGGCGAGCGTTGTGCGCGACGTTTCCTCGCTGCTGCGGCTGCAGCCTTAATCGCCTCGCTGTAATCCAGCAAAGCGTCGAAGTAGCTGATGCTCGCGCGTGGATCACTGTGGTCATGCGGCCAAGGCTCGTCTTCGAGCAGTCTCAGTGACCGCAAAACAACGCGCATGTCCCCGAGCGGCGTCTGTGGGTTAAAAAGCTCTGCTATGAGCTTCGCCAGCGAACCCTCGTTTTCGCCAATGCCCCGCAAGTTGATTCGACCCACCTCTGACTGCTGCAGTAGCGCAACGAGGCCTGCACGCCCGAAACGATTTCCTTCAAGATTTAAGCTTAGCGGCGTGCTCGTCTGCGCTTTCTGGGACATGGCATCCGAGAGTTCTATTGCATCCTCAGACATCAGGCCGTTATCTCGGAGCGAAATCGTATGGAGGCTGGTGTTGAAAAACAAGGTAAAAGTGAAAGATGTAATCAGTTGTGCCGTTTGTCATTCTCATTCATCAAATTTAAAAGTACTAGGTATAGCAAACGATCTGCATCTTCTTCTATCAATCTTTAAGTGTCGGCGGAAAATATTATCCAGCAAAACATGCAAAGCATGTGCAGATATCTCCCGAAATGATCGTGGTACCTTGTTGTATCTTTGTGTTTTCGGTAGAATCTTGACAGATGCACTCCGATTCCAGCACAGCAATTTTCCGCGAGGTCGAGAACTTCTAAGACCTGCTTGTCACCCAGTGCCTCGAGCATCGACAGTATTGTCTGCGCCCCAGCGACCGTGAAAGAATTATCACGCAAGAGAAGGCATTTGAGTCTGGACTTCTGAAACCCATGCAATCTGGTGTTCATTTCTGCCAGCAGCTGATCTGACAGGCAGTTCCCAGAGAGGTCGAGGAACTCAATGACGCCGCTAGTGGCCTGCAGGACTTCTAGCGCTCCCTTGTCGAAACATTTCAGGTTTTTCAGCGACAGAAAGCGCAACTTAGTCCCGATACTGCTCGCCGTAGTATGCAAATCCATGCGGAATCGCTCCATCGAGCCCAACGGATCCTGGAGCTTTCCATGCAGAACCAGGTACTCGCAGAGATTCGCGTAGAGAAATCCTGTGTTAGAGGTCAACGCGTCCGTCTCCCAATCAACAACAGTCTTCTCGCTTCGCGGAATGTAGATGTATTCGGTGCCCACAATTTTGCTCTTGCGTCTCTGCTCAGCCAGAAAGAGCTCTCCAGTGGTGTCATACGCTGCTAGTTCAGGAAAGAGGCGACGCTCGTCTTTGGCTGCTTCGCGAATGGCCGCCATGTCTAACTCGCTTGCACTCGCTGATGCTGAGAGGCGATTGCTGCCGCGCGCGCTGGGTTGCTCACTCGGCGGACGCACGCTATCGCCTAGGCCGTCGCCCCCATCCGCGACTGAACCGGCTGGCGTGTTACCATCTGGCGGCTTGCTGGGACTTGGTGGTCGTCTTCCTATACCTGCGCTCGGGCTCGCATCTTCACCAAAGTCGAGGCCTTCCTCTCGAATGGCCTTGAGCTGCCCGTTTCCGCTGTCGTGCTTGTCTCCTTGAATCATGATTGTGCCATCCATCCGACACGCGTTCTCGGATCGGCCACCTCCCTTGCTCTTGAACTTCATCAGGATGAAGCGCTGATCCCGCGAGTTGCCGAGCATGTAGCGACACAGGATTTGTTGCTCAGCTGTCCCAAGACTCGGCGGTTGCCTCTTAGCGGGACTTGCTGGATACTCGAAGCGCACCAAGTTTTGCACGCCTCTGCTATTTGCATGCAGCACATCCTCGTTGTCCTCCCCGTGCACACCTCCAGCTTCGCCATCTGTAGCGTTGTCCTCGTGTTGGCTTCCTGCGTCAGATTTCTCGGGATCCGACACATCCGGCAGGTCCACCGTAAACGACGATGTGAACGGTGTATCTAGTTCGCGTCTGCGTGTTTGAACTCCCGCCGGCTCGTTCCGTCGTAAGGTACTCAGCGGCGTCGCAAAATTGCGCAACTTGATCTTAGCTTTGGACTCTACCACCAACTGGCATAACTCCACGAGCCGCCACGCGTGCGCGGAGGAAATGACCATGTCGTTCAAATCAAACACTGAATTGCCGCCTAGCTTCGGCATAGAGTAGAATCGGTCCTCGACCAGTGACAAATCAATGCGCCGCCGCAGTGCGTTCCAGGCGTCCGCTAGCGTGGCTGGATTCCTGTGATACCCAACCTGCAACAACAGCGGGATTACCTGATGAACAAGTGAAAAGCAAAGCACTACGACTACGCACCTACAACGAGTACGCGAAAATATTAAGAGCAAAAAAAAAAGCAACAACGTCTCCTCCAATCTCTCAACCACACACACCCGAACCAAAAACACTCGAAGCAAAAACACGCGACCCCCGTAGAAAATTTTTCCACTTTCTTGTCTTATCAACAAACGAACCAAGGAACAAGCCATGAACCCATCAACACGAACCCACGAGCGTGGCAGGGTATCCTTGTATTGTGTATAACAGAGCAATTTATAAGGTTTCACAGCTCGCATGGCATGGAGTGCATGGATCACATGGAGTAGCATGGAGCTAAAGGGGGAGCCTCTTGCGCCCCTTAAAGCTCTGCGCTCCATGCGCTCCATGCTACTCCATGCACCATGCGTGCTATAAACTACTCTGGTATAATATATAACTTCCCCGCAAACCCGTGAGCATGGCACGGCATACTTGTAGACAACTTCTAAAGGTAAGAGCTACGGCCTCGAGGCTTCAAGTCTTCAGCTTGAAGCCTGAAACGTTGCACCCTGGCACTTAAATCGCTTTTTTGGTCGATAAAATCAAAAATGTTGCGACTTTGAAAGTTCCAAATTGAAACTTTAAGTTTTGAAGTTATAAAATGAGAAAATTTTTGATTTTGTTGAAGAAGACTAAACTTCAAAAAAATTAGATGCGAAATTTCTAATTTTATTCAAAGAATGCGAATTCTAAAAGTTTGAAACTTAAAAGCTTCAGCTTCTGCGCAAAGATGGCCAAACCTAACAAAAAGACCAGCACCAGGAAACTCCCGGGCCTACCATTTCGAGGCGTGCCTTTTCAATGGCCGCACGCCTCCCCAGGCCCGGCTCTTGTGCGGTTCCACCGATCAATCCCGCCAGACGGTTGTCGCGCGGGGAAGGAGCCGGGGAAGCGGAGGCACGCCCTGGCGCGGGAAGTGCATGCAGAGGGAGAGGGTGGGGGATTCTAGTGGGAGAGGTGCTACCGAGAACAACCGGGTGCTTTTCAGGTCTAGTATAACATACTAAAAAAATTCGAGCTCGATGTGCATTCAGCATTAGAGTCGCAAACCGAAAACGAGCAATTCTAGCTCTAACATCACAACTAGAGTAAATGTTACGTCTTCCAGAACAGTGAACTCACTTTCTGCTGTGTGAACTGCCGTCTTGGTCGCAATGATTGGCGCCAACGTCATGCGGAGTCGCTTCACTGTATCTCCATCCTCTGGAAGACCGCGCTGCACCCATCGCGCCCACATCTCGAAGTATTGCGCGTAAGCGCCTGAAAGAGCCACACCGTTTTTGTAGACTGGCGGCTTCGCTTTTCTTCCCGCAGATGGTGCCGCTGCGGCTTCAGCAGCCCTGTCAGCAGCTGCTTTCGCCTCCGCGCCATTGATGTAGGCCTCTTTCACCAACTGCTCGATTTCCTCGAGTTCAAGGCCAACGGACTCTACTCGAGACATAACATCAGCGCCTGGCGCCGAATCACCTCCTTCGTAAAAGTCATCTGCCAGCAGAGAGTCACCATGAAAGTCAGATGGCTTGTCTGGAGACCCGACCAACATGACGTCTCGTCCCGAAGATCGCCTTCTGCCCTTCCGAGCAGGCGATGTCGGTGAACCGTAACTGTCACGCCCTTCCATAAACTCCTCGACACCAATGCGAAGCGCTTCCTCCTCTTCTTCTTTTGCAGTTCCTGCTTGACTAGCATTCAGATCTCCGCCCTCGCCCCCGGGCTGCAGCTCCGTATCTTGTCCAGCAAGAACACGGTCTATGTTGGCTGTGGAGGCCATACCGGCTGAGCTTCGCATTATGGTATCCGCCGTTTCAGGTCGCGGATAATGCGACACAGTCTCGTCCGCACTTGTAGACGTCTCTTCAAGCAGGTAAACCGCTTTCCCGATGCACTTGCGAGACGGGGATGAGAAATCCGCTTTCGACGGAGAGAATATCTTCTGAGAATCGGTCAATCGCAACTCCGCAGAAGATTCAGCAGCTTCTGAGCCTTTTTTTCCTGGCGACATCAATTTAGCAGGGCTCGTGTCCGCTCCGCTCGAATGCAGTGTCCTTTTCGGTCGCGGTGCCTGTTCTGCATTGACACTTCCTAGCAGCTTTGTCAGCACGCGGCCCAAGGCCCATCGCTGCGCAGCCTCAAGCAACGCGCGATTTCTTGGAAAGGGGTCCTCGTTGGGCTCCTTCTTTCCGCTGAGTCCAAGGCCTCCCAGCGTACCGGAAGAAGACGAGATGCTGGTAGACATTGGGTCATCGCCAGGTGCAGCAACAGCGGCTCCTCGACTAGCCGTAGCCCTCGGTAGTCGCGAGTCCCCACTACCTGCTGCCGATGCTGCACCACTTCCAGCACCCCCGTTCTTCTTCTTACCATTTTCAATGGCTGGCTGGGCGTCAGGATCCTCGTCGGGGAGTTCGCCGGTTGTCTGCGATACATGGGGCGCGTTCTTTTCAAATGTCTGCTTCTCAGGCGGCAGAGCACAGTGGGGGATCGGGTGTTCCCATGCTTTTGGCGCTTTTCTTCGCGCCGTCGCCCGAATCAACTCGGGGTGCGCCAGCAAACCCAACTCCCGGAGTTTGTAGAGATGCACGTCCATCCAGCGCTTATGCTTCGTCTCCAGCATACGATCTGCCGCCATCAAGCCGTAAAATTTGCTGAAGAGTGGAACGCGCTGCGCAAACCACGGCGACAGCCCTCTCGTGAAACGCGCGCGCCGCTTGCCTGGAAAAATGTACAGATTTTCCAGTTCCATGAAATGCACTTGGAGCGTCTCCCGAAACTGGTTTAAGCCTAGGCGCATTTGCTGCCTCTGTCGCGGGTTGGCGTCGTCATTAGGCGACCCTAAGGGAGTCGCACCCGAAGCGCGCGCTGCTGCGGTACCGCCCGTTTTGGTATGACCCGGAGTGCTGAGTCCGTAAGAAGCCAGCGGAAGCGGATCCGGCTTCAGCCCTGTATCGACTGGTGTCTTAGCTTTCACATCCATATCTGTGGTAAGCTCTTCGCGCAGCGCCCGTAAATACTCCTTGTTCGCGCGCAGATCGTCTGGTTTGGCAGTCCGATTCGATAGCCAAATGTTCTCGAAGCGCAGATCGAGCAGGCAGCAACCAGCTGCTTGAAGCTCAAGCACTGCTTCGAAAATCGCGATCGCAATCTGCATCAGCTTGAAAATTGAAATTGACTGCTCGCGACCACCTGAAGAGGCAGCCAATCGATTACTCCACCAGCCTCCTCAGAGCCATTTATCAACATGCTTCTACTTTTTTGAACAAACCTCCCTTAGTATTGAAGTGCGTCTTCGTTAATCTTAATGTTGTATATTTCCTGACAGAAAATGCAGAAACAAATTTATCTCACCTGGTCCCTCAAGTTCTTTCGCAAGCGTCCGGGCGCCGCCAGGAAGAGCATCATAGACGCTGATAACGAAGCGACCCTCGATAGCGGTGTGCTCGAGCCGAGGAAAGCACCGGACCCCAGTGATGTTGCGTAACACATAGAACTCCCGCATGGTCATATCGCGGTCCACGGGATTTACCTGAAACAAAGGAAATAAGTGGAGGTAGTTGAAGTTCAAGTTTCTAAATCTAAATCGATGAACAAAGAAATGCTCGACAACCATCAACATGAAGAATGAAAAGCAGGTCACTTGAAACCAACAGTAGTTGGTTCCGCGGGATCTACTACTGAAGTAGAAAAACTTCCCCAGTCGAGTTCATGCTGAACCCTGGTGAAGATGCTATGCTACAATTCCGAATACCCATACGTATCGGAGCCATTTTCGTTCACCTGAGAAAACGTCAGCCATTTCGAACACAGCGTGTCTTTCTCGGAATGCCGCTAAGACACTTGTAATCATGTAACGTCCATCATAGGTGCAGCCGGTGACGGCCGTGCGAAGCTTCCCAAAGTCACTCGAATTATCGAAAGCTTCCACTGCTGCGAGGATCTCGCGGTTACCTCCTTTGAAAAATTCGCTCATTTTTGATGTCGGGATGGGCCGAATGTCTTAACAATCCTGTGAGTCAATGAAAGCGAGCCTGAAACAGACGCGATAGACTTCGATCTCAAGGATCATTGTTCCCAAAGGGTGGGACGACGTCTTCGATCAGATAGAATCAGATTTCAGAAATTTCGAAAGCCTAATCATAAAATATTTAAATCCGCACAAAAAACAATCACTATTTACCATACTAATTAACTAGTCTCCATGCTGATGAGACAGGACTGCACTACATATTCTTTTAGTACGGCGTCCTACTCCGACCTGGTAGTGGTATCTAATAACAGCAGCTGACTACTTGCTTCTTCAAGCTATTCGCGATATAATACGATAGGTAGGGGGCTCTTTGCGCAGCATAGAGAGAATTGCAGAGGAGGTGCGTGGGCTCAACAGTCGGACTCATTCTTCGGCTCACCGATCGATGCATCAAAACAGAGAGCAGCAGTCAGACCGAGACGGCAATCTTGTTCACGATGGAATAGTCATACTCACAATATCATGTCCTATCTCAACAAGCAGCGAACTTATTATTTCATTCTACTACATCTATGTATAATATGCTTGATAGATAAGTCTGTGCAGAGACCATACATATGCAAAAACAACCGATGAGTGACATATTGACACAATCGCGTGGACGAGAAGCACTATTTGCCTTTTATTGCGTACAGATGAATTTGGAAGATCAACATGAGCCCAACATCATTCACGCTAGGGCTAGCAACCACGATACAGAGGTATGGCGATATTAAGCCTCATTGATGTTCGACGTCGTCGAAGTCGATCAGTCTCAGTGGTACAGGTATTAATCTTGAAACATGCTTGAACGTATAACCGGTGCTGTCAGAGTTCTTGAATGTGAAGCTCCACGTGAATAATGAATATGGTAGATCCAGATTGAGTCGAAATGTGTCAGCGCGGGCAGCTAAATCGCTTCGCTGATCATGCTACTTTTCAAGCCAATTCTAAAATCAACTCCACCGGGAAATGCTGGTCCAGGTCCTGCCTCGCGGCTGATATCAAAATGACAGCCTCTTCTCGATCGAAGTGTAAGTGAGGGCTCCTCGATATTCGCCTGCTCTGACTAGGTAGGCGCAGAAATGATCCATGTCGATGTCAAACATGGGACAGCTTTTTCCGTTCGGAAATCGTGGAGCTTCATCGTATAGATCGTTCTTGAGCACGAACGTCGGCTCGCCCCTTTTGAGTGCATGCGCACAGAGGTCCAAGATATATCGCGCAGCCTTTTCCTGTATCTCCTTTAGCGTATCCTTCCGTATCCTCATCAATTCCCTCGAAGGCCGGGCGTCCGGTAACCTTAGTGCGCTTGTAGTTGACGTTGAGGAACAGGCGTCGGCTTTAGTTATACTACTTGCCTCCGGAGCGCAAATATCCCGTCGCCGCCTTCCATTTGGACGAGCTTCTTTTCGAGCCAGCCTGGAGAAATTTCGTCCGTATATAGATCGACTATACCTCCGAAGAGTAGCCGCATCGGAAAGGCTTCGTGATCAAAATCTTAGTCCACAACCTCTCCAAATGACTGGCGCCGCGAGTTAAGAATTCTGTACTCCCACCTCTGCTTCAAGATCGTGAGTACATTCACCAGCCACACCTTTCTGCCCGGTTCTGTGGTAGTTACCGCATCACAATCCTTTGCTTCGAGAAAGCACTCGAGGTCGCCACTTTCTGCTGCCTGACGCGCAATCCGAGTGAGGTGGTCCGCAGCCACTAGACACTGCCGAATTTTCTGCGCTTCCGAGATGTCTTGGAGCTCTCGCGCGTGGGATATCTTGCTCGGCAAAATTCCTGGAGGAAATTCTCCCATGTAAGTCCGAATGGTATCGGAAACATCTACGGGGAGCTTACCCAATTTTCCGACGCAGTGCAGCCATGCGGTGATCTGAACAAGAACCATTGATTACAAAAATGGATCACTCGTGATGATCCTTATCGTATGTTGCATCCATGGATACTATTTTTTTCACAACATATATAAGATGATTAAAACGATTTTGGTTCAGAAGCGAACATAACAAGAAGCTAGACACTTCGACTTACCTGGGCGCCCGAGACTAGTTTCTGATAGCAGTCCTTACGGCTTTCTGCTTCGGATTTTTCCAGGTCATAAATCCAATCATCGAATGCACTTCTTCCACTACGACACAGAAGATCCGCAAAAGTTTTCTTGCTAACATTGCAGCCGGCTACTGCGCCACTAGGTCCGCCAACGGTCCTTTTCAATGTGTCAGATGAGGAGGATGCCGTTGCCGACATTGTTATGCTTTATTCACATGATCATGGGTTCCGTATCAGTGAGACGTAGAGACGATTTTTATAACTCATACATAGACACAGACACCCAAAGGATACTTCATGATGAAAGAGATCACCCTGTCAATAGAAGCGACAGCTACATAGTGATAGCGTCCCAGCGACGTTATGCAATTATAACTAAGCGCGTTGGTCATGATCAGAATCCTCGAAATTTGACAAAGATCCACAAAAACCCAAAGGACGAAGATCATCAAAATGACCAAGATCGCCAGGCAAAAGGTTACCGGAGCACCATCCAAACGCCCGACGGGTTCACCGTTGCGCGGGTGTCTCTGGCTTCTCCTCTCTCTCGCTTGTTGTTTCAAGTCTCTCAGTACAGCCAAGGACAAAGCACCCCCAGAAAGATCTCGGGGAAACCTATAGACCTAAACGCCTGGCGCGCATGGCTCCAAAATTAACGATCAACAAGCAAGGGGCCTCCGACGTTCTTAGATAGCAGAAAACGCGAACGCCCATAGCTGTAGCCAGGTCCTCGCCGTCTTGTCAGTTCTGAGCAGCATCAGCATGATGATTATCGTGAGGCAGTCCTGTGATAGGTCTCGCATGATCTGACGCATATCCATCCACTAAGGCCCAATCAGATCCAGACGAGTAACAACATAGGACGACCGTGCGAAGTTAATGACGATAGCAGAACAAGGGTTCCCATTTGAGCGCGCGATACTTCCTCCATCAATCATGACATCCCGGAGAAGAGTCTGAGACTTCCCAACGCAATCCCAACAAATACCCACAGGGATCAATCAAACCCGCCAGAGATCTGCAGGCTCTGCCTCAGGCTGTGAGCTCAATTGGCACCAAGCTCAGCGCTTCCCACCGAGAAGCTACGCGCGGCTTAGCGGTCTGTGTTCTTGTGGTCCAACAAATTACGAAACGTTCACATTTGTAGTTGACCAAACACAGAATAATTCATCTTACTGAAGATCCTGCAGTTTGTTAGGGCTCCGATCGGAGATGTTTGTGGTTGATGATGATCTATCACAGTTACTTTCGTTTCAAAAACCGATTATCGCCGTGCCTTTTTGGAACCACAAAAAATGCGGAAGATCCTTTTTCTGATGAGCACAAAATTGATCAGAGTCGTGAACAGCGCAGCACATAGCAGGGAAACTCTGCAACAGGTTGTTGAGATTTTCATGCTACACATGCTCTTACTTCTGCCCTTACGATGGAGTAAAAGCCTCTTCCCATCTCCGTCACCGTCCGGAAAAAAAATCAAGACGAGTTTTTACCGGTTCGGAATATATTGCCATCGCGTACGCGTTGTCTGCGTCATGAAACTACGCGGTTAGCAAAATCAAAGACAAAATTCAACAAATAAAAAAAACCGGAACAAACTACTCGTACGTCAACAATGAAGTTGCGTACGAATTCTAGCAAAAGTGGTGGCATCCCTTTCGCACCTTTCATCTTCTTCAAGAAAGTCTTACTATAAACTCACCTTTCACAATTTTTCAAAAACCAATTCGAATCTCATCGTCATCAAGCGGCAATTACAATTGATTCTTCTGAACCATTTTCATCAATCCCTACCTTTCAGGGTCCCGTAGAATGTCTGAGTCCTGAAATTCTTGTTCTTCATCTTCATGCTCTTCATGAGAGCCCTGGTAAATGGAGGTCTGGCCTTACAGGTCGAACCTTTGTTGCGAAGAGCTCCCTAAGCTGTGCGAAGTTGATCGGCAACGCCCGGGACATGCGCTCTACGTCTGCAGGCCGCAAGCGCCCTTCGGATTCGAGGAGGTTCACGACATCGCGAGGAAACTGAAAGCTTTCATCGCTGTAAAGGTTAACAAAACTAAGATGTAACCGCCGCAAAGCCTCTAGTTTGGGAAGCAGAAGCAGAAAAAGCAATCCCACAGCTTGGAAGCTCAACGTTACCCTGTCGAGGTCTAGAATCTCCATGGTCGTGTTTTTCAAAATCTTATTTGAAGAAGGAGACTTGGCTTCAAAAAGATCTGGTTCATCATTTGGAAGAGCACCAGAGGACGCCCGCGCTTCATCGCATGGACTCGGTGCGGCTCTGGATGTGCCAAGAAGCCAGCACAGTTCTACAAGCGTTTCAGCATTCAAAGCCGAAGCCTCAAGAATCAAGTGCCGAACCTCTGATCGCTGAAAGAGTATGGCCAGAAAGTCGGACGGCAACGGAAGGACCTGCGAGGGACCAGAGGCTATCCGAATGCAGGATGGTATGTACTGCCTAGGCTCGCCGAAAAAATCCGTTAGATTCTGCACTTGCCCCCGTGTGCTCACCGTCAAAGACAACTTCCCAAAAGGACCTGGGCAAAAGACAACACAAAGAAAGTTTCTTTGGAAAGATGGTGACTAAGTAAGTAGGCCGCGCAGCGGCTCAGTGTCCCTCATTCTTGTTTCACGATTATGCACGAGTAAGTGAGGAAGATAGTGTCGACGTGCTGATTATCCAACTTTGTCCTTGTTCTTGGAGTTGGTGCAGCTGCTGGACAGATCCATCATGATCAAAAGATTGAGACACATCATAATCAAGCCACAGACTACTGTATTGTACAGACTTCTCTCCGCACGCACCACTGCAAAGTTTCGAGAAAGGGGCCACTGCCAGTCAGCGCGAGGCTCCGCAACTGCAATCGATGCGCCCAACAAATCGTTATCAGCCTTCCTAGCTGACGTCGGCAACCATTCGCAGGACATACGTGCTGCACATTAGTCAATGCTGCGCAGCGCAGGTAGGAAAGTAACCTATCCGGCACGCCTGCGTCTGCAACCGCCGAGGTGGTCACAAGAACCTCTGTTAACTTTTGCAACAGTGACGCCCTTACTTGATACCGACGAAGTTCCCGGTAAGCTAGTGACCGGCAAGATGCAGCCTCTGGCTTCTGCTTGTCAAGACTTTCATCTTCTCTTCTATACCAGAACTCTCTTGCCACATAGTCGGCTTCAGCGCACCACCTCGTCGCCTTCTTGCGCAAGCAGCTTGCAACGCTCTTTTTGGCAGAAGTATGGCCCTCCCTATCAACAATGCGCCGGTCGGCCTCCGTCTCAATATCCTCCATTGTAGCATCAGTATGGTGGTCTGCTCTAGTAATTGCTCCTTTGTCGAGGTTGCTACAGCTGTCTTCGACATCCTCTTGTCCGCGAAGATCCACCCAAATAAGAGACGACGGGTCCGATCCTGCAACCAGAACAGCCGGCGTTTGAGCTGCTTCCTCTCGCGTATGATGCAACGCTTGTAGCTGGCACAAAATATTGTCAAGGACACTCGCAAGAGATGGCAGTCCTCCATCGAATGCAACTTCACCCTGGTCCGGCTTAGCCTTATCATGAAAATTTTCGGACGCGTCGATATCCACCAGGCCGTCTGCTTGGCTTGTTCTTTGTGCTCTAACTTCCCTCGAAGAGGACACTCCAGGCGAGAAAAGGAGACCAGGTTCTTGACGTTCAGCGTTTTCAATTTCATCTACATTACTTGGCGCAGTTGGCGGGAAGTCCTGGTCGACTTTATGTGAGCTATTCCCGCTCCACCAGCCTATCATCGCACCTGATACTATATCGTTTATTCTTATCGCTTCTGCCCTCTCCTCCTCAATGGCGGCGTCTTTTCTTTCCACGCGCACTGTCGCTGATTCAGCGCAGAGAACTAGCGCATCGGTACCCTCTGCATCCACAAGTTGGAGGTGAGGCGCACGACTACTATTCCCTTCGAAAGGCTCTATACCATTCAACATTTCGACGTCATCGTGAGTGCTGAATGCGTCGACTGCAATGTGGCACAAAGTTGGTAATCGCTCGTAATGAGGCTTAGAGCAGGTTCCCGAACTATCGTGATTTGTCGGTCTCACCGCTGATGGCAGCCTTTGTGCCACATACTCCTGAACGGCTTGCACGCTGTTGCCAGTGGGACTGTAAAGGGCTTGCATAATATCGTCCTTTGCATTTACTCCTGAAAGATCTTGTTCAGGAGGTGACGGACGATATGAGCGAATTTCGCGCTGTACGTCGAGTAGGTAGTCGTGCAGCGTCGAAGCCTCATTCTTTCCCTCGACTCTCCACACACCTGTTTTTTCGTCACCACATTCCGGATTCCTTTCGCCGACGCCAAGTCTAGCGACGGCAGTTGACAGTGAGCTCCCCAATCTCAAGGGATCAGGTAAGTTTGAGCTTTTTGCAAGCCGTCGCATAACTGCAGCCGTTTTCAATTGCGCGTCCGCTTCTGGTTCGGCAAAAGCGAACAAGAGGTCACTGCGACCATGAGAGGGGACCTCTACCACGAATTGCCTTTCGATGTGTGCTTTCAGCTCGCGATCGAGGTTGACTGTCCGCAAAAAAGCACCCGCAGTAAGGAAAAACGCACGTTGGCGTCCGTAATCCGCAGCTGACCGCGCCGAATATGGTCCAGACTTTCCTGACACATGGTGCGTGCCCCTGCGCCCTGTGCTTGATGGCGTCGTTTCTCGCGAGTTCGAAAGAGATCGAGCGCTGTGGCTGCTAGCTCCACCATGGGTGCTCAGCAAGGCGCGAGCAGATATAGCACCTGGTAGGCCGAAGTCTGCGTTTCCGTGATCAACCGAGCTGGCAAGAAACACGAATCGGATGCTGTGCCTCCGGGAAGATGACCCTAAAACACGTGCTATTCTCCCCACGCGCAGAAGTGTTTGAAGTATTCGATCTTCATGCGGATGTTGCGAAGCCCCATCTGCTCGACCTCGGCCTGTGAACACATTGCGTTTTTTCAGCATCGGTCTTTTAGTCATTTCTCTCGGCACCTGATTCCACTGAAGATTACCTGGTCTACCTGAATGTCGGCTGGTGCTGTCCTGGTTTGCGTCTACTTGCATTTCCAAGTCATCGTGTTGAAGAAACCCAGCATTATCTTCCTCTTCAAGAGATCCTCCGACGCAAGACGCCGCAGCTGCATGCTCGCCTTCAATGAACATGGCTCGCCCGCCTTCACGTGTCGGGAACACACTAGGTGAAAAGCAGCTGGAAGCCGGACTACTTCGGCTTCCCATTGGCCTGCCCGGAAACCTTCTCAGCCTTGGATCTTCCTCGACGTCCTGTTCTCTGTCTCTCCCAGCAGGGGGAAAAAGATCACCTTCTCCAGGTTCTGCTTCCGGATCTTCATCATGAGGAATCGAACGAAACCCTCCTCCAAAACCGATTTGATGGTCTAAGACGCATTCGTCCTCTTCTTCGATGATGCTCTCGAGATTGGCTCTGCTCGCGTGCGCGGAAGAGCTCCGAGAAAACTCGTCGAAGAAAAACTCATCTGATAAGAGCAGATGCTCCAGAGGGGATGCAGAAGCGTGGTGGCTACCTTCAAGCATTTGCTGACCATTCTCCAGCGTCTCGATTTCCATCCCATAAGACCGACTGCTGCGTTGCGCGGAACTCGGTTCGACAATTAGCTCTTCGCTGTCCGCCGCTGGTCGCCAGTTCTGCGAGCTGCCATAACGAGAGAGGTTCAACTCTGGCGCCCCCTGATGAAGCGGATCGTCTTCGTCGTCAAAATCCTGTTCTTCAAGTGCAGGACCACGACTACGATCTTCATCTTCCTCGTAGTCTTGAAACATACCCACATCGATAGCTTCAGCATTCGCTTTCTGGGCTTCTATCTCCGGATGAAACTGGTGTGGATCAAGTCTGACGCCCTTTGCACCTATCTGTGGTTGTTTCAACCGCGATCGACCGGTCCCAAGCGTCCTCTGTTCATCTTTTTGCCCTTTTGGCTGCGTTCCGTGACCTCGAGCCGAAAGCGGCTCCTGCTCTAGAGATCGTGCCGCAATGTGACAAAATTTTGGAAATGGACTCCGCTCGTTCGTCAGCTGTAACGTTTCGACAAGGTAGTGGTTGAGTTCGGTCCGCCGTTTCAAATTTGCAGATATCTCATCCCCGCTGGCTATTGCAGTAAGCAATGCCTGCAACGCGGGCTCCACTCCACCGCTGCCCTTGTACGGAGCTGCTGTGAAACTCGTGTAGTCCACGAACAAGCACGTCAGCACTCCTGTTTGTGAAACGCGACCCACTTGAAACTGATCGGCAGAACCGCCGTAATCATTATCGTCCACAAGATCTTCATCCGCAACACTCGCAGATGCTAGCAGTGATGGCGCAATCTTGATGTCCGTCGTGCAGTGAAATCGCAGAGCAATAGCGACAGGTGGTGTTGAAGACAATGAACTGTTTGTCTTGGAAGAAACTTGCCTTGCTGACCCCGCCGCCCTGTTTGTCTGAGCCTTCTTTCCTTTACCCTTCTCTTGCGACGTAGTACAAGGACCGGAAGTGGCTGACCGCAGAAGCGACACGCAGACACGTTCTAGTTCCCGTACACAGGTCACGCCGAGGCGGCGTCGTGGGCACACTTTTCCCTTGAAAAGGGCTGTTTCGTCGACGTCTGCATTCGGAAATTTAGTCTCGCAGATGTCACGCAAATCAGCGGCGCTCTCACCCAACACGAGACCTTGGCACGAGACTTCGACACGACGTCGTGTTCTACGATTATACCAGTCACCACGTGGTCTTGTTCTAGACGGTCTAGTGGACTCACAAGTTTCAAGGGCAGTTCTGGAAAGAAATAGCTCCTCATCAGTGTCAGAAGACGCACTATCCGAAGATTCCATGTCGCAATCTCCCTTAGGAGAGCCGTCATCTTCATCTGGATTCTGATCGGTCCGTCGTCGCTTACGTATACGTTTTCTGCCTCCCCGTCCTGTATCAAAGAGCGATCTGCTCAAACTCCGAATTAGTAGCGCATTCCATGATTTTTCTTCACTTGTACTAGGACCTTCACCTTCTACCACATCTCGATTGCAAAACACGAGTGTCTCGCGTCCCCCCAAGTCCAGATTTTCTGTAATGTTATCAAAAACGGACCTTCGCTGCCAATGCGTAGTCAGTTCTCGAGGGCCACAGATCCGACTATGATTACCGGACCGAACATCGCTAGATAGTGCGCCAGCCGGTCCGCAATATTGCACATCAAGCGCAACGGATTCGACCATAGAAGCGCTCATAGCCGTTTCGTGCGGGACCAGAATGAGCGTTGTGCTAGGAGAAAATCATCGCGATTTCAAAAAGATGGCTGCGGCATGTTGCGCAAGCAACATCATACGTATGACGTTTTTACTTGCTTAAAATTAAGTACTTGATCCAAACTGCTAGTTTCCTCTTCCATCCACACAGTCCAGATCCAGAATCTTGACATTTTCATTTTAAGCTTGAGGAAGAGAGGCAAGGGGCATCTCTGCTGGCAGACTTTCATTTTGTTCATGCTGTGCGTAGACGTGACCAAACAATGTTGCGGATGGAGTCAGAATGCCCACTTTTTTGAGTTTTTCTGATTTCCTAAACGGTTCTCATATATAATCACCTCTTTAACCTGCGATTTGCTCTGCTCTTGCTTGCCTTTTCGTTTTTGTCATCAAATAAAACAATTTGCTTCTTTTTATCCTCCGCCACTTTTTTGGCACGTGCATGGCCGACAATCGGTTCAGTTTCCATCGCCCTCCTCTTACATAATTTACTGAAGGAACAAGTGCGTCGGCGTCGGCTACTCGAGGACAAACACCCCAGACATCACATCTGCGGCGCATTTGTACGTGTCAATGCAAGTCATCTTTGTAAGACCGTCTCAAATTGTTCATGTATCTGCTGTATTGTTCATGAAACCTGTGTCTTTGATATTTCCCGTCGGCGAGTTTGACTTCTATTCATGCAACGACGTGGCTCTATTCTCAAGATCTCTACTTCAAGCTATATTCGAAGTTTCTGAAAATGCTCAAATAAAGCAGTACATCAACATCACAGAGGTGTGTGTATCAAGCATCCGTCAATATCAACATCCTCAATGTTCTATTTGAGTTCCAGACTTGTAAAGATTCTGTGATCGAAAAGGCCAAACTAACTACCTAGTTCTTGAGCCGAACTATTATTACTGTTCAAAGTTCATTTCTTCTCGTTATGAAAGCGACCCACTGCTGCCGCTTGTTGTTGTTGTTGTTGTTGTATTGATGCGCTCCGGGCAACGCGTACGATCTCGCCGGATTTCTTTGTGCTTTGTGTGTTTTGTCGTGCTATGGTCGCCGTTGCTATTGCTTCTACAGGCATTATAACCAACGTTAACTGTACCTTCGTCAGCAATTCTCTATCCGTTCATTGATGTTGTGGAAATGTCGTCCAGATGTAGATCTAGTGCTACTAGGTTTTTTGTTGCTCCTACTATCCCTTCTTGCTCGGTGTTGTTCTACTTGTGCATCTTGTTCGTAATTCAATCTGTAATGTTCTTCTTCTTCTTCATGTTGATCTTGATGTTCTCCTACTTGCCAATGTGTGAAAGGAACCTCCATGTGCAGCCTGAGTGTGGTGCATTTCCGAAAAATAAAACCTCAAATAGAACTGGAAGGAGTACTGTTCGAACCAAGTCCGTGTTGAATTCATGATCACCCGATGATACTCTCATGTCATTCGTTATGCCAGCCACGTCCAAGAAGCGCCAAACCACGCTCATGCCACTGTGGCGTCGCATCGAGATCTTTGACCCTTCTCAAGGAGTTTGTAGGCAGAGACACACCGCCATGATTGTTCGGAGCAACTATGAGTCGCGTGTAGTCACCTAACAAGCTAGTGGCTTTCGAGTCGCCAAGCGAGCCATCGAGCTTCTGCAATTCTCGTGGCTGGGCTGGTGAAACCGACGGAAGCGGTGGTGCAGCGGTGCGGAAAGTAGCATTACAAGACGCCGGAAATGGCGGCATTGTGGAGAAAGAAATACACGACGAATTCGCTTTGTTGTTGTTGATCGTCCCAAAAGAATTAGCACGTCCCCCAAGAGCAGAATGTGGTCGAGTTGGTGTAATCATACCTCCTCCCTCTCCTCGTGATCCGAAATTGCTAATTTCTTGCAAATCACGTCCGCGTGGTCCTGGAAGCACGAGGGGTCTAGCTGATGGGAAGTGAAAGTCTAGTGATGTCGCTTCGAAGCTGTGGGTGGATTTGAGAGCAGGAAAATTTCGAGGTAGTGCTTTCATGTTGTTTGTCGACGGAGCATGCGCCCACGAATTCGGGAAGCTGCATGATAGGGGAGACGTCCTGGCAGATGCAGCAGAGAACTCTTCACCCACCGTTTGCCGAGGCGCCACCCGCAACGCAGGCGGCTGCAAAACAACCTCTGGCTCTGCATTTGTAGAGGTCCGAGAATCCATTAGTGGTGGCTGTGGAGAAGACCAGTTCGAGTAAGAGTTCTTCGCTGCGGAGGTAAAACGCGAAGCTACCGGAGACCCCTTTTGTCCACGAGAATCAAATCTAGTTTCGAAAGGGCGAGTTCCACCAAAAGGAGAACCGAGATCGACTGGTCTTGTCATACTAGGAGTAGGAATATTCATGCTACTTGGCATTTTTTCATCCAGGTTTACGTCATTGCGATCTGTGCCCGTCAGCATCATACTCATATCAGTGTTAAAGTTTAGCGGCGTCACTATTTTCCTACCAAAACGCTGGCACAAAATGTTCTTATTCTTTGATGTCGGAGTGTCTGCATTTATTCCCGGGCTCACCACAGTTGTAAGCAGCAGCGGACGAGAAAGCGGTGGCGGATCTACTAAACTCTTGTTAGGTAGTTTGTGAGGTTGAAAGTTGCTGTTGGGTTGACCTCCCGACTGCCTTGGGAATGCGAAAGAGACCTCTGACGATGGAGGTGACCGTAAAAGAGGAGATCCTGGTAGGAGTGCTGGCATCGGTGGCGGCGCGCGATGCCATGGCGGCATCGTAATGCCGCGGCCAGCTGGAGGAAGTGGAGGAGAGACGGATGTTGACGTGTTGATGCCTGCAATTGGAGACGATGTATTTCTATTCTGCGTCTTGCTGAAGCTGCCGGACAAGACAGATGTAGTTCTTCTCTTAGTGTTATCATAGTTGTAAATGCTCTTTGCAAAGGAATTCTGGTTCTCCGCGGTTTGCGTCAAGAGGTTATTGATGAGGTTGACGCTTTGCGTGTAAGAGTTTTCGCCGCCCTGACGACCACGCCAGCTGTCCTCATCCAACTCTCTCACCTGCCGTTGTTGTCCCTGAAAGTCTGGCACGGGATAAGCGAGTGGCTGCCCGCCGTGCCAATCCAGCACAGGAAGTTCCGTCGGCATGAGCATGTTGGAGTTGTGATCTTCTTTTTGCTTTACGATTCGCCTAGCGGTATGATCATACTGCGGAGTGTGGACGAGGTTACTATTATCGACACTTCGCGCTGATGTAGGTAGGCAAAACTGCACTGCGCCACACGAATCATTTGGTCTGACGGACCACGGCGGCGACAATGGGCGCATGCACAATAAACTTGGCGGATTCTGATGCAGCGAATAATGTGACCGATCTGGAGGTAACGAGGAAGTACCATACTCATAACCCCCTCCTCGTGTAGGTGCAAAAGTGGTCCGTGGTCTGCAATCATCCGCGTTCCTCTCGTCTGGAGTCGGAGCTTCGCGACCTCTAGCGGCTAGTTGTTCAACACTGTGCGGCGAATCACCCCGTACGGTTAGCCTCTTCACAGCGGAGTTCGGAGCAGCTCCTGGCCACCGCCTGCATTCCTCGACAGTTCGAGCGCGATGTCGTCTAAGAGGCGATGGGCTAGCACTCCAAGGTCGATTATACACAGGAGAATCTGCCCACGCGCCTGGCATCGGCAAAGGCAGGTGCAATGCCGGCGGTGGCTTCGTTGTGTTGTGGTTCGCAGAAGGACTATACATTTTATCCCTGTTGTTTGCTTCCTCAGGTGGCGGAGCGCTGATCCTGCTTCTAGTAGTTTGAGGACTTGCAGGAGTCCGAAGTGTTTCTGCAGAATGCTGTGTATGGTAGGCATTCGGTGGCCGTTGCCCAGATAAAGAAGGACTATTCTCGCAGTTTTCCTGCATCACATGTAGCACAGGTATCGTGCGTTGATCACCTTTGTAACCACTTGCAAACCCGTTCGCGTTATGGAGACTTTGATGTAGGTCCGCAGTGTTATACTGTCCATCTGCGACTCCATCTGGGCGAGTTTGAGGCGACGTCGACGTCGCAGTTCCCCCTCGTTTCCTATACGAAGCCGCATCGTGTTGGTCGTTGTCGTCAACTCTTCTTGGAGGCGCATGCGAATGAGCAGCAAAGCAACTGCTGTCGTTTTCGACATTCGCGCTTCCTTGTCCGAAAGAATTAGACATCTTCGCGTAACTGGAAGACATGCCCCAACCACCAGCGATGTCGGCTGCATCGCAAAAGACGGGCGTTGCTGCGTCAATTTCTGCACGTCTGAGTCGATAGGTATCCGGAGAGACATTTTCTCCATATCTCGGGGATGCTCCATTGTTCAAACCAGCTGCACGCATCTTTGCATTACATTCGGAAGTCCCGTTGCTCCGTTTGCGTGCTCTCTGTTCCTTTTGTGCGCGCCGCGTCAGTCCCCCACGGGAACACTCGAACAGCTCAGCAGCAGGTATACCCCCATTTCCCGTTTTGCGGCCCTTCACGTTGTTTTTGCTTCTCGGATTCACACGTTGCTGATACTGGTTTACGTTCCTGATAAAATTGCTCCTATTGCCACGCGACTCTGGTGAAAACGAGGTCGAGGAGGGCGATGACAGCGGACGACTTTGCATCTTTTTTCGTGCACCCCGGGCCAAGTCGGTATTTAGCGTAGGGGTTTGCGTCCATTGCGTACTGACCCTCTGCGGCACAGTACTTGTGCTAGCAGTACGAGTCGGTATCGCTCGTCCCGTTTCTGCCTTTCGCGCAAATTTGTGTCGGCTCCTATCTTTTTGTCGGCGACTAGCTGATATGGATCGGATCGCAGCGTTCTGTTGAGTCTTCTTTCTCTGATCAACAGGATGAAAAACGACGACTGGCGAAGCAACAAATGCTGGGGACGACAGCCAACGCCAAGTAGAATCCACGCCTTCTGGGGATCGCGAACAGCTACTGCTAGTACTGCGCGTCGTTGTTCCGCTTTCTGACAGGAGTTTACAAACATTGCGGTAGCCGATTTTGGGTGACGACACGAAGACCATACTCCGAGGACTGTCAACTACATAACCTTTTTCTGGCCGGAGCGGTCGTTCAGGGCTGAAACCGATTCTCAGTCTCCGGACTCTGCGTCGCAGCGAGCCCCACGAAGTCGTGCCATGCCCATGCGCCTGGACGTAGAAGTAGAGCATAGCGTGCCCAATCTTCATCAACTTTTTTCAGATTCAGTATATCAACTTTTTCTGTGTCTACCGGACTTCGATTAAAAATCATGATACCCAGGTATCGTTGAGATACCCTGAAAAATTTGGGGAGCTGTACGTTGTTCGTGTGCCGATTCCTTGGCCTCCTGTGCCGCCCTCGTCTGGAATCAGCGTGTCGCTTTCTCTCACGTGATGATCGTTGCTCCTTTGGTTTTCGGGAGAAGCACGGCCTCACGCACGGGTCTTGTTCGCCTCCAAGATTACACCTGTCCTGGTCCGAAAACGCGATAGCCCACATCCTCCTCTCATCTTCGTTCGCATCGGCCTTCTGTATGCCTCGACGCTCAATGCCCCGCCCTGTGAAGACACCTTGAGCGTTGTCGTAGTCCGGATTACCTGCATAAGATGAAAGATGACACTAGGTCTAGAAGCAGCAATCAATAAGTAGAAGATAAGCGACATGAAGTCATCGTCTTCGTCAGCGAACAAAATTCTTTACACAGCACTCGTCTGCAATGACTTAGTTGATGTAGATATTCACAGGAGACTTCTACGCGTCTCCGCTCGAGCTCGGCGAGAGGTGCTGCTCTTGCGACGAGGCGAGTCCTGTAACAAAGTTGTTGTCGGTTTTGTTGGCGACGTAAAGGCAGAAACCCTTCGCACCATGCTGGCGACCGCAGCCTTGGCCGCAGCTCTTTCTTCTAGGGAGAAATCACCTACCATGTCCATGGCAGTAATGTAATCGCTCAGTCATGCTGAAAGGCAAAAATAAGTGAGATTTGCGTGGTGCGGGATGTTTATATATGTTCCAGGGGTGGAGGCTCCCCCCCGTGGATGGCGCGGTGGTGGCGCCCGCGCGCCCTTTTTTCCGCGGTGGTGACATGTAAAGACCTCCGGGAGCCAAGGCCCCAAAAGGCGGAGCCGGAGGCTCCTGGCGGCTCTCCGCGTGTACCCGACAGGCGTCCCGACTCTTGGACCTTATCAGGGGGACGGCCTCCGGGGGAAGAAGGCCGCCGAAGGCGGCGACGGTCGCGAGGCCTGGCCCCTTTGGCCCTCGTCCGCCTCCACCAAAGAAACGCCGGGGGGGTTGAGGACCAAAGGCGGGGAGGAGTGAGGGCAAGGCGGCGTGCCCGCCTGGGTTCTGTCGGATACATGCAGCACGGCGAGAGGGGTCAAGCCTTGCCACCTGCTTCGTCGGAGGCCTTTCACCTCCCAAGAGGCCCCCCCAGTGAGGAACCCGCACCCTGGAGGCCTCTGGGGCACATGCAACAAGCCACAACAAGCCAAAGGGGGCCCAGCCTTGCCACCTTCGGAAGCCTTGCACCCCCGGCCTTCGGCGCCCACAGGGATGGGGGCTCTGTAGGATCCAGGCAAGAAGCGGGAAGGGGTCGGAGGTGGGCATTTGGAGGCCTTCCAGCCCGGGCGCCCCTGAGGAAAATGGGTCAGGGGCGGGAGGCCCCCCTCAAAAAGTTAGACCGGGGGGGAGGCCTTGGCCCCTGGCCCCTGGAACATATATTTTTTTGGCGGTTCAGCAGAGATCCGCCGTATCGAAGTAGGTGGGAATCGGTGTATTCCTCGTATTGTAAATTGATTTATCTCTGAATAGCTTCCGCCGAATCCCCGTGGTGGATCGGAACGTAAATCCGATCACAAAAAGGACAGAGAGAGTATCATAGAAACAAGAACAGAGCAAGTGCGTAGTCTCTCGAAAGGAAAGGCGCATCAAGAACTACAATTTTTTGCACGCTGCTCTTGTTCCGAGAAACACAGAAACACTAACTGAACGCACCGACTTAGACGCACACTGAGAATATAAAAAACTGTCCAATACTGGACAAAAAATTATGGAAACAGATCTTCTCTACCCTCTTCGTGGATTTAGTCACGCAGATCTCGCCTCTTCATCATCGTCCGGTCCACTGCGTGACAGCGTGGGACCGCTTTCGTGGCGAAGTTGTCGAACACGACTATCTTTCTAAAAATTAATTGCATGTGATGAACCGTACGTTGTTGTCATACAGAGGCGGAAAATTGCTGTCGGTCAATTTAAGTGCGACAATTCTTCATCCATCGAAGATACAAATACAAACTCCGGTCTGTGAGATCATGCTTGCTCTTGCAGCGCATGCATAGTTAATCACTTTGATGCGCATCGAGAACGCGTCATGATCTTCATCATGGTGATCTAATGTAATTGGTGTATCATCGGCGGATAATACAGAAATAGATGCCGTTGTAGATTTTCTATGTCTTAGCATTCTTTTTTCAGTTGAAACAGCTTTGTTCACCTTCACTCACACCAACCACCCGCGCACCATCATGCCGATATCTAAACCCTTTTGCTTTTTGTATCACGACAAGACGTCGATATTCTTTCACCAATCATGCTCCTCTGTGAGGATCATTATTAGCTGAAGAATAGCCTGAATAGCGACCCAGGCTCGTGCGCCTTCTCTTCAGGTTCGATACTTGTTTTTTTACTTGATGATCCGGAAGATCAGACACCACAAGGAAAATCATTGTGTTTTTTTCTAAAATATTTCTATTTGATAAAAACCAATTTTTTCGTAGTCGACAGTAGAGTATATCGAGCCTCAAAAACAGCCTCGGCGTGCCCAGCAATGCACGTCAACTGCACCTGCAGAAGTCCGTCGAATTGGCTGGTTATTTGGCATATGGACAGCATACTCATGTACGACACAAAAAAACGAACCAACGCCGCTTCATAAATGCGTATCCGCCGTGCTCTTGAAAAAGTCTACTTCTTGTCACGGCTTAATTGCCACAATGCTTTTCTTGTTTCTTTATTGAAAGAACACATAGAAAATCGATACTGAAAAGTCTGAAACAAGCTTCTGGCGCTTTGGCCAAACTTACGCTAAATCATGCAATAGATACCGCTATAATATTGGTAGAGCCGACCTTACTAGGGGAGATAGAAAAAGTTAAGCTTTAACAAGTTATAAGAAATTTATGCTAGTGGCCATGTGAATTAGGATTTAGGACCCGGCTACTCTAGGCGCCGCGTGTCGTCCAACTACCCCGGAGGTCTTCCCATCTAAGGCGGCCGAAGCCTGTGCATGCCTCAGAGAAGTGCTCGGCTCCCCTCGCTATGTGCGCCCGCTAGTTCGCTCCAGGGTACCGATTCACCAAACTAGCGCACAGCGCGAGAAGTGAGACTATCATACACTATCCCTTATTTTACCGCTATAATGTAAGAATCAGGGACACTCATCCAGATCATGATGAGTCCACCTCCACGCATGCTCTTTCTGTGCTGTTAGAAAACAAAATTCGTCACTCGTAGGAGCATGAAAATTATAATGACGATGTTCATCCGGGCCCCAGTGACAGTCATATTGTGGGCAAACCTAGTGCGTAATATTGATTGCGGAATGCGTGCTTAGTAAGTGCATGCATCTACTTCATCAAGTAGAATGAGGTATTGCTATCTCATTAGGCGTACGTGTTGATTGCTGTCATTTCAATATCCATTCAAATCATGCCGTCATGCTTCCTCTTGGACGAGTCCAAGAATCACCAACAGACATCCATGACATCGTTATGATCGGGTCAGTTCTTGTCACATAGTTCAGGCGCGAAATCATTGATCACTATTTGAGGGTAGAGATATCGAGGTTAGTGTGTCGAAAATTTATGCCATTGCTGACTACCGACATGTGGATGTGATAGAATGACTAGTACATGCAATTGCGTGTCCCAGTGCCGTGATGAAGAACCGCAAGCGCATACCAAGCGATCATCTCGAGCCAGGGCGACAAGAAGATCCACACATACAACCTAGAAGATGATATAGAAGTAAAGTAAGTACTTAACATCACAAGACCTACTGTGAATCGACACCCTACTGCGTAAGGAGGAGGTCGGGGAAAAATTACACACTAATTGCGAGTAAAGAGCAGAGAGCTATTAAACGTTCTGGGATCACACAACACATTTAGACGAGAGAAACTACTATCGATTGTACAGCAGGTTCATTACCTTATCGTCCAGCCTTCGCATAGAGTTGCAGCAAACTATAATTGGCCAATAACAGCACAGTATACTATCAGAATAATTTACAAGGGTTCCAGATCTCGAGTACCATGGCACGAATGGGAGGGGCCCAATCCATGGCTTCGACTGGTCCCGCCAATCGTTCCATTCGTGAACCACCTACTTAGACCTTCAAAAGCGGGGCGCCCTTCAGGCGCCCTGCTGTTGCGCAAGTCACTTGTAGCACCGGGCTACGTCGTCGTCTACGACAACGCCCGGCACTCACCCGCGTCCACCCGCCTTATGGTCAGCACCTAGGGGGAGACCCTCATGCGCGAGGCGCCCTTTGAGGCGCCCCACTTTCGCGGACACCGGTTCCCGGGTGAGGCTACCGCCGCCTATTGCGCCGGGCAGCTACCTTCCGCCCCACCCTCGCGGCATGCATGGCCATGAGTGGAGCGCCCGGCACGCTACCGCTGCGGGCCCAAGGCCAGACACGACGACACTTCCCCCACCCTGCCCGGTAGCACGGCCAGGACCCGCAAGGGCAGGACAGCCTTGGGCCGCTTCACTTTTGCCCACACCGCTCACCCCACTGGCCCCCCCCTCTTCCGCCACTGTGGTCGGGGCCTGTTCCCTCACGCGCTGGCCCGCCAATTGGCAATAGGTACTTAGGACCATCGCGAGAGCACCGGCGGACCCGCGACGCCTATAAGCGATCCCCGTTTACTAGCTTTTCCAGTCGTTGCCCTTTTGGGCCTTTCAGGGTGCCGCCATTCGTGCCATCCGTGCCACTCGCCATTCGTGCTATAATTAAACTGCTCTGTACTAAACTATAAAGCAGAGAGTTACAGTGGGTTAATAATGCTGGACGGCGGTAGCCTCGAAAATGCAAGATGCAGCAAACGCGACACCCCACCACAATGTCACTCTATCGGACAGACCGAAACTTGGAAGAGGTTGGAGCCACAGATATATCAGAGGAGAGGCTGTAATCAAGGAATTCCGAGGTAGAAGGCAGTGAGTGACCCCAACAAAAAGAGTAAGCCTCTGGCATGGACAATGCAGCAAATAATGACGAAACGACTAGCTTACAACCGTATCTATATATTTTAATCATTTTTTTAAGAATGGCAGATAAATAAGAAACTCCCGATTTACAATTTTTTTTCGTGCTCGATTAATATGTTTCATTCTGCAGCGCTGTTCGAGTCTGAAACTCAATAATTGGTGTGTCTATTAATACTTGCGGTCATGCCCTGAGTTTGGTGCGTACGCCGTCACGCTTTACTGATGCGGTGGATTCTTCACACAGTGGCTACCAGCTGCACCAGGATCCAGGTAACCCGACAGAATGAGCTCATCTGAGCAGGAAGGCCAACGGAATCCAGTTGACGCTAGGTCGTGTTCTCTAGAAAACTCCTAGTCCTACCCTGGCGCCCCCCATGACGCAGGATAAGGCTGCTGTTGAGTTACAAAAGGCTCTATCCTTCGTTCGACAGAACTAACTTCCCTATACCATGGCACATCAGCTTCATCGTCACAATTGAAAGGATCGGTAGAAGAGGTAGCAGGTCGCGGTGGAATCGGATTCGCTTTCGCTGCCCAGCACAGGCCTCGCGCTGAAGCAAAGATAAATCTTCGATTAAAATTTCCATCAGATAAATAACCTTCTGATTCTCCTGAATCCGCTCGTCGAGCTTCATTTTGATAAATTGAATCGGCAGCTTCATGTTCTGGCGCAGACGAGCGCACACTTATCTGAGGTTTCCAAGTCAGGCCCTCGAGGCTGCCGAAGAGACGACGATTTAGAGCATCTTCTTCATCAGACGTTTCCGCCGCTTCTGTTGATATTGCTTCCGCTTCTACGCTGCTGTCAGTGAGACCTGAAGCAGAGACACTTCTCCCCTCATCGACCTCATCTCTTGAAGATACAGGCGTTCGCTTCCTGCAATTTCCCGGAATATTGAAATGCGCTTCTTCTTGCATGGGAACTTCCTCGGTGTCAGGAGATTCTGGCGAAAGAGCGCTTACATCAACACTCATTCCAGTCGGGAAGCGGGGTGGTCTTCTTTTTGCATCATGCGGCAGGCGTAGAAGTTCTTTTTCCTTCACGACCTTACGAATTGAAGTTAGCTTATCTTCACCAGCATCAAGATCTCCATCTTCTTCGATTTCATCGTCAGCGTCTGTTCCGGCAGAAGTTCCCGCCACATGAAATGTCCACTGTTCAACATTTTCAACTGAACAATTTTCCCTATGAGAGCCTGGTCCATCCTCCCCCAGTCGCACCTGCTCACACAGCCAGTTCTTAGCAGAGTGCGCTTCTTGTTAGAGCGTGTCTCGATAACATCAAATTTGACCTTCCACTAGGATTTGGATCCAGTGACATAACAAGATCCGAAAAAATGAATACACTATGTACAAATGATGTCGTGGTAGATTCACAGAGTTGTTTTACTTAGATTGACTCTGACTTTAACTACTTGAACTTCCGTTTTGATACCAATAAAAAATGTGGAGCTAAAGATGAAAGCATAAATATGATTGGAGGACGAAGCCCGCGACGCAGGCGACAGCATGCAGCTTCTACTTGAGCTAGAAGCTGAGGTACTTCGCAATAATAAGGTTTGCCTGTCTTCCTCTTCTTCCTGCTGCTCTACACAACTGCACCATGTCGCCGAGTCAGACGACAATTGCCTAGATGTTGAGTCCTGCTGAACAAATAAATCGGATAAGCTACAGAAGGACTGCTTCTGGTCAGGTGCTGCTACCGTTTCGCCTTCATGGCGTACTTGATCATCTTGACCTTCGGTTTGACTTTGACCTCGTCTCAAAAAAAACAAGAATAAGGGACCCTCCATCAAATACAGCGAGTCCCGTCCTTGTCCGAGGGCCACCTCCGAGGGCGCACCTGTGGCCAAGACATGCAGACTCACGTCTTCAGAATCTTCGGGACACGGAGCTTGCTGCATGCCCTGCTGCAGGCGCAGAAAAGTCCAACCAGGTGACGATATCCGAGAACCACTTAAAGGTGAGAGAAAGTTGGAAGGTGGTTCGCTCTCAGCGCCACTTAGTATTCGCAACTCAGACTCCTGCTCCTGAGTCATGTCACCGTCTTTTCGCACCTGTGAAGACATGCGAATAGAAACTCCCTCTTTGATTTTTTCCGACCGTTGTTCATGACAGAATATCAATAGTCATAATACAACGGACAACTATACCTTGTCACTTAATGAATCTACTAAATTCTATATTCTATAACAGCTAAAAGTAGTTCATTACGACATCAGTGGGCATTGCTGATCGTTCTTTACCGGAGTCTATCATCGGATTAGCCTTGTCAGACGCAACAATATCGCTTGTGCAAGAAGGCACTTCCTCGATGCCTTGCTCGTCAAGACCTCGAAAGGCCTCGTCGGCTGGAGCAAACCTGGCCAAAATTGCACTGCTACTTTCACCTTCAACGCCCCCTGTGCTTCCAAGAGGAATATACGGAGCCGCCGGGGCGGATAATGGTACACAGTATTTTCCTTTCCTGCAGGTACGTGGAACTCGTGTGCTTGTCTGGTGGTACGTGAGGCGACTATTTTTGGCAGGAGCTGCCACTAACACTGCGCTCTTGTGCGCGCTAAGGCTAACTCCATCACTCTCTTGCTGAGTACTATGCCGCAAGCATCTTGTAAGACTCCCCTCAGATGATTGTGGTGGGGCTAGAAACCGGGTTGGCCGTCTCATGTCCACCTTTTCTTTCCCATCTGAATCAGGTTCGCCAGTCGAGTGCCTTGATGCTGCCAACTCCCCTTTTGGAACTGAAGGGGGCTTTGTTGCAGTCCCCGCACGAACCACGAAAGCGAGGGACAAAGCCACAAACATTTTCTGGACTTCTATCTTTCTTCTTTCTGTTTCCTATTTTCTACTTCTTTTACATTTTCAATTTCAATAGATACAGGGATCATTTAAGGCTGTCTACGACTAATGAGTGCTTCTTCTTGCACCAGAAGACATCATGGTCTTTTTCTTCATTTGCCGTCGAGCAATATTTTCGACATGAAAAAAAAATATATGTAGAAGTAGGCACTGTACTATCTTTTATTGGTGTTTTTCTATTTCTGCACAATCACATGATCACAAGTCAATTGTCCACCGTATTTCGCTATGAAATGATAATATGCCAAGTATGGTGCTCCGTCCTTCGTCCGCCCAGTGAGTAGGCGAGGATTCTGTTATCTTCAGAGGAATTAGTGACTACTTAGCTCGCTGCTACAAAAAGACACACATAATTGATCACCAATGCGGATGCGTCATTATTCCACTTCCACCTCGTAAAACTAGTATGCTTCTTCCTTGTTCATTTTTGTTGTTGTACGTCTATCTAGGTGTAATTGTATCTTTCCTGACTTCTATGTAATGAACTTAAGTCATGAGAACCAACGTGCTCGGAGTCGGAGAGAAAAACCTACTACCACTTTCTTCAATATGAGCATGCAAGGTATTTGTTTTTTAAGTCTTCTCTGTACTTGTAAAGTTTTGCCTTCGTTTTGATAGATTTTTTGACTTTGAGTTTTGATTTTGATTTTAGATTTTGAGTTTTGATCTTAGCTTTTGAGTTTTGGTTTTAAATTTTGAAAATAAACAAACGCGGCGACAACACTGCAAAAACGCGCAGCGTTTTGCTATGCTCGTGAACTGCGAAAGTTGAGACATGAACTCTGAAAGTTAAGGTGTGGGTTCTGAATGTTAGTGCATGAATTTTGAAAGTTAAGGCAATAACTTTGAAAGTTACGGCATGAAATTTGAAAGTTAGGAGAAGAACTGAGAAAGTTAGGACATGGGCCAACTTTGAAAGTTAAGAAATGAATATTGAAGGTCAGGCTTAGCACATGGACTTTGAAAGTTAGGACATGGATAGTGAAGCTGAAACCCTAGGCGTAAGCTTTGGCGCCCCGCCCCGCTCGCCTCTCCCCTCCCCTGGGCTCCGCGCTGCCCGATAGTGCGAGGCGGCGGCCCAGTGCAGTCGCGTCACTTGCTTGCAGCGCCACGCCGGCGCGCCATGAATCACAGACAGGCAACGCCCTACCCCTTTGAACCCCCGCGGACCCGCTTGACCTCTGAAAGCCTCAGACCCCGGCGCACGAATCAGCCTCGCAGGGCATGCGACTGCCTACGTCTTTCGCTTGAAGATAGGCCCGCAGGCGCCCCCACCCCTTTCAGGCGTAACGCACTCGCACAGGATCGCGCCGCGTTATTATGCAAATCCAATGCAGTGCTTCAGTTGTCGACTACCCTGCTCGGCGACATTTCTGAGCCTTCTGGTCAAGTCTGGCGCCTGCTGAAGAGTGTCCACGTCTTTGCTTTGTCTAGCAAGTGTCTCGGGTTCCCATCACATCCTTCCCCTGGGAAACTACACCAGGAGGCTAGTCTACTTGATCGATATCTATGTCTAAATCTCTCATGACGTGAAAAGAATTACTCACCGCTCAAATAATAGGCCGTTAAAATTATGAAGACGCATTTCCCTATACCTCCTTGAGAAAACAACAACAAGGCCTGAACGAAGATGGACAAGTCTCAAACAGTTTCTGGAGGTTGTTGAAACTTGTTCGATGCGCTACTTACAGCTGCAGCTGCATTGTCAGATCTCTTATGTCCAAGTTCGAAGATTTACCCCGGTCGAGCCAAGAGCGTCGAACCAGGTACGAAACTGCACTTGAGGGTGCACGACTTTGTCTCTGCAAGATGCTGATTTCATCTTGAACATGCCGCACAGGAACACTTGAACAATGTCATATTTTGATATCATCGCACAATCTTCAGGGGCCTCGAGCGATTGCCCGATATTCAGTTTGTTTCAGTCGGAGTTCACGCTGCAAAAAAATTATTGTAGTCGTTATTTCTTTGGCCCCACAGTCACACGCATGTACCGAAGAGCACACAGTCTATGAACAACGAGCTCGCAAGTGTTCTCGGCTTCCGCGGACAGTGATCACACATGATTTTATCTGCACGAGGGCCCGAACCAAGCGACTTCATTGTTCACCGGTACACTAATTTATACACATCATGATCATCTTCATCCAACTCCGAAATTTTCAAAGAAAAATAGTACTCCTCGCACTGGAAAATGATCGCGCGTCTCATCTTTATCCACTACTACCAGCTACCATATGGCATATGCAGATGAAGATCAAGACCAACTGAACGTGAAATAAACTTCTTTTAGAACCTGTCTCATGACATCTATCGTCATTCTGTTAACCACAGCTATTAAATGCGTTAATTTACACAAGAGAATCTTACAATAGACCTTAGCTTGTTCATATGCCATTTGTATTTCTCTAAGTTTTTGTTGCTGCCTGATCCATCCAACGAACAAATCCATCTTCTAAAAGAAAGAACTATAACAATTATCTGCTTCTACGGTGACCATGTCTCAACATCTTTAGAAACACCTACTTGACGTGCGTCGGCAGAGATTGCTATCGCTATCTGACCATCGAGAAAAAAGAACGCTAACCAAGTTGTAAAAAGAAAGAAAAGTACGACTACAATCTGGCAAACTTAGTTCTAATCAATTCATGCAACATTAACTACTACCTCATAGCAGAATCAACTCCACTTGTTAAACGGTTGATGTCAGCTTCTTAGTATGCTCTATGGGTGTGTTCGTCGTGCTACCGTTATGCCATATAGACACTTGTGGCCTTCATCATTCTGTTTGATGAAGAGCCTCGATGGACATGATAGTCTTCACGATCGAATCATGCAATACGTGATTAATCAAAGAAACAGAAGACACTCGATTCGCGACGTTGACTCCTTCACAAGGTTTCAATGTGAGTCTCAACGACAAGAAAGGAGTGCTTCATATTTTCGCAGATGATATTATTTTTATACATAGATTCTATGAGACTAAGCTAATTACAATTTTGCAAGACCTTAAGAAACTTGATGGCTTTAAGTGAGAGCAAAGCGAGACTTGTCCAGTAATAAAAAGAAGCAGGAGCCACTACACAAAACGAGAACTTGTGAGTTTCGGAAACTCTGAGCAGAGTGCGGCGTTCCCTCCTCGTTTGTGTAGTGTCCGCCAAGCGCATCTTTGTTCACCCAGTGTAGGGGACCGACAGCGTCTAGTTCTACGCAGTGTCAGCCACGCATTGGCAAGGACAATCTACTTCGTTAATATTCGATGAGCCGGAAATCCCCAGCCTGCAACCATTTTTCGGGACAGACCGCCGAAAATCTTCAACATGTCACTTCCCGAAAATTTTTAACGATGGATTAATGAGGTACATAACCCCTCTTTTTATCCATCAGTCGGTCTTCGTTTGTTCACCTTCAAAATCAAAACTTATCAAAAACATAAACATGCTTTGGCATACCCACTCAGTACTTTGTTTAGGCGTCTGTAGAAGCCGCCCCTCATTCTATTTGAGTATCATGCTTGTGCTCTACTTCCAGTTCTACTTCTATCTCCATCTCTATGTTTCTACATCTCTTCAATGAGTATGAAACACAACAACTTCTACAACTATCAAATAATTCAGTTTCTTATATCACTATTCTGTATTTCATCATTAATGTAACCTGATTGTTTTATTTCGACTCCCTGGAAAGCGAATTCTATTGCAATGTGCCAGCTCTCGCTCTGTAGCAGTCGCACTGACAGAAGTCATATAAAAAAGCTAACAAGCAAGTACGGAGTAACACTATGCCAAAAGCGAACATAGAAAAGTGGCGCTTTAACCAAAAAACGCACATAAAGCCCAGGGATCAGCTGGGCAATATTCGTCTCAAAATGGAAGACTTTCATTCTGAGACGAATAGGGTACAAAAAAGCGTTTTTTTTTGCGTTTTTTGGCTAACAGACAACTTTTCTGTGTTCGCTTTTGGCATAGTGTTACTCCATACAAGCAAGGAGTGGTGTTATTTAAACAGAACATAATTAAATTCGTCATGTTTAATGGCTATAATTTTGACTCTTTGTATCAATTTTACTTCTTATTTTCGTATTTATTATACTATCTATAGCCTCGAAGGGAAACTACCATATGTGCGCTTAATCTTGATGCCCAGATGCGACGTCGGCATACGTACTTCGCCTTGGTGGCTGGCGGTATCCGCGACTGCACAAGGAACTCGCACACTCCTCGTTGGCGCGTTACCTACTTCTAGTTTTTCCATTTTCATCTCCGCGCTCAAGAGAATAAGTACTTAAAAATCCTTAATATTGCTCACGAATGCAGAACCAGTGACGTTGAAAGGCGCCCCTCCGTCCTCTTCAGTCCTTCGTACTCCTTCCATAGGAGGTTGAACTCCTCTTCGTAGGCAGCCACTGCCTTATTTGACTTCAGCACGATCGCCGATTCATGATTTCTATCAGCAGCACCGAGAGTCCAGTTGTAACTACCGGTTAGCAAGACCTTTCCATCGATTACGACGAACGATTTTTAGAAGAAGGTTGTAGATCGACGGGAGTCCAATGATACATATCTACGATGTTGTTGGGAAAGTCAGAACATGACAAATAAACACCAGAATAGTGGCATTCGTAAGGTTTGGCAGCTCGCATGGCATGGAGTGCATGGACCGCATGGAGTTCCATGGAGCTAAAAGGGTCGCTTCTTGCGTCCCTTATGGGTCTGCGCTCCATGCACTCCATGCGTGCTATAAACTGCTCTGATTTAATACAACTACAGCGTCGAGCGTCGAGGAATGGAGACGTTCAATCTTCCGACTTCATGTCCATAATTGTGATGCATTTTTCCAGTGGCGTCTTCGTTGCGCACGTTGCTGCGGCGAATCTCTATGTTGAGTTTCTTATTCCCCGCCAGAGTCTGCCGAAAGCGTGCCAGATCAGCATCGATCTCTTCCTGGTTGCGATGCTGCAGCTGGCGATACGCTGGCGCGGTCTCTAGGGCGTCTAATGGAAAACCGACCGCAGCAAGTGACTCATCCGCCACACGCGATTTTAACATCGCAGCCTGCCCACGATCGCGCATATTCACAAACTTCTTCTGCAAAACTTGCAGAGCGTCTTTCAGAGCGTCGACCTGGAAAAGGTTGGTTTAATCGCGAAGCTGAGTGAACAAGGCTACTTAGGTGATCGCATGTCGAATTGTCTTCACAGCCAGAACACTTTTGTTCGATTTGGATTTTCTTGTCGCATTACATACAGCCGTGTATGTGTAATAGATATGTCTCTGCAGCTACTGCACCTTCAACTCAGCCCAGGAAAATGATCACGAACATATCAAAAGGTTTCAAATGTACCTGGCTTCTGCTCTTGCCTTTGTTTCCAGCACCCATTTTGTGCATCGCCTTATCGATGATGATGCGGATTTTCACCCATGGTCGATGCCTGACAAGGTGGATAAGCAACTGGGCAATTTCGTCATCCTCAATTTGATGCATGGCGATGTCTAAGCTCTCTCTGGCTGACCAGAGGAGGTCCATCATGCGCATTCGATTCGCGGTGATGTCAGCCTCCCGCCGTTCCTTGGCGGTGCCAAGATGTGCTAACCTCTGCTCCGGAAAAAATAAAATGTCAGTGACTACCGAAAGCACGCGCTCCACAGTGTTCGCAGGAGGTTTTGATGCACCGGACGTGGTTTTAGTCATACTCCTAGACAGTGATTGTTGTGATAGAAAACTGTGCCTCGAATGCCTGTTTTTCAGGTTCTCGTCATCCGGAAAAGCGTTAGCGCTCGCTTTCTCCGTGACGTCGATAGTGATCACGCCCTGTGGTGCCTTCATCTTCGAACGGGTAGACTCTGGCACAGTCACGCTAGATGAATCCTCCGCCACTGAATCAGAAAAAGCTGCTGAAGCAGTTCTCTTCCTGCTTTTTTTGAGTGGAAGATTCTTCTTTGATGTACTAGAAGCTATGTTTGCTTTCATTGGGTCATCTTCAGGCGCTGCCGAGGACGACGAGACCCCTCCTCTCGCTGGGGAAGATACGGCGGCGTTCTTCTTGGCCTCTTTCGATGAAAGCAGAAGTTCTGCGGGAACCACTCCTGGTACCCGCGTGCGGGGGTTGATCACTAGAACCTTGCGCCTGTAAAGGTTTGCAGCGGCCCAGCGTGCAATTACCAGCTGATCTGCGATAGAATGTAGTGCTGTCCCCGAACCAACGTTCTCCATTTTGCGTGCCCATGCCTCCTGCATCAAAATCGCCTGCTGCGCTATAGTAAGCCGTCCACTGCTGTTGCCGCGCCGAGCCACCATATGCGTATTAGCCGTGTCTACGTCAAGCGACGCAGCTGTGAGCAAAGCCACAGTGTAGGTGTCACGAGAGTTCCGCGTGCGACGGTCAGCTGGCGTCGGCGTTGTGGGCGTTCGCGGAATCTGTCCCACCACTTCAGGTACACTTGGGACCGGCGTCGGCGCAGGCGACGGCGTGGTGGGAGCATTGAACGGGCTTGAGCTTACTACACTTGACGCTTGTTCCAACTGATCTAGGATTTCCTTCTCCTTTTTCGCCGCAGCAGTGAAAAATCGATACGCCAGCGAAAACCCCGGCAGAAGCCGGTGATCCCGCCAGATGCTATCGAATTCAGCCATATACCGACGAAGCGCCACTTCATCCTTGAGAATAAGCACGTTCTCTCGGTTTTCAGTGAAGGCTGGCGTGGTGGGATTCAAGCTGCCAACTAGCAGATACATCCCGTCGACGATGACGAATTTGTGATGAAGCACGCGGTATCGCCCAGGATCTATCCTCGAAGTTGGAACCCCACCTGCCAGCAGCTTGTTGTGCGCTGTCAGGCCACATTTACCCACCTGATTGTCATGATTCATTTGGTGCTGCGTTTTCCATGCTCCGCATGCATCGCACTTTATTTTGAATAGCCCTAAGACCTCCAGTAAATGCTTTTAGTTTTATTCTTGTCTAACGAAAACGAGGAGAATCAAAAGCTTAGAAAAGGAAACGAGGAAATTCACGAATAAAAACGAGCAACTTGATCACAAGGCGAATGTTGCGGGCGATGGACCCTTATCATGATACCTGCCAGTCGTCCAACATGACGCGGACATGAACGCCTCGCTTAACAGCACGAATGAGAGCATCAACAACGTCGTAGTCTGTCAATGTAAAAGCAGCAAGGTCAATCCATCTCTTTGCTTCGATGATATATCGTAGGAACTCTTCTTTTGCGTTCGCACGGCGTTGGAACTTTGTCGAGGAATTAGCAAGCGGCTTTTCTTCGACAGCCAGGGCTGTTCCTTGGCCTGTTGAGATCAGAGAGGAAGGAGCACGGTTTTGCTCTGCTTTCACAACTCCTTCTCGTAGGGTAGTAAGCGCCTTTGCAACATTACTCTCATCGACGCTACCAGTTTCTTCATTCTTCTTCACGGTCGCAGCATTAGATTCATTTTTAAGTTGACCTTCGTGCTCCATATTCGTCTTGTTTGGTGCGATGACACTCCCAGGAGCTCGACTTGAAGTACTAGCAGAGGCATCTTCCGAAGTGTCTGACGATGAGGATGATGAATCCGAGGACGACGACGAGTCATCATCACATACATCCAACAAGTCGATAACAGTGCAGTTTTTGACTCCGGATTTGTTCGTCTCTGTTTCCAAGGCTAGAACAGCCTCTTCCTTTATTTGACCAGGCGCGGCGGAAGATGTTGGAAGTTTTACCAAGTCTGCCTCGACAACTTTCGCGACTAATGACGACGCCGCGTCCGGTTCCCCTTGCTGGCTTTTGGCCAAAGAAGCTTTAGTGGAGCCGGTTATTTCCTGCCCGACTCCGGATGTCGGGAAGTCTTCAAAAGCTGCCAGCACATCCTCGTAATCAATTACGAAGGACGTGTTGCTGTAGATATGCGCATTAGGGCCAGTTCCTGGAGAGTTCATCGCACTATTTCCTTTCTTGTGCTCGCCGTTGCTAACCCGAGTACTTTTGTCGTCCTGCGGCAGCGGTAGAATCTCGGTGTACGACTCAGGCGGTGGGGTGCTGCAACTGCTAGTAGGCGTTGTAGTATCCGTTGATGAAGACGAGAAGCTTCTTCGCTGGTCGCCATCCTGCTCTGGACCGGTGCTTTCTTCAGCGATAGATGGATCACGAGATGAGGCCTCGTGGTCAACCTTTGTATCGTGGCACGCGTCTTCGCTGGAAACACGACGAAGCCGACGATGAGGAGTAGACGCAGCCGACACTCCCTTTCTTGGCTCTTCAAGCGTTGGCTTACGAAACGAGATGATGGAAGAGCCAATGCTACTGGGCGAAGGCGTGGACGTACCAGTTGTTGTAAGCCCTCCAAATGCGTACGTGGACGCCGGCGTCCTCGGTGTTGGAGTGAAGCATGCTCCATCAGAAAACACTGAGGAGCGTCCTGAATTGCAGCGCGACCGCCGCCGGATAATTGGAACGTCGTCAAAGTCCTCAGTTTCAGACTGGCCCGCATCTTCTGTCTGCGAGAAGGGAGAACGCGCCGCTGCCACTGCCAAGGGGAGCATGGTCGATGTGATGGTTAAGGTGGACGACGACCTATCAGCATCCGCTCTGCTAGCAGACGCAAGCTCATCGACAAAAGATGAGTCCGGAAGAGGCTCACCTAAAGCACTCACATCGTCCGCAGCAGCACTGGCAGAGGCGTTGTCTGCTTGGAGGCGATTGTTTGCAGTGCCATTTTTGCTCTGTGCAGTCATGTAAGAGCTCTCAGATTCTGAACCCGAACTCTGTTCCTTCCCGTCATTTTTACTGGCTACCTCTTCGCGTTGTACCTCTGCTTCACCTGCCTGAACTTCATCAATCAGTTCCTCTGCAACCGCCTTGGGCTTTTCCTTATCCTCGTCGGACTTTGTATCTCCTGTCGTGGCGAACCTCTCGTCATTAGCCCGCTTTTGATCTTCCGCATTGCCGCCACCATCTGCGTCTTTCTCGGGGTCTTCCTCGTTCTCTTCTTCCTCTTCTTCCTCCTCCTCCTCCGGGTTGAAGAAAAGAACGTCTGCGATTGCGTCTTCTTTGTTCCGAAGCAGAAGGCTGTCGTCTTCGTCGTCCTCGCCAAAAAAATCAATAAACGGGAGGTCAGCATGCTCTGCGTGCCTGATGTCGGCGAGTGATGCATCAGTGATTTTCGGCATTGTGCTTTGGAGGTGTGCTCTAGAATGTTGGTGGCCGCTTTGTGCCGTGTCTAGCAGAGCTACTTGGTCTCCTCCTGATGATGATGCTTCCAGAAAGCTGGACGATGCGTGTTGTTTCCCAAGAAGAACTCCACCTTGATGTGGCTCTGCTGTGTGATTGACCAGAGTCGCCGTAGCACCAGCGAAAGGAGGGGATGAGTCACTTGAAGAAGCCAACACTTGATCGACTGCCGTTTTCGCAGAGCTTCTGGAATCGGTTGGTGACACTCCATCCCCAGAAGTTGCACTGCTGGTAATATTCCATCCTGCTGCGCGCAACTTTTGCACCGCTGAGGACCTACTCAAGCTGTCGCGTTCGACCATGCTCTGTATCTTCTTCTCTTCTGCCTTCGTATACCTTCTAAGGCCGACGAGAAAGCGATGACGGAAGTGCCATTTCTTCCTCTTCTGCCTCAGCAAGCCGACCAGCGGCAGCGTGGTGGTAGAAGTGGTACTAGTGCTCTCCCGATGGCGACTCTTGGATGTTTTCTTGTCGATTTGTTGAGAAATGCTTTTACTTGCAGACGAACCTCCTGAAGCCCTTTTAGCAATGCCAATTGGAGCTTTTCGCCGGGGCTCGTTCGCCCGTGCCACTGGACGTGCACGGCCTGGCTTAAGCGGATTCAAATGCTTGTTTTCGCTCTCATTGGCTGATGCTTCTGGTGCTATCACTGCACCTATGGCGTTTCAAAGTCAAATAATCATCCTCATTGTACCAGACACTATTCTGCTCCGCACTTTTGAAGATATTGATACATATGATGAAAGAGAGTCTGAGTTTTGTTCTGAAGGAAGTTATGTGTACCTGCTGCGAAAACGGCGAGTAGAGCAACAACGATAGCGCACCTTGAAAGTGCAGACGACAGCAGGAGTGCCCGCCTTCCAGTCACTGCCGGTGCAGAGAAGAGCGACCTCTTAGCGCCGCACGAGCCAGCAAACCAATGAGCAAGCTGCAACTGCATCCTCGAATTGCTTATATTGTCTTTATTCAAGATCTCGGAAATAGAGTGAGCTTCAAACAAACGCAAGATTCAATATCGAAGGAACTACGTTAACTTTCACTCATATTGTGGATCTTGCAATATTAGTTATATATATAAAAATTGTTATTGCATTGGCCGAGAAACTGAATGAAAAATGATTGTGCGACAAGTCAATGAAGGCCGCACGCAATGAAACACAGCAAACTGAATTTAAGAACTAAGAACAAATCATCATGAAACTGTAGTGGAGATAAGAAATAACAGAACATAAATGACGACTTTGATATAGATTTTCCCCACTTCCGTCGTCACAAAGATGCAAAGAAACTAGTTGGAGCCGTTCGCTTTTTTTCTAAGTAGTTGCAAACCGGAACCGGATATGCAAATGCGCGACGAGCCTAAGAGGTTGGTTGTTTGTTGTCACTCACACTTTCTCTAGTCTTGCGGAAGAGGACTTAACGAAGGAAACCTACAGAGTTACAACAATCAGTGTCCAGTTAGGTTCTTCCTCATGATCTAAGAAAGAACTACCATGGATAAACACAAGTTAACACAACCATAAAAACTCGAACCTGGGTAATTGAAATACACTAGGACTTCGACACATCAGTCGACCGAATATCGTGAAGAAAGAGATTGACGAAAGAGAACCTGCGGTGGCGCTTGCGCGCACTTTTCGCTTCTGTTTTCCGCGGGGCCGCGGGGTGGAAGGCGTCAAAAATGTGAGCCGGAGCCCCCTTGCGCCTCTCTGCGTGTACCCTACAGACGTCCCGCTCTCAGATGACCCTAGCGGGAGGGCGGCCTCCGGGGTAGAAGGCCGCCGAAGGCGGCCACGGTCTCGAGGCCTGGCCCCTTTTGCTGGGTTGCCCTCATCAAATGCGCGGCAAGAGCTAGCAGGCTGAAGACCAAAGGCCAGGAGGGTCGGGGCAAGTGGGGACAGTTGCCTGGCTGGGTTCTCTCGGGTACAGGCCACACGGCTAAGGGGGTCAAGCCTTGCCCCCTTTGCCGCCTTCGGAGGCCTTCCACCCCCGGCACACGGCCGCGAAGAGGCGCCAGCAAAGGGGAAGTCTGGTCTGTAGGGTACCTGCAGGCAGCCGGAAGGGAGCGGAGGGGGACGCATGGACCCCTTTGGAGGCCTTCCACCCCCGAGAGGCTAGGCCAAAAGGGGTCTGGGACTCCCGCCCCCCCGTCCGGGGGGGGCGTGACCCTGGACCCTGGAAAATATCTAAGTTGTTAAACGGCAAAACGAAAACTTCTCCTATCTATGTATGCGTATCGATTATGTAGATAAAGAGAAACATAGCCGCAAAACTAACAAAGATGAACAAGTCGTAAAAGAAACAGGTATGTAGTATTCGATCCTCGAACTTTACCTTTGCACAAAGAGCCATAGATATTCTGCTCTGCACTTGCTACTAGCTGTAGCTAGTAGTAAAAACTCGATAATTATTGTTCTTTTATTGACTACACCAACGAACTATCCCTGCCCAATGTCGTAAGCCTAAGACAGTTTTTGTGACTAAACTACAAGCGAAGAGATGACACCAACACAAGAAGGACAAAGCTTTCCAATCATGATAACCATGAACAAAGACAATCCTTACATTCAATACCCTGACTCAAAACTGGAGGAGCTTCACGATGATAGAGAGCACCATCACTCTTCCATAGTGATAGTTGGATACTCACACTAAGATGAAAAATAGACAAGAAGACTAACAAAATCTGTAAAGAGCAACGGGAAAGACGCAATTTCAAACAAGGCTCGGCATTTACACCTTGTGACAACCAGCGCGGATGAGCTCAATCATCCACCAGCATACTCGCACAGCCACACACACGCACACAACACGAGACAAATGAAGAAAGTTTCAATCAAAGGGGAAAAGAGGCGAAAACACGTAGAATTGTGCAACATACAAGCGACCGTCCATACCTATACCAACTGTTGAACCAGTCAACAGATCATGCATTTGTTCTGAGATCCTCCACCAGAGCATCCGTCTAGAAGAAACCATTAAAAGAGAGATCAACCGGAGTTTACCGAAACCGATGTGAAAATACAACCGACCAAGCATCGTCTAGTGGATCTTTCGTTTAGGTATCTGTAGTTCTCTCGCAACCCAAGGATCTTTCCACCAGGGCAACATCTTCGCGCCCTCGCGGATCATACCGCCGACTTCATCTAGTTCTGAGTCTGTTTCGCCTTTAACAAGACCGGACCTTTTTGCGATTGCTCGCAACCTGCCGGCAATGTCACAGGCTTTTGGTTTCCTTGGCATTTTTTCTTTTTTGAATTAAAAAATGCAGGTGAAAAGGTCTGGCGCTGGTTGGGTTCACTCCTGCGTGTGCTATGAAGGCGTAGGCAAGGTAAAAAAGACATGTATCTTCGATGATATCATGACTAGGTGCCATGGTTTGTCTTTGTTTTTGCGTCTTTTATCCGGCATGGGGACCGACACAAGATTGATATGTCTCGCGACAGCATACTAAGCATGAATTGTAGGTACTTAAGTTGAACAGTGTCCAAGAACTGTATTTTTGCGGGGAAGGACTTCCATGTCACTGCTTATCACCCTAGTCAATTACCATTGGCGCTGGGCCGTTTGCGGCAGTGTCGTTCGCTGATGGGTGTCCAGACCCTGGCCGTGGCGCATATCCATTGCCGGTAGCCATCCCTGGCTGCCCGCCGGTGCCTGATTGCCCCCGTTGGAAATTTCCTGCAAACGAGCCACCTGCACTACCTCCTCCAGATGGCGGAAACACGCTCTGGCTGGTCGATCCGAAAGCGGGCGTCGCAGCTGTACTCCTGCTCGCGAGCAACTGGGACCTGGCCTTATGCTTTGCCTGCAACCTTGCGAGAAAGTCTTTTTGCGTCTCCTCCTTCGTCGGTGTTTTGACCAAAGCTGCAATTTGCGCATCATCCAGCTTCTTCTTCTTACCCGCTTTTGGTGAGTCTTCGCTCTCGCTTTCCGGGACATTTTCCTTTGCGATTTCGGCTTTCCGTCTTTTCGCGCCGATTGCCTTGCGCTTCGTCACATCGGCACGGCTGACAGCACGCGACTTCTTGTTCTTCGCGAGCTTGTCCTCCTCCTGTCGCTGAATACGGTCCTGCGCCTCTATTTCGTTCAGAACCCGCAGCAGCTCTTTGAGATCGCCATCCCAGATGTCCTCAGGCGAAGTCTGCTCCAGAGCGCGGACCTCCTTCTGCTTCGTTTCGAACTGTGAGCCTGTAAGGAGTGAAAGAGGCACAGAAGACGCATTAAATTTCAAAAGATTGAATGAAAAGCATCATATTATCAGAAATTAGGAGGTTCTTGTAACCGTGTTCTCACGTACAAAGTACAACAGATAGCGAAAACTTATGATCTATCATAATGATAATGCTGCGGATACTACGGGTAATTAGAAAAACTTGCTGATGTGATTTTCTAGCAGTACGAAGCTCTGCCGCTCGCTCGTAAGTGAGGCTCCAGAGTGGCATGCTCAAAAGGTACTCGTAGCCTTGATTGCCGCCGCTTCCGCCGCCACCTGCTGCAGCTGCCGCACCACCATCATTTTCTCCTTCTTCCATTTGGCCTGCTGCTGCTCCGGTTTTCGTGAACTCGTCCACGTACTTCGCATTAATGTCGCTCTTCGTAAGATAGCCCTCCTTCTTGAGCTCTGCGAGAAGAACGTCCTTCTTCTTTTTCGCTACCACTAGCTTTTGCTCGATCACTTCTTGGATGAAGCGCACTTTCTGATTGAGAATTTCGCATTCCCGGCGCAACTTCACTAAGAGATTCTTCTTCCGTTTCTTGTAATACTCGAGCCGAACCGGACAGAAGGCCTGGACGATGTCAGCTGCTTCTTCATAGCGCTTGATGTTCCCCTGTGGCGACCATAGCACCAAATTCTGGCAGGAAAGCGAGCCGCTCAACTTGAAATAGCTCTGCAGTCCTTTTTCCAGTGCGCGGTCCATCTGCTCTGGTGAGAGCGTCACCACGAAATGCACATTCGATTCGGTGTGGTACTCGCGAAAATCCTGGATCGACGCTTTGGATGGGTCGTCCTGGGCAGCCGGAAGAAGTTTTTGCAACCATTCCTTGTAGTCCTGCGTCCACTTTTTGATCGGCAACTCTTTGATTGTCACTGTCGTGTCGCTCGTTGCTTCCACCTTGCCGTACACCGTGTAGGCTTTTCTATCCTCCGACAGTTGGATGTCACCCTTGAAGCCTCGGTACCAGGGGATAAACGCCGGAAACGACTTACTTTGGATGAAAGCGCGCATGGCGTTGATCAAGTCACGTGGGTTGTAGTTTGGAATGAAGGTGGACCAGCCCGTTCCGATACCTTCAGCGCCATTGCAAAGAACCATAGGAATAATGGGGTAGTAGTGCTTTGGCTCAATTCTCTGTCCTTCCTCGTCTTGGTACACAAGTAGAGCATCGTCATCGGGATGAAAGATTTTGCGCGCAACTTCGTGCAAACGCGTGAAAATATACCTGGGATGAAATTGAAAGTCGATGATGATGAAAAATGAGTTCCGTGAAAAATAACCCTAGCAATCACGGATTTTTTTAGACAGCACAAAAGCCTGAGACTGAACTTTATCTTTATAATGGCAATTCTTATACGCTAGTACCTTGCACTGGCTGCATCCTTACCTCCCTGTATTCTTGTACCGAACTGACCGCTTGGTACCAGAAGGTTGACGTTATTGCTGCCGACAAAGTCCTGCGCCATGTTGACGATTGTGGTCTGCAGTGAGACCTCTCCGTGATGGTAGGCTGCGTGCTCACTCACGTATCCGCTGAGCTGTGCCACTTTCACGTCTTTCGTCAGCTTACGCTTGAAGCAGGAGAAGAGCACCTTGCGTTGCGACGGTTTGAGACCATCCATCAGGTTAGGAATCATGCGGTGAATATCGTACTTCGCGAAGAGCACGTACTCTTTGTTGATGAAGTCTTGATACGTCACGCTGGGCTGTGTGTGGTCCACGTACTCTCCCTCCGTGTGTTGGTTCATCCATTCCTTGCGGTCATCAGCTCGCTTCTTGTTAAACGCCAAATCCAAGGCCTCCGCCGTTGCTTCTGTCCAGTCGAATGTCATACCGTGATCCTCGATGTTTCTGAAGTATTCTTTTGCTTCTTTCGACGTCGAGGTTCCCAAACCCTTATAGTACTTCATCTGCCACCCTTTGCCATTGTTGTTGAGCGCTTTCCACGCCTCGTACTCGCCCACTGTGAAAAAACTCTTTTTCACATCGCCCTTCGACACTTTGACGATCGGAGTAATGAATTCACGCAAGAAGCCGGGCAGTCGGAGAAGTTTTGGAAACCAATGCTCGAGCATGTTCAACAACAAACCCTTGATGTGGCTGCCGTCGAAGTCTTGATCTGCCATAATCATGACGGATCCGTATCGGAGTCCTTTGGTGTCGCTGCGGTCGTGATCTCGGATATCCATGCCCATAATCTTCATGATGTTTTGGATTTCCTCGTTTTTCATTACAGCCTGATGCGTGGCTTCGCGCACGTTCAACGGCTTACCCTTCAACGGGAACACGCCAAATTTGTCCCGACCTACTACAGAAAGACCCGCCACAGCTAACGCTTTGGCGGAGTCTCCCTCCGTCAGAATCAAAGTGCAGTCCTCACTGTCTTTGCCGCCAGCGTCGTTGGCGTCCTCTAGCTTCGGAATACCAACCAACCGCTTCACGTTTTTCGCCTTTACTTGACGTCCCAGGTCGATTTCTGGACGAAGGGAGAGATGAAACAGGAATGAATAAAATGCGTACTAGTGACAATGATCTGTTTTTACTGTAAAACAAGAACAACGGCGAACAATCAGTGCAATGGTGTTCATTAGGTGAGAGAAGTCGAAAAATCAGTACTTTCTTTAGCTCTCGCCCACTGTGTGATCAGATCGCAGATGCCGGATTTGAGCACCTGGTCGTCAAACTTTTTCGAAATCTTGCAAACTGTGCCAAATTTGCTTTGGTTCGTCTTCAGCGTCTCCTTTGTTTGAGAGTCGAATGCCGGGTTTTCAACGAGGCAGTTGACGAAGATCATCATGTGGTTCTTGATGTGCGCGGGCTTAATCTCCATGCCTGCCTTCGAAGAAACTTTCTTGTGAATCGTACTCACGATCTGGTCTGCGACATGAGCCACATGCGTGCCGCCCTTCAAAGTGTTGATGGCGTTCACGAAGCTCACCTGCTGGAACTGCCCGGTTTCGGAAATGCTCATCGCAATCTCCCACCGCTCACCACATTTTTCGTAAATCTTCACCGGGCCGGCTTCTTCGGCGCTTCCGTTGTCGCTCGCCCCTGACGAGGAGCTCTGTTTGTACGATGGCGCGTCGGAAAGGTACAGGTCTACGTAGTCCTTGAACGATTTAACCGGAATTTCTTCGTCGTTCAGAAAGACCTTCACCTTTGCGTCACTCGTGCCCGCGATGTCGTACACACGACGCTCGAACAACTGAACGATATCGCGGTCCATCTTCGTCATATGAAACTTAGCCCAGTCCGGCCAAAAGGTCACTATGGTGTGGGACTTCTTCGTTGGGTGCGTAGCCGCTTCGATTTTCGTGATTTCCGGCTTGCCGATCACTTGCATGTTGTTCTGAAATTCCTGTCTGTACAGCTTCTTTGTTTTGTAGTCGCTGCATTCGATCGTGAATTTCGTGCTAAAAATGTTCGCGAGTTTTGCACCGTAACCGTTGCGGCCGCCGACCACTTTTTTCTCCGTGTCATCGTAGTTGTCGGAGGTTAACAAATGCCCAAAGACGAGTTCTGGGACATAAACTCTCTGCGTCTTGTGCATTTCGACTGGCAAGGTCGCGCCATCATTTTTAATACGAATCATCCCGGCTGCCGGGTCGAGCCAAACACGAATTTCAGCCATGTTCTTATCCCGCTGAAAGTTGTCTGCTGCATTCACGAGAATCTCATCGAAGATCTTGTACAACGCTGGCGCGTAATTCAACTTTCGCTGCTCGAAAATCTGTGGAGAAGAACAAAGATGAGGAAGAGCATTAAAAGGTCATGATCATGCTGTTGGTCTAAGATTAAAGAGCTAAATTAAAAAACAACAACGGCCCCGCCAAACTCTCACTCCCCCACTTCCGAGCCCCAAACTCTTCCACTTCTGACTCATGAACTTCAGTTCCGCACTTCCGAACTTCAAAACTTCCGAGCTTTCCAAACTTTCCCAGGTTTGCTTCAGAACTTCCGAGCCTTCCAAACCTTCAACTTTCCAAACTTCCCAAGCCTTCCAAGGTTTCCAAGGTTTCCAACCTTTCCAGCCTCTCCAAACTCTCCAAGCTTTCCAAGCTTTCCAAGCTTTCCAAACTTTCCAAGCTTTCCAAGCTTTCCAAGCTTTCCAAACTTTCCAAACTTTCCAAACTTTCCAAACCTCCCAAACTCTCCAAGCTTTCAAAAATTTCCCAACTTTCCCAGCTTTCGAAACTTCCCAAACTTTCCTGCCTTTCCGAGCCTTCCGAACTTTCCGAATTTTCCAAACTCTCCAAGCTTTCCGAAATTCCCAAAACTTCCAAACTTTCGAAGCTTTCCAAACTTCCCAAACTTTCCGACCCTTCCAAGCTTTCCGAAGTTCTGAGCTTATGAGCCACCACGAGCTTCATTCTGAAGTTACGAACTCACGCATCCCGCCCCATCCGATCGGTGGGTTTGCATCATCATCAGCATCACCATCATCATCACCACCAGCGCCACTTATGAACTTATGGCCTTGCAGGCTTATGAGCTTGCGAGGCTTGGGACTTGGTTAGACCTGACCAACCTCGCGCAGATGGGCCTGGGCGCGAAAGTAAACTAAAGCCCTACGCGATAAAGCCAAAACCTATATAATTTGAACACCAAAATAAATTGAAAAAAAGCCCAAGAATTGGCTGGCCCTGACTTCGCGCAGATGGGCACTAAGTTTAAAGCTTACGCGATAAAGACGAAGCCTTTTGAACTAAAAAAACTGAAAATAAGCCTCGGATTTGGTTAGCTCTGAGCCTTAAAGCGTCAGCTCAGGCCGAAAGCTCACGCCTGACTGCTCAAAGCTGAAGACTCAAAGTCGAAGGCCCAAGGCTGAAAGCTCGAAGTTGAAAGCTCAAAGTTGAAAAGTCGAAGCTGGAACTGGAAGCCCAAAGCTGAAAACCCAAAGCGGACAGCTCAAAGTTGAAAACTCAAAGCTCGCTGAAGGCTCAAGGCTGAAGCTCATTCAAGGGTCGAAGCTCAAAACTGAAAGCGCGAAGCTGAAAGCCCCAGGCCAAAAGCCCAAAGCTGAATGCTTAAGATTAAAGGCCGCGCCTCAGTGTCTCAAAGCTCCAGGCCTGAGACTGGAAGCCCAAAAATTTTGACTATATCGAATAACAACGAAGCTCGAAGCATTCCCATCCAAAGTTTTTGACTGTATCACAAGAAGAGGAACCTCGACAAGTTGCAAACTCGAGCGCTGCAACTTGCACGCAAAAGAACGCCAAACCTACCAAAAGGAGAGCACGCCGATAACCCAGCGACTTCGGTCTGTGCGTTCTTAATCAATGGCCGCACGCCGTCCCCCGCCCAGCTCTTGTTCCAACGATCAACGCCGCCAGACAGTTGGCGGGCGGGGGAGGAGCCGGGGAAGCGGAATCGCGCCGGGGTTGAGGAAGTGCGTGCCGGGGGTGGATGATCCTAGTGGGAGGAGTGCTACCGGGCGCCCAAGTCTAGCATTCATTAAGCGCAACTTCATCCACAGCATAGTATTCAAGGATAATCATGTATCCAACATCAGCAAAAGGATTTGGATTTCGTGTTCGTTTTTCTTATTTCGTATCTATTATGCATAAAAAAAAACCCTAATTCTCAAGAAAAGAGTGAAGGAGTAGTAGTACTTTTTTCTGTTTATTCATCACATGGATGACTCCCTCCGCCATCTCCGTGGAACCGACGTAAGAATCAGGCCGCAGCAGGATGTGCTCCAGTTGGGTCTTCTTCTGATATCGTTCCTCGATGGTCTTCTCGTCTCTTGATTTCGGCGGCATCTTGTAACTTCGTGTGGCGGAAAATGCCGCGTGCAATTTTAACCTAGAAGCCGGAGTTTTCAGCGATGAGTACTTCTTCGTTCCAACTCGCGCAGCGGTTGCGACAAATCTTCTTCCGCGTACCCCTCCACACTTGATATCCTTTCTCTTCTGACCTTCACGAACACCCCAACTGCAAATCGAGCAGCTAGCAGTTAGTGAATCAAGGACCGTCGGGCGGCAATCGCGATGCGGAGACCACGGGCACGAATGCCACGAGTTTTCTATGCACGAATTGAATCCTCGCGCTGTTACGCCTTCGTGCGTCCATGTGAATTTCTTATCGAATACACCTACACAATTTCTACCATAGTCATATGAGCCTGGAGTCGTTCTACTTCTACTAGCATTTAGCGAGTCCGTAAAGCTATTTCTACCAGCATGACCTGTTCGCGGAAAAGAATGAGAAACGCCTCTTTTCTCTTCATCGGATGGCGAATTGTAGAATATTCCGCCGGGTGTCGATGATAATGAAGTTGCGCTGACTCGTGATAATAATCCACGAATCGTTTTCGAAACCAGTAGATATGAGTCGGAACTGCCGTGTTGTCGATTTATTTTTCCTGTTCTAATGTGACACCGCCCAAGGCATTCCCAGTAATGCATTGCGCTACCACTTCCACAAAACTTTTTCTTATACCGTACATTTATTCATCACAGGCTGACGCTTTTTATCATGATTATAGATTTCATTTTTGATTTTGTTCTTTGTTATTTAATTATTGTTCTTTGAGATTCCACTTCTAATCAATGTCCATGATCACCCCCCCTATCATGCTTGGCTTCCAATTCATTCTTCTACTTCTTCCATAACCTCGCTTTTCTTCGTCTGGAATGAGTCAGAATCTGGTGCCAACATTCTTTCACGTTCACCCAAAGCTTAGTCATCATACAAACAAAGCAAACAAGTACAAGACCAGACTCATGCACCAAGAAGGGAGGCCCTCCCCTGTGGGTGGAGCGGATGCGCAGCACAGTGGTGGAAGAGCGACGAGAGAAGAACGCGGACGATGAAAGACGACCCATGCCCAGCATCCACTCCGCCTTCTACCTTGATTCCCTTGCACTCATGTGACACACTTTGGACAACTGTCGCACTTCGTTCTCGCATTGTTCCCAAGAGCAGGCCTCTCTATCCGCCAAACCTTATGGCTGCGACGGGCCACACTACACAATGAATGCGCACGCAAAACGTGAAGAAAAGCGCGCCGGTGTTGTCAGTCTTCCAAATCTGCCACCTGTTCGCGCCACGAGCGCGCGGGCGCCTATCGGTCTGCTTTCGTGTCTGTGCTTATCTGATCTGTCTGGAAGGAGTCCCCAGCCTCCTACGTCGGCCTCTGAGTAGAGTAGTGAAACAATAGAGGGGCGCTGACGCTGACGCAATTGGATTCAGATAGATCCACCAAAATCAGCCCCCTCAGTCTTGGTGCGTGGTGGTGGCCATTCTCTTCAAGCGTGACATTTCCAGAAGTTCGAGACTCCCAAGCAAGTTAGCCGGTCCGTCTTCATCTTCTCGCCTGGAGTCCAGCGGGGTGCACAAGGTGAGGCGCTGCCGGAGATCACGAGGCACACAAGAAGACCACGATGCACCGCACGAGACCACAAGGCACAGCAGGAGACCGGGAGGCACAGCAGCAGACCACCAGGCACAGCAGCAGATCGCCCGGCCAAAAGCAAAACACGCTGGCCGCGTTGGGCGTTCTGCTTCTGTAGGGTACACGCAACCACACCCCGGGGCTCTGTAGGGTACACGCAGGAAGCCGCACCCGGCCGAAGATGGGCTTGCTGGACGCCTTCCCGCCCGGCAGTCCTCCGGAAAAAGGGCCCGGGGCTGAAGGCTCCTCCTCGCCTCCCTAGATCGGGGGAGGGGGGTTTTCAGCCCTGAGCCCTGGAACATAAAAATATAGATTTAGACATAGAAGATGTAAACCTAGCGTTGAAATGTAACTCACTAGACGCGCCATAAAAACCGGTGGTCATTTTCATACGACGCCTCTGCCCGAGGGTGAGTGATTTAAGGGTTCCCACGCCATGCACGCTTTCAGGCTGATCAGCTAAGATCTTCACTGTTCTTGTGAAAGAGCGAGTAATGCTCGTTGCGGACCTAGCAAAAATGTTCATGCTGGTGGAACACAAAAGAAGACTTTCGTTTACTTTGATGCGAGCTTTGCTCGCAACACGGTCAATTGTGGTCGCAACGTGATTATTTTTCTAAAAAAGTGCAAGTCTTTTTTTTGATAGTTCTTTCTGTCCGTTTCGTAGACCATAAGATATTAACTCCTTTGGAACCAAGACCAACGACTTTTCTTCCATAATTACGATATTTTCTAACCGACCATCTCAATTCGATCCTCTAATCTTGCCACATCATTCGTTCTGCGAGTCTCATGTCTTGATGCTGAGGTCATTTAGATCTTCACTATGTACACGTACAGTGCCTTCTATTTTTTCTATTTGTGGCTGTATCACAGAAATAAAATTTTGGATAGAGCTACTTACATCTTTCTTGAAGTATCAGTCTGCACAGACAACGCCATAAAAAGCTGACTTTTTCGCCTTTTTTCCCAGGGTATTGCTCATATTTCAATTTTTCAATTCCACATTTTTGGCGTTGATAGGAGGTTAAAGAACATTTTTATATTTTCATTGTGGATCCTAACCCGTTAGTTTGCGAAAAAAAACTATCGACAAGTTGATCAAAAAATCGGGTTGTTTTCCTACCGCGTTGCAGGCGACTATTTCGAACTTATCTATGATATTTTTCATTTTCTTATGTTTGTTCCGTAGAAAATATTTACTCACAGCAAGTCATTAATTCGTACTTACGGCCTGTCTTACATTTTCTACTTATTTCCCGTAGTATGAATACAATTTTGGATCCCTGAAAAGATGCACGACAATGTACAATCTGGCACAGCGCAGAACTGTCGAATTACCATCTTCGTGAGCGTGATGATTATGTCTTGTCAGCGCATTTGCCATCCAAAGCTACTTCCAGGAGCGATCTCATCACTATCCCTTGGTTCATACCTAGGTACTTAGACGTCGAGGTAGAAGTGTCCTCGTGTTTGTCGCACAGGATAAATATCATTGAAGTGATACGATCCTAGGTAGTGCTGTTATGTCTAGTGATTTGCCAACTACCTCTACCTCTACCTGATGATACCACCTATGCATCATCCGCTTTGAACTTGCCCGATCGAATGTCCGTGGTCTGTCCGCTAGCATCGCCTCGGTTGTACATTTGCTTGCCAGTCTCCTCTGCGTTTTTGTTACCGCGTCCCGAACCAAGTGCCTTGGAAGTGGATGGCGGCTCCTCGTTAACCACATTGACTGGCGGCAGGGGCTCTTCCTCCGCAGCCGGAGCAGCTGGCGCCTCTTCCGCAGCCGGAGCAGCTGCCACCTCTTCCTCAACAGGAGCAGCTGGCTCCTCTTCCGCTGCCGATGCGGCTGGCGCCTCTTCCGCGGCCGCAGCTGCTGGCTCCTCGGCGGTCGGGGCCTGCTCAGAGGTACGTGGCGGCGGCGCAAAGCTGCCCTTGGTGGAGGCAGAAGACGCTGTAATGCCCGCGAAGCTTTCGCCGTGGTCCTCATCCTCGGCGATATCCTTTACGAGGTTCGCAGCAGCATCATGCGCGTCGATGCTGGCCTTGACCGATGCACTGCTCCGACGTTTGACGGATGCGAACTTTGGCTCCGGTGCGAAGGTGACCCGGTTGTGGCTGCCGTCCTCCTTAACAATTGTTCCGAGTGGAGCTTCCGTCGCGCGCTTGCTCGGAGCTCGCCCGCTCTGTTGCGTGTCGGGCTCGTCGTTGCTCAGATATTCCTGAGCAAGCGTACGAGTCACGAATCGCGACTTCAGTTCTGGCCGCGGTGCACGAGCTCCCTCGTCCTGGTAGTCCTCCGAATAGGCACGATCCATACGGTCAACCAGCTTATCACATGTGCAAGCTGCAGTCTCAGGAGAAACGTCGAACAACGCAAAAACCTAGGAACGAGAGTTGCAGGAGAGTGTTGCTCCTTTCACGAAATACGAAGAACCTTCATGTATATTGTTCTAGTTGCTGTCAGTCGCACTCCGTAAAAAGTAGAGGAACCGTTCTTGTCTTTCTTTGTATGTAAGTGTATGTATGTTTTGAAAGCGCTCCAAGCAATGTAGTCCCTGATCTATATTAGAAAAGTTTGCTCCTTCTCCAGAATTGGCACGCTGGGCGACCCCAGAGTGCCTCTGCTGCCAAACATTTCGCCCACCGTGCTCCCACCGTGAGGCCGGGGGTCAAAAATCGCAGCGCCCTCCGGGTGCCCGTTTCTGAAGCCCCCCCACAGAGTAAGTGTTTGAACCATTCATTACGGGGTTCGATATTGTCAAAACTTTTACGACTTGCACTCAAAAAATTGAAAAAAGGCCCAGGAATTGGCTAGCTGTGAGCCTTAAAGTGTCAAGCCGAAAGCCCACGCCTGAAAGCTCAAAGCTGAAGACCCACAGTCGAAAGCTCAAAGCTGAAGGCTCAAGGTTGAAAGCTCAAAGTTGAGAACTCAAAATCCAAAGTTCAAAACTGAAAGTGCAAAGTTCGAAATTGAAAACCCAAAGCCGACAGCCCAAAAATGAAAGCTGAAGGCCCAAGGCTGAAAGTTCAAAGCTGAAAGCCCAAAACTGAAAGCGCGAAGCCGAAAGCCCCAGGGCAAAGGCCCGAAGCTGAACGCTTAAGATTAAAGGCCGCGCTCTAATGTCTCAAAGTTTCAAGCTTGAGACTGGAACCCCAAAATTTTTGACTTTATCCAATCAAGCCGAAATTTGAAAGATTCCCCGCCGAAGTTTTTCGACTGTATCACAAGAAGAAGAACCTGGACAAGTTGCAAACTCGAGCGCTGCAACTTGCACGCAAAGAAGGCCAAACCTACCAAAAGAAGAGCACACCGACAAGCCACGGGCTTCGGTCTGCGCCTTTTTAATCAATGGCCGCACGCCGTCCCCCGCCCAGCTCTTGTTCCAACGATCAACGCCGCCAGGCCAGACGGCTGGCGGGCGGGGGAGGAGCCGGGGAAGCGAAATCGCGCCAGGGTTGAGGAAGTGCGTGCCGGGGGTGGATGATCCTAGTGGGAGGAGTGCTACCGGGAGCCCAAGTCTAGTATCTGGCACTTGACACAAATGCAGTTGATGTGATACGGTCTTCATAACATTAAAAAATTATTGGGCCGGGCGACTCACAAAAAAAAATGATAATGCAAACGCAAAGACATGCAGTAGTACCTCAGCAGCGCTGGGAAGCCTGATGGACAGGTAGAGGCAGTCACCAAAATCATGCCACTCCGTGAGGTGGTGTCCGCGCGCGGTACTGAAGCCGATTTTTGCCATTTCTTTGCCGTAGAGCTTGTGCGCGGGATCCAGCTCGAAAAACGTAATGGAGGAAATGGTCACGGCCAAAAGCAGAGTGCGGGAGCCCATCTCCAAGAGTTTCTTGCGCTTGTTGACGGCGTGGGTCCGGACCTGCCCGAGGATATCCATAGACTTCTTTTCTCCAAGCTGGGCGTGTGTACGCTGCGTCAGGTAGTAGAAGCGTGCGCCGAAGGCCTTCAGGCGCTGCAAGGACTTAAACATGATCGTCGCGCGCTCAAGATGACTCTTGCCGGCGTTCTCCAGGACCTTGTTCTTCACCAGTTCCTGCATGATCATGTCGACCCACTTCTGGTCACTCTCAGCCAGATTGCGGCACAGATCCGGAACCAAGAATGGCAGCGTGTTCGCGTTCACAAAGGCGGCTGTGCCCTTGGCACGCGACAGGTAGACAGCGATCTGGGCTCCGATCCAGGCAAGCTTATGCTTCTCTTCTGGCACGCAGTACTCGTTCAAGTAGCTTTGGAGAGCTTGTTCGGCTGACAGGCACGTGTACACGATGTCAGAGCAGGACACGCGCTCGCGAGGGCGCAAGAAGCGGCGGCGGAAGATCAAGTCAAGATCCGGATTGGCGTTCAACATGCCTGCGACGTTCGCGTCGTCGTTCAGCGGCTCGCCACTGGTGGTATTGAACAGAGAAAACTCGCTCTGCTGCGACATCAAAGAAAACGCGTGACAGGCCTTCATGCACAGTTCCTGAAATGTGTCAATTGAAAAAATGGAACCCAAAAGAGAAAGCGGTTGAAGCTCGGGTATTCAAGCTACAAACTCTTGTTGAGGGGAAACCTCCGCTTCGAAACCTCTCATGATATTGTCTGCTTAGTTATAAACGACGCGACTCTTACAACATTTACTATCTTTCATTAGCAAGCTATAAATAACTTGATGACGTGTGCAGCAAAACATACTAATCAGATAGCAAGCCCAGCAAAAAAAAAATTGGAACAAGCAACTAGTATTTCTACGACTCTTGATAAACAGTATTGACATTTTAAAATGTAAATTCTGTTTTGATAAAGAATAAGATTTGTACCTTGGCAGTCATCATCGGTCCAGACAAGGCGACCAGCTTGGCGCGGCGCGGGTGGCCACGCGCGTCGATACGAGCGGACTGCGCGCGCACATCGTACGTTTCCAGAGAGTGGATCTTGAAGTTGGTGGAGGCGAACCCGCGCATCGATTGCATAACCTGTCCTTCTGGCATGGCATTGTCGTGAACTCGCATCTCACCCTTAGCGACATTGATCAGCTCTGTGATGGCGTCGTCCTTTTCCTCGTCGCGCATGTTGATCAAGAAGGCGCGGACGTACTCGATGAAGTTGGGCTGTGGCGGCACGGCCTGAAGCACGTGGGTGAAGAGACGCCAACCGAGCGACTTGGATTGCCAGGAAGGATTGTTGGTCAGCTGCTTCATCAGTTGCGCGTACACCTCGTTGGTAATCACCGGGTCCTTCTTGGCGGTCTGCACGACGGCGGCAGCCAGCGGGGCGCGGTGTTTGGAGGGCACCGGCTTGTCGCACATCCATCCGATGATGTTTTCGAAGACGGCGTGCGCGGTTTCGTTCATCTGCCAGTTCGGCAATTGCGTCAACGGGTCGCGCAGTGCCGCCGGGGTCCGCGACCAGCTGCAGGCACCCAGAGGGTCCAGCGGATCCACGATCGTTCCGTCCTGCTTGTAGCGGCGCTTCACCATCACGGTGTTCATGATCGGCGCCTGATCCCAGCGCGAGTACAATTTGCTGCCCAGCTCGTTGCTTGTCGCCGACTGGTTGCCCACAAAGAGCGAGCCAAAGGCGGCCGCGTTCGTCTTGATTGTGCCCATCACGTCTAAGGTCTGTGCTGCGGCGACGCCGCAACCTTCCGCAGCTGCGACCAGATTTGTGCACGCCAATAGCAAAAGCTTCATTGGGAGCACGTCGCCCTTGCCGGCGCGGCCGCTCATCAACTTCTCGACGCAACCTTCGATCTGTTCGAGCACATAGGAGCGAGTCTTCAGATTGGTGACCAGCTTCTCGGAGGCCTCCAGGTCCTCGGCGGCCAGCCCGTTTTCGTAGCCGTAGGCCAACAGTGCCTCCAGCTTCTCCTTGTCGAAAACCTCGCGCGCGCGCTCCATCTGGGCCAACGCGTCGGCAGCATCGCGGATAGTGAGTTGCAAGCCCTGCGGCGTGCTCATATCTCCGAGCAGCTTCGAAGCGCGAAGGCTCATCGCTGCGGCCTCCGGCGACATCTTGACACTCTGACGTTCGGTTTCCATCAGTCGCTGCGCCTTCTCTTTCTCGGCCTCGCCCTTGATCGTGGCAACCTTGATCGCGTCAATGTTGGACTGCGTGCAGATGGCCGACAAAGCAGCGTCCAGCTTGTCCTTTTCCGAACGCACTCCGTTACGCATCGTTTCCAGTTTTCCGCGCAGGTCGGCGTTGTCGGACGCGCTTTTGATAACGGCATTCAGACGCGTCTCCATCTCCTCGCGCGCGCCGATGGCGTGGCAGAGGAACGCAACGATCTGCGGGTCGAGGCTCTCCTTGTTGTCCAGCATGCCCTTTGCGCTCTCCAAGTTTTCGCGGCCGCGTTCGATGCACCCACCGCAGTACTCCATCTGTTGCTTGTCCGCATCCTCGCTCAATTGGAACACGCACTCCTGCATTTGCGTACCGACGCCCGCGCTGCTCTCGAGTACTTCTTGCACGTTCTTCACCGCAAGTGCCGCCTTTTCGGCATCCAAAGCGGCAGTATCGCCTGTCGGCGGTCCGGCCTCGTACTTTTTCAAAGATGCGGCCACAGCGGTGTAGAGGGCAAAACCCGTGGCATCCAACCACTTTTCGGCAGCTGTCAAACCCGCACCCTCGCAGCTCTTCACCAGCTTCTTGTACTGCTCGTGTGCAGAACCGTCGTCGAAAGTCAGCGGCGGCAAGCTCTGCATACCCTTGACCAGCGGAGTCTGAAAGAAAGACACGATCAACATAAAGCGACAATGAATAACATGATTAAACGTCAAAAATAGAGTTTCGTACTTCTACTTGTCAGCCTCCTCCAATACAACCAAAAAGATGTACAGAAAATTATTTTGTCCAAGAACAAGTGAAATATATCATGCAAACAAAAGGGATACCCCATCAACCATCGTCATAATGAAACACCGTTCAACCGGCACGATCCACGTAGATCAGTGAATGGAGGATGGACAAAAATAAGTAGTTGTACCTCTAATTGCAGACGCTCTGCGCGTTCGCCAATGGTCTTGCAGAAATCGGAAGTGATATTAAGCGCAGTAAGGCTAGAGTGGGCGCCCTTGAGAGCCGCAACGTCAGTGGAGATGAGGAATTCGTCGGCTTGCTGCATAATGTCGAGTTCCTTTTGCAGACCAGCAATAGTCGGCGCGAAGTCTTTGGGGGCGACGCGAAGTCCCGGAACGCTGTTCACCACTTGCATCCAGATGACCGTCTGAGAGATGGCCTGAGAGATGCCCTCCAGACCGCCAAGCAGGGCCATGCCATCCGCGCCTCCCTTCGTGTACAGCGGGTACTTCTTAAGCCAGGCCGCAATCGCGCCGCGCGTCTCCTTGGCCTTCTTCACTTTCTTGCGGACGACGTAACCACGGTAAACCTTCTGAATCATCACCGCCTTGGCGCTGCGAGCAATGCGCGACATCTCGTCGAGAAGCATGTGTCCCTTCTGGCGCACCATCACCTTGGTCCTGCCCATGTGGTACTGGCCCACCAAATCCGGCATCTTGAAAGCAGTGGGCAATCCCTGGAGCACAACCGCAACCGCGGACGGCGAGTCCAGCTTCTGGCCGCCCTCCATCGCCTTCTTCTGCAGGGATAACGGAATCACGACGCGGTACGCACGAATGAATTCTTCCGGGGAGGCGCGGAACGGGTAACCAGCTTGACGAATGCGGACGCACTCGATGACACCGGAAAAAATCAGCTGCTCCAACACCATGGGTGGGTCAAAGCTTCCCGCCACCTTTGCAGAGTTCGGCTTGATGCAACGGACGAAATGCGGCTGCGCGGCGTAGATCGCGGTCATCAGCTTCTTCAAACTCGCGCGGAACGCTTGCGAGACAGTCTGACGCCTCGCCTTCTCTTCCTCCGCCATCTTCTCGTACAATTCGATCATCACCGGGTTCTGGCAAGTCTTCAGAATATCCAGCGCCTCCGGTGGCGGCTCGTCCTTGTTCTTCACCGAGACCCAACCAGTGACGTCGTACTTCACACTTCCCGCGTAGTGCTTCAGCGTGAACTCAGGCTTGTTGAACTTGTCGAGCGTGAGGTACTTGTTTTTGGCCATGTTCTTTTTCAGCTCATTCATAAACACCTCGTCTGTCGCCTTAATGTTCTTAGTAGTGCCATCCAAGTACGTGAAAATCGAGTTTTGCGGAGCCCCAATCGTGTCCAAAATCTCTTGGTTATCCTCAAAGTTGAACTCGTCGACTGGGACACCCTCGGCCTCATAGTCGCGCAACTCAGACTTGAAGATGAAACTGAAGATGGAGAATGTGAAGGAGAGAGTATTTACTAGTATTTTACCAACATTAACACCCATCCTTTTTGAAGACATCCTATCTACTGTTATGAGCATAATTAAAAGATCACAAAGTCTGACTTTCAAAATGAACAGGTACAACAGGTAAGTGTACCGTAATTTTCAACATACACTCGCCCAAGCATGCCCTCAAGATCTATCGACATCGTACTATCAGCATGTGAATGTGAGTGTGTGTATGAAGGGAAAAAAATAAACCTCTACTTCATAACCGTAATCGCAATCTATAAATATGAAATGAGAGCTTGTTGTTTATCATGTCACTAAGGGTCGTGAGACAAAGACAACTAAGTAGAAGTACTACTTATAACAAAATAAAATTTCATTACATATTGATATCACGAGCAAAGGTGGTACTCATTGAAGTGCTGCTGCAAGTTCTCGTTGGACAAGTTGATTGTGATCTGTTCCCACGTGTTGAACGGAAAGGATTCGAAACCGGCAATATCGAGGAGACCGATCTCTTTGGCGGTACTAGACAAGCCGCCCTCACCCGCGATTGCGTTGTTCAAGAAGAGAATGAGCCAATCGAAGATGCGTTGGTAGAACAGCGTTGCAAGACTCTTACGAGCAGTGATGGCGTCCGCAAGTTTGAGAGATTTCACTGTGACGTCCTTACCAATGACGAGTTTCTTGGACACAATGGCACTGAGCAGGATGTCCCCGTCGCAGCCAAAGACGTCGGCACACTGCTGCAGGGTTTCCGGCTTGCCGCACTTCGTGGTGTCGTTGCCGCCATCGGCCAAGGCAATGTTTCCGATCAGTAGGACGCCAGCAGTGGCCTTGATAAGGTCGAGAGACTTACTTTCGGCCATAGTGGTGTCCTTGCACGCCTGCAGGACCTCTCCGAGCTCCTTCTTGTCGTCCCAGCCGTCGGCCTTCGCAGTTCCGTTCTTGAGGAACTCATAGTCAGTGTGCTTTCTGCTGGCCAGGCCGTAGCGCTCGGGGTCCTCCAGCATCATGTGGAAGATGTGGAAGCTGCGTTCGGGGGCGTTTTGCGAGACCGCACGAGACTTTTCCAGTAGGTAATCGACCACTCCGGCGCCCTCAATCTTCCCGCTGCTGGAGAATTTGAGTGCGGTCCACTTACCGAAACGGGAAGAGTTGTTGTTACGCGAGGTCTTTGCGTTTCCGTAGGCTTCGAGCAGCGGCGTGCACTGCACAATGCGGTCCTGGATGCCGTCCTCCCCACCACTGGTGGAGGCAAAGTAACTGACCAAAATCTTACAGTTCTCACTCTTACCGGCACCGGATTCTCCAGAAATCAGGATCGCCTGGTTTTTGCCCTCCACCAGTCCGCCCAAGGCGTTCTTGGAGACGCAGTAGACGTGTGGCGGCAGGTCGCGCGCGCTTTCGCTGTTTTGGTACTTTTGCACCTGCGCGGCGTCGTATAAGCCAGAAATCAACTTGAAGGGGTTCACAGAGATCACCACGTCATCAACTTTGGTGTAGATCTGGTCCTTACGGAAGCGCACGCGACAGGTCTCCAACACGGAAGGGTTGTTCACCGTACGCAACGAGGTCACATCGGGCACGCCCATCAAGTGATCCTCTTCGACCTGGTGCACCTTGTCCATGACCTCACTCGCCAGAACCTTGACAATCTCTTTGCTCTCGGTCGTCTCGTACAGCTTCATCTGCTTTGCCCCGCTGCCCTCCGTCTTGCCCGTGTCGCGCGCGACACAGTAGGCACCCTTGGGGTGCGGGACCCACAAGGACAACCCGGAGGTGTCGGCTTTGATCGTTTTCTTTGACGCCATCTTCTCCTCTAGTACCTATCTATTCTTACTAAAAAAATCTGAGTGGGTTACAAATGAATATGGGTGGTTACTGACGAATATTCGTCAAACTACATCAGACAGCAGTGATGAGAAAACTATCCTCTGTGTGTAGATGTAGCGAAATAATTTGATAAAATCTCAACCACATAAATGGAAATACATTGATAAGCGTTTACTACACCGTGCTTAAACAGTTTGAGTTTGATCAAACTCCCGCTACAAAAATAGAACTAGCTAATTCGACTCAGGTGAAAGTTACTTACGCCACTTCGATTTTTTCAAAAAAACCAACTTAGAAGAATGTTAGAGCTACTGTGCGCTTGTTGAGTGATAATTGCGTTACTCAATTATCACGATACACATAAAGGAAAATCAAGAAAGAGAGAAATGGATATTGCTTGCGGAGTCACAGAGGAACCTCCCAAACAATAAACTGCACATTTTTTCAAGGCGGATGAAAGATAAAGGTGATGTAGACTTCAATCTCTTTACATGCCGCTCTCAGATGACCATATTGAAGCCAGACAGATCGCTAGAACAGAATGGACTGGCTCACATATCTCCCCTCACGCGACATCGAATTACCTTAGGTACCAGACCATATCTATATTTTTATTTAGCCGAAGATCATTAGTACACTCAGAAAACGCAAAGCTGTTCTTCAATGGGGACAGATTGTGATCTCATATTTCGCTCAATGCCAGATTACCTCGAAGCTCTCTTAGACTCAGACAGACTAACAAGCCCTACTTATATAAATATACGTTCGTCATTCTCGGTTATGGTTATCGCTCTCTCACTTGTTTTTCACACGTAACCATGAGAGATCATACTTCGGTTGGATCGTAGCTCAGTGTTTTCTCATGATCTCACGAAGGAACTTCCACGTCCCTACTTGCACGTCATGCCGATCAACACAAATACTGCACGAGCACACGCATTTTCCCTCGTTTACAATTGATGAAACTATGACTTCTGTTGTTGCTCTACATGGAACAGCCTATCGTGTCACTCCGAAAGGTTGCCATGATTGAACATAATACAGCTACAAAGAGCTTAATTGGAATGCCCGTTCCGTTTGTTTCTGTTACTCTTTCAGCCACGGGTATCGAAGGGTTTCGGGGAAAGAGGGCGACCGGGGATCACGAAATAGTTCCTTCGTCATTCGTGAGTAGTGTTTGGGTTTGGCTACACATTTAGCTTCTAGAGCGCTTGGGAAGCACTCCTATGTGTTCAAGATGAAGGGTTCAAAAAATGAAAACGTGGCTGTGTGGTCTTGCCTTTCAGCATCGAGAAGCATCAGGCTTACGAAAGCTTCTTGCCCCTTATCGGCAAGTCAGCAAATCATTCTCTTCACCACACACACATTTACACGACTTCTGCGTTTCTTACCTGTGTTTAGTATTAGCTGAAAATTGAAGACATGCCTCAACATTCTTGTTCTCATGAGTTATGAAACCACGACTATGCAGCTGTAAAGACAAGTGAAAACGTAAGTAAATTACGCTTACCTGATTTTGATGCCGAGTTCCGATCAGCCAGCTGCTAACCTCGTGGGTAAAGATCGTTACTCCATCTGCTGTTACGTCTACGTGTTCTTCTTAGAGTGCTTTACTGGGTAGAGAGTCGCCGAAGGTGTAATCTTCATGGCAGCCGCTTTCCTTGATAACCATTGTACGCACAACACCACCGGATGAGCCGTCCCTAGTCATGGCATGAGAAACCCACTTCTTACAGCACGATCGCGCTTGCTCCTCTGTCATGCCGGGCTTATACTCGGCATCAATCAAACCCATAATATACGCACTTCCGCTTCCGCCGACGGCGTAGCCTCGTCGGAACTTTGCTCCACCAAGTGGGAGAGAATACACCTACAAACATCCAGTAGGAAGATTTGTAGGAGCCTAGGCGACAGTAATAGCTTACGGAATCCTACATGTACTTGTCGAGAATACTGTGATTAGAGAGAGAAGGCACGACACTGCGGGCGAAGAACATGCTTAAGTATCTACCTGTCCTCCACGTTCTTTGTCCCAACCAGCCACGATGAGACCTGCCATTAGGTTGTCTTTGTTGCCGTAGATAAGCGTCTGAAAGAGGGATGCGCACGTGTTCACTTTAGGGAATCTTGGATCTTTCAGATCTATGGAGTGCAAACCGAGATAATGCTGGACATAGCCCGTCAATGCTTGTGTATCTGCTGCTGAACCAGAGCGGCAAACAAAAATTCGATCGTGCACTGGCGTGATCTTACCTGATATGATGTGAGAGTGAAAACAACTGGATCGAAAACTTAATCAACATACGGTGGAAATTATAGGACTAAGAGACACAAATTGATGAATGAGTACTTTTTTGAGCTCATATTTTTCAGTTTAAGATTATTCGGAATAGCGATTCACTTTTGGGAAGTACTTAGCAAAGAAGAAATTGTACGTGAGACTCTGTTTGCGACGTAATCGCCCATGGATGTGCGTGAATCTGCTGCCATGACCACACCTCCATCAAATTCTAGTGCCAAAATGGTTGTTCCTGTGGAAACACCTTTTTCAGCTCCCATCACGTCGTCCTCTCTGTAACCGCTACCATTCTCAACTGATGTCCCCTCTACTGCGCTCACATCCTGGAAATAGGTGTTAACCTTGTCGTCAGGCCGCAGGCCCGCAAAAGGATCGAAAAACTGCGGCATCTCTTTCTGGAGAAGAAGTACAGCTATGAGTATAAAAACTATGGAACGCCAAAATCTACAACTTGAATAATCTTACACCTACAAATCGACGATTTCCAGCTTTACATCACCTGATTCGCGGAAATCACATTCGCAATGAAATGGTGCGCTCAACATAATAAACAAGAAGGGACACAGAACTCGGCTCGTCAGTATATCACTTCCTGTACTGGACGACGTCGAAGACTTGATGTTGATGTGCACAGCGGTCGCTGATGCCTGATCAGAAAGTACTAATCTCCACCTTTGAAAACATTTAAATTCACTTTCATCTTCGAAGGCCTCTTGACAAGCTAGATTCAGATACTGCATCATCACGAGCTGATTGAGAATTAGTTATTATTTCCAATCGCTGTGACAGTGATTAGTAAGATGCAATCGGCATAATGCATTGTGATTTTTCTTGTCTACTAAGGCAGAACCAGCACAGGACTCGTTTTTCAGGATTTGAAATTCTCATTGCCACCTCTCGCATCAGTATCGTCATACCTGTCACAAGTACGCCCATCAATATCATCGATTCACTTGTCTCATCCAAATAAGTTCAAGCTCTCACCGCAGAAAAGAGAGTCACGCTAATTGCAAGTTTATCAACTCTAATCCAGGTACTTACACTTCCCGCGAATGATAGATCGTCAGGGTTTTCAATTCTGAGGCCTGACAGAACACGACCATATACTCCAGGAACAGCCGTATCACAATAACCAAAGCTCAAACCACTATGGATTTTCATTTATCCTTCGAAGCTGCTCGCACTTTTTGATTTTATCATGCCAACATTCAGAGAAGTGGACACATGAAGTCTCAGACCCTACGTGTACGTAGGTTCGTTTCATCTACTTAAACGCTTCGCGATTGATCTGGAGCTCATTTTCACCTCACTGATGCATACCGCATAAGCGAAATCATGTGCGTAAGGCTACAACTACGTACGTTGAAAGGCCACCTATATTTCTATGCAATCTTGTTGTAGCAATCATAGTATTCATTTCTGGGTGGCCATGCGGTTCTGATTACAACTAGTAAGTCCCTAAGTTTGCGAAAGATTGTGCTCACACTCTTACCTCTATACTTCTCTAGTACCTCCACTCTCTAACAAGAAGATCGAAGTAATCACTGCATACGGACAACTGCTAAGCAAACCCCACACTAATCTTCTCTCAACTTTTAACACAGCAAGAAGTCTCTTTTTTACAACACGCAAAAACTATATAAGCGAATAGGGCTACGAACGACCTCCGAACTATCGAGGGAAATTAGCCGGCTAATTTACTCTGTGTTCTTTGAGCGTCGCGGGACCTGCACCCTAAGTAATAATTCAAGAGATTGAAATTTCAAGAACGCTTACTGCAGCAGGAGCTGTTGCTACCGCTCCGATTATCGGAGTGCCACAACTACCAGAAAACTCCTTTAAGAAACGCATAGGCAGCGGCTAGCTACTTCGTCTTTTTCTTCATTACGCTCTTACTTCTTCCGCGCTGAACGGTTTGCGCCCGGTTCGAATACGTCACTTTCAGGTCACCTTCCACTCTGTGCACTCTAGCGTTTACCGCATATCCGATGGCGAGAAACAAATGCACCCCCATTGTTATCATCCTGTCAGTAAGGGAAACTTCGGGTAGCTAGAGTTGAAAAAAAAAATCAGAAACTGGATCTACTACTCAAATTCCAAATCTTCAAACTCACATCCTACTACGAAGAAGATGAACTTACTAATCGGATCTAGTAGAAGAGAACTCTTCAAAGGGTCAAGTGGTACCACTCCTGCTGTCGGACCGCTGTTTTGAATAGAGGCCAAGACGCTGCGTGGAATGCGAGTAGCCCGCAATTTGTCAGACAATGCATCGTATCGAAAGCATGCTTGACGGAAAACATCGGAGCGAATGCGGAGTACCTGGAAATAGAAACTATACATAGTAAGATTTCTGGTTTTCGAGACGAGACTTGGATTATCATCCACAAAGACGGTCATTTTCACTTCATGATTATCTTTAAAAAAACTACAACCCTTGAATGATCATCATGTCCGGAAAAAAATAGAAGAACAACTTACTAAAACTAGTAGTACCCAATAAACCAGAAGACCCCGCAGGTGTAGAAGAATGTTCCTAGTGCTGCATTTCGTGCAAGCCAAACCGCCTCAGGATAAGACTCGAGTATTCCCGGTCCGAAGACCTGCACCAAGTAATCTTCTGGGAAGAGCATCGTTTGAAGCTCTCCAAATACTTGGATCGCGAATGCGACAACGTCCCACCAATTCAACACGCCGCCCAAAAGCTTGCGCACCATTTTCGTAAAGCTTATGAGAACACGACCCTTCTTCTTTCGAAATGTAAACAACCTAGATTTGAACTTTACAGCTCATCATCTAAAGTACGAGTTCTTCAAGAACTAGAATTGTTTGTGCGAAAGTCATTGCCATGCTAGTGTTTGGAATCCCTAATGATCTAAGAAAGAAGTTACACCTACTTATATCATCCGAAAAACTAGAAGTAGAACTCATCCAAAGAAGCCCATCAATATGCATGTGTAGGTGCACTGCATTACTTAGTCGGATAATCATTAAGGTGTGCTCGTCATTGACACTTGGAGAAAGGTTTACGTTTGAGGACAGGGAAAGCGTTGCGCAGTTAACATACTTATTTAGTTAGGAGTCCTGTAATCTAAACGGTTTTGGCCTCCACGACTCCTTTTTACCGGGTGCAAGTAAGATAAATATTTTTCTTTACGTTTGTCGAGTACCGAGTTCCGCGTGCTCTATGCTTAACCACCGACGACTCTCGCACTATAATAGTGTAGTCTCTCCTTGTGGTCCCTTCTTCTTCTTCTTCTTCTTTAGGCTCATTCAACCGATTTCAAACGACAATGACAAGTCGACCGACGTGCATCTCGGTTCATGCCCTTCCGGAACACGCATTGAAGTCATAGTGTGTAACAAACGTCACAAAGTCACACAGTGAACCACCTGCCTAAGTAGAAGAGGGTTCACCTCTCCTTCACGATTGGCAGCATCGCTGATAGGTGTAGACTCCATCCCAACACTCCGCATTTCCTGTCCCTGGTGGGTTACAACATATTTCGAACGAAAATCCACCGTTCCAACACTCTGGATTTCCTCTATGTGATCCACCTGTGCTGCTAGAATGATGGTAGTCTTCATCTGATGCTGATCCTAAAATTTCTGCCGGAAAGTACTGGAGGAGCCACGCATAGTTCTGTTCTACACTACGAATCAACCGCGGGAGGTCCCGCAGGTCGTGGTTCCCTACATGCAGGAACGCAAACGAAAGCAGCCACGCAACGAGGAAGAGAATGGGTTCCCGGTAAGCAGCAAACGCTTCCTTTCCTTGCGCCCACAAATCAGCCCACGGGTTGGCTGCAACGCCGCGATCAGAAAAATTTGATGTTGTATGCTCAGGCCCCGCATTATTTGTCGCCCCATCCTCTTCCCCTGGGTACGAATCAGTTTGACCGAAAGGCCTACTCGGTGTTGAATGGCCATTAGTTCTTCCAGCTCTCTGGCCGGCTGCTGTGCCTTCGCTGGCTTCGGTCCCCGGCGAAACAAAACTGCCGTCAATTGGCGTGCCACAGTGCGATGCGCCAGCGCTGTTTCCTTCGCGACTGGTCGTCTCGGAGCTGCGGATTGTCGAGACTAAGGATTTTCTCACTTGCAAATTCCTGTCTTGACCAAGTATTTCGTCCACCGCGTCTGCTACGCAGCTCACCAAAGTTGTCTCCAATCGAGGTTCGCGGCACACTGATCCATCGACTAGTCGCGTTCGTCCCTCACAGTTGGCTGCCCGCGCGCGCTCGCTCTCTATCGCAAAAAGCATGGTCACGAATAGCGTTTCATACGTTCCGCATGGGACGTCGGCAGCTCCTCTTCCTGCACCCATGTCGTGGTGGTGGTTCTGAACCTCGAGATGATCAACAACAACCCGTGACTGCTGCAAGGTGCCTCGCGCGCCAACGCCGATCCCACAAACATTGAAATCTGGGAGGAGCATTGTCCGCCGATGACCATCTGATTCCATCCAACCTCGGACAGTAGATTCCGCGAGCGCGCTTAGCGAGTACCCATCTAATCGGGCCAAATTTTCTCCGATTCCTTCAAAAAAACCGCACTCCCCGATTCGCTCTTCGGCACCTGCATGAGAAAAGCCACGCCGCCCCCTAGCGACATCGGTTGCATGACGGAGAGCGCTGCGCACGAGCCTTACATGCAACTGCAGTGGCGCCAAGCCCGCTTCGGCCCGCACCTTGTTCACCTCAGCGACAATCCCATCACACACGCCGGGTCGTGATGACACAGGTCGCGCAAGGAAGCCGCAAACGCTCTGTTCGTCTGGAGATGTTGACGACGCTGTAGCAGCATCATCTTTACCATTGTCACCTCTAGTACAAGTTGCTCGTAGAAGTTCATCTTGTACAGAACTTCTCGACTTGTTCTTCGCGCAATCAGAGGTTGTTTGCGTGTGCTCACGAAAGAATGCCTCCTCACCTTGCGGGACAGAGAGAAGTCGCCGCTGCCGATTGCGCTCCTGCTGCAATCGTCTCCCAAAACGAAAACAAAATTGCTCAAAAGTGATTTTTCCATCTTTCACGTTCATCTGTTGCAGCATCCGCATTGCTAATCGATAGGACTCTTGGTCGACCCCATCTGTTTTCGTGTTCGCACTGGCACTGCCGTGATTTGCAGGCGAGGATATGACCCCCACCGATACAGCGCTACTGCTGCTGCTTTCTGGAGTGCCCGCTCTTGACAATTTCGCCGGATCATCATGCTGATCGTCGACCCCAAAGTAATCGCGCGATGCACTTTTTGTCTTGCGAGCAAAGAGCAAGCATGCTTCGTTCACATCGATGGTGCCGGACCCATCTATGTCAGCAGTGTCGAAGTCGCGACGCAATTCGGCAACGACTTCTGAGTCAAACCATGCGCTCACTCGCGATTCTTGTTCAGAGAAGGCAGCCATTAGCTCGTCAAGGGCCTGCTGCGATTCTACTTTCCGGAGGTCTATCTTTGTTTTTTTTCAAAATTCAGACAGTCGACGACATGGTTGCTGTCCATAGTTCAACATATATGTTATCGGAGCCGAACAATCTTGTACTTGGGATTGCGAATAGCCACGATCTCGTTTCTGTTCGCGAAAAAAACATACGGGGGCAAAACCTTCAAAAGCAGATCTGATGCCTGGGCGGCTAGTACAGCATGAAGTCTAGGAATACGGAAATCAACATGCACTGCCATTTTCATCAATGTCGAGCTAAAAATACTCCATATAATTTCTATAGATTAGTAGAACTTTCTCGGGCTCGGGCTCGGATTCCAGGACATCGACATGATGATGATGATGATGATGATGATGATGATGATATATGCAGAACTTTAGGTGGAAACGGAACGATAGGAATGAACAGGTGAACCAATACCAAACATAAATCGGAGCGCTAACCAGTAGCGAAGGACGCAAATATATGCGTCGCAATCATACAATTCTAACACAATTAAATGAGGCCGAACGGGCATCATTTGAGGATAATTAAGCGAACAATCAAGGGAGCGGCGACATATTCACGCGACAAACTGCGCTCCAAATCAATGAGAAACGACAGAACTATCGAACGCGGTGTGGAGCAGCGGCGGCGAACAAGATGGCAACGCGTTGCATGTTGCAGATTTTCACAGCTGCGAAAGTGTTCGCTTTTATTTGACTGCGGCGCGTACCTCATGAGCATTCTTAGTCCTCGCGGGCGAGTCATACATATGCTTCGACGCGCTTGCGCAACAGGCAAGAAAATCAGGCACGTCTAACGATCAACAGCGAGTGCATCAAAAATGTTGGAGTTGAGAAATAGCGCCTGGACTGTCAACATTGTACAGATTCAACAAATCGAAAAAATAGCACGAGCACACAAAGCACCAAGGGGGGGGGGGCAGCAACGCCATGGATGGATTTGAAAGAGAAGCGATGGACTAAGTATGTCGCCACGTCAGTGCGCTTCGAGTCACGTTCGGCGCGTCTTAGTCGCTCAATTACTTAACGAAACGCAAACAACTTTAAAGCCCAGACTTTTGCTCAGCTCAACCCTCCACAGATGTCCAATAAGTAGCTCAAACAGATGGGCGCACGGTGGACCCCTCTGGGCGCCTATCTAATTCGAAACTCTCAAAATTTGCGAGGCTGGCTTAAAGCCTCAACAGATAACCAGCAAAAATCTCAAACAGAATAGAGCCGCGCAGGCTCGTCCCTCAATGCAGCAGCTGCAGCATGGCTCCGCACTCGACTAGACAGCTCCCGGTCTCTTCTCTTTGACAAGCGCGGCGAACCTCTAACAGATCGCAATAAAACAGCCGCAACAGATTGGCGCTGGGTCGTGTGGACTTCTCTCCCATCGGCGTCGTGTGCACTTCTTTTACATGCTGCGCAATACCCTCAACAGAGTCGCCGCCCAATACTCTCGACAGATTTCATTCCGAGCAGAGTCAGCGCAATACCCTCAACAGACTCGCCGCCCAATACTCTCGACAGATTTCATTTCGAGCAAAGTACCTATGACGCAAATTGTGCCAACGACCTCCGCACACTGCTGAAACACTACGGCAATACCCTCAGCGGGCTATCCTCTTAACTCTCGCAAAAAGTTATCCTCTCAGCAGACTAAAAGGCCACAAATACCCTCAACGCACAGACTACGCCATGGGCGCAACTCACACGACAGAACACCCTCAACGCACCGTCTACGACGTAAATTGTGCCAACGGCCTTCGCATCTTTTGCGATTTCGAACCATTTCACAAGTTTCGCTCTAAACCGACTGCAGAACGATAGACGAAAACACGATCTAGGAAACTTTTCTCAGGATAGGAATAAACACACAGAACAGGCAAAACTGCGCACGATTTTCACAATTCGGGGCGTCGTTGATTCCTCCCGTCGCGTTTCTCTCTATCGTCGGGGTCGCTCGGTGTCAGGATAGGAATAAACACAACTAAAACGGTGACGGATGTTTATTCCTATCGCGTTACGCTCTAAAATTCTGCATATATGCCGCACGGGGCTTCACGTTAGGAATAATCTCACACGCTGCATATGTTCTTAGACTGAGACTCTCGTTCCTGTTATAATATCAGCAGAACGTCGGAGCAGGTGCACTCGCGCTCATAGTCTAACCTCGTTTACCATGTCGCTTGCGGAGTGCTAAACTCTATGTCTATCTATGAGATGGTGAGTAACAAAAACCAATTGAACCTTCTTCAGATCCAAAAGGCGAACAAATACCGTGAATCATAGTCGATGTCGAGCTCGAGGCAATGACTCGCATAGACAAAACACAACATCCATTCTTCAAGCTTGAATATATTTATCATACATGAGAATCAATGCAAAATTTTGTCTATTTTTACATGGACGTGATTGTTCCTTGCAAAGCGTGATCCACGACGTCAACAACAAGAACACTGGGATGGATAGGACTCTCTAAAGGAAAATGATAGGCACAGCTAGTTGTCGTTCAGGTGCAAATAAATCAAACTTACTTACTTCATTATGTAAAGCTGGAGCTTTATCGGTTCGAAAAAGGATGAGATGAAACTATGTAGGTGTACTAGAAGACGCGCTTTAACTACCTCAAGGTCAACAATATGTTCGAAGCACCCACAAGTTAAAGCATGACAAAACGCAGGCATGTGTTAAAAATTGGATTCGATGATCGGATCGCGCTGGTTGATGTTCTTGTTCTCAGCCCTCCTTCTATTTTTGTTTTTCCAGAACACAACTACCCAATTCTTTATAAGTCCAGTGCAGTGTTCTTGGCGCACAGGTTACTGCTTCCTCTTATGCGGATATGGATCAACTTCAACGGCAAGCAAATAACTCTTGCTCGTTTCCAAAAAATCACAAAGCCGCATTGCGAGCGCCGAAGCAAGTCCAAAGGGCCTCTTCCTGTTGCCGTTGATTCCGTAAAAACGGGTGAGATAATGAGAACGAAAGGTCGCGTAAGCACAAGAGAGACATACAAACATGGATGCCGGACAACTTCAATGGAGGTTCATTCCCCCGAAATGGGAAATGTCGTTCCCTGTTCGACCGCATGCTCTTCACGCTGTGGACGCCAACTGCGCCTCCGCAAGTTGTAACGCACTTGCTCTATATATAAGAACTTTGAAACGTGGCCGCGTGTTGCTGACGTCGCTGATCATTATTCTCCAACTGTATACAAGTAGTACACCTACTAGATTTAGTCAGCAGCGACCAAATATTTTTGTGTAGGTTGGCGTAGGCAATCAATATGCTTGATGACTGTCCCAATGATGGTCATTCATTAAAAAGGAACCAGAAGCTGAATCGAGTGCTCCTACTCGACCTCGAGTGGATCTGGATGAATTCAATTACTGAAGTTATATATAATTTCTATTTCATGATTCAGAACGAAATCGTGTTACAAAATAGACCTGCTGTTGTGATTGTCAACTGCAGAGGTTGCACTCGGATCACTTAAAACTAGTCTAGAGACGTTTTTTATTTCCTGATGCTCGCACACGAAGCAGAGGTGTTATAGAAATGTTCATCTTCTTCAACCTCCAGAATCGAAACGATGGCAGTGCTACGGGCAGCACTCACCTCCTTGCTTATGTCCCGTTGCTCTAACCCAGGCCGTGGTGACGTCTGGGTCTGTGATAGAGACCTGTAATCATTATAAAACAATGAATACATATTAGGCTCAAAAACACACCACCTCCACACTATTTACACCACGAGACGTAAAAAACAAACGCAGTCTTTAGCAGTGGCGCAACTGCATGAAATCTAGTACAAGTAGTAGAATCACGATCATGAGCGTCTTCTAGTACACCTACAAAATTGAGGTTGTAGATGAGATAAGTACTTTCCGCGCGAATCTGCCGCGTTGCATAGAAGAGAGGCGGTCTCATCGGTATTCACCTTGCGGCGTGTCTGAATGTCTGGCGCTCGTGGTCGTGGTGGAGACTTGATGGCATGCCCCGATGATATTGATGCCGGGGACGCGGTCCCCGTTTCGTCCGAGGAGCTAGGTGGCGGCTCAGAGACGAATTGTGGATCCGATCTAAAGGACGTGGATGACCTCCGTGCCGATGGACTCGTAGGCCATTCTGCAGGCAAGGTGTGGCGATCCCAAAGGGTTAGCGCTATCCATCATGATATCCATAGAACGATCTTCCCTTTTCGTGCAGCAGCATTTCGTAGTTCACATTTACTACGTCAAAATCTGGATCCAGATGCCAAATAAAAACGATGGATCACTCGTCGCCGTATTGATGTATCACCAGCAGATGAAGTCCCTTCACCTCCGTCCGCACTGGAAGCAGCCGAAGTTGCCGAATTCCATTCCTGTGCATGTCATCGCTAGCAGAAGATGTCCCTGCTGATGGTAACTCTTCTATGAAAAATGTGGAAGCTTTGCAAAAAAACACGCATTCCTTCGCTTATGCGATCGGCAACGGCAAGATATTAGCAGACAACATAATTTTTACCTATATGATCCAAAATGGTTTTTAAGCCTGCGCATGACAAGAGGAAGTCACTTGCAATTCGCTTATCATAGAGACGTCACGTTAGAAGTATGACATCGTACTTGATGTCTAGAGGTGCTAAATGGTTGACGATTACAGTGCGCGTTTGTACACAAATACCCTGTCAGCCTGGACTAGAGTGCTCGGCCTTGCAAGACACGCACGAGCTTGCAGATCCGCTCATGCTGATAAAGTTTACTTTCACACTACTCGACGCACGTGGCTCATCACCTCTTAGCTCGACTCACTCTTCACGTTGCATACGGTGTCTCCATCACACTCCTGACAAAAGTAGACCGATGAATAGGCTCCGAGTACTTTGCCTGATGGAACGCGAAAAAATTTTACACCAACCAAACTTTGAAAGCACGTGCATTATATACTTGTTTGAGAGCTGCACTCTCGGTGCTTCAGAAGAGGAGTACAAGCGCATTTTATTCGATTAAAGGAGGATGGGGATATGGATCATATCCATATGGGACTTGTTCACAACGGGCACATAATATGGAATAACTTTGTTAGAAGATGTTCTCTCCTGCAACTTTCATGTGAACTTTTCAGATAATTTCTGGGCGTCGAGAAAATGGATAATCAACATACTGCGAAAGCAAATCCGCAGGTCTCTGATGTTGGTGGTCCTTCGTCTCGTGCTCCTCTCCGCATACTCGACAACGGGGTGCAAATTCGCAGTGCCGATAAGAGTGGCCAAAGCGTAGACAACGGAAGCATTGATTTTTTTTCGCCTGTTCCTTCTTATGCTGGAAATCGCTCTGCCGGATGTCAACAGCTACCCTAAAACGTCCTTTGAATTGGTGCGTCTCGCCAACGATCACTTGATCAATGTCTTGAGCACCATCGAGGACATCGCCATCCGCCGAAGCTCTCTCATAATTCGTGGTTAGTACTTGCAACCGAATCTTATCTTTCACTTTCGGTGCAGCTGGATCTTTGGCCTGTAGTGGTTCGGGTTCCGCTGATGCGTCTTCAGCAGCTTCAATATTTTCCTTAATCATACCAGCCTCTTCCCTTTCAGATCCGTTGCCATTACTAATACCATCTTCGTAGCGAAAGGATGCGTGATAGTCCAGATAATTTCGTCCCTGTCGATCGTGTGCGTTGACACTAGCGCCACACGACAGTAAGAGCTGTATTGCAACGTCAAATATTGCGTCTTGTTCCTCTTTCTCGTCTCCGTCTTTAGTAACGCTGCGAGACTCAGCTCCATCTTCTCTCCCGCCCTCCTCGTCAACGAGGTAAAAGACCGGTGTCCGCAAGTGCCGGTCGACTGCGTTCATCAGAGCCTGCACATCAGCAGTATTGCAGGAAAGAACTACTTGAACTGTTTCGTCTGCTGCTCCTGACGCTGAAGCCCTGCGACTAGAGGCGCTGGCAGGAGCGGTGAAGAGCTGCAACATTGTGAAGGCCTGTTGGTCAAAGGGTCGCAGCATGCACACAGCGTGCAAAGGTGTTCGCGCCTCATGGTCTCTGTTCTTCATGGGGTCCGATCCTGCCGCGAGAAGTAGCCGAACCAACTCCACGTTGCGACCCCTTACAGCCAAATGCAGCGGCGACCACGACTCCTCGACGCCGTTTCGCCTTCGATGCGCACGTTGCAACGCTTTGAAATCCAATGATAATCCCGCTCGCCGATATTTATCCACTACCATACGCAAAACCCTGAGTGCCTCAGAATTTGAACGAGCCGCTGCCGCATCGTCCTCTAAAGATGGTCCTGATGAAGTTGAACTTGAACACGTAGGATTGCTTACTCCAGCAGCTGCAAGACAAGCTTCAACGGCGTGGTGCAACAAACTATTGCCCCAGCGATCGAGATGGGATATGTCTAGTGGTAGCCGCTTTTTTGTCTTCTTGGATGCCACGTCCTGTGAAGTCTTGGACCGAGAAGACGTCGACTCAAATTCGTGGTCTTCAGCCTGTTGTAATATCTTGTTCAGAAGAAACTTCACCACTGCAGAATTGCTGGCAACGACCGCGTAGAAAAAACATGACCAGTGATTGACGTCCTTTACGCCCAAAACCGCGCCGCGGGCCTCGAAGTCGCGGAAAACAGGTGCTAACGTAGTGGAACGGGCTAAAAAGTGCAACGGCGTACGTCCTGATGTATCGCACAAATTAATGTCCGCACCGAAATCCAACAAGCAGTAGATCATTTCTCTGACTCTGGTGCTCTTCGGCAACTCAATAGCGTCCGGTGAACTACCTTTACTTCTCCCTGTAAAAACTGATGAAGATGCCGCTCCACTAGTACCGTCTTCGCCGGATGTATGTCGATGCAATAAGTACAGCAACGGCGTAGTACCCCGCTCGCGCTTAGAGAATCCCCCATTAGGCGACACAGCAGCACTAAGCAGTATCCGCAAACAGTACAGGTCCCCGAACTCAATGGCATCATAGAGGAGTTCCATTTCTGTGTCCTGGTCGTCGGTGAAAATATTTTTGGAAACACCACTATCCTTCGCACTATTATCTGTCTGCCCAGTTGCGTCCTGCCGCGGTTCATCCGGAGCTTCTTGGGTACTGCCACTGCCAGTGCCATTTGGATATAGTTTTGTAATAGCAGCACTGTCCGCAGAGGCAGAGTCAAGAGCACCAGGGCTGACACTATCCGCCCAATCCACGAAGGCTGCGTACTCTCGAAGCCGTGGCTTCCGGATGAGACCACAAAGCTTGCGGTGCAGCATTTCTGCGTTCTCAGAATCTGTTGAGGACTTTATTTTTGTTTCACTTTCATCTTCCGACGTGCTGATTGTTTTATTACGCAAGTCTTCGAGGCGACGTACCATTTGAACGGCAACCGCTGAAGTTCCTCCTGCCTCGAAAAAATGAGTCCGGGCATCGACATTTTCTATTCCAAGCATCTCACGCCATAAAGCGATCAGGCGCGTTTCCGTCGGGCTTGGTCCACGAAGCCTAATCCCTCGTCTCCGCTTTGTATGCGTCGTTCTCTCCTGCTGTCCCTTTTCTCCAGTACAAAGCGGGATAACCAAGCCCCCGTCTTCTCCCACTCCAGTCTGCATTACAACTGTTGACGTCTTTCCCAAGCCCTTCTCTTGTTGTCGTGAGGATTCGTGTCGCTCTACCACGCTCCGACGGTCTACCTTCCCAGACGTGGTGAGCGGAATCGATGACAACTCCACAAATTCGTTCGGGACCATATGGCGCGGAAGTTTCTTCTCGCAGTAAGCACGCAGCACAATCGCATAGTCTACCGAATCAAGGTGTTGGGGAAAGGGAGTGCTCCCGTCTTCATTTTCCTCGCCTCCCGCACCCGAAGCTTTTGCGTAATCATCGACAACTTGCTTGCCCCGGTTTTCTGAATAAACAAATGCAACAAGCCGTGGAGTCCCACTTGCACTAGTAATGACAGCGCAAACACACGTCGTGGCGACAACCTCGATAGTGGCTTCGATCTCGCCCAATTCGACGCGGAAACCGTTCAGCTTGACCTGGCGATCCATCCGACCTTGAACACGAAACGGGAAAACGTCCTTTACGACACATGATGGAGACCCGCAGCAAAGCACAGATTCCGCGCGATCTCCACTGCGAAACCATCTCATACAATTGTCGTCAAGGTAAAACTTCCTCGCGTCCTTCTCCTCAACAGAAGACTCGTATGTCAACACAAGCGGTCCCCCTATGACTAGCTCCCCACTTGGCTCTATGCTAAATGCGATGTCGTCATGTAGCGGCTGCAAAGATTGTCTTTGTAGAAAGTGAAGGCCTCCCTCACGCATCAAGAGATTTCCTGAAACGGCCTGGTAGACCGTTGCTTCGGTCACCCCATAAATATTGTGCAATGCTTTTAATCTTGATGGTAGTGTCAGGTCCTCAGGATTCCAGGACTCGCCACCAAGCAGCAGCATCTGCAACGACGGCATTAGTTCTCTAGTACGATGTTCAGGCTCTATTATAGTCCTGTCACTTATTCCACTCTTGGAGGAAGGGTCTTGCACTCCTCTTCCATCTCCTAGTAATTTCCATAGCGCTGGCGTTGCAAGCGCATGCGTCACTTCATTAGCTTCCACTGCGTCACGCAAATTTGTCATCAGATGCGCTCGCTTCACAAGTACCAACGTTGCGCCTTGCAGCAATGTCCCAAAAACGTCAGAAACACTGGGGTCCCAAGTGACAGCGCTACAGAGCAACACGCGGTCTCCTGAACGCCGTCGCAATACCTCCGAGGCAGCGCCCCCTACTTTATTCGTATGTGTTCCCAAAGTTTGGGAACTACAGGTATGTGATCGTTGGATTCTCAGATATGAACCAAGAGCGAACTGGCTCCCTACAACTGCTTTTGGCTGCCCAGTACTCCCCGATGTGTACACCAAATACAATGGCCGCGGATCTTTCGCAGACACAAACTCTTCATCGTGCTTCCAATCACAGCCATCGGACTGAGAATCTTGAATGAATTTCCTTGCTTCTGCTAAATTCGACTCCTCCGAATCGGGGAAGGCTGAACACGAAAGCACGCGCATCTCATCCGCAGACGAACCTACAGAAACGACCACCCAATTGTGGTGCCAAGAAGTGGACTGGTCCACAGAGATGCCAGAAGATGCTTGACTTTCACTTTCCGCCGATTTAGTTGTGGTCTCATTCTCAACTTCCAGCTTCGGCTGTTCCCTTCTTGCTGCTTCCAAAGTCGTCCAATATTTGGCATCAACAACCACCGTCGAGCAGCCACGCAGCATGTAGCAAATACGCTCTGCAGGGTACGTAGGATCTACCGCAACAAAGGTTCCATTGCAGGCAGCTGCCGCCAGAAAGGCGACTGGAATCAAGGCGCCTTCGTCAGCAAGAATACCAAATCGGCAACTTCTTGGTTTCAGGAACGGCGATCCCAAGGAGGAGTAGGCGGTCGAGGACACAGACGCCCCTCCAACGTGGACCACCGCCGCTAGGCCAACAGCAAGATCCCTTACATCTCGGTAGGAGTACTCGTACTCGTTGTCAAGGACAGCAGCTGCATCTGGCGCCAGCGCAACTGCGCACTCGAATTGAGCCCATAGGGAGCGAATGGGGTCTGAGGCCATTGCTCCAGCATCGTCTTTTAGGTGAGGACATTGTCTTTCGGGGCCGCACCAGCTGCCGCCTCCCGGGACGCTTTCACTCGATGTTCCTCGTGGTATTTTTGGCGCCATGATGTTCTTTTCGTCATAATCAAGCATTAAAGCATGCTAAAATATCCGAAGAAAGGGCATGCGATGACAACCACATGTGCAGAAAAGTGCACGACAACCGAAAAATAGTTTATGGAGAGGAATATCAGAGCAAAAGATCGAGTGGATGGAGGACGGGTTGTGGTTCCAAGGAATATTGATCAAGGAAGTAGTCGTGTAGATGAGCTGTATCGAGAACAAATTGTGGAGGAAAAGTCAATTTCTACTCGAAAAAAATAGATGCATCACCACGTACATGATTGTTGATGTAAAAATTGTCAAGGCTCCACCTACTCAAATGAAATAAGACAAATGAAAATGTTGTATATTTTTGGAACACATTCAGATCTTCCTGATGATCTCGTTTTTGACTGCTTGCTGCCTTTTGGGGAGTTCTCACCGACGAAGATCTAACATGTGTACTAACCAGTGCTTTTTTGCGGGGCCCTTCCTACATCACTCTAGTTCTGTGTTTGATCTGTGTATAATTCTCCTACTCCGCATCCAGGTGCAGCTGTAAATACGTTTCGATCTCTGTTTTTACTTGTTCTCGGATCTTTTTCGTCGAGATAGGAAAATGAAGAATTTGCACTCCGCGTATAAAAGACAGAAATGGGGATCTGAACCGAAGCAGGCAAGGACTGGGCCGATTGATCTGCGTGGTACCTTTCACGCAGGGCTTTGTTGCCGCGCAGCAAAAAAATAAACTTAACGAGCTCCACCTGGGAGTGGTTGAAAAGAGCAGTGAGGTCAGCGGGATAGGCCTTTTTGAGGCAAGGGAGGCCGAGGTTGTGTCGTTAAGTGTAGCCAAGTAGTATGCTGGGTGCTGCTTTTGTTGCAAAGTCGGATTGTTCCATAGAAAGCGAGGAAGCTTCAGCCTTCAGGAACGGTATGAAAAAATATAATGCGCTGTTGCTTTGCAGGACTACAACATTCTTCTCTCGCAAACTTCGCAAACGCCGAAGCCCTTGATCTTCTTTTGTCTTCGAAGATGTTTGAGACGAAAAAGTCATGTACTCACAACGAGCTGCGGTCATGGAAGTGGCTTAGCGGAAGCCGGTCGAATCAAGACTGAAGAGACCGGTGAGAAACCTGTCCCGCGGGTAAAACGCTGCGCAAACAACCCGTTCGTCGAATTTCCGACCGTTTACTTCAGCCTGAAATCGCCGGGCTGAGGTAACATTTTGGAAATGCACAAAAATCTTCCCCACGCCGGCACTCGAATCCCCAGACAAGCCGTGTCGGTCGGGGCGTGGGATTCGAACTTCCTCCACGATACCGAAGTTCGTTGCCTCAGCATGCACCTCTCGCCGTATTGACTCGCAGTCTTTATCGTCCATAACGTCCGCCTCAAACCTGAAGTCGAGAAATATAAATGTTGAGTCCTAAAATTCCAATTTTTACCGACAGCCATCAGGTAAAATTGTAGTTGTGCAAAATGAGCATCAACAACGACTGATCGAGAAAACTAGTCGACTTGTTCATCACGGGGGCAGGGCGTAAGCTAAATCCTGAATCAACAACAACACTTCTCTTAGAATAAAAGTTAGAACTACAACAACAAACAAATGTAAAGTACACTGCATTCAACAGCTGGACGACGGCACTCGGTGTTCTGCCTGCAGAAAGGCCTGTTTGCAATCGGTGAGTCACAACAGGGTTCGCGAATAGCTTGCTGCTTACCGTGTTAAGCTGGAGGTGGGATTGAAATCGAAATCTAATAGTGGACGACCGCCATCGCATCGTGTAAAATCTCCTGAAGGCTGCTGATAATCATCCGTTCGACATTCAAGTATCATCTTGGAATAAGGCAAGCAGCATCCTGATTCTGATTGTTCAAATACAAATTCAAACTTATATCTATAAATATAATTATTTCTCGGAGTAAGTACCTTGACCGGTGCGATGACCGGCGCAGCTGTTCCACTGGGTAAGGCCAGCGGAACTGGCTGCACTCCTATCGGTGGTCTCTGCGCCATCAAATGCTGGACCTTGAGCGCCTTTTCTCCCACCACGAAACCGTTGAGGCAGTCGAAGATGAGCTCGTAGTCCATGTCCGCATCTGGTTCGTACTCCAACATCCCATATCCTTTCGATGCGCCGTCTCGGTGCACCATGAGTTCGAAATACTTGAGAGGACCAAACTGCAGAAAAAGGTCGCGGAGCTGAGACTCGGTCATGTCAACTGGCGCGTCAAAAAAGCTCAGCTTCGAGTGCTTCTTCAATTTCTGCTCTAGCTTTTCCATCACTTCAACTTCGGGATCGGGTATCCCGTACAAAACGTAGAGGGTCAGCTTGTTCATGTCGGGAGGCTTCATTTGGAAAAAATTGTCGGGGAGACGAGTGATGGGTTGATATACTGGTTTCGGGGGAGATGCCACCGTTTTCACATTCACTGCTTTATTCGTAGCTGTGAATGTGCTAGGGCTACTTGATTCCTTTTTTGGACTGACCGTCGCCGCTGCTGCTGCAACGTCCTTCGCTGGTGAGGTAGTCGAAGAGGAAGCAGGAAGAGCTCCGGCGTCTCTCTTTACCTCTTTCTTGTCGTCAGAAGCTTGCACCGCCATACCACTATCAGCTGCTGAATCGCCGGACGCGGTTGGGACGCCGTTGGCCTTGCTTGTGTCACGTTCTTGATCAGGCGGTCGTGGATTCGCCGAGTCGCGGTGAAGGACCGGATCGCTAGTTCCATCTCTAGCTCCCTCAACAACAGCGGTCCCGCTCTGGTCCTTTCCTACTGGACTCTCGTCCGCCTTTTCTCCAGAGGCCGACTTTGCTGGAGAAGGCGATGCGCCATCAACTGGAATACTACGGCTCGGCGACATAGGAGCAGCGGCACCATTGTGAAATGGATTGTTTCCATTTACGACTACAGGTGCAGCGGCCTTCGGAAGCAAGCCTGATGGCTGTTGCGCAGACGATGAGGACGCACTGCTCGTGCCAACCTGCACGCCACTTTGGTGTGTAGTACTATTTTTCTGATTTTCTGCCTCCTCAGCAGCGGCGGCCGCTTCCGCTCTCTGCCTCTCTTCTTCCTCTTTCGCTGCCTGTTCTTCCTCAAAAGTCTTTTTTCGCTTCGCGTTCTCCTCTGCGACTTTCTGCACATAAAAAGAGGAACTGTAAAAGCCAACCGGACGCATCACCCGGATCGAACAGCCCTCGTACTCCAGACCGTTCAAATTCAAGCCCACCTGAGTACCTTCAAAGGAGCGGAAATACAGCTTGGCGTGCGCTGAGCCCTTCAAAAAGTCCACCTCGCAATCATACACGGGCTTGAAGTTATGCGCAGCCTGCGGCAGAGATTCCTGGATCATCTGCAGCTTCGTGACTGCGAGTATGAACCTGAAATTGATGGACAACCGCAGTATTGATCAGTTCGTTGAGCTTGAGAGGCATAGATGTGGAACGGGCGAAATTCACCATTTAACCACAACTTTGGTGAGGATGGGTAGCTAGAAAATACTTGACAGCAAACTGCTCGCAAAAAAAATCATGCCGATAGTATAGACAAAATTGCATCTATCGAGAAAGAACAGGATATTGATATATATTTTATTATAAGTGATAACCAACAGCATCAAGTGAATACGTGTTGACGAATGTCATCAGCTGGTTCGCTTTCGTTGTTGGGCTTAGGTTCTGCACTATTAGTGTCCTTGATTTCAGCTCATCCTCAGTAAAGAGAGGGCGCTGCATCCAACAGCTAGCGACGTATCCAGCGCGCGCACCTGCCTGACCTGCCGCAACTGGCACTGCCCCTTTTCCACCTGGGACACCGGCGCCAGCCACGACTCCGTTGCTGACGACAGGAGTATTCGGATGCACCCCCGGATGTACTACCACGCCACCGCTTGGCTGCACGACTCCACCACTTACACCTACCGCTGTTCCGGGTCCGGCTAGTGCGCCGTTTGGCAACATGACGCCGACTTGCCCTGTCGTGCTTGCAAGGGCCAAGTCTCCGGGGTTCGCCTGTACAGTTCCCCCAGCAGGAAGCGTGGCAAACCCCATCGCTACCGCGGAAGACGTCGTGCTCACAGTCGCATCCGAACGCATGATATTGCCACCGTGATCTGCGGTCACAAACCCTTTTCGCACCGTGGGATCGCTGTAACCAACTTTATCCCAATTGCTCGCTTTCTGCTTCTTCGAACCATCGCCTTCTGCAGAGAATGGAGAGAGGAAACAAAAAAATGCCTTTTACTCACCAATCAATCATAATCAATCACATTTATTTTACAGTTTAGTGAGGAATCAAAAAGAGTGACGGTCTCTACTTCTATATCTAGTCCTATAGTGATCATTCTTGATACGTATTTGAGGTGGTGCAGATATCAAATGGATAGGCATAAGAGGGAGGCATTTTCCGGGGATAATCGACCAGTGGGGAGTTAGTTCTCTTGGAACGACTTAATTGTGAAGGAATGTTCTACTTAAACTTATTGGCATCAAACAAGTTGAGTGGCCAAGAGTTTCATACATCTCGTCCACTTTTTTTGGCACCGCGATCGCTACTTTTCGCCGAGTCTTTGCTCTCCTTCTTCTTCGCCCGGGACCTAGACCTCTCTCGCTTCTGTCGCTCCCGACTGCGACTCTTTTTCCGGTCTGTGGCGTCCTTCGTTTTCCGTGTTCTGCTCCGAGACCTTCGTCTCTCTCGCGACCGGCTCTTGGACCCATCTTTCTTCGGTTTTCGCTCGTCTTCCTTTTTTCTCGTGCGACTTCTTGAGCGTTTTCTGTCGCGGTCGCCCATGTTGCTCGGTCTACCACTAGCCACAACAATAGAAATCTAGTCCACGACTACAGTAGTTCTAGTTCTAAGCAGTGCTCGTACCTGGTGGTCCTACTAGAACTAGAAATAGAGGTAGAGTGCGCGACCCTCTAGCACAAAGAAGTCTTGATTCTCTATGTCTTTTCGACCACCAGACGCTATGGTTCGAAATGGTCCCTGTGCATCACAGGATCTAAAAACATGGCTCAAGGACTCATCACATGACAAAAAAGCAAGAAGCATTGCTGACCTGGATTGGTTCAACATGGTACATGATTGATTGGGATTGATGAAAATGTCACCACTTCATAAAAACCACATTGCACTCATGCAAATCTGTTACACAAATTTTTGAACAAATCCAAGAGCGAAGAACCACGAATACAACAAACATTCACATTGATGTTTAATGTTGATCATGAATTCTGGGGAGCATGATGGAACATAAAAGAGCAACGAAAGCAGAAGGACCTTCACGGCATGTCCAAAGCTGTTTGATCAATTGTGCCAAGAACCTTGATGTTTCCATTTCAGCTACTAGGCGGGCAGCGCTCGCGATTGGAATTCCAGCTCTAGGACAAAGATTCCGGCAATTATGGGGATTTGCAAAGTGGTATCCAGAACATAAAGAGAAGAAATTTCAGTATATGCACAATTCCGAGGTAGACACTTATCGTATTCGTCGAGATCATGTTGACGCTCAAGTTTCTCCTTAAGATTAAGACTAAGAGTCGTCTGGCATGCGATTTTTTGCTGCGGCCATGGCTCCAGAACGTCTGGGCTTCGGAGACATTGCAACATTGCAGTTCCTTTTTGCAAGATTCAAATTTCCATGAGCAGGAAGGAAGATGAGGGTTGCTCACAGGGTCAGGGTCAATGCATACTACCCATGACTTATACCCAATATTTCACAATCCAATGACTCTGTCGTGCCCATCACTAGACCAAAAAATACACGAACAATAGGTGGTCCATCGCCAAAATGTATCCGTACAGTGCAGACACAGTGGACGTCGCATCGATCTTGCTTCGATCAGTCTAATAGAATATTCAACGTCAACTCGTCCTCGTTGCTTTTCTTGTATGCTTTCGTCACTGGTGCTTTCTTCATGTTGTCTTGTATCACAATGTCTCTTCTTAACATCGAGAGTGGCACAGGCTGTTTCAGGGTTCGTTAATTATGAAGACGCAGCATCGACACCATGGATCCAAAAATGACTTGGGACGGCATGGAGACAGAACGATATTATCTCGGTCGAAATAACACTTTTATATAGTAACAGAAAACTTTACATCTATGAACATTGAAACGCGGCTGGGTAATACGCTACTTTTGCCTGCATGAGCAAGCCGTGCTCTCATCGAGAAAAGAGATGGTCTATTACATTGATTCCGCCTACCAGTCGTCGTACTTAGACCAGCGAACAACAAGTAGTACATTCATGATAAAGATAAAGCTAAAACAAGAAATCAGCTGCAAATTCGGGGACATCTATCGTGAAAGCGCGTTTGCAGAGGTGCTGCGAGTACCCGATGACAATATGTGCTTCATTGTGTCCCTTGACTTTCAGGACGCAGTTCCAACCGGCATCGCAACAGTATCATTGAAATGAAGGTGATCTACATCTTCTAGTATGCCTTCTCATGTAGTCGCTATCTCTCTGCTTTTTGCATTAACTACAGTCGCTGTTCATTTCGATTATATATAATGAGATATACCTAGGACTTTTCAAAGTCAAAATTTCTAGAGGGAGTGGAACTGTAAAGAAGACCACTGACAGAGTCTATTGCCGCTGCAGCTAACGCATCCACTTGTGCCTTCTAAGTTGTGTTCGAATATATATTTATCATTACTTTTATACTTGCGTCGTAGCAGCGTCCTAACAACTAACTAAGTGGCTATGATCATGAAAAATGCCAAATATCTCTTTGGTGCTTGTCAATCTGGAAAAAAGTTCATTTTTATGAATATCTATCCTATCGATATGGCCATGCAAAACGTCAATCATCGCCGTTGGCACGACAGCAGAAAAAAAAGGAGATCACACGGGATAATTAAAACGTTGTCAATAGTCGAAATTTGAAGACTTCTTCATTGCAACTCAGGATTTTTGTGCAACATTTCCTAGAGTTCAACATGCGATTGATTCTTGTACTCCATCTTTGATCTTCATGAATCTGCTTCAACTAGGTAACTTGGATATTATTGATGGCATACTTCCGGCTATCCGTTTCTGCTACAGTGAAATGGTTCTATTATCTGTTTCTCTTCATGTTGTCTGTAGTCTGATGATGATGTCTCAATTTAAATTAGAAATGGCATTGAAGATCTGTGAACTATTACTGAGACTGAGACTGTGATTGTGTTTTCTTGGTAAGTACTAGTAGTCATGAATCCTGTCTGGTAAACAATCAATCTATTTCTAGGCGAGAAAAGAACTGCATGTAAATGTCGTTCTCTTCATCGTGACGTTCTGTTGAAACTGAGCTCTGGCAAGAACTCGGGGGGCGGCATCCGCGCGCGGCAGCGGTCCACCGCCATATCATGAGCCAAAGCGCGAATATCCTCACGTCGATTCCTGCGTCCGCCGTTTTTGGGATAAATGCGGCTGAAATCGAATTTGGGAGCCATGTCCAGCGACACCTCGGCCCAGTTGTCCGGACCCCGCGGAAAGGCGTGCTTCCCTGCTAGCATTCGCGGTCGTGGCGCGTTCTTTTCCTGCAAGGATTGGGTCTCCTGAAGTATCGAAAGCGACGAGCCATGTGCTGAAACATACCCGACACGCGGCTTTGCGCTTTGTTCGTCACGCACTTGCTTCTCCAAGGAATCGAGACCCGCAGACAGCGGATTGATCTTCAGCAATTGAGTGGCACTTGCGGACTGGTTCGTGTTTGGCCCTGTACTTCTCTTCCGCCCATTTCTCGTCGTACTAGAGGACGTTGCATTTAGCTGTTGCGACCCGGCTGGAGACGGACCCTTTGAACTAGCTGCATCGCCCTCCGTCACTACCACACCATAATTCCCTCTGCGAAGGTGTCGAGCGGTTGGGTTCTCCGCCTCGGTGTAGACTGTAGAGGAGATTGTGCCGTCACCCCCGCCTCGTCCGGGCGATGTTATTTCCTTGTTCTGCACCCAGTCTTTCGTGGCTTCCACGCTTGCGGTACTCCTCTTTTTCACAGGTGATACTGCCGGCGCACTCTCTGGTCTGCCCAGTATACATATTTTCTCTGATAACTCCATACTGCTAGGCCGTGAGGGCGCTTGCAGGAGTGTGCTTGTTGTCAGTTGCTTGCTTGAGTCTGTCAAATCGCCAGAGCCTCCCATATGCTCGTCAAGAAGCCGAGTGGCTGCGGTCGCTTCCCTCGCGGCTGGGGCTGCGGTCACAGTTTCGTCGCCTCTAATGGCAGCACTAAGATCGCGCTCAGCCACGCCCTCAGTCTCAGGTCGCTTACCTCTTCCTGCCTCACTCGATGCTCCTTCCGCAGCACCCTCATGCTTCGAGCGGGCGCTTGAGGGGCCACCTGCGACTTGCGTTGCACCTGCCGATTTCTGCCTGTCCGGATGCCTATTCGCAGACAGGGATCCACGACGGCCTCTGCTTCGCCCTGACGAAACAGCGCGGGTCGGCGGACGCGCTGCGCCTGCGCTCTTGGGATGCTGCCCGACCCCTGCTCCAGTTGCCCCACCGCGCATCACCGATAGGTAAATGCTATTTGTCGCCATCGCCGCCTCCATGCTACTTCCCATCTCCATGCTACCGCTAGCTTCTCCTTCTTTCGCCCGATGCGCCCCAGTGGATATCGTGGCTCGCCGACCGTGGATCTCCCCCCACATCCCGAGCCAGTCTTCTACAAAACTAGAGCTCTGCAGACCAAATTTGAACTGGTCCTGGTACTTTTCGTTGCCCAGAAAAGGTGCAACCTGCGTATGCCGAAAAAACTCCTGCGGTCTTCGCACGTGCATCCACTGCGAAGTGCCGGTGCTGAAGGGATTCTCCACTAAATGCAGACTCTCCGTCTCGTGGACGCGCTGCGTCTGCAGGTGCTTCGGCTTTGCCTTTTTTGCGACGGGTCGAACTACGACATGAAAGGGAGAGAGAGTCAGAAAATCAAAATCTCCGACTACATCAAATTAATACAATCTCTGTTCTCTGTGGCCACTAATTCTCGTATACTCTCTCGCAGTATGAAACAGTTTGAGTCATCTATGATCCTAGCTAGCCGTCTCTCTAAAGCTACGAGAAGCGAGTCGATTATAGGTGGACGTGGCTCATTTTGGTGGTTACGTTCATAACCTGGCTGTTCGTCGTAGTAAGAAGGCATGTGGCGGAACTTGCCGATCCCGAACTGCCTGAGTCGCCGCCGTTGGGGGCTTCCTTTACCCGGTTTCAGCATGATTCTCTCATCCTGAGAAGGGTCGTGATTTCTTGCTTTCGCCCCTGCGGGCCGTGGTCCACCTTCCAAACTCACAGATGAGGATGTCGCTCCACCAGTGGGACCAAGATCTCTTCTAGTGATTCCTAGTTGCGGTGTATGAATCAAAGAACTGTTCTTCTGAGTTTGCGCCAGTGTACTGGGGCCACGCGAACCCCGGTCTTCATGGAGATCTTGCGTAGTGATAATTGGGCCTCCGGCGTCAGCGCTTTCCGTCCCGCTGCATGTAGTCTCGGTCTTCTTACTGCCGAAGTAGTAGAAGGGCTGGATGCGGAAATCATCCACAGGCGAATTAAGACCAATGCAACGGGGCGGCGAAAGCGCGCGCGTTACCCCGGCGCAGTACATACGTGAGCGAATGAATTTCCGTTCGGGAGCTGTAATCGGTCTCGGTGGGGCTGGTGTCACCAAAAGGGCGTTCAGAATTGACGGCTCGTTTGTCATCTTCGACGACCTATGCTCCGTCGCTGGCCGCCTTATCGACAAAAGCGCACCTGCCTTCTTGTCTTCCTCGGTATTCTTGAAGGAAATCTCTGCCCAAGACTGTGGAACAACTTTGTTCGTATACACACCTCGCACCTCGCGAGCGGCGTGTTCACGTTGTCGCCGTTGTATATCATTCACCATCTCTCGCGTCCACTCCCGCTCGTGCACGTGTGAGTACATTCCGTCGTCCCCTGCACTCTCTGCCGTTGGCTTCAGCTTCGGTGCCGACAACGCCGCGGCGTCCGGCAACGCTATGGCTGGGTTAAAGAGAAAGATTGGAATTCAGAGAGACATGGACCATGGAAAAAACTTGCCCTCCTCAGTGACATTAGTGTCCTAGTGCATGCAACCACTCGATCCTATTACAGAAGAACTATGTATTATGTGTAGTACTCTCATCTTCCCCTTGGCTATCGGGGCGCAGGACGTGGTTGCAAAGTGGTAACTCGTCCTTGTTCTTGCAAAAAAACAGCTCCATTTCGCGCTTTTTCTGTTTCTTCCCGGGTGCCGAGGACGTCGCTGGCCCGTCGCCGACTTTAACTCCCCCAGCAGCCCGCTCTAGAATAGCGGAGACTCGTGGTGGTGCGGCCACCGCTGCGCTCGCTTCGGGATCCGGTTGGGAGCTAGGTTTGTGACCTCCGGTCCGAGCTTGGTGCTGTGCAAAAAATTCGGGATTCGTCATTAATGTAGAATGCCGGTTTGGTTGCTCATCCGAGTCCCAAGCGTCGAGGAAGCCTAACTCCTGATACCTGCATGAATCATAGAGGCCATTGAAGTCACCACCATCCTTTCTTGTTCTAGATTTTCGACATCGAAGTACCCTCTCACTTAATTGGCTTGTTGCTGTAGATCGAAGTATTGTTGGTACTGGTCTATCCGACTACGATAGGTACGAAAGAAAGCCACGGTAAACTCCTACTTTACCTTACGCAACTTCGACTAGGGACGTAGTTTCCTTGCGGAACTACACGAGTTGCAAACTTTGACAGCGTGGCACTCGCTGAAACAGCCTGCAGAAGTTGCGTCGCGGCGTCTCGCTGCGGATTTGATGCGCTTTCATCGGTCTCTGTTGTTCCAGTACCCGCGGTAATGAAAGGGTATGCCGATAGACGAGCCTCCAGCCTCTACCTCTGGGTCTACGTACAAAAAACTAGGGGTTAGTTTGAGCAGATTATGTACACATACTTAGACAATAGACTGCCATGCCGTCTTACTATCTGATGAAGTTCTCGACACTCATTCTGTTGTTTCGTAAAAAAGTACAACATTGACATTCACATTGATTTAGATTCGCTGTGAAGAGCATAAATTGCATGTGGTGGTGATTCATGCCAGGCGAAATCACCTTGATGAGCAGGGAAAGGTCGTCGTCTGAAAATCCTGGCCATCGCTTGCACGCGGTGCGAAATATTGTGAAGGACATGTCTCCATCGCCACCTAAATCCAGCGCCGAAAATGTCTGGTGAACTGACCCCCAGTGTCGCTTGCACCAGTCACGAAATTTCGTCAATACGTCAGAGGCAACTACATCTACCTCGTCCATAGATATCGTTCCGTCCCGTGATTCGTCCAAATAGACCCAAGCTGACGCAATCACGCGCTCGATATCGCCTGGAAAAAGTCACATACGGCAAGGAAGGTTATGCTTGGTTCTTCACAATGAATGGAAGCCCATTTGATCCAAGAACAATTAACGCAAACTTTTTTCATGTATATCTGATCACGAAGTCTAGTTAGAGAAACACTGTTACTATCGGAGTATCGCCCCGTTCGCGCGAGCACTCTTCCCGCTTCTCGCTCAAAGGCGTCCCAACCCACGCGATTGAGGCCTTGCCGGTCAAAGTTGTGGAGCCAATACAGCAAAAAGTTCCCTTGACATTCTGTTGAGGTATCCTTCTCCTCAATGAGGGCTTGGATCATCTGCCATGCTCTAGCAGAGCCCCGTGCAGTCAGGTAGCGTGGTGGCTGCCAGCGATCGAGCCACTCAAAGTCCCGCTGGGAAACGGCGTGTGATGGCGATTCACAAAGCGTCAAGGCCCGCACTAAATATCGACAAAACTTAGCACCGAACCTGTCGAATTGTCAGAGAGGTGGAGAAGGAGGAACTGCTATCCTGCTTCTCTGATCTGACCATTAATATGACGAGGCTGTTTAATATTAGAGCAAGGATAAATAAATCAAATAGAGGATACTGCCAAAACCAGTAGATTGAGATGTTTCCCAGATGTAGTGAGTACGCGTGCTTGTGTGGTATCCGCCTGTTGAGAAACCAAATCATGTCCTTTGCGGCTATAAGATCGTATCCCGTGCCGCCCCCACCCATAGCACGAGGATGATCCGAAACTGGCTCCGGGAAAAAACTGTACTTCGACGGAGACAAATCCAGATCAAGTTCGATATCGGACCTGCCAGCGGGGGATGTCTGTGCCCGCGGCGCCAACTTCGGTGTGGTAAGCCCGACAGTGTCTGGAGCCAGTCTATTTCGCAATGGAGCTTTACTCGAAATCGGCGAATCCATATCAGAATAGAAATCGTCGACGTTGGCGCAAACATCCCCCGAAGTGTCGCGCGGGAGCCTTTTTCGTTTTTTCTTTCCAATTCCCGGGGACCATCGCTCGATAGTCCCACCTGCATCTTGGTCGACGGACCTAGTTCCATTGCTAGATGAATTGTCACTCTTGGTATTTGGTGGAGGAAGTTGAAGTTTCCCTGACGAGGATGCGCTGCTCTGGGCGGGACCTGTACCAGCAGCTCCGACGTCCTCCGCTTCGTAAAACAAAACAGACGGTCCTTTCGTGGTTTCATTACGGCTCTCTTCTCCACTCGGTGGCGAATCACCACGAGCTTGTACGTACTCTACCTGCCCAGCTCCTGTACCATCGTCCAGTGGCAGCCTGAAGCGGCTCCTTGCCTCCCGGTCTAGCACTGCATGCCAGGACGCCATCTCCGTATCCCTTTTTGCCTGCGCATCTCGCATAGCGGCTCGCGTCAAAGTATGCACTTCATCTTCTGTTGTGGAGCTCGAGTCGTGAGGAACGATCGAGTCACCTCCTGAAAATTAGATGCGTGTTTCTCTTCTGACCTTACTAGTTTAAAGGATGTAAATGCGTCCTTTGTAGATGAGCATGCATTATTTGACAACAACAAGGAAGACTCGCTCATGTTAAAAAGCAGTTGCCTCGACATCATTCTGATGTCGCGATGTAGAACCACAATCAAGAGCCGCATAAATGTTTTGTTTGCTTTCGGACACGGTCGTACCAGCGTCACCTGAACCGTCTTGATTTTCCGTTCTCTCATTGGTCTCCTTCACCACAAAAATGGGAGCCGTACCAGAAGGAGTGGACCCTTCGTAGGGCCCTAGGTTACCCAGTGCATTGTGAAGCCGCTTGGACTGGTCTCGGTTGAACTTCACACGCTCTCGCACGCGTGCTGGATCCGCCGGTGAAGAAACAGCGGCACCCGATGGCTGCCAGCGGGTAGGACTTCTGACCGGTGAAACTGACAAAGGACTGACCTGCGACAGCGGGGTGCCTGGTTTCCTGTGATGCTAGTACGACAGTGGGACGACTGATTTCATCTAGCTGCATGCATAATATGCAACAGATTCGACTAGAAACCATGACGAAGATCACAATGTGAAAAATAGAAGGCATACAAGCGCAGACAAAACATCACTTTTAACATCAAAAGCTCTTCACCCACCCAAGAATCTGGTCATAACGTAAAAATCAGATGAATGGAAAATACGAGTTAAGCGGTGATGCGACGAGATCTTTCCTTCTGGCATATCGCGAGTCCATGTGCTTTACCTCTGGGCTTTGCCCTAGATTCACTTCGTCATACACCGTCTTCCGCATGACCTTGTTTGAGCACGATCAGAAAGTAAAACGAGACGAACAGAAAGCGTGAAATTTTCTTTATCATACATAAGTCAACTTGTAGGACAAGAAAATCACAGACAATTTGCAGAACAGTTGTTCGTACCCGAAAAAAAGTCGCACACGAGCCGTACGTCGTGACACACCATAATCGAAATTCGGACAACACAATGGAAGCTTTGAAATCGAACTCTTGAATGTCAAAAACACCACTAAAATCGCTATCCAGGCTACTCCACAGAGTCTCCAAGCGAAAAGGAAAGTCGATACTCCGCAAAAACTTTCCCATGTCGGATTTCGTGACGCTGTAGCCGCCATGCGGCGCGAGGTATTGCCGCCACGCGCGAACGAGCGGCCACCTCTGACGGCTCAGCCGTTGCAAGTGCCAATAAAATTCTCGCTCCGCACGCTGTGTCTGCACACGGGCAACGAGTATGCGCTCAATACGAGCCCGGCGCTCCTCGTCTGCTGACATGCGATCCCGATCCGCGGCAGCCTTCGAGCTCTTGCCGCCAGAGACGGGTGTCTTTGGGGCCGCGGCGGGTTCTCCTCGTCCTGCGCCACCGTTTCCTTCTCCAGCGTTGGATTGGGTGTGTCCTGGCACTTGCTGCGCTCCATCACCGGACGCTCCCCCAAGAACAGCTGCGCTCCCAGATCTGTCGGTGGCAGCTGTTTCCGTCAAGTGAAACGGAATGGCACGGTCATAGTAAAGCAGCTCCAAGGGCTGCATTTCCTCGATAGTGACGAACCCCTTTCGATTGCAGTCCAGAATCTCGTATAACCAGCACAACTGTCGAAATTTCTCAAGCGGCGATTTCCCTGGAATGTCCCGCCCGTAGCCAGCTGCCAGAGCCAACGCCGCGAACTCCTGTTCCGTAATGTAGTCCGTCAGCTGCATGATCATCGGTAGGGGAATGAATTCTTCCTCCGCGTCTTCGGGGAGAAAATTGTTCACTGCCATATCAACTTCCTCCTCGGCGTAGAGACTATACGGAAAACCTTCCCCAAGCACACCGTGAAAAAGATCGCGCTCAGGCAAGTAGTGTGCTATGCGTCGCGTTGTCAGACCGCCTGGATCCATCCCAGCCTTGAGCCCCTCCTCTTCACTCATCTCATTATAGTCTTCCCGCAGTGCCTGATTCTGCTCAAGATCAACTCGTTCAATACTCCAGCCACCTCCAGCGGAGGATGCTGCAGACGATCGTCGGCTACTGCGACTTGATTTGGTATTTTCAACCCCAGACGACACGGTGTGCCTCCCGTCCAGTTGTGCTGCTTGAGCAGCCACACTTGTTTCTGGACCAATGACCCCGCCCGCTCCTCCAGTCTGAGGATCAGCGTCGACGCCGGATGTAATTGGATTTACCGACACTGATTGTGATTGTGAAGCACTCGTCCCGTCAGCAGTCTGGCCAGCAACACTATCTCCAGGTGTCAGCATGCGCTGCTGTTGCTGCACCACGGTCATGCGCCGTCGCACTGCAGCTGGCAGGAGTTGCTCAGAACTACGAAACTTCACGTCCCACGTCTCTGCGGCACGCGGCGACTTTTCACCGGACGAGGTGCTGAGTGACATACGCGGCTTACCCTGCGCAACACTGGCTCTTGAAGTGCCACCTGCTCCTATGCTGCTTACCGTGCCTCCGATCGAATGGCTTTGCATCCGATTATTGGTAGCACCATCCGAGGCGACGGCGGCGGCATTCTCGGTCTTCAGCAGCTCCGCGCCGTCCGCTGCGACAACATCTCTCAGAAGGTGATCCTCATCAAGCTCACTATCTCGCGATCGTCTTCGATGGTCGCCGGCATTTGAGGACACCGCGCTCATCGTAGAATCCACGCTATTTTTGCTGCCTGCTCGGCGAAAGAAATTATTCATGCCTGAGTTACCTGCGTATTCACCAGCGCCAACAGGCGCCTCGTCAAAAGTAGCATCTCCCGTGTACTTCGACCGCCGCCACGCTTCAGCTTGTGTGTGCAAGCGCATATAGTACACTGGTTGATTGGTTTTCAGTCCCAGCTTTCGAAATCCCGGGGCCATCTGAGCCCGCAGCTGCTTCTTCTGCGCAACTAACTGCTGGAAAAATGCAAAGAAGGTTGAAAATTCCCTGTTGATCCACACGCGAAAGCAGTGGAACAGCCGAAAACCCCTTTCATCCACGTATTTGAACCAGAGGGTCGTTCGACCGCTCTTCGCATCCGCGTTGAACATATCGTGATTGTTGTACATCAATTCTAACGTTGCAGTTGCACGATCCTTCGACCGACCCGACACGCCACCACTGTCGGATGGAGTCGCAAAACCTCGACCACGAGCTCCTGCTGAAGCAGCAGACGCTTGAAGATTTCCGTCTGCTCCATTATTTTCCTGCGACGTCTCTCGTTCTCCTTCGTTTTGAATTTGATGTCCTGCTAACAAAGAACTCAGCGCAGCTCCGGTACCGCTCATCTCATATAAAGAAGACATCGTGCCTCCCATCTCGCTGTCCGAGAATTTTGGGCGTATCAGGGTCTGCGCCATGGTTGAGGACCTGAGCATGGCGATCTGACTCTCCTCATCCAGCATCGCCCGCCGACGCGCTTGCTTCTTGCGCAGCCGGCGGTATCCCTCAAGGTCCTTCGAATACTCATCCTGACCCTCGACGAAGAGCTCCACACAATCACCCTCATATCCGATCTTCTGACTTGCGAGGCAAAAATCGCGGAAACTTACCTGTCGTGAAGCAATCAGTTGGAAGAAGAAAGTGCTTAGGGAATGGCTCGAAACTCAGTTTGAAGTAAGTAGGCAGAGGCAAATTGATACAAGAAACCAGGGCCGCCCCTTGGGCGACCCCTCCTCGATAACAGCACAGCCACAGGCACAGAGTAGAAACTTAAGAAAAAACAAAAAAAAAAACGACTGAGGCACGGAGCGCCCGCCCCTTGGCGGCTGCCGTCGAGATGATGGAGAAGAACAAAGACCGAAGCAGCCCACGCAACCCAGAACCCTTGCGCGCGGAATCAATTAAGCACGCCACGCCAATGAGGCAAGCCCGGCGGGCATGCGCGCGCGGGGGCGGAGGTGTTGCCAATGCCGTAGGGGGCGCTCGACGTCAGTGAGCCCTCCCAAGCCCGCGCGCCCTGCTCGTCTTCGCTGGTCCCGCCCAGCTTGCCCAGGCAGTTTGGATTGCCAGCTTTGGCCGCTCAGGCCTCTCCGGTCTGGGCTGCCCGCGTTCTCGCCTGGGGCTAGCTGTTCTCGGGTTTGTTCTTTGGCTCAACGAGCGGGGGCTGCCCATCGGTCCCACCTCGGCCCCCAAAATGCCCCACGACCTCCCCAAGCGCAGCGCGATCGACCTCCCCAAACACAGCGGGCGCGACCCCCTAAGCACAGCGCGGCCCCAAGCTACAACGTGGCCACGCAAGCGCAGCGCGCCCCCCAGGCCCCAAGCAACACACGAAGCACCAAATACACCACAGCCCCACAAACTTACTAACACACCACGACCACCAAGAAGAGAGGCACACCATGACCCTCCAGGCAACCCACTACGGCCCCCAGAACACAACACGAGCGCGAACATGGGGCACAGCATGACACCGCGCGCAAATTATGACAGACAGCCAGCCCCCAAAAGACAAAGCAAGCAACCCCGCAGACAGCACGTCGCCCCTGAGTTGTGACCTGATCCACCCCCTTCGAAAAAAAATGCATAGAATAAGAGGCACCACGACCCCCCGAGGCACCCCCTGGCGACCCCAAGGGCACTGCATGGCAAAGGCAAAGCATATAATTATAACTGAGCACGGCCCCAAAGAAGTGGCATGACCCCCAGAACAAGTGGCGACCGCCATAACATAACTGACTAAGACCTCTCGGCCTGACATCATAAGGCCCGCCCCACATGACCACGCACCAAAGCGCAGCCGCCTGGCCACCAAAACGCAGCACGACCCCAAAAGAACAACGCCAAGCCTACCAGGGGCCACCGTGACCCCCCTCAGCGAACTCATTGCGACCAAACAGACGCAGCACGCGACGACACTGAAAAAAGCCAAGTCACAAAGGGAGAAGAAAAAGCCTGGCCCCCCTTCTAAGGCCACAACGTGACCCCCAAAGAGCAGCGCGCAGCCCCCGGAGCACCACGTGCACACGCCGCGCGGCCTTCTAAACCCACTGCAAAACACAACCCGCCCCGCCGCCCCAGCCCCAGCGTGCACATGCTGTCCAAAACATTGCGAGCGTGCCCCTCTGGGAAAGAATTGGCCACCCTGCACAGGCAGCACCCTCCCACCACCGCCGAGCACCACCCAAGCAAGATCCCAGGCACAAAGTGACCCACGAGACACAGACCACGACAGACCCCCAGCGCATCACCATCGACCCCCCGAAAAATGCCACGCCATGACCTGCCAGAAGCATCTACACGAGCACGATCCCATAGGAATGTGGCACACGCATGCCAAGACCCCCGCAACACCGCGCAGCCTCGAGACACTCCGCGACCCTTAGGCAAGCACTGCCGCCAGCATGAACGCCAAGGCCCTCGCTCGATGACCCCTAAGCCCAAGGCGCGCCGCGATCCTTGAAAACCACCGCGGCCAGATATTCACAAGCACACACCGCGCGCCCCCAAAGAAACGAAAAAAAGCACAACCCAAGGCGAAACATGGACGGCGACCCCCTGAACACACCACGACGACCACCAAAGCGCGCCGAGCTTCCCCCAAGCCACTACGCTCGACCCACCAAACACGCCGCGCGCGGCCACTCAGGTACCGCAAGGCGCCTCAGTAGAAACGCAGCCGCCCCTCGAAGACACTGCGCTGCAGTGTCTAAAACATAACGCGGCCCCGCAATATCCGCACGACCCCGAGCACGCCCCATAGTCATGCATCCCGCCAAGCTCCCCGCGATCTTCCTCCAGACACACACCCCCCCCCGCACTCCGCGACCCCTCAGACCCGCCGGAAAAGAGCCAGCCCCCCAAGCACAGCGCAGCCTAATGGACAGACACCATTGCTTCCGCCAAGCGCCATGACCCCCCCCGACAAGCCGCGGATAGCAACCAAGAGCAAGACACAACAAAACCCACCAGGCACCGAGTGACCTGCTAGAGCGCCGCAGCGCAACCCCCCAGGGAAGCGCTGCACAGTCCAAAAAGCAAAGCCAGACCCCCCGAGCAAACACAGCCCGAACCCTTGGGCATTATATAGCCCCTCCAGCACAGCATAACCCCCGAGGGAACACAGCGCGACCCCCCGGGCATGAGGCGGCCCCAGACACTCTACGACCCGCCAGGCACACCATGACCCCCCAGACGCACCACGACCCCCCGGCACATGCCACGACCAAAAAGGCACAGCGCGACCCCTTAAACGCCGAGCGACCCCCGCAAACACACCACGAACGACCACCCCAGACACACCACACCCCCCGGCCCCCGCGAGACCCCGATCGACGCCGCGACCTCTAAACACACACCGGCCCCCCGACGCATGTCAAGACCCCCAAGCGACGCCGTGGGTGACCAGTAAGGCGAATAATGGCGCCCCAAACGCTGAGCGACCCCCCCAACACACCACGAACTACCCCGAACACCGAACGACGCCCCGACCTCTAAACGCACCACAGCCCCCCAAACTCACAACGGCTTAGCCTCCCCGCGCAACACAGCCCGACCCCTGAGGCGCAGCTTGACTAAAGCCGAACCCCATGGAGCAGCGTGAGCAATAAACCCCCGAAAAGGACACAACAAGACCCCCCAGGCACCGCATGACCACACCCCCCCCCCAAACAACACACAGCCAGAACCCGGGGGCACCGCATGAGCAAGCCCCACAGCTACAGCATGGCCCCACAAAGACAAAACAAAGACGCCACCGCCCCAGAAAGATGGGGAGCAGCGTGGCCCCCCGAAGAAACAAACGCGCACGGCGCGAGCCCGGCAATTTGGCTGTTTCTCTTTCTCATATGGATGCAGCCAGGCAGCGTTTTCAAAATAAGACCAAGAGGACCCCCGACCGCGCGGGCCTTAGTATCAAGAAGCCCGCGGAGCTTGAGAGGGCGCCGCCCATCGCCTGCCAGACTTTCTTGGGGTTTTTCTCAGAGAGATACCACGGGGCCAGCCTTGAAAGCTGGCACCTTTTCCCTGCGGCTTCCTCCTCACGTTGTCGGCTGTGACCGGGCGCAGGGGGCCTGAGGGGGTTGCCCGGGTGGAAGTTGGGCGCCGCGTTTCTATCTTGGCGAGATTGCTCACCCGCAGACTTCTCCGGTCGCACTCCCCTCGAGGGGTGCCCGGATCCGCGAGGAGCTAGCCGCGCGCCTACAGCTATGGCCTCGCACCCGCGTGGCTGGCTCTTACTTTCGGCGCTTTTTCGGCTTTCCTTCGCGAAAATCATCAAGCAGGCGCGAAGGTGTAAAAGCGTTGCCAGCAGGTTGGCCTTAAGGTACCTCGCTCGCAGCCTCCGAACGCACACGCCCAGGAAGGAGCTGCGAGATACTAAGCCCCCTAGTGTGGTGTTGGTGTTTCTGCAGTTTTCGCCGAGGCTCTCAAGCGTCGCCGCGTCTGATCTGCCGCGGAAGTTGGGAGGGGGGTTTCGCAGGGGTTGGACAGGCACAGGGGTTGGGGAGGGGTTGGACAGGGGTAGGCCCCGCTACCCCCCCTGCCCCCCCCGACTATCTCTCAAGAAACCCGGCCAAGATTCTGCTGACCATTTGAACAGGCACAAGGATCGGGCGGGGTAGGCCCTCCCCTACCCCCCGCCCCCCTTAGGGCCCCCCCTTCTCCCCCCAACAATCCCTCAAAAAACCCGGCCGAGACTCTTTTGGCCATTCTTACTGTTTGGACAGGCACAGGGGTCGGGCAGGGGTTGGACAGGGGGTAGGCCCCCCTACCCCCCCCCGCCCCCCCTTTCCCCCTCGACAATCCCCCAAAAAACCTCTCGAGACTCTTTTGGCCAGTATTACTCTTTTAATCATGTCTTCATGATTATACCTCTGTACCCGTGACTCGTCCACCTAGACCTGACACATTGCTCGACGATGAAAGTTACATTTACATTCGCATCACCTAGAAATGCCAACGAGCTAGAGTATCATTTTTGTTACCCTAAGATGTAAGCTCGGATCAAAGGTATTCCGCCAAGCTCGTAGGGTGTTGGCGTCCTGGCTTCGCAAGATCTCCTTCAGTTCTCGCAAAGACTTGCAGGAGCCATCAGCCTTCGAATTACTCAGAGCGGCCGGAGACATCCTAGTGGTGTCGTTCCTCTTCGTTCTCGAGAAGGATCGGAATAGTGTTCCTGTGTAGGCAAGTTGAGGACACTCATGAGTTTCTCGCGGGGTTCATTCGTGCAGCTTGTGCTATCAAGTAGCGTAGATGGCTGACACGCTCACGCCAATCGCAAAAAGATCTTATCCCGTGGGTGTGGCAATGGGTTCGCGTGTTGCGCTTGCGTGTCGTCGATATTGAAGTTGATGCTCGTGCAAATCTGAATTGCTCAAAACTTAGAGCTACTCACTGCCTACGCATCGTTGAGCTGCTGTTCAATAAACCTCATTCTGCAAAGGGGCCCTCGCTAACACTCTAGTTCAAGCCTTTTTTTCAAGAAGGTTCTAGAATAAATGCATTTGTCATGTTTGCAAGTATACTTATCCGTACGCACTTTGTTGCATTTTCGGCTTGGGGTTCTTGTCATGTAAATTTCATAACCACAGATCCAGACATTTCAGCGTACACGACTTTCGTTCGCTCTTACAGAATAAACCACCATGAAATACACCTCTACCTTACGTAGGTGAACAGGGATCAAAACTGATTCAACCGAGTTTCCCTACAACTGAAAAGACTAAGCCACTCTTACAACTGAAAAGATTAAGTCACTTTTCAGCAATGCTAGCGTGCGTTTTAAATTTTTTTTTGTGGCCTACTTGTCTACAAGTGCGCAAGCATTTACTTGCGTGACTTGAATCGGGGTCGTGGCCCGGACTTACGAATTCAAAGAGAAGACAGGGGCGGGGCCTGTCTTGTAGAAAATCTAGCGCGGGCTTGCAAAGCCACCTCTCTATGCGTATATAAACTGTGATGGATCAATGAGAAGAACACTAACAAAACATTATCTAAAAATAACAACCACAAACTCACGCTAAATTGGTGAAAGGATCGACAGGGCTTGGGCTAAATGAATAAAAAACACCAATAAGATCACGTATGGATCTTGCTGCGGGATGACGTCAACGTGATCCCAGCAGCCAAAAGTGTAAGACGATACTTGAAATTCTTCTGCCGTCCGTCAAAAACTATATATGTACCAGGGAGGGAGTCCCCCTCCCCCCCCCTGTGGATGGATCTGGGGTGGACCACGCCAGAGGGGTCCAGCCTTGCCACCTTATTGGCCAGGCCTGTCGAGGGGCTGCCGGGCGGGAAGGCCTCAAAGCGCCCACTTCTGACCCCTTCCCGCTTCTTGCATGTACCCTACAGACCTGGCAAAGGCAGGGCCCCGCTGGCTTGTTGCATGTACCCGACAGACCTGGCAAAGGCCGGGCCCCGCTGCCTTGTTGCATGTATCCACCGACCCGGCAAAGGGGGCAAAGGCAGGGCCCCGCTGCCTTGTTGCGTGTACCCTACAGACCTGGCAAAGGGGGCAAAGGCAGGGCCCCGCTGCCTTGTTGCGTGTACCCTACAGACCTGGCACAGGTGGCAAAGTCCGGGCCCCGCCCCCTTGGCGTAGGGTTGGGCACACGCAACACGACAAGAGGGCCCAGCCTTTGCCAGGTCTGTAGCGTACATGCAAGAAGCGGGAAGGGGTCAGAAGTGGGCGCTTTGAGGCCTTCCCCCCCGGCAGCCCCTCGAAAAGAGGGGCCGGGGCGGGGAGGCCCCCCCCCTTCAAAAAGTTAGATCGGGAGTGACGTGGGGGGTGGCTTGATGACCCGCGATCGCGGCTCACTGAGCCGCGAGTGCCCTAAGGGGCAGGCTAACCACCTACGCAACTAAAGAATGAAACTCCTTCTAGCTCTATGCTATACGGGTTATATACTTCTCCTATAACCTTCTTCTTCTATATCTACTATACTTTTGGTGGGAGGGATCTATCAACAAGGGATCCTCGTGTTCGGGCGCACGACAAAGGGATGAAGGCGGCTCGCGTACCGCAGGACGCTTGCACGGGTAGGCGCTGGCCCGTGGCAACGACAACGGCCAGGGGCTCTAGCTCGGGAAAGGGCTTCCCACGAGAAGAACACCCACTACGGCGACACACGGGCCCATTGGCGGCTGCTCGCGGAAAGACATGGACCGTCAGACGGACACCAAAAGGCCTGCAGCTTCTCCCCAGGTTCGCTTGGGTGCTCGCGGCTCGCGGCTCGCGGTTAAGGGCTCGCGGCTCGCTTCGCTCGCGGGTCACGACCCGCGCCCGCGCCGAGTGAGGGGGGGGCCTCCCGCCCTGAGCCCTGGGACTTATATAAATGATGACATATGTTAGGCGTTTGTTGAAATCAAATAATTCCGAGGAGCATCTTTTTCCCTATTTTAACCTTGCTTAATTACCGGCAAAGGTCGAGCGCTAAGGCCATCACTACCAGGCTCTTTCTTTGGCTAATGATTTCGCGCTCTTCTTGGTCTTGTTTTCCAGTATTACTCCCCAGCTGCTGCCTGTCCTCCCGCCGCTGCTTTAATATTTTCCATATCGGATCGGATCACTTGGCTGATCTTGCCTCTTATTCTGTACACGATTTGCTTGCCTCGGCAGTCCTGCTGTAGATTCACTGGAGACTTGATAACCCGAGCCGGGTAGTCAGTTGCTGCCTCTCTCACAGCGATGCCGTAGATACGAGTCTGACACTTGTCTGCCGCAATTTCTGGCGCCGCTACCTGGTCAGACGACTGCAAGGCGAGCCCGTTTTCAGTCTCTAGTTGGAAGCTCTCTGAGGATTTTCGTCGACAAAACAGATCGCCCCCTTTTTGTATTTGCAAAAAGCTGCCCAGATGTCCAGGCCTGCGGGCGTTGACCATATTAACCGTAGCTACTAGAAGCTCTGAGTCAGTTTTCTTTGGTTTTTCGCTTACTTAGCCTACATTTTCAATTACAGAACCGACCTCTTACGCCGCAATCACTCCACTGATAGTTTGCACTTCATGAAAATTCGTGTAGCACAGACCCACAGTTGAACCGACAGTCTGGTCCTTCGCCAAACCTCCCGAACAAGCGGTCATCGCCTGACCTGCATTCCCCATTCCGTGCTTCCTCCAAATGCACACAGAAACGACGGAAAATGCCGTCGATCTTCACAGCTTCAGGCTCAATACGATTTTTGTGTCTCAGCGTTTATTTCTTCATTCAACATTGACAATCTTCTAATTGCTGAACAACATTCTCAACTTACAAGTAATGGTAATAGTTCTATATGAAGTTTGTTAGACTTAAGGAATGCATTCTCGTCATTGTTACTCATCTTATTTACCTAGTGGGCAAAATGGGGAAAGTCAAGAGTTCTGTACAAAAGGAGTCAATTTACAAGGAAAAAACCTTAACCGCCTTTTTCCATCTCAACATCTAACCTAGTTCGATCTATGTGTGTCATGCTTGTTATTCTGACTTGATCGTAAACGTAAATCACTGTCTCTGAAAAGCAATTTTGGTTATCGTCGGAAAATCACTGGAGACATATTTATAAGTGTGGCTACTAAAAACTTCCTTCATGATAAAATCGCGATAAGCATGCTATGAAGGATTTTATTGTGCCTCTTGTTCCTCGGCTCCAACAAAATCTTCGCCTGTGCAATGGTACAGCTCAGTATTCCAGCGACGAGATTCAAATTAATCATGCTGATATATAATTATACTACATTGCGACAACTGACAACTCTAATCTGCTTTTTTCCTGATAAAATAAATGCTGCATTTTTCCACTAGCTAAATACAAAGAAATCATATTTGGCCTGAATAAATATTGACATGGAAAAACGAACTGAAATACACGTAAATATCGATACGGCTGAGAACAAGTATTCATTTGATATCTGACGCGATGCGCTGCTACATGAATGTATTACGAGAAATAAAAAAATATGATTGCATGAAGAGATAGACCGCACTTAGAGAAAGAGGAAAAACGAACCAGTTGTATTATTTAGTGCGTTAAGCGTCGCTGGACCTAGACCTTCGCCTTTTTTCAAAGACAAAAGCCAATCAAGATTTGCAGCACACCTCTTACCTTAAGAGGGAAAAATTTTAACGTCCTGTTATGGAAGGTGGTTATTTACTTAGATTTTCAGATGTTTTCATGTTAAAAAGCGCCTATAGAAAAGCCACTTTTTTTACTCACTTGATCATGTTTTTTTACTCATTTTTTCACGTACTCTCCCAGAGGCAACAACTACAGAAGTTATTCTTTATCCACTCAAACCAGAAATAAAAAAATATTATCTATCATTAGACTATTACTTACGCATGTTCAACTGACTCTGACTACTTCTAAACCCAGCTACCTAGCTGAGTTGATGTTGATATAGGAATTACGTGAACGAAGTTGGATCACACGCATGATTCGAACTCGCAAACTTTTTGGTTAGAGCACAAAGTCTGTCCACGTAAGTTTTGATCTTTGTGCCAAAGGGCTGCTTCCTCCACCGCCGAACCACGAAGTGGCAAAGGAATTTCCTCCACCGACAGACCTTCCGCGGATAACTGGCAGGAGGATTCCGGTATTTACGTCAAAGAAGTTGCAATGGACAACGAGTCGAAGGCATATCCAAAGCGCCGTCACCAACATCAGAGGACTAGTAGTCGGGAAGAGGCAGGCCAGGATACGCTCGAATCCAGATTCAGTGCGGTTCATACGTTGGAGACCGAAATGAAGGAGCATCAAACCGCTGAGGAACTCAGCGCGATGGAGAAAAGCAAAAACCTTCATCGGAATCTTCTCATTGTTCACATCCAAAGCATAGGCGCCACCAACGTAATGGGATAAGAACAAGTTCACACCTGACGGGAATATAATCGGAAATTGGAGCAAGCGAAAAATAATAATAATGGGATGAACTTGGTGAAGTAGAAATTACGTCGATCGACAACAAATCTGCTGTAAACATTATCGTCCTGTGTGTACTGCATCGGTGTAAAGATGTACTACTGCAATAGTGTAAAGAAGTAATCGTTCGAGTACCACTAAGCGCGATCATCCACAGCCCAGCTCCTGCTAGTCGCTTTCCCTGAATTGGCGCACTGTAAGTGTTTCGTAGCATTGAGTACGAAAGCACAAACGCGGCTACACCTGGTAACCATGTCGCTAGTGCTGATATGACATAGATCCAACACCTGAAACCTAACGACCTCGGCTGCTTTGGAAGATCGGGAAACATCTCTGCCCAAGCGGGTAGCGCTAACGCGTCGCCGCTTCCAATCAGAATCATCTGCTTCTGCACTAAGCTTCCAAGAAGTAACCTGTAAAAATTTAGAAAATCAATGTAGTTAGATGTAGGGGAATGGAAATCGAACTTAGGGAGAAAATAGCCTTCCATTGTCCTTTCATGACAGGTTCTGACTTCTCGATCATAATCACTTTCACTAGGTGCACTACATTTATTCACCATTTGAATCTTCAATCATCAGCAAGAAGAGGAATACCCGTGGAGTGACAGGCTATGTCAAACTATAACTAAATCTATAACTCTGAATAATGTATGATGTACGAGAGTGGCAGCGCAAAGCTGGCGAGTACTACGACGGCGTTACGAAAGCCGCTTTGCATGTCGGCCCGCTCCCAGAGCCACCCAATGAGATAGAGAAAGCACGCGGAAAAAATATCTTGCCACGCTGAGGCTGCTCCCAATTGAAAAGTGTCTAAAGCCGAGAGGCCCCTCGATCCGCTGCTGCTCCTTGTCGAGCTATAAAATTGCACCTCCATCGCTAGGGTCCACAGCAGCACGGACCAGGGCATTAATGAGTCGCCAAGTCGCTGCAGCCATCGACCGCACCGCCTAACATCCTCGGGACCAAACTCCACGCTAAATACGGAGCTTGAGCTAGATCCAGCCGTTAGCTTCGGAAGCATGCCTGCAAGCGACGCAGCGATCGCACTCCGAAGTGATCGTGGGAGGGCTGCAACGACTTGCCTGGTAGCCTTGTGCAGTGACCTAACTTCCTTCGAGCTCGTGAAGTGTGACGACAGTTGCTCGCCATCGACTACGACAACACCAGTCACCTGCTTCCAAAACTGCGTGTACACTGCCACAAAAGTCACGGTTGAGAAGTACACAAGCAAGGTTCCGAATGCTGCCCCAGCTGGCGTAGTTGCAGCAGCGCTACCTGCTGATTCCGCTGCACTCACAGCGCCCGCGAACTTCGCATATTGTCTAGGAAAGGTGTCCGCGAAGAGCGCTAGAGCACCCGGGAGCACGCGTGGTCCTGTAAGCACTGCGAGGACACCCAAATGTGCGATAAGAGAAACGCGGACTGCGTGTGTCCACGACAAAATGACGTGCATCGGGAAGTGTACTGCGTTAATGAGGACACAAATAAAGGATACCAAACTACGGATGCCTACGTGCGCAATCGGAAAGTTCTCTTCAACCTGTACAGTCAGCCGTCCCTGACCAAATGTGCTCACACGGAAACTATTTCCGCCTCCTCGTGTAGTAGAATTCCGAAGCAGCAGGTTTGTGTCGCCCCTAGACGGAAGTCGTAAGGTGACAAATCGATCCGGCTCTTCACGAATGGAGCGCACTGCAGCTTCAATTCGAGTCGTTTCCCGGACCTTGAGCCCGGTGGTCATAGCCCGTGACACGGCGACACTGCGGCTCTCCCGCACTCGCCTCATCATCTCCCTTGGCGAGGCCGCTTGGTTTGCTACTGGATCTACCGTTGGGCGCGACGCTCTAAAACTCTGATCCATGCCAGTAATAACATCATTCGACATCGCGGAAATCCTGTCTCCCTGGCTTCTCATCACGAGCCCTTGGTCCACGCGGTCCTGCCGCAGCAGTTCCTCTGCGATTACAGTCTGATACGCGGCCTTTTGCATACCATTCAAGGACAACTCATCCGCGAACTGCGTTACCAAGTAGTCTCGCATCCTCAAGTAATCAGCCTTGCTACGCGGCCCATCCACTGCGCCTGCCATCTCCTCCTCCTCAGCCCCGACTTGCTGTGTGAGTGAAGAAAAGCGAAGAGCACCAACTCCGGGGAAGATCGAAGCAGCGACGTTGCGACTTGGGCTCGGCGCAATCGTTGGCGACCCGCGGCGTGCATCGTCATCGTAAGCTACGCTAGCGGTACCTGCCAAGGAGGTGGCAATCGTATCGCGAACGTACCCCATTCCCGCATCCACAACCAGATTGGGATCGAGCACCCGTTGGCTGTAATCGCGACCATGAATATGGCTTCTCACGCTATCCGAAGAAGACGTCGTCGATAGACTGGGAACAGTGGTTAGCGTGGTCTTGACGGGCGGGATGTTCTTTGAAGACGAGTCAAAATCTTGTGCCGACTGTCCAGAGCTATCAACTTTGTAAGGAAGTGATGCACTCACTGCGGCTGTGTGCAGCGGCGAGTCTACAAAGGATTCGATGGCAATGGGCGCACCGCGCGAACCACGAGAAAACTGCGAAGCCGACCTCTGGCTAGTTTTGTTTTCTACCTCGACAGCGGACGCTCGAAGTTCTACGTCTTCAGTTGCCTGAATCGACGGCGCAGACGGACCGCTTGACCCTGCCGTGGCCGCCCCGAGAAGCAAGTTGTCATCAATTAACAGCGTCCCAAGCAATTCGTCGGTTTGCCCCGCACTAGTGCCATCGGCTTTGGCCTTTACTTTGGCACGCTTATTTCTATTTTGTCTCTTCCTTTTGCCTCGTCCTCCTTGCTCGTGGAAGGGGTTTGCAGCCGCTTCTCCCTCCGCTACGGCACGCGGCCTTTTCTGCGGTGAGTCAGCACGTTTATCTACTTCGGGAGACGAGTCCTCTTCTTCGTCGTCGTCCTCGTCGTCGTCACTCGATCGCTTCCGCGCTGAGAGGCTCAATCGCTCCAGCTCCTCTTTGATGATGGTTTTCACGCGCTCCTCAGGACCTAGTACAACAGCCTCTTCCATATCGACATGACGCCCACGTTTGCTTTTTCTAATCTTTTCTTGTGTAGAATGCAGACCCGCGTGTGATTCGAGACTAGAATTGCCGTCCAAGACCAGTCGCTCGTCGTTCTTCTGCATTGACGCTGCGGCTTCGTTTTCCAGTCTGGTCAACAGCGAACCAGTGTTCGTGCCCATCGGAGACGATACCGAAACCGACGTACGTGCCGTGACCATAGGTGACAGGAAGCCGGGACCATTACTCATAGTGCTCTTGCTCGGAAAAGCTCCGAACAAGATGTCAGGCGCAACAGTGCCCTTGCTGGTAGACGGCTTGCTAGGTGGTCGCCCAAATGCATGTGGGGTTTCCGATGACCGTCGCCGAAAATCCTCATGGGAGTGGTGCTCTTTTCCGTGGCTGAATCGCTGAGCGAGCTTTTGTTTATGCACGTGTGGCTTGTGTGCCTTTGGGTTCTTGCCTCCGAGCAGACAGGTCTTCAGTTTCTGCTTGTGGTACGCCTTCTTGTGTACGCCGTCGGAGGACTCGGATTCGGACGAGTCGACGTCCGGCAACGTCACAATGCCTCCAGCGGTGTTCTTGGAGCCTCCTCCCGCACGTGTGACGAAATCTGTCCCCGAGAGAGCCATAGCCGTCTGCCCAAGCCCATCGCCAGCCTCCATGGCCTCACCTTCGCCTCGACGACGCTGAACGCTTCCCAGAGAGCTGCGTGCGGTCACGTCACCTGTTATCGACCCGTTACCTCCGTCCGCGTTGAGTGCTAGCGACAGAAGATGTCTGCCGACATCGTGTCCGTGATAGTGGATTTTCTCCATCCCGAACGGGGCATCGATTGTTCCGAACTTTTGCGATCCACGGTTGATCTGCTTGAGGCTTCCATTTTCCATGGGCGAGTCAAGCTCTCTGCCGGGAAACGTCTCCGGAGAATCGTCTTCTTGGTTGGCATTGTCGTCGTCTTTGGCAGACTTTGACGTCATGATTGGTGATCCTCTAGGACTGCTTCCCGTCATATCCTCTGCCTTTTTTGCCGCTCCTTTTTTTTTCTTGTTGTTGCTTGCTTTCTTGTTGTTGCTTGCTTTCGCCTTTGCCGCTGGTTTCTGTTTCGCGACGGCATGTTCTATCTGCGCGACTTTGTTGGCCACTGCACCTGAACTCTTCGGAGATAGCGGCGGCTCATCTTCTTTGTTCGTATCCTCCGGAACGTCCGTGACCTTTTCACCACGCGGTGACGCTAGTCTCATGGCCGCTGGTGCCATGCTGCTTTTCACATCTTTACCGGCAGGTGTCGTCGGCCCGGGACCGACGTCTTCCGCTTTTGCAGATTTTTTCGATGCCACGCTGCGTGGCGCCTCTGGAGGTTCCGACAATCCCGAAAATAGTTCCTCTGACTTCGATTCATTAGCGCTTGCTCTTACCATGCTTGCGCGTATGCTGTCGTCTTCAAGGATACCTGCGAGCATACTGTCTGCGGACCTATAAGCGTAATTGTTTGCGTTGAAAGCGGGCTCACTCATCGTTGGTTGTATTGTAAGCTGAGACCGCAAAGGAGCGTGTTTACCACTTGTCGCTGTGCTGGTGTTCGTCTTGCCTGAAGAGGACATGCCAAATGCTCCTGGATTCGAGTTCTTCATTTCGTTCAGATTGAGGGGCGGCACCAGATGCTGCTTGCCCGCTCGCTCCGGTTCTACGGTTGCAAGGACCACGGATCCTCCATCGGATTCGCGCAGATCAAATCGCCCTGCTTTATTTGCTCTCTTGGCACCCCCTTGAAACGAATCAGAAATGAGATCCACATCATCGTCTTCAACCGTGATCCTTTCACCTTGTGCGGCCACAGGTGTGATACTAGTACCAAGCTGGCCAGCTTTCAGATCCATTTCTTCAACATAATTTGTCTCTGCCTGAGCAGGAGGCTTGGGCTTGCTGGTAGTACTTACAATGTCCTCCTGTTGCGCAAGAATGATTGTGGATTGCTTCGCTCGTTGCTTGGCAGCCTGCACGATCTGCGCAGCAGTTTGGCGGTCGGCAAGGATGCGATGCGCACGGACACTTGCGGCAGTCCAGACCATAACCAAAATAACCTGGAGGAGCATGGTCAGCGGCAGCAAGTCTGCTGTGCCACTCGGTGCGGCCGTCGGTGCAAAAACGACACGCGAAATCGTCACCAACGTGGGCAAATATTTGTCAAGAAATAACGAACTGCTCAAAACGTGCCAAAGCAATGCTCCTAGCACGTAGGAAATTACCAAAGCAACAAAAACGTGAGCCTGGAAGAAGAGAAGGAGAAAATCTTCGATAGCACACTGCAGTCCGTAACCGAGTTTGAACAATTCCGCCAAGATAATTGCATCAGGCGAAACGGGAGCTTTGTCTACAATGCTCGTGATCCCTTGTCCCGCCGTCGAGGTTCGCAACTTCGAGGTGCTCATCCTGCGGCCGAGGAAGAACTCGCTCAGAAACATGGCTTCGCGCGATTCCCCAATCTTTTCTGGCAGGCGATTTTGTTCAGCCCACTGCGTAAACAGCGCTACCTCTGGTATGATAATCTCCGGGATGACGATCAGATAAAACGCGAACGAAGAGCCGGCGATCCTTGGTAGGTCGTAGCTGCCAGCCATGCCAACGTAGAGGGTCAGAGTTCCTGTCAGCAAACTGCCCATTCGAAGCAACTTCAGCAGTGATGACGACGCGGAAGACAGTCCGTACGCACGAAAAACACCGATGAAAATCTGATGGTCATCCAATTCGAGGAGAGTCATTCTCAGTTATTACCGATTAAAATCGTCTAAATAGAATCAAACACATGCTCAAGACGGATGACGAAGCTTATTACGCAGAAATCACTTCAATTCTTTCATGATCATCATCATGTTCATGATAGATCTTCATCTCATCCACAGAAATACGCGATACTCTATGTTGATCTACACAACGCTAAAGAACTTGTAGAAGTACCTGGACTGCGGCAAAATATTGCAAGTTTGCAAATAGGATGCTTTCCTCGGCTGACGAGGCGAAGGTAGGTCCACGCGGGTTCACCAGTTCCAGTGTGTTGACAAGCGTAATGGAATTCCATGCATCGGCGACATATGGAACCAACGGGAGTGGAAGGACAGACTGTTGCAGTGGTTCAATAATCCTTTAACTTTCAGTCTAATTTTTCGACAAGATTGTAAATTGACGCAATCTACCAAACGTAGTTGTGGGATGTAATACTGCTTGCGGCTTCTAATGGATGCAGGTACTTCATCTATCAAGAAAGATGAAGAGATTCGAGTGACAGAGCAGAAACACTGGTGTTCACAAAATCTAGTATCATGACCACGAGAATTCTTATTTTTAGTACCTCAATGACTGAGTGTCCCAGGTAAGGTCCCACTGCGGTTCCGAAGCTTTCTTTTGCCGCTTGTATAGGACCTGGAAGCCGGGAGTACATAGCATTGACGACCGCTGTTCCATCGTATAGCCCACCGCGAGGCAGCAGTGTGTAAATCAAAGCCGGTTGCAATAGAAACAGGCTGAAAAACAAGTTCAGAGCCAAAGACAGCAGCTCCAACATGGCAACCAACTGCGGCATGCCAGGCGGGAAGAAAGACCTCGGCTTGTTCGGGTCTGCGGGAGATCCATCAGCGTTCGTCCAGCCTTCCGGATCCTCATCGTCATCGGCGTCGCCGTCTTCGTCACCTAAGAAAAGCGTGTAGCTAGGGAGGTAGCGCGAGGCAGTGCTGACTCTGTGGACACGCAATTCCCGAGGAGGAGGAAGTCCTGATCCGTCCATCATGGTATGACGGCCAGTCGTCACACTTCCCAACTTCCGAAAAAAACCTGAACCCTCCGTCATTATCTTTGTCTTTATTTAGCAACTTCAATACAAGAAAACCATTATGATGTCAGTGCGATTGGTGAGGTCGAAGGCGTCCAAGAGGTGGAATCAGAATGACCTTTTGAAGAATCTAGAGAGTACAAGGAAAATCAAAGGAGGTAGGAACAAATTGGGTGTTGTAGCTAACAAGTTGAATAGCTTGGAGCAGGATCAGGAAGTCGAAAATGAAGTATTCATCCGAATTATGTCGAGCAAATTGAACTGCGGAATGAGATTGAGAAAAATCAGAATCATACTGAATCAATGAGACACAATTCAATCACACAGAAGGCTCACGCGAAGGCAGACAAGCCCTATCTTGCAAACGCTCTCGCTCTTCAGTGAGATGTGTCTCGTCCAGAATTTTTGTTCGCTCATTTCCTCCAGACAGATGCATGAATCTCAAGGAAACTCTCAGCCGCCTCAAACAGAATGTGTGTCTCTGAACCAGAAATATTGTGCGTGGGTGATGCTTCTCACATCTTCAAGAATAGCATCCTCTCTTTCTCTCTCGCATACAGATCAATTTTCAGATGTCGGGTTCTCTCCCTCACTCGACCGAACTCGCTGGAACTTACTACGTGTAAAGCATACTTCCAATCTTCATTCTCAGATTGCTCTGCCATCAACTAGCGGGTTTCACAACTGCTAGGAGACGACTCATCCATCTGAGGCTGTGCTTGTTGTGCACAGATGAAGTTTTACACGACTTTCTTACCCTTCTTTTGCTTTCTTTTGGATTCATCGTCGAGCTATAGTCACGGATTCATTCCAAGATACAAAGTTAAGCCGAAGGAAGTAATATCCTAGCTGGTGAATTGCAGTTCCGGTAACAACAGTTTAATCATCCTCTACATCTATATTTTTTGGAGTCCTATTTTGACATTTTATGCGCTTTCAAAACTCCAGTTTTCGTTTTCCTCACTTTTTCTAATATTAATTTGTTGTGGTAGTTTGAGTTCCTTGTGTCGTGTTGAAAGAACCATTATGCGAAATCGTTTTCCCTGGCAGTCTCTTCTCACACATCAAAGTTAATTCTATACAAAGCTCCATTTACACCCTGTACAACAATACATCGACTACATTGTAATATGTCCCCCATCTTATCTGTTCATCAGTCATTTACGTGCATCGTCAAAACATCAAATTTCGCTAGTTGTCGGATGGCTACCATCCATCAATTTTGAGTATTTTCATCGTCGATTGTTGCGTTTTTTCCACTATCGTTTGTCGTACTTGTTGTAACGTAGGTATTCCTCATCAGATTTGTAATGTAATTCGAAATTTTCTTGTCAGTTGCGATTGTCGTAATGCGAAGTCACTTGAAGTCTAAGTTAGTCGCTTTCTTTTTAAACACAATTGCAGTTCTTATGGTTGCGCTAGAAGTGGATAGTTAAACTCTAGTTCTTTTTGTTTCCTACTAGTTCCGTCTGTGGTCGATTCGAGTCCTTAAGTTTGTCTTGGCTATCACGCTATTCTCATCCTGTGACCGCGAATATGTCACCACGCTCACATCTAATCCAACAACTGTTCTCACGTTACGCTACAGCGTGAGTGAGTACTTAACCAAAGACACTCTGCATAGAGATGTTGGTGCTTTCTGGGGCACCATACTTGCGGAGCAGCGTGATGATCTCTTGATCAACCAAGCAGCCCATCTTCTGGAGCTCGTCAGGGCTGTAGGAACCCCCAAGTCCAGCACCCTCTGCCTCTAGATGCGCTTTCAGCTTGGCCGCAACACGCGTCACATCAGCCAACGGAAACCTGTATTTAAAGAAGTGAGACGCGATAAACGTGCAGAACAGACACTAACTGAACTGTCTGACCAAAGTCTTGATATAGTAAAGAACATTTCAGGTTTACTTCAGGAAGAGCTTCTTCGTTCTCCTAGTAGGAGACCTACGTATTGATAATCCGAAGAAGAACTTCGGGAAATTTAACAACCAGCAGTACTCTTCCGGCTTGCTCTCCATGTAGGAGAGAGTGTACTCGTCCGGTCGCAACAATCGGAAGGCTACGCTTGATACCGTAACCGTGTTGCCGACGAACAGGTCGGTGCACTTGTACCTGCAGCAGTTACAGTTGTTAGTGAACAAATGAAAGCAGAAATGGCAGGTAAAACGGATTTGTGTATTTGACAGACAACTGTCTGCTTTTCGGGGACTAAACGTAACTTTCTCTTGTTTCCACATCATCCTGATTCTTCATCCGTGACGCCAAAAAATCTAAGTCGTCCTACCATTCTCCAGTGACCGGATTCTTTTTTCGACCTTTCTCCGAAAATTTTCCCTCCATAAATCCACTATTCCGTCTCTTCATTTCGTATACAGTAATATTGTCGTCACCTGATGATCGGGGTCGATTTTTATTCGAACCATACTGGTTGCCGTTTTACTCTCTTTCAAAAAAATCCAAAACATTGAATATACTGTATTGGTATTCAATTCATTCATTCATTCATTCACGCTGCCACCAGCATCTTTTTTTTTTTTGGGACCTGGGTCTATATTCCTCGCAATACGGTAGTAGCTAAGTACAAAGAAAACAAAAAAGGTTGATAGATACCCAGCGCATAAGCAATGATGAATTTTCTGTCGGTATCTTCCGGATACACGGGGATAGCGATTTCTGCCTCGAATCGGAGGATCATATCTGCCTTTGTCATCTTCTTCATCAAATCCTGTTTTGGCGGCTTCGGCCACAATGCAAAACAACCTGCATTTGTCGGGCAAAGCAGAGTGTAGGGAACTGAATCCATAGTCGTCGTAACACACAAGAAAAAACTAAATCGATGTAAGTAAGTCTCGACGGAGAATCATGATTCACTCAAACAAGAACAAGCTGCTAAAAGCTGCTTGTAGGTATGTAAGTTTACTTCCCAAAGAGTCCTCCTCGGTTCCGACGCCGACATGTGGCGGGATTGGCATATCCACACGGTAATTGGGTGGTTGTGGGATTTCGATGGAACCTTGTTCCTTGTTGTGCCACTTTTTGTAGAATTCCCTGGTGTAGGGATCGCAATCGTAGATGAACAAGTCGCGGCCGAACACGGACACGGTGCCGCCAACTTCGAGGTCCATCGGCAGGTAAATTTCCGGTTCCGGCTCCAGCATACCCGGGCATATTTTGTACAACGGCTTCTTCTTGAGTGGGCCTAAGAAGCGAACAATGTAAGTGGAATTGATACATTTCATCAAACATCATGAAGTCCACCTAATCCAAAATTGCCGATCAATGCTGCAGATGATGTGGCTACAGTGCCCTCTTTCGCTTTCTAACATGCAGCTGCATCTTTCTATGTTCGAAGTGTAGGACGACCCTTATTCTCAAACAAGTAAAAGTCTACCTTTCTTGAAAAACACCGGATAAGGGTCTCTTCCGCTGTTTCTGATATGGTTGTCTGCGATTTGGATATTGTTGTCTGCCATGAAGAACGACAGTGTGTAGTACGTGCGGCTTCCGTATCTGACATTTTTGTAGAGGTTCTTTATCTATTTCTGTGCACTTCTGACAGGTGTCACTCTAGTCTTCAACCTCGCACTCGTCATCAAGGATATACCGAATTCATTTTGCTGAGTGTCCTGCACCTAGGTGAGAGCTGCAAAGAAAAAAAATAGGCAAGTGCTGATGAGGGACTCATGTTGAAAAATTTTGAGTACAATGTTTTGTCGTCCCAGTAGCAGTAGAAACGGAGAACTCGCAAATCGTTCTTCAAGAATTGCTCTAGCTTGTTGTTTCCTCCTCGATTTCCGCCGATTGACTGTAAAAATTGGTGTTGAAGATCGATGAAGGCAAATGATAGATTTAAATTTCGATGTTGTGTTGAGGTTGATTCAGACGTAGATTTGCACCAGATTCTTCGGACCCTCCCAACATACAACATTTTGCTCCTGTGTGACACTGCGAGCTGCAGTGCACTTGCACTTCGACACTGACTCCAACATCGCAAAAATAAGATATCGTAAAAATCACTACCTTTTCGTTGTAGATCTGTCCGTCCACGACTTCCTTGTAGGTTGGCTTCTCTGCATGCTCCTTTTCGAAGATCTTCTTCGCGGTGAAAGCGTCGATTGGCGGCTCCTCTTCCTCACCAACGTCGATACCGTTCTTCTCATAATACCATCGTGTAAATGCGTCGCATGCGACAACGCGGTAGATGCGCGAATAGATCTCCAAATTCTGTCCGCACTTCAAGTCGTCCAGACCTGTAGTGGTGATAAGTAGTTATCTAATTATATATTCTCAAAATCTACAAAAACAAGTTTCACAATCACACGCTCCAAGCAAAATAAACTACACAACATGCCAGTAGTACCCAAAGGTCCACTGCCATTTGCCTTCGGGATGCAGTGGCGAGAGATGTATGCGCCACCTTGAACACCTGAGTTCTGGACTTTTCGTTCGGTAACTTGCGTTGTTCCGTCCTCCAAGAAGTAAAGAATCGTGACGTATCGGACTCGTGCGTTTTCAGTGGCGCTTTCTGTCATGGACTCTTGCGTGTAAGCGAAGAATCTGCATACTTGCTTATCATGCTTGATCCTGTGGAGCGGGTTTAATTTTTTGTAAATGTTCCCTGCGAGGTGTTCTTACGTGGGAGAAATACAGTCGTTGGTTTGTTAGGCCTCTTGTGGATCAGAGTCAGAGTAAAAATCGTGTCAGCGATTGGAACTGGAAGGTAAAAATCTATCCATCTTTACTATAATTGTTGCAAATCTAATATGCGAAAGACCAGATGAGGAAGTACCACGCCGGAGCGTTTGTTGGAATTGCCTCCTCCCGTCTGAAAGCCTGCAGCTCTTCCTGCGAATACTTGATAAACTCCCGATTCTTCATCTCCGCGGTGAACCTGCATGAAGATATTTACAACGGTGCTGATGCCCAGTAGCGGTGGCGTTTACATCAGACGATGAAGCGATATCTATTTTCATCAACACTTAACAGGCAAGATGCGTTCCTCTGAGTATTTCAGCTGCTTTAATCATTATCATGATGCAACAATTGAGTATACTTAGATTTTAGATGAAAGACCTACACCGACCCGGTCTATACAAGACGTACCTCCAATCCGGCTTTTTCATGGTTTCCATTAGTTCCGCGGTCTCTGTAGCATCAAAAGTCGGCTCATGCTCCTTAGCCGGGAAGTCGTACATGGTGTTCTTGAAGTAGACCTGTGAGTGGAGTTCACGTTACGGATGCATGTTTGACAATCTAAGGATCATGCTAATGGTTCCAAGAGTTCAACACCGTTTCCTCTGCGGATGGTTTGTTGTTACTCGTGAGGTGCTTGTTATTTTCGAATTACTTTACACAGTTATACGAGACGTGATGCATTACATAGTACCAGATTCTGCGGCTTTGGTTTCCTTTCGGAGCCTTTCAGGGGCATCGGGTGGTTCACCGAGTACCCCGGAAGGAGGGGTATCGCCTGTTTCCTCGTCGCCATCTTGCCCCTTTCTGCCCGAGGCCTCTAATCAAACAACAACACTGAACCTAAAGTACTCACAGCTCTAAGAGTTTGATAGCACGCATTCCAAAACCCAAAAACCTATTTGTCTAATATTTTGGTTTTGGAGGTTCAGTCGCGGGCTGAATCTTCTGCTCCGTATCACAGTTAAGTAAGTAGTTTGCAAGAAACGCTCCATGTGGAAAAACAATGAGGAGACAAAAAAAAACTTACAAATCACGGTCGACTCGTTGTCTTTACCAAGATTCTATCGTTTAGAATATTGGAACCACGTGGGGAGAATGGGTTGGGGAAATGTTTTGAGGTAAGGAAATGCTTACGCTGTCAATGGCGACTTCGTCTCTCCCTCAACTCTATCACTGCAAAATTTCCTCATCGACAATAAGACCATCTATCAGATCGGTCACGTACAAGTGCCAGTATTGTCACGACTCCGATCGGCAGTGGAAAGCAATAGCCTCACATTACACCGTCTCCATTCTGACTCGATACACGTCTTCTCTCATGGTGATCAAGCTGCATCCATTGTTACACTCGACGCTTCAGTATCATATCCGTCGGATATCACGACTCTTCTGTACCCGAGGAATAACAACGAGAACTACAAGAATTACAACATAGAAAGATGGAAGTGGAACGAGAAAAACCCTCCTAATAAAGCCGATATCCATTATTCTTTCGTACCCGTTCCTTTCGGTTGTGCGAATGTGATGATTATAGATGCGCGGTCTTGCTTTTCTGTCATAATGCCAGTCGTGATGCGAATTTTCGTTGAAAGTGCAGCGATTTTCCTTCTCCAGCACATTTTCCTGTATTAATCATGAACAAGAAAAGGAAATCGGCAGGCTTGTGTAATACTCTTTCTATTTCATTACAAGGAGACCAGAATGTGAATCTTGATGTTCATGATCTTGAATACCGTTCTTTATGCAGGTAGAACAATATCAAGAACAACCCATGAGAAAAATAGCGAATGGAGCAACGGCCGTCAAACTTAGATACAGACTATGACAACAAGCGAAAATGCTAGGACAAGAAACAACCTATCTTGATCTGTCTTAACGACTTATCAACATCTCTCTACTCTTCTGCCAGATGACACTATTTTTCATGGTTCATGCCCATTAAATCTATGCACGAGAAAACTCATTATCGTCATTGCGTCTCAGGCGGCCCCTCTCTACCATCGGCAGGATGAAACAGTTCCTGAAACACATGTTGATGGTAATCTAAATTCTGTACAAAATACGCTCGACCTCGGTGTTTATCCTCTGCATATAAGTACTGTGAGCACTCTTGGCTCTAACTACAACATGGCTAGAAGCTCCTTTTGCAAAATTGCGCTGACTAAGTCTAACCTATAGGAAGTAGTCTGCCCTTTACGCTTTGAAAGTGAGTCTGCCCATTACGCTTTGAAAGTAAATGAAGCTGGACAATGATAGATGATTTACTTTCAACAGTCACTGCCTGTCACTGACATCCAGCATACTTGCAGTGCTCTCAGCAAGTCGTGAGCACTCTCTGTTGTACTAGTAATTAGTAGGGTATCTATTCATTCATTCTTTGGCGAACCACGTGATATCTAAGGGTAATAATGAATACGAAGGTATTAACAACAAGCTCAAGCTCATCTCTGCACTCATCATTCATCAAAACGAATCACATTCGAAGAATAGAAAAAAAGATGCAACAAAATAAAACTAGAAATGCAAAGGAAAAACCCAAAGATGCTGATCTTATCCTCGTCTGCTGTTCCTGTGAAAAATCTGCATATGAATGACTATAGGATGGAATGAACTATTTGTAATTTGCGGTAATATATAACTCATCATAAACCTAACATTTAACAAAGTAAGAAAAGTGCCACGAAGATACAAGCTTTTCATCATCGTCAGAGCTAGCATGAATGGTAAAGAAGGCCTTACCGCATGAGTATCCTCATCTATCTTTCAGTAGGGGATTGACTTGTGTGTCGGTCTGCGCGTTTGTCTGATAAAGCATGCTGCCGCCCCGATCCGCTGTTTGTCAAATGGCTGCTAACCGCCTCTACTGTGATTAGATTTGGGAAGTCCGCCCTCATTTCCATGTGCAACTCTACGTCAAAATTTCCCAGCAAGGACTAATATTGTATGAATTGTTAGTGGTTGCCACAAAACCCCTGATCTTGACCTTGTTCAGCAAGTTGACCAAGAGAAACCACAACTAGCACACTCACTTCTCTCACCTCTCAGGTAACGATTCGCAAGAGGACGAGGACGCCAACGGCGCAGCACAAAAGCAAAGCAGGTGAACGGAAGGTTAACTATACTGGTAAGTAAAATATATTTATAAATTAGGACGCTTCAGCCCAAGGCGTCCCACCCCCCGGTTCCTGGCGGGGAACACAATGGGGGATAGGTGCTCGCATTACACAAAGTCCGCCGCGCTAGTAGCAACATTGGGTACCGGTTCACCACTACTAGCACTCCGTGTAATCGCATCCGACTCTACCCACTAGAACAATTGGCCGACTCCATCGGCAGCCAACCGTCTTATTAAGGAACAACCATTAGTATTGGTGATTATAGTAAAGTGCAAACTCAAGAGAAAGTACCACGCAAGAAGAGCTGGAGTGAGCCAACCGTCTTATTAACTATAGAGGAGCACGAAAGCAAAGTAGAAGCGCGAAAGGCAAGGCATGGCTATTCTCAACTCGTACGAATGGGCTAATATTGGATAAACTCACATACATATTTCTTTGCCTTCGCAGTGACGCCAGCCTTAATGTCAATTGTTTTGTCCCAGTGGTCGTTACTTGTGCCTTTGCTCCTGCAGCGAACGATGAGGGCGCAAAACTGCGGTTCTTCGTACCGTCAGAAGGCGATGATCGTTCAGCAGCTGGAACATCCGATCGAGGTGATGCTCGCACACCTTGCTCCCTTGCAGGCACCAGAGTAGGTGTTACGCCACCCTGTCGGTGAATCGGACTCTTAGACACGTCAGAAAGTTCGGTTACAAAAATAAGCTCAAGTAAGTTCACTTTCATCTACTTGTGCACGTGTCTATTTTCTTATTCCCCGAGATAACAAGAACCTCCAGTATTTTCTGGTTTTCTATTACTTGTAACCACAAAAAATGTTGCTCGCGACCATTTTTCGTAATATTCAATGCCGGGCTTCTCGGCGGCGTGGAAACTGGGCTCGGAATGAACTTCACCATTGCTTCGGGAATCTGGAGGGCTATAGTACTAGTTCTAAAGATCGGATCAAAGGTCACGCATTCCATCACCAACCGCCGGATCGGTTCGCCGATCGTGCGCAAAGCGAGAAATTCCTTCAGCGTTTTAGGCTCATCCGATTCTACGGCCATGCTAGATGAAGAACTGCCACCTCCCTCAGGCGTGTAGGCGCCGAAAAACCGTCGCATTTGAGCTACGCGAAGAGCAGCGAGGTCGTACTCCTCCTGCGTGCTGATCGCTTTCTTAGTCGCTTCAGTCGCTGTAGGCCAAGTGTGCTGGACTTCTGACGGCTCAACTTGTATTCGGTCAAGAGCAGCTTCCAGGCGACGCGGACCACGGATCATATCGATTGGTATTAGATGAAGATACTACAACTTCCAGCTGCTCGCTCAGGGAAGTATCTCTAGAAATGGAAAGTAAATAAATTACGCTAGCAAGTTGTTTCCTATGTATTGCCAAAAAACTAATACTAAATACGCGCGCGCGCCTTCATAACAACAATATGCCGAGAGACCACATATCTGCGGCGATGCCGTCATACATGGCCTCTGGAAGAAGCGCCTCTGGAGCGGCGTAGGGCCACACACCGGCACTCGTTGTAAGACCCTTAACATCCTTGCGCGGCACTGCCTTCGTAAAGTCCGTCAGCTTTATCTAGAAATGATGAAAAAACGATTTGGAAAAAGCGTTCTGGGTGGACGGTAGTTGCCGAAGACATGAAGATAGCCACGTCATTGGTTGGTAGATGAGGGTGTAGCGGTAACCATGATCCACCACTCAACCCTTTCGTCCAATGAATACGCTATTCCTGGTATGTTGTTGATGTTGTATTACATTAGGTATAAGGAACCCGAGATACCTGTCCGTCCTTGCTGACAGTGACGATTTCTGGTCGAATATCGCGATGGCAAATACGGGACCGGTGGCAATGACTTATCGCGCACAGAACTTGGACCCAGTATTGGTTGATAAGGGATTCTGGTGTCTCCTGATGAGGAAAACTGGACATGACCTGGAAAAGGTCCTTGCCACTGACGTCGTCCATGACGAAATAGATGTGATTTGTCGAATGCAGCATCGTATAGCATCGAATGATGTTCGGGTGGCGTAGAATCGCACTTATGATTCGATATTCCCGATAAATCGTCTCCAGTTCGCCGACAAGCTCGATCCGACTCTTCCCAACCACACGCATTGCTCGCGTGACCTGGATGTCAATGAATAAGAAGGGTGGAAAATAAGCCTCAAATCTGACGGCTCTGTTGAATCCCTCCTACAACCAGCTGTAACATGAAAACACGCACTTGCCTACCAGTTGTTCTTCGACAAAAATGCATGATCAAGTAGGAGCTAGTATTCGTGTAATACACTTGTTTTCTATACCTTAGGCCCTTTCGCCGTAGAGTCGTAGCAACGCCATGTTACGCCCAAACGGCCCTCCGCAATAATGCTTTCGAAAACCCAATTGTCAACGCCTTGGGCAGTCTCTAGCTGATCCAGACGCGTGTCGCACGAAGCGAAGTGAATGAAGACTCGGCGAAAAACGTATTGCCACAAGAGCTTGTAATATCTACTTTCAACATTCTCCACGTATTCCATGTCTACATTCAACGCCTGCTGATTTATCTGCAACTGTTGACTCATCCGAGCTACGTTGTTCTCCACGCGCGTAAGCGTCATCTCAATCGTGAGAGCTAGAGACGGAGCGATGTGACCTGTTTTATTCGTTCTAGGATGAGAGGTACCAGTATGGCCGAGGGAGCGAGAGGAGTGTAGTCTGGGAGTCATATCATGCAATTTTGATAAAATTCCTAACCTTATTTGGATAATCTGTACTCCACATCCTGTTGCTACGATTCCACAGGACGTTGTCGCAACCAGTGTGCAAAAGCTGCTTGGTAGCCTGTAGCTGAAACGGATGCTGCTCTTCCGGGGTGAGCTTTCGACCGCAATGCAAGGCAACAATTAAAGCAGACAGTGCCTATATCATCTTTATCCTAACACCTTGTCTGGTCTAGTACATTACTGAGGAGATTACGTGAAAAGCGTGAAAGAGATGGACTTTCATATGGATTTGCACCTCTGGTCGAAATCCTCGCTTGTAATAAATATGGTTGCCACTTGCACTTCTACGTTTGTTGACCCTGTTGGAGGGAAGACGCTTCTCTATCCATCTCTTCATCATAAAATGATTGGTGGTGAGTGGGCGTAGGAGTCAAAAAGAGCTCCCAGCGCGTGGACGGTTGCGAGAGAGTTAGGACTCGTAAGATCCGCTGCAACTAAAACAGCATCGCGATCCTGAACGTAGGAATAGAGATTGGTCGAGACCTCAGCAGAACTCGTGATGAAGAGCATGCTCCGCATATCTATCTCTCGCGCCAGGGACGTCAACCCTGATATGACAGCTTCATCGGTACAAGAACTTAGAGAACTCATACGGTAAAATGTAGTTGAGCTCAAAGTCCCCTCGTCACCCCATTATACCGCAAGCGAAGACGAGAAACTTCATGTTTATGACTAAATAGAGCCATAAGACGAAGGCGAAATACGGAAGACGCAATGCGGCAATTTCCCACAATACATGCTTCAATATTTCGGTCGCTTCACCCGTGCTTGTCGAATCTCCGTAAAACCTGAGACCGATCTCCTCTCGCTGTTGTTGCTGCTCTTCCGCTTGTAGTATTGCATGTTGCCGGCATATGAAAAGGACGACGAGTAGTTCTTCTGGTCGGCGGGACGGTCGTGTTCAATACTTTTCTACGATCCCTGATAAGGTCGTCGTCTAGGTAGTGTCGCGTAGTATCAGAATGAACCAGAACTCAGTACTTCGAAGCAGAAGCACTACGGAAAGAAAACTTAAGAGAGCAGCAGGAGCAGACTAAATCAATATCAAACAAGTCCAATTATGGATGACCATTAGAAGACCTCCTCAAACGTAAGCAGGTCTTTCCTAGGTTACGATGATATCACCAGACTGCATAAGTGCTCCGTACCTCCAGAATCTTGCTGCTGGTAGTCTTGTCCCTCTTGCTGTTTCTGTGCCTGCTGATATCTCCGCGCAGCTGCTCCGGTCAACTGCAACTGCATGCTGTCCACTCCTTTCCCCGGTTTGTTCACCAACGCAGCTTGCTCTCCGGGTGCAGCTAGCGAAGATACTGGAGGGTGGCTGTAATTGGAGCGGTCGTAAACGAAAATGTAGCCTGCACACCCCCATGATGGTGATCTTGGTGTCTCCCTGCTCTTTCTTCTACTTGCCTCTACTATGCAATTGACAATTGGAATCTATTCGACAAGGTGCCAAGGACATCCATGGCAACCTCTCTCATCATCTACGGTAGTAATCTTCTATCTTGCTGCTTGCATTTAATTACGTGCTTTCATTGTACAGGAGATGAATGAGTACGAGAGCTTCTTTGAAGGTGCATGTAAAAGCGTCACATCCATAATGTACGCGGGCGACGATTGTATTTGTCCCGGCAGCATACCCGAACTGGGATAGCCTTCGGGATGATCCATCGGAGAAGTCATCTTCGTGATTATTATCAAGAACACATGATTAAGATGAACTATTTACTTCCAACAACACAGGAACATCACAAGTAGTAAAAGGAGAAATTACTGATCCATTCGAACGTTAAAAAACCCATGCACATGATTGCTAGCAAAACAGCGCTGGACGTATGTATAGCACTTTTCTCGAAGAGGCTCTACGTCTATCTTGTTGATGATGTTAGTCGGTTCGGATTGGACCTACGACTTCCCTGAGTCTCCTATGTGTTCTACGAATTTCCCTGATGTTGAAGGTGTGAAGGCGTTGAGCCTTTGTCTCTACAGCGGCGCTCCTCGTTGTGGGATAGAAGTCCTCGCTGCTCGCGCTTCCCTCAATTATTTTCTTCCGCCGTTCTCTATTTAGACAGTCCGCCAATGCGACAGGTCTAGCGACTAGCTCTCTCGAAATCCTGTCAGTCCGCGTCTTTTTCGGTCGTCGTTGTCTACATGGTCTACTTTGTTCCCCTGCGTGCGTCTCACTTAGCATTCCCCTCACCCATCGCTCTTCCGGGTATCTTGCCCTGTTAGTGTTTTTTAATGTAATATCGAAGTTCGTTATTGCAGAAGCAGTCGCATTTTTCATCTGTGGCCCCGAAAGGCGACTGCAAATGCAATTGCAATATCTCCGAAAAGAGAGTCACTGAGCCAGCGGTGGTGGGCCCAAACAAAAACGCTTCTTATTTGCCATCGTGTCGTTGACGCAGGGGAAAGTGTGCATAGACTTCACTCAATCAACAAAAGTTTCTCTACATCGCACGACAGAAAAAATATTCAAAGCGCCCGCGCCTTGTGTTCAAAAAAGAGATTGGCGCATAACGAGCACATACAACACTGGTCGCTCAGTCAAGAAAAAGTAGGATTCTCGCACATGATTCAGGAATCCAGACGGTGGATATCTTGTCTTCATTTTTCTTCGCGGTCGCGTCGCGTTCATGATTGGAAGAGAGAAACACTGGCTGCTGATTATTATGAAGAAACTGGCCTCCTCCTCGAGGCGACGCCGCTCTTCAATACTTCTCAGAGAGAAGGTAAAAGGCGTTGCTTTTTTTCATGTGTGTACCAGAAAATTGCAACTGTTGTTTCGAATAGGCATGTTGTTTCTTTAGACGCCAGCGAGATCCCAAAAGTTACATCAAATTATTTTCCAATACTCAGGTTTTTCAGAGGTATCAGATTAGGAAAACTGGACAAGATTCAATCGCGGCATATTTTCCACTAGTTGTACTTCTACAATACTTATAATTCATCAATCATGGCTAAATCTCTATTAGAATGACTCTGAACACGACGAACGAACGTAGAAATGTTAAAATATCTGTTGTAATCAAGTAGTTAGACTAGATAATATCCACATCAGTCAACATTATTATTTGCTCTGAAAGTAGAAGATTGCTCTAATATGATGAATATCTATAACAGGAGATCCTTACTGCGTCACCTTTCTCACCGGCATACAACAACTATCAATCTCAGGCCATGGCTTTGGGAATAAATGTCGTGAAGTCGGTTTGTTCAAAATAAATTGAAATATTTATATTAGTTGTACATAAACTGTGAAATACGCGGTAAGAAGGATCTAGACAATAGGTGTGGTCATCGAGCTTTGGTGCTATCGCAATTGTACTAGTACTCCGGCAAGGCAGTAGCTATCTATGACCACTATTGGAAGGGCAACAGATGAAAAGTTGTTATTTCTTTCTTTTCCAGAAGTAAGAAACCAAGGATTCTTTTGTTCAAAGATAAAAATCTCATTCAGCAACGACATTTGACAAGTAGTAGTAGTTATAACTAGATTTATTAGACTGCTTTATCGGAAGTGAGTTCAGAATGCTCGGCTGCACTTCCGAGGTTGTTATGGGAGGATTCATCATCTGAGATACTAGCATATAATTAGTAGAAAGACCAATCGAGAAATCACAAAAAATTACAGAATCAATTATTAGTAAGTAGGAATTGTTAGTTGTAAGAAGTATTCGATTTGAGAACAGTATAAATTAAGGTGTGTGAAATTATAATTATCATAATTAATAGATGTCGTAGTTGTGTAGGTAAGTAGAGTTTGTGCAAATAGCAGGCGGACAAAATCTAAATCAATAATAAACCAATCAATACATCACAGAGAATGCAAGTATCATAATAAATAACATATCGTCTCGAATGAAATGAAGAAGAATGTCCCCTTGTCGAAATGATCAAACCAGTGTTGAACGGAAACAAAAAATCATAGACGTGTAAAACCCCAAAGCGAAAGCCAACAGGAGACGAACTAACGAACAGCCATTTCTTCGAAGGGAATCCGCGGTTCTGGCACAAGACACAGCCACTTAGGTTCGCATGCGGAATGCCAAAGAGGTTGGTGTGTTCCACTTCAACCAGTACAAGTACTGACAAAGCATACTAGGATGAACCCGAATTAACTTCGGCAAAGGTTATTGTGATCACAATTCTTCATTTTCAAAAAAAGTGGTAATCACGTCGAATCACCCGACGAAGTAGTTGCTGCTCGATCAATAAACCTCCAGGCTCAAGCTTGCTCGAGCGACAGTTCTACGGGACCGCGCGGGTTGTAATTGAACTTACCCTTTCCGAAGCCTTTGCCCTTTCCGAACCCCTTCTTGCTGCCTTTGCCGAAGCTATTCCAAGACGGCTCTTCGAATCCTTTCAGACCACCACCTGAAAAGAAATGAGCGGAAATTTTTCGTCACGACACTTACAAACATTGATAGTAACCCATGCCATTTCAATAAACACACATTCCATCCGTTGCGTTCAGAAGAACAGGCCAATGAAGATATTCGAAGACAATTTGTCAAAACCGCATATTAGAAGTCCAATCAGCGGAAATAGAAATACCGAAAGCAGTTGGCGGCAGGAGTGAGGAGAAGTCTTTTCCTCCGCCAGGGACAAACGGAAATGGTGGGAAGGTTGCTGCGCCCTTCGGAAAGGAACCAAAGCCACCTCCTCCGGCAAAAGCAGCGCCGGGTGCGCTTGCAAAGGGCGGATAACCGAAGCTCGGAGGGTAGGCCGCACCAAAATACGCACCTAAGAGATCGGTGTGCGCTCCCATGTGGCCCTTGGCACCGAAGGGAAATTGTTCGTGTCCCGTTGCTGCAAATGCTGCTGCGGCCGCTGCAGCGGCACCAGGCATGCCCGCAGCACCACTCTTGCCGCCGAAAAATGGATCTGCAAAGCCGCCACCTTTACCGTGCATGCCATGGAGACCTTCGTTACCGAACTGAGCCTTCAGCGCTTCGAAAATGCTGTTCGCTGCTGCGCCCTTACCCGAAAAGACCGAGGGATCGAAGCCACCCTTTCCGAAGAAGCCACCCGGGTCGTGAAAGGGAGCAAAAGGCTCGAGAAAGTGGGGACCACATCGAGTAAAACAAGTGTGAACCACATAATTCATGCCAAACAATCAAGTACAAGACAATCATACCACCTCATTTTTCCCAGTATCTCAAACAATTACTTACATCACAAAATCACATTCCACAAAAATTTATCAGGGTTATATTTCCTGGGCCATAATTGTAGGCAGAACGTCCTTTGGCCATGAAGTCGGAAATCGGTACGCCGGTGCCACCCTGCACTTTGATAGCCACTGGCTTGTTTTTGCTTTCGTCCAAGCCAATTTCGTACGTGACCTCGTCGCCACTCTGAAGTGCGTTACCTTTTAAGAAGGTTCATCGAGTTGGGGATACTAAGGTCGCAAAATGAACAATGGAAAGGAATTCAAACTTTTTACTGTCACTGTGATATTGTTTTTACCTTCGTTCATGAAGAATGGTGACTGCGACGGTTTTTATTTTGCTCCCATCTTCATGACACACGGAATATGAACAAAGAGAAACAAACAGCGCAGGCTGGCACGCATCAAAATGAATTTTAATAAGAGTAAGCTAGTGACAATACCAGAAATTTCTTTCGAGTGCACAAAAATTTCGGTTTGATCCTTCTGCGAGACGATGAATCCGTATCCCTTCGTGGAAAAGAACTTCACCACGCCTTTTTGCCTTTCTGAGTCGGTGACTGTGCTTTTTGTCTCCACTGTTGCTGGTTCAGGCTTCTCTGCTGAAGCAGGGACGGCTTTCTGGTCATCCGTGCTGTCGGTCACAGAAACAGCTCCCTTGTTTTCCTCCTCGCCTTCTACGAGACTTTGAGTCTTCTCCTCGGGGGTTTTTACCTGTTGCTTTTTTTCCGATGAAAGCGCTGCAACCTCAGCTTCCGCCGTCTGATGCGCAGTACCGTCGACCATTTTTTTTGCTTGTAAGTGCCAATGGATGTTAAGTACTCAAAATCAATTCAGACTCAATAGATTCTTCGTACTACTTGAAACTAGTGTTGGTCACGCTTGTAGCAACGATTTGCATTCGATCGTACTTCCTGTGATATTTTAATCAAATGATCGTTTATTACTCCACAGATTCTTCAACATGACTACACATAGACAAACACGCTCATTACTATTTTTCAGGCGGCTAACAACACTCACGCCCGCCCGAGAAACACAAGGATAGAGAAGATTATTCGCGGAGGACATCATCATAGAGAGAGTATACCTGCTCTCTGCTGGCACAGACTACAACACGCGCCAAAGAACCGGAGAGCCAGCAAGCCACACATTCAATTACAATAAAGCTTGCCCGGAGCAGAAAACAAGTGATATTACTGGATCCTACGGCGAAATTACGTGGGCACGGCCAGCATTACATTACCCGCGGAGGGACAGCAAAAACATATCTCAGCGAACACATCAATAAATTCTCGACGGCAGCATTTATTCTCGACGGTCACTGCGAAGTAGAGTCGATCGATGATCACAAAGACTAGTCCATAGTAATAAACATCAAAACAAGCTCTCTTAGATAGTGCAACCCTTTAGGTGCGTGCTCCTTCCAGCTGGATTTCTTTGGAGTTGTGTCCGTGTCGTGTGCATTTTTCGCACGCTAATCGATCTTGGGTTTTTTGAAAATTGGAAGAAGTCATCGTGACATTAGCGTTGGCCATTGCATCTTCAATGGACCCTCGAAATAAATTCATGGAAATAATGAACAGGGAAATCATCATCAACATCATGTAAGCTAACAGAGTCAGAGGTATCTATATGTCCCATCGGAATACGAATAACAGATGAGGAACACGAGATCTAATAGCTAGAGTCTGTGTCTTAGGTTGGAGTCTGGCGAGGTCCTATTTATCATTTGATAAAAATGGCTTCCATATGAAACTTGCAGTTCTAATTACTAGTACGAGGAGGAAAAGAAAAATATGAAGACTACGATGAATATGCGATTGCAAAAATGCAGAGTTCCAGATCCTTCTCACATCGAATCGCCGATTAGTCAGCCGGCTCTTTCCATCTCCAAAGCTGCGCCGGGACATCGATGTTGCACTTGGAAAACAGGAGCGTATGCGGGCTCTTGTCACTCGGCTTGTCCTCAAACTGCAGGCACTTTGTCGTTCCCGCAATGACAAACATGCCAGCCCCCTCCTCTTTGGCGACGAAGCGAACGGGACGCTGGTTTAGGCCGCTCTTGGCACGATTTTTCTCTAGCAAAACCGTAGAACGCGCTACATCGGACGCAAGGAGGGCCCGCGTTGCCTCATTCTGCCACTTGCGGCGGCCGTCCTGCTCCACTGCTTCCGCACTGGGGGTCTCGTCTTCGGCAGCACATGACCCCCACACCAGTTCCCAAGGAGTATAGCGGGAACCGCCCCTTTTCGTCTTCTCGGCTGAATCCGCTGCGTCTTCATGTCCTTAGAGTAGCTATTTTTACATAGTTTTTTACCGTCGTAACACTCGCTATCAACCAACATCAAACATGAACCTTCTTCACATCTAAAATCGCAACTCAAATACACTCAGTCTGTAAATGTAGTCGATTGAATTTTCAGTGGCCTTAAGAGTCATCCTGACGGGTGTTGTTCACTTGCGGTTGCCAGTCCGTGTTCTCCTCTCTCTTGGCAACGCCACAACCTCGATATTCTCCGACACCAATGCGCAAATTACCGCTGATAGCCAAAAACGCCTGAGACCCATTCTGGTCGTGATACGCTTAGAGTCACGCTCCACCAACCACAAACATGTAGATGTACTTGATAGACTTTTAAGTAAGTACTTCAAAGCTGGTTTTAATATGATGAGCTGATTGCAAACAGAAAGAGCATAATGAACCCATTGCTATCAAGAGGGATAAAAGGATCACAACATGGTCAAGCAACATAACATGGGTACGCGCCAAGCCTCTCGCCGTTGTGATTCGCGCCCAGCGTATCGAAGCAGACGTGGGGCTTCGCCTCAGACCTCACACTTCCCGCACACATGATCTTCTGGAGTTCTGAGCGAACAGTGGACGCCGCCGCAGCAACGTTGTTGTCCGTCAAAAATTGCTCTTTCTCGCTCACTAACGCAGAGCTCTCTTGCGTCCCTGCGCGTGCGTCAGACAGAACGACCGTGCTGTCATGCTTCGTTACTTTGCTTGCCTCATCGCCCTGAGGCGCTGCTTTCCCCGCCGCGTCGCGCGCAGCAGTAATTTTCTCCCGCAATCCCCCAGGCACATACATCTCAGGATAAATCTCCTGCATGTACCTGCATCAATGTGGGCGAGTCTTCTTTTTTCGATTACACAAGCACCAATTACATCACATCAACAGATACAACAATTTACCCAAGGCCACAGCTTGCGTATGATAACCACAAATGGAGAAGAATGTCGTACCAATGGAAGTCTTTGCACTTCAGCTTTTCGCGAATGCGCTTCGGATGGGACAGATCACCAAGCGGGTGGCCTCGTGCAGATCCCATGACGATTTTCGCAAGATCCTCATACTCATCCATCCAGACCGCAGCCGCACGACGCTTGTTACGCCAAATAACTTCCTGCGCGACAGGAAACACCTGTCCCTGCCAGTGCTCAGATGTCCGGAAGATGTGCCCGATTGCAGAACAGGGAATGTAATCTGAATGTAAAAGCTTTATGATGTGCGTCTGAAGATGGTGTCAAGTTCCAACATGTAGAAGAGTCAGCAATTTTGGAACATGGGACTAGACAGTAATTTTGGATTTGGAATATCTTCGTCATCGCATAATGAGTACGGTCCCAAACAGATTTGTACCTATGCGTCCATGGCATTGCCAAACTTTAAACCCGATTTCCATCTCTTCGCCGCCGTAGAGCTGAAATTCCGGATCGTAGCCCTCAAGATCCTCCAAGAAAAACGTTCTGGAAGCGCCAAAAAGCCCCCCGGCCATGATGGGTGATGCCGAGGGTGCATACCTTGTTTTATGTTGCCGTGGTACTGCGTCGCTATTCAGAACGATTTGAAAAAGCATTCCATTCCATGAAGTCTATCATTGGCTAGCATGCCAACCCCTAGACTATACGACGACACCCTGCAGCCTCCAATAATATGAAGTCACGAAGCGCAACGCTAATATACTTTGCAATGAAAATAAGCAGGACAAACCCCAGAAGGGAAGTTGGTGCTTATTATCAGCGGAGGCCCGACAATGGCCGAGCAGTCCAAAAGAATTGAAGCAGGACTCCAAATCCGTACTAAAAACTACGATCATCGTGAACTAGTCACGGCATAACCACTTCAAAGCAGCATGTTGAGACAACATATGTGCAAGAAGTGGGCGCTTAGGTCTGAGCAGTACATATCACTCATCCTGATGTTCACCTTTCCATTTCAACGTTTGATTTCAATTCGTGCAAGTCGTACAGGATCCGACGGAGTCACCACAGCCACAACATGAAGACATGTCATCAACAAGAGTCTCCTCATCATCCTTCTCAGCCTGCAAATCCACTTTAGCGCGAAAACCGAAGCCACCTGCACCTCGCCACAGCTGCACTCTTAACTTCGAAGAATGGCACAGGCATCAACGCCTTTAGCTCGTCGGGCAAAAAGATTTCTCAGCCCCCATCGTTCTTGAATTGTACGTGCACCTCCCACCCTGGCACCATCCTTGAGCCAAAATGCGAGACTTCAGGTTTCAATAGCTACGGTGTTGAAAAATTTGAGTAAGCAACTATAGCGTCCCCTGCAAGGGTACTTTCTTCCTAGAAATTCACGCCTTTATCATTGTCTGAGGTGTACTCTACTCGATGAAGTACTGACTCTGTCTTCTGCCGGACACCGGCGTTTGTCCGAGTTTCCATGTAAATCCCAGGACGCCGAGGCCGCCACCCGCCATACCGTTGTAGTGAAGATCGTCTGATCCGATTGTCTCGATGCTCGGTGTAACGACGTTATTTGGATCTTTGAGCATATGAGCCAACAAGGGTTCGAGCCACTGCGGTCGAGCCTCAATATGCGAATCCAGGAAAACAACGTACTCGCCTACAGCAGCCCGCGCGCCCGCCACACGCGCGCGCATCAAGCCTTCGCGTTTTGGAAGCCGCATCAGCTTCGTCTTTTTCGTATCCTTGGTGACGAACGTGCGCAGTTTATCTCCCAAATCCGGCTTCAAAGCGTAGTCTGAGTGGTCATCCACAAGAATCATCTCCTCCAAGAGACAGTCAGGGGTGCGGTTCAAGACCGTCACAACAGACCGAATCAACGTCGAGAGCAGCTCGTTGAAAAACACAATCACAACCGAAACCGTCTGGTTATGGAATATCTTGCGCAGTTACAATTTAGAGAAAACCAACGCGGGTGTTGTATCAAGGTGTTTGATACTAGTCTCTTTGTTCTCGACAAGCACTTAGAACCACCACCAGAGTCTACTTTCTATCTCAGACTGAGAACCTGTATGGCTATCGATCTTTGTATCAGTTAAAAAAGGAGGAGTGAAGAGTCCACCACGGCATCGACTCATAACTGCCGGTGTGGTCTTGGAGTAATCGGTGCACTGAGCGTGATGTCCCTCGGGAACAGGTCGTACAAGCGGTAAGGAATCCGACGTCCAGCTATTAAAGCAATACCTGATGGATGCGAGGAAAGTATTTGCTTTTCTGAATGGCAATTTCGAAGAGCATTATAGGTGCAATTCGAGACTTATACATTGCTGTCCTACAAAAGGCATGCTACCCTGCATGTGCTTGATGTTTTTCCTCTTTGGTTTGATCCCTGCCTTCTGGCCAGTGGCGTACCGGCTGGTAGGTGTGTCCGAATTCCTTGCCCTCCGGGTTCCAAGTCTCCGAAACCGTGATCGGCGCCCCGAAGACCTCCTTAGTAAAGCGCGCTGCCTCCGCTCTCCGCCTGTTGCGGAGCGCCTGTTCGGGAGGCCCATGGCAGCCGGCATCAGCTGGACACTTCCCCTCCAGGGACCAATAATGGGCTCGACGAGAGTACCATTCGAGATGATCCTCCGAAGAGTGGTCAAAATCTGCATCTGGATGTGGATGTCGTTTAGTTCCCTTGCCGTCGGCTACCCCGGCGCTCGTCGCCCCGAGCGACTCTGCGAAAGAAAGACTGTCATGGCTGCTCGCAGTCAGGAGGGTCACAACAGCGACACGACAAGAGAAGTAAAGGAGACTGCTCGCGGTCTCTCGGGACAACATCTTTCGCGATGTGCCTCCTGGAACATGCAACAAGAACAGTCGTCGTGAGTCACTCTTTTACTAGCAGCTTGAGCTTCTTAGAAGAACTAGCTTCACCGGATTCGGAGCACCCACATTAATCGTGGTTACACAAGGCCAAACCAGCACGGCATCGTGCCAGGCTTGTTTGTACAAGTTGCACGCTCCGAATCATAACGCCCTCATTCTTTTCCTGTATGAGATAGATCCCCAATCAAGAAATAGAGTGCCTCCACACCGCATGAAAATTTTTACAGCGAACTTTCACCTTCTTGTTTCAAAAAACAGAACTGTACATAATGCTTGATGTTGCACTGGAAGTGGACAATCCAGCTAAAGTTTTCAAGTTCGCATGCAACAAGCAACGGCTGACACACCCATAGATTTAGCAGAGTTAGACATGCAGAGCAGTTAGACAACTCGCACTCACGCGCGCTCTCGTGAGGTGTTTCTGAGCAGCCTCTTGTATCAGTCGTGACACACTCTGCTAAGAGATTTTCACTTTTGGCATGATGCAGATGATCGAGGAAAGCAGAAAAAAATCTGATTACAATCACCATCTCAGTCCCACCATCTTTTCCCTCGCATGTCAGAATACTTCACGTGAAAGTATGTACCAGCGCTAGCGCATGATGACACACTTAATGTCCTATACTGACTAGCACGAATCTCAGACCTTGTAATGGTGGGCTGTTGTAAGTCATTTTGTACTAGAGGAAATGGCTTGTTTTTTATCGGGATGGAATATAACACACTAAGTACTTAGCGAACCCCATATTCGTCGGCAATGTCTTATACTCCCCGCATATACTAATCCCAGCATACCCAACTGACTTTTGAACAAAAAAACAAAAAGATCTACGCGCGAAGAGCTTCCACTTGTTTCCCCCTTTTACACTAAGTATTTGCTGGGTGACAATGATCCATCCGACAATTTTCACGATTGCTCATGCTGCCATCAATACTTCGAAGTAGCACCACTGGGTCCACGCCGTGTTCTACCTTTCAATAAAGAAAAGCGATCCGGTGCTATCTGCATTCTATTTGTAGTTGCTTGTTTTTCTCCGTTTCTGCAAGGAGGTTTTTTATCAGATTGCCCTTCTCCATTTTTGCCTGCTTCGCTTCGGTGGCTATCTCTCTTTTGCGGTCAGCAAAGGCATCATCTGCTTGTCGCGACTTCTCCCGCACGTTGACCTCGAGCTCCATTTCAGCATCGCGAATGGATAACTCAACTCCTGAGAGCTCGGCACCGAGTCGCGCCTTCTTGGCAGCCCAATCCCGCTCAGCTTCTTCCCGAAGCGCTACAAAACGCTCTAGTTCGGCTTTCACCACCGTGCATATACGGTCTTGCTCCTCATCACGAGCTCGCCGCGCCGCCAGAGGATGAAAGAAACGACGAGTACCAAGTTCTATCTCTATGTGAGTCAGTACCTAATTCATCTAAATTGTGCTAGTAACCTTTATTTTGGGATTTTTGAACAACTCAATTATGTTTTGCTAGACAAACGAAAATCAGGAAGAAGAAAGTAGGAGCATGTCAGCAGAAAGCTGTGAATTTCATTCTTTGTCAAACTATCTACTTATCAAGTGACCTGTCGTCCTACTCTCTGCCGGAGACTTCCCGCTTCAGAAGTGCACGCTTACTTTGCTTGTAGACGCTTTCCCGATGAACTTCTTTATATTCTGCATCCAAAACTTCGGATCGCATTTCGAGACGCTCCACTTCGGTTTTCACGCGTTCATACCGCAACAGTAGCGATCGCATGGCTTCCGTTTGCTCATCTCGTACGTGCTTCACTTTCGTAAACCTCTCCTCCTCAGCGCGCAATACCTCCGTTTTCTCTTGAAGGTCCGACATTCTTAGAAAGTAAAAGGACGAATTCATCGTAAGTCTCCGAGGAAGGACACGGGGAAACAGATACCAGTAAAACTTTGACTGCGGAACGAAACCAAACCTGAAAATTGAAGTCTGTTACACTCTACTTTTCCAATATCAGAATCAGCGTATAGCATACTTTTCTTTCCTGACTCTCCCTCCTCGCAATGTCACGCTGCATGAAATACTGTTTGCCATAACTCGAGCAGTTTGACTTCGCGGTTTGATTCCTCCAGCCACAACTCGAAGCTTTCCTCCTCAAGTGCGAGCATGCTCCGCATCTGCGAAAACTCTGTGTCGATTTGGCTGATGTACTGTCCTATGGAGCAGTCGCGGAGTACTAGAGGTCCCAAAACGCCCTCTAGGCTTGCAGCACGAGCAGCATCAGAGTCCGCCTCCGTGCTCGTCGTGCTACTTCCTATGGGGGCGACTCCTGCTCCCCGACTGTTCGTCCTAGACGAACTCGATTTCGTTCTCCTGGTGCTATCACTGGCACTCTGCTTCTTGATTGCAGATGCATCCGAGGCCAAGGGATCCAATGTCTCCGGTTCGGACGTGCTCGCATTGTTTATTGTTGCGTTACTCTTCGTTTTCTTCTGTGTACTGCTAGAAGTACCGATACTCGTGGATCGCAACTCTTTTGTTAAGACTGCAGTGGATCCCATCGACGCAGCCCGTTGCCGACCGACGGAAACCGCTTGTTGCGACACAGTTCGGGAACCGACGGACGAGCGCGAGCCCCCTCGGTCTAGAATATTAGTAGCGGCGGACTTCGTGCGCACAGTTGTAGATGCCGATGACGACGCTTTGCGACTGGGAGGCTCAAACCCTCTCCGCCCCGATAGTGATGCCGCAGACGTTTTACTCGCCGTCACTCCTGGTGCCGAAAATCGTCCCTGAAATGAACTGGGCGCTCCGGTCCTAATCTTGGACGAAGAAGCACCACCTTGCATGCAACCTGTAGCATTGCTCCAGGATTTGGATGTCGCTGTCGAGCCTGGAACTCGCGTTGTAGCGGTGGATCCTTTCTTAGAAGATGCTTGGCCACTAGTTTGACCAGTTTTACCGCCTGATGCAGTCAGGTGGCGCACTCCGCCCGATGAGTTTACAACGGGCTTTCTCTTGCCATCAGCGGCCGGCGTCGGTGCCTCGGAGCCAGGAATCGCTGCGATTTTTCGAACCAGCGATATCGCAGTGGCATCTGCGTCTACGTCGGCTGCAGACAGAGCCGAAATAAAATGATTTGTACTAGTATCCAGTTGGGCAGTTGCATTGAACGGCTCCAAATTTTGTTCCTGCCGGTAAAATTGGTCTTGGTGTCCGATGTTACTTCTAGACATGTCTTGTTCAGCGAAGTTGGAAGCAAGCAGCTTCTGATCGACAAGTGAGCTGTTCACCACCATCGAGTTACTTTTGTTGCCGAAATACTCACTCATAGACGCTGCCGAAATCGCTGCCAAATCTTCTTCAGCTGTCTTGTTCGCAGTCGCATTTTTCGCGTCTCCGTCACGATCATCTTGATCATCGGCCACCTCATCGGGAAAAGAGTAAAACAACTTGTTGCTGGCATAAATTTGGCTCGTTGTTGTAGATGTTTCACCTACAGGTGGTGCGGCGTTCCCTCCGAATATTTCTTCAGGCTCGTTCGAGACATAGTTTTCATCATCGTCAATCTCGACTTGCACAGAAGTGCTTTCTGAACCGTGCCTGTGAATTGCCAACCGCCCATCTCCGTCCTCTCCATCGACCGGTGACGACGCGCTAATCGGCGAAAATGCCCCACCTAGCGGCCGCATGCTCGTGTTCGAAGCCATATCACAGCCAGAAACGAGCGAGTCCTTGCTTGCAGGACACTCAGACATCATGTTGTTTTTATCGAAAAGTACGCTATACCCTCTGATGCGTGGGTTCTCCTTCGAGAAGGAATCCTAGATTTGGTTTCTAGAACAAGAAGAAGAACTGTAGCTGCAGTACAAGCGATTTCATTTTCGTTCCAAATGATGCAATGAACGGCCTGACGATTTCTAAGATGCTCAGTTCCTTACTTCATTCGAAAAGCTTGAAAAAAAACCTTGGGGTATCGCATAGACTCTTTGTTGTTCACTCGAGCAGTTATTTTGTATTTCTCAATCTCTGAAGTTCACAGAGGCAAGAACCCCAGTCGGTCTGAAACCTCCAAAAATATTTCCCATCTTTCAACATCACCGCGCGTTTTTTTTCTACATCTAGGCCTCAGCCTAAGAGCCTTCCCCGACTGACACCTCAATCTTGCTTCCTATAATGCAGGCTTTCGGCTGCGCGGGAAAAACCTGAACCACTCAAGACCGCAGGCTGTCTCCTAGGCTTCGAAGTTGTCAATCAGCAGGAAAATTACGTGTCATAAAATTCCGTGTCATACGTTGTCCTCCTCAAGCTGCTTAAGCTCTATACAATAAGAACGCAAGATGAAGTCAAATCCAGCACTCCTCAAACCCAAAATAGACATAGATCCTACTTCGTGACGAAATTTGAGCTCATCTTCATTATCAAGCACTCTAATTATTACCCTTCAGAAAATGGCTTGTCAGCACTTCTGTCCTCAGTGGGGCCACGCCACGAGGTCATTATCCAGCTCCATTGCGCGATAATCACCGCTTTGAGTAGACGCTTGGTTTCCGTGATCGTGTCTCCACGCAGCCAATGTACCCATTTTCGGAATGCGTGGGAGCCCTGCACTATCAAACGCAGACTGATTTTCGTCAGTACCTCCAGTTGTAGTATACCATGTCCATCCGGCACAGCTACGAAATAAGCGGCATGTAGTGGATGGCCCCGGGATGTCTCCTGCATCATCCGACATATTGTCCTCGTGAAAGAAGGCGGTGTCAAAACAGCGGCAACCATGTGAGCGAATCGCGTTGAAGCAACGGAGAGCGCAGAGCACGTAAAAGCGATCGGCGCGAGTTCGTGGCTCCGACGCTGGAAAATGGGCATCGAGTGCTGCGTAGAAAGGATCCTCAGGCTGGTTTAACAGAGGTTGTGAAAATTCGGACAACCTAGTATCTGTATCATGAGCTTGAAGTTCTAATATTTGCTCGGAGAAGCGCGTGTCCCAAAGAACGCTTTGATAGTGGATAGCCGTCCACACACCTAATCTCAGCTGTTTCAGCAGGTCGACTTGCCAAGCCACGAACTCCTGCGCTTCGAGTGACCAAGGATTACTCCAGTCCTCGAGAGACTCGAACCTGGAGTACCCCGCGGCAACAAGCAGGTCGACGACGAAACCACCCACAGAACCCGGACGCATTTCTTCTGGCGCTTGTACAATAGCAGATGAGTTCCTGGAGCTCGTCACTGGAATTATCGGTGGCCAAACCGTCCTGGCAATGGCGCTGTCGAGTTCCACGACGACTGTGGGCTTGTGCTTTCGTAGGAGCTTCGACCCTGACTCCAGAGTACGCAAGGCTGACCCCTCCGCATCGATCTTTAAAAGACAGACACTCAATGCTTGGCCTATGTCGGCTTGATGACGAGGAGGAGTTGATCTTGTTGTACCTACTTTGTTGACGAAGTCATGGTCATTGTGGCTGTCGATGTATTCTTGTACCACTGAATCTAAGGTGCGCAGCGGCACCTCGATGCGGTTACGCACGCTTGAGGGCGCAACATCGGCGGTTGGCAAAATACTCTGCAAGTAGTCGACTTCTCGTGAATTCGACGCCTGCTCCACCGTATACAGAGCACTTTGACCGGTTTCCTCTGGACGCTCGTACAAGTACATGACATCAGATTGACGCTCCGAGGTCGCGTCTTCTTCTCCGCTGGCTACTTTGTCTGACTTAGGGTCTCCGACCCGTTCAGGCAGTGTAGATATTGCTGCGGGCACAACCGTGACTCCCACACGACGTTTCGTGGCTTTGTCTGTGAGGGCTTCAGCGATAGTCGGAATGTTGTTCGCCATCAGAGATCCCCGCAAATTGGCCACATTCTCGGGGTGCGGCTCAATCGCCAGCACGTGGTACCCCAATGCTAGAGCCATGTGAAGTGTGTAGCCACCGACATTCGCGCCGACATCGATCACGGTGTTGCAAAGGCGAGATGAAGGTAGACCTCGTGGCTCTGTCGTTTCTGGACCCGCATTCAAATCGGCCTTATTAGCGTCAAAGGTCTCTCGTGCTGGAAATGCCGTCACTCTCACCGTGCCATCTGCGTCACCTCTCTTCAGGAGATCAAGGTGTCTCTGGTGTCTTTCCAGGATCAGGTCGAAGCTGGCACTACCGCTCAGGTAACCCCTGGCACGAAGACCACCATTCTCCAATTCGAAGTCCAAAGCACGTTCTGAGGCGCACTGTAGATACTGGTGTGGTCCCCGCACTAGGACAGAGTGGGATTTTTCGGGACAAGTACTAAGGTTGTAAAACAACATCTGGATTTGGTGTAAGGCGTAAAAAAGTAACACGACGACATAGCCAACACGCTGGATTGTCTCCTCAGCCGCTTCAACTTTTGTGGAAATTTCGGCGTCTTCGTTTTTTCGGGCTGCGGCTGCCGCATCTGGCGACAACTGTGCACTTCTGTGTGCTTTCGCACGTTCTGCAAGCGCGTTCGCGACAATGTCGTCATCGGGCACGAGAGAAAAAAAACTGAAACTTTCTTCAGCGATAGGCGCTGTATTGCTCGAAAAGTCTGCGCTTACTTTTTGCTCCACACTATTATTTCTGGTTTCCGCCAATGAAACCACAATGCACTGCACCGTTTGCTCTAGCAGCCGCAGAAACGTCCGTGGTAATCTTCCTTCTTGCGGGAGTACTCGAAGAGCTGGCCGGCGTCGCAAATGCAGGAGATACAAATAGATATCCTTAATGTAGCAAAGCTGAGGCGACTCTGCAAAAAAGACCAAGTTCGACATGGCTGTACTGTCGTCGGTACTTCTCACGGAGCCTGCTTCCCGCTCTCGCAATTCTCTTTTCAAGCTATCTAATCCGTACTTCTTCCGCATCCACGACATTTTATCAAACTCGAACCCAAAAGAAGCTCCCAGCGGTTTCTCACTTGTTCTCCCACGGCGCTGTGAAGAAGATTCCATCTCATAGCCAACAGCGGCATTCTGGAACCTCGCTGCCTCCGCTTCGGTATCGTAAATTCTCAAACACGACTTCAGGAATGCCAGAAACCTCTCTGCCCCGCCAGACCGCGTAACGTGTACAAACTTTCTGAGATCGTCCACTTCGTTTTCCCGAGAAGTCATGCCTTCAGGTATCTTTTCGTCGAGGAAGCCAGTCAGATAGTCAGTGTAGCCGCGCGTGTAGGCATCTAAATCAGGCAGAAGCTCTGCTAGCTTGCACGGCCGAACGAGATCGAGATGCTCGTTGTCGTCGACGGCTTTGCCTTCACTCGTCCATTCCGCAGACATGCGCTTTGGTGTCGCAGTTTCTTCGCGCGTAATTCTGTCGAAGACTTTTTCCAGCGTCTGAACCTGTTGGAGGCGCCCTGTCGCGAAAATAATGACACCGAAAAAAGGCCAAGTCGAACGCACTGCCGCCTGCAAAATTCCCACTATGCAGTCAGCGTGAAGCACCGCGCCAACGGTCGGTTCTCCCGACTCGGCGTCGTCCACACCAGCAAAAGCAGCAAAGAGTCGGTGAATTCGTTCGACACCTAGTTGCTCATAAGCGGCACCGTAGGCATTCATGCCCCGATCCCAGTCCTCTTGGCTCTGCATGCGCGCAAAATCAAGCCGCAAAGACAGCAGCAAAGGCGTCGTGAGTTGCCGAGCAGTAACCTCAACTGCACGCGCGAACGCGGAAGATGAAGTGGAATCATCACTATCTATGCTGTCTCTACGAAGCTGGAGAACGATATCTCCTAGAGCATCGTCCCACGCACGTGTGTGATCGATGACGTCGCTTATTTTGCTTCGGAAGCCAAAGAAATCAGCACGAGCCATGCTTGCATCCATCGCCACGAGAAAACTCCGCATCGATCGCCGCCGGTTTAATTCCACTCTAAAATGCTCTGCACCTTCCGACTGAACAGGATCATCTCCCGCATGTTGCTGTCCGCCGCTTATCGGACCAAGAAGTATCTGAAAATTCATTATCTCGTCATACGCTTGCCCTGCCATCAGATTAAAAGTCGCTTCCGCGACCCAGCATACCGCTGAAGCGTCGACAGATGGCTCGGTCGCCGAAGGTGACTCGAACAAGACATCGTCATGTGTCTCCTTTTTCATCTTTCTTGCACCTGCATCAGCGGAAGTCCCAGGCTCGTCTCCAGGACGCCCTCCCTCATAGTTATCTGCATGATCATTCTCATCTCGTTCACCTCCAGCTTGTTTTGCCTCCCATGCCTTGATACCTTCGATGCTTGTTTCGTACCACGCTTTCTCGAGAAAATACTGTGGCGCAATCGCTAGTCCAGCCGAGACGCCCTGGTATCCCTCCGACAGTACCCCGGGGCCACGAAAGCGTCGGTACCAAATTTGAAATGGAATGCCGACACCGACTAGCCGACTTCTTTTAACAAATGACTTCTTATTTGGGGACAAGAAACGAGTAACTACACGGCGGATTTCTAACTTATGCATGGTTGTATTTATGTTTCAAAACGTTGGAAAAAATCGTAGTAAGTACACAGTCGCTCTGTTGTAAAGTAGAGTCGCTTTGCAGTGACACGACCCGTTCATACTTGTCGATGTGGTAACGGTAATCGCTTAGTAGCCGCAACGCGTGTTCTCGCATACGAAACGCAATGGGCGAGTCTGATGGGCATAAGCGTGCGTGAGTGAATTTATTCTGCCATGAGGAATGTCCGTTATCCAAGGAGTCCTCGACATCCGCCGGATGATCTGCGAGGTCACCTGAAAACAACACGCGAAAATGACTCCAGGTATCCTGCCTGCGCACTCCTCTGAGCAAAGGGCCAAGTGGAGCGAGTTCACTGGGCAATACGGATCGCCCATCGGCATCGTGCACCTTGACAGCATCATCAAATTCAACTTCTACGTTTTCTACCGGTTTCCCAGCAGCGCGGACGAAGATTCTGTAGGGAATGAGCAACAGCAACAGTCGATCTGCAAAGAACATGAACGCCAAACATGTCCTCCCGGCGGCCCTGAGGAAACGTTTCCTAGCCTGATGCTTCACCTCCCGCATGGCGACGACGCGGCAGCAAAAGTACCCTACCAGATGGCCGTGGCTTAAGGACACTTTCTTTGTCCTACTCGCTCATTGACAAGGACATGATGTTGAGACCACCCCACGTCCAGCATCGTGCTGACCCTACCCCTAGCGTCTTATTATGACTCGTCCACCACAACAACAATACCAAGTGGTCCCCAATGAATCTACTGGCTCTTGAAGCGCCAGTCCCTTCGGCACATTGGACACTTTTGCTGCTGCTGTTCTTGCAACCATTTGAGAATGCAATGGATGTGGAAGTGGTGAGAGCATTCTCCAGCAACGGGAGGACAGTCGTCTCCAGGCGTCTTGCAATCGGGGCAGCATGCGTCAAAACTGTTATGGCAGATGGAGCAAATGTCTTCATCAATGTCCCAGTGCCAAGAGGCAACAGGACAATACTGCACGATGCGTACCTTCATCTTTTTCATAGCTCGGTCTTCAGAAACTAACAATGATCTACTCGTACGTTATTTTGAATGACATGATTCAGTCTGTAAATCGAAATGTAAAAGGCATCGGCATCGCGCGGTTCAGCACGAATCTGAATTATCTTCCTCCACAGTCTAGATTTTCGCCAACGCACGATTGCTTTTGTCGCATCCATGAGTGATCTCATTTATACAGAGAGAGCAAACAGCATATTGAGAACACCTTCGCGAGATCCAAGCCGCTTTTTTCAGCGCCACCACACTATTGCGCAAACTTCGACCAAAAGTTGCAGAGGTCTAATACTCGAAATGAAGATGAAGAAGACAATTACAAGTATTCCTTGACAACCAAAAGAACAAATTTTTTATCATTTAAGACCGACGAGAGCATTCGTGCGAAAGAGCCTATGCGGGACATCAACTAAACTGGAGTTCGAAATTTCAAGCGAATTAAGAGTTTTTCCCCCCGTCGTTTGATTGACCATCCCTCACTCCTTCTAAAAGGAAGAGGAGCCAAAAGAAAATAGCAAGATTAGAACGAGTACAAGCCAGCGGAGTCAGACTGTCTGCCAAACCAAATATAAAAAAAAATAACTTTCCGCTGGTATCACCCATGAACCGCTTTTTCGCCCCAGAAAGATATCGTTACAATCAATATGCCGAAAATTACTCGATTACATGTCCAAGCAACTATTTTCAGCAACATGGTCCGCCCATTCATTGCCTTCTCCAGCATTCCATGTCAATATACTCATTTGATAAACTACAACTACCACTACTCGAATGACTCGAAATCGTGGCTATTTCAGGCCGCATGGCAGTAGGATGCAACTGACTTGATGATACAATATTCATCTACATTTCAAGATACTGAGGACACAAGCGGTTCTGGGGATGTTACTAGTGTCTTCGACCAAGAATGATGTAGAATATAAACAGGTCAATATAAACAGGCCATCGACACAATCGAGGAGATCCACTTCTTGTAGTAGAAAAGCAGCATGAAGCGCTTAGCCTCGCAGTTAGGTCCTTCCTGTTAATAGGTGTTCACGCAATTGTCGCTAGGATGTTCGGCGTTAGATCGCACGGAAAGGACCCATACAGGACATCGATATTCATCGATATCACCGTTGAACATCATTCGCCTCAACACATCGCTCCCCTCCTGCGCGATGATTCGACGTAGTACTACGAGCCACACATTCATAGTTTCAACATCATCACACCCTAAGCAGTTAGGGTTATCCCAACCTACCCCAGATACCTTGTTAATACCAACTACGTACACACATTCCAAAAGAAATAAACAAACATAGTCGGTACAACATCACACCTGAAAAACAGCAACGTGAAGAATTCACAACACACGACGAGAAGAAACCCAGGCTCAACTCTTTCCATAGGCTTTTTTATCCCCGTATGGAAATACACAGAGAACTAAGACTCGTCACCGTGACACAGAAACGAACCGCTGACTTTTTACTGATACGAAGTGCAATTACTTCTTCGAAAATCTTCACTTCTCTTACTCAAACACTAGAGGACTTGTGGTTAGGACGTTCCGACCCCCTCGGGAACATCCCCCACATATTTATTTTGTATAGTTTATACATCAATGAATGTAAAAATATGGTCCGACCTGGTCGTGGACGATGCCTGCTCATGCTCAATAAAGGAACGAACGAACCCTCCCGCGTGGCTACCTGCACGCAGCGACGCCTCTCAACGCGAGACCGACCCCAAAAGTCACCTGTCTACGGGCAACCGAAGGAGTTTTAGGATACAGACGCAGTAGCTATAAAACAAGATGAGTTGATTCACGTTCATGATCTTGCGTAAATTCTAAAAACAACAAAATGAAAGTTCTGAAAGAAACTGGTAGATTATCTTGGACAATACTTCTTCTATTAACTGTTAAATGACTACTCCTTCTGGGTATAAACACTGCACTGGTAATCTTCAATAATTTCCATTGCCTACACATACACAAACGAGGCTGCCGCGATTCGAAAACGCACGAGGTGAGTACGTGGATGCCGCTAAATGGAAAAGATATAATGGTTCTGACTGTATCGGTGAATGTTGCTTTCTCTACAACATCTCGTTTTCCGAATCATATCTTCAAGTGCAACCTACAGTATGAACAAGGGAAGAATTCAGTTATCAACCTCGAATGGTCATCCTATCTGTTGTCGTGAAGCGAAACAACACCGCCAAAATTCATCAGTTGAAGAGGAATCTTGATTCGAACATTACCTTTTAGTCTTATTTATTAATCAAGACCATTTTCCACGTTCACTCGGCATAAGTAAGAAGTCATTTTTACAGGCAGAAGATCCTACCTGCTCTCGTTGAGGACGACCATTTTTATGAAGTATTCGACTCTCTTTGTGAGTTTTTTCTGAAGAATGATACACAACCGTAATAAAAGGAGACAGTGTTTGCCAGCAGAGAGTAGGAGTGCAAGCGAAGATCTGCTGGAGCGTGCGATACTATCGAACTGATCCTCACAATGATCGTCATCAATAACTACGATTATTGCACTCATACAATCACGAAATAACACGACCTGCTCTATCAAGTTCGAACATGCTGTAAGAACGTGACCCATATTCTCTTAACCGCTTCAGTGCCGGATTTCCCATCTGTATTTCCAGCCTCTACGAGTTTGTCTTTTCCCAGCGAAATCGACATCGAGCGTCAGGAGTACTCTTCATGTATGAGAACGGCTGTACTCCAACTCCGTGGGCGACTTTACTAATTGGCAGTTGATGTTGAGTGTTACGCCGTCAGTAGTAAGACGGAGCTGCCCCAACTAAGGACTGTTGCATCGTTGCGTGCTGCTGCGGGTACCCCTGCTGCAGCGGCGGGGCCTGAGCATATCCTGTAGGATAAGTAGCAGTGTTGCCCGCGGTGTGAGGCGCCATCGACATCGCTGCAGCGGCGGCGGCTCCGCTCGCGTACGTGTCCACTGCAGACAGGCCGTCGTGGGACGAAGGCATTCCAGCTAAATAGGCGCTGTAGTCTTGATTGAGACCCGCGGTCGAATACTGCGGATAGCCTGTAGCAGCAGTGACCTGCACCAACGGATCCACCTGAAAAGTCGAATCACGTGGCCTATTCATCCTCTCTCAGTTGAGAGAAACGTTGGTAATCCCAAAGCTTTACTGGTGAGTCATATGCAGTCTGGATAGCTCTTGCAATGCTATTGCGAAAGGAAAACTGCAGTCTAGTAACCTATGCTGAAGAATGATAGAAAATACTGCGGCTTGCGCCCCGTAGGATGGTGGCAGCTCGTAAACACTTGCAGATGGAACAACCGCTGACTGATCCATATATCCCGGCACTGCAGCTCCCGACCTAGAAAAAGTTTCCTTCTATAATTATGAGAAAGTTAGATTGATGTGTTATTTAGTACATTGACAAGGGTCAGGCTCAGTTTGTCGATGGGTATCCATCAAGAGATCATTTTTATTGTGTTCGGAGACGAGACAAATAACTGATAAAGAGAACAAGAAGCACAAGTAGTTGACATGAAATGTCGCAGCTAGAATAAAAACAACAAAGCAAATAACAATACCTCGGTGGCACACCTGAATGCGGCAGTGTGGAAGCAGTGGGAAACGACGCGGGCTGATATGCACTTGCTGCACCAGTGGTCGTTGAGTAGGAAGGATAGTACGCTGACACATCGGGACGGGTACTGCGAGCAGCAAGTTCCGCGTCTCTGGAATTCGACCCGTATGTACGTGTAGGACTAGCCCCGCTGTAACCTGTCGCACTGCGTGATACAGTACGCCCTCCGCTTCGTTGGTCGAAAGCCGTCAGATATTCCCGATTTTCTTCGAGAGCCCGAACATCTGCAGTGAGAATAAACGAAAGATAGATGACGATGTTGTCCTTAGGAAAATATTACCAAACTAAAGTACCTTAATTATGGAGATCCTAAGCTCACCAATTATAGTCGCCCTATTTGGCTACCTGATGAGACTGGATGAATCATACAAGCTCAAGCACTCACATTCAAAACGCAAGAGAGCCCAACGAAAACGATGTACATGCTGGCAAGTCTTCGGGAAGAATGTGAGGAAAGCGACACTGCGATACGTTACAGCGGCCAGCAAGGAAGTGACGGCAAACGTTCACTTTATCCATTTCAGATTTCATGTTCATCGAACCCAGATTCACATGTCCCAGGTCCTTCTGCGCCGTAGCTGGTTTTTCCGCTGTCGTCGGGACCGAAGCGCCGTAGTAGTCTGCGGCATCACTGGTAATCGTGAAAATGATAACAATGAATCAGAACTAGATGGAGTTCTCGGGGATCAAGAAAACCTATTTCAATTTCTATCATGTTTACATGAAAGAATTACATGCGGAAGACGTCGAAATTCTCCGACAATGACGCGTGCGTCTTTACACTTAAACATAGACGCTGACATTTTTCACATGGAATAATACGCGCAGTAGATATCGTCGCGATCAGGGGAGTAATCGATGTAGCGATCGTCCCTACGGTTGCGGCTGACCTGCTCTCGCGGGCGGCGCGAATCGTCTCGGTAACACTCCTCATAGCGGAATTCATTCGAATGCATAAACCTACAGGCAAGGACATTGCAACGATTTTGCAGCCAATGTCGACACACCTGAGAGACAATGCGTTAAACAGTGGATTATTCCAGCATTAAAGATCAAGACAAGATCTTTTTAATACTACAGTGTTGGATGTGTGATATATTTACGGTGCCTCTTTGGGGAAAGATTCACTCTCTAGGAAAGTATGCGTTGGCAGTTTACTAGATTCAGAAAGCAATACAATGCGGGAGGTGTCATGCTGTTTCGACTGCTGCGGTCGCGCTGGCGGCGGCGGCTGTGGTGCAGGAGTCGGTATTTCAGCTTCTCCCTCCTGCGGTGCATTCGACTCATGCAGGAAACGACAATGTATGACGTTGCAGCGGCCGGCCAGCCTGATGTTTATTTACGAAGATCAATCACATATCCATGTAGGGTGAGTGTCTGTAAACAGCGCTGACTGGGTTCGTATTCGGAGTACCCCCATCGGAGGCCGAGCGAAAGCCCTTGGAGCTGCTTGTTGCGAGTTCCATCACAGAAAGACTTCCCCAAAGAGCGATATTCAACATGCAAAAGCAAATCATATGATCCTCGGTTCTTTTTCTATGTATGCGAACACGAGTGGTTTGAAGCTCATTTACAGGAAAGATCAAAAAGTACCAGTGTCTGCAGGCGACTGGAATCTTTTTTCTAGTTGTTCCACCTTCTCCTGGATTATCGCGAGCCACCGCGCTATTGAATTGCTCAATAATCTGTTGCGTGTCTTCATCTTCTCCACCCTATTGCATGTTTGATGGAAGGAAGGAGTGGGAGACGAAGACAAACCTTTCAGGACGAATCAGGAAACAAAAATCTGGTTCTATCTGGTTCTGGTTTGCCAGACCTGTTCGGGAACAAGTGCTGAATGCCTGTAGTAGCACATCCAGAGTCCAAATCTATGATACTGCAGAAACTGAAATACTAAGTGTAGATACTCCCTCTTCCACCGTCGTCTGCAGGCGGGCAGCGCGATCGCTCTTCGGTGTAGCTGTCTGCGCAGAGTGTCCGGAATTTGCTGTAGCGGGGATTTGTTTGTTGGTAATCTTTTGTGGATGATCCTATTTCCGAGTAGTCGGATGATTTAACTAGGTATCTAGCATGAGTTAGATGGTGCGAATGAAGCTACGAGCAACGTCCTTGAGACTTTTTGTGGGACGCTGGCTATTGCGATTGGGGGGAGAATCATATCTCGGTGTGGGAGGATAGCAGCCTAAAAATTTTTTTACACTGCTAGAACGTCTGTTATGTGCTTCGCTGTATAATTGGCTACACAACGATATCAAGACAGTTCAGACACTTCCTTTTTATCTGCATCGAAAATCTAGCAGGTGACCGGTCAACTTCTATATTGTGTGAAACCAGTGGTTGCAGTGAGACCGCGGGACTGCATGGAGGTCTTGTTCAGATCAGGCGTGACCAAAGTCGTCTGATCTATCGTGCGTTGTACCGCGACAAGGCGTCCGGTGTCATCGAGTTGCAGTTCGGTGGTAGTGCTCACAAGACCACCGGGGGCAAGCATGGGGCTGCTCGACGCGGTGGAGAAACTTTGAATATTCGTGCTGTTGCCCTCTGAAAAGGGTGCAGAACTCAAGATGGCCTTGTTCATTTCGGACTGGCCGACGCCGCCACCAGGGCCACTCATTCCTGACGCAGTCATTGATGTTGGACCGTTGTTGTTCAGACACGACGAAGCTGAATTTGGATGCTTCGCCTCGTCGACATCGACGAGAGCGTCGGCTGCGGACGATGCTAGGGCGCGTGCGTCCGATGCCACACCAAGCCCCGGAGCCACAGCATGTGGCACCATTCCGCTAGACAAGATGTTTGCTGTAGGCATTGACATCTGTGGTGCGTAGCAGTTGGACGTAGGCGCAGACGAGGGAATGATGTTACTGCTATGTTGGACTTGCTGATGCATGTGGTTTCCGTTCGTGCTGTTGCCCATACTGAATATACTAGTCTCATTGATCATGTCGTTGTGCTGAGGTGGATGAACCATGCTGGCCGCCGATGTCACCATGCTCTCTGCACCGCTGCTGGAAGCTGTTGCCTGCATGTCGGTGCGCTGTACAGTATTCGAAGTTGTATTCAAACCGTTGTGCAATCCGACGGCCTCTGGTACGACGCTGCGATGGTCGTTGTTCAAACTCCTTTCTTGTCCGCCTAGTAGAGTAAAGGACGATGTTGTGATGGATGGCTGAGAAGCGCCTCCGTTCGCAGGAGCACCCAGAACAGAAGAGGACAGCGCGTCGCCATGTCCTTGAATAGCGGCGTCCTGGTTGGTGGCAGTACTATTATCTGCGGCGGAAGAAGAAGAACTAGTTGGCTGAGATGAAGCTGCACTCTTGTTCTTATTCGGAGAAGTTAGGGCGGACAAGCCACTCCCAAAAAATTCGAATACTCTATTCATTGTCAATCGTTCTTACTGGGGCAAGAACAAGAAGTAGAACAGTAAGTCAGTAAAAACGTCGCTAAGCAATATCGCTAAAAATGTCAATGGCAATCGTTTCTCGTCAGAGTGCTCTGCGCGAAAAGAGTGGGGTACTAAACTACGTTCAAATATAGATCACTCATATGGGAAGAAAACGTCATTGATAATTTGTTCGTCTATAAAAAAAATGTTGTATTTAGTGTCCATATGCAGCGAAACTACTAAAAAAAGCCATGAGCCAAATGTAGGTCTATATTCTACATCTATATCAAGACCGATAAAGCTGCTGCTCTCAAGATATCCACACAAAGATCGACAAAAGAGCAAACCAGATACAAAAAACTTTGTTTATTTAAGTATATACTCCGAAACCGAAAGTCAACATAAGAACGCATATCTATTCTACGTACTACTCTGTCTACAACTTTGAAAAATAACGTTCACCAACGAACATATTTGTACTCAAATTATCCTGATTACTGAGACACCCCCGAAACCTTCCGTTCCCATTTATTCAAGCAACCTCATAAATTTGAACCACCGAGGTGCAAAGAAGGTACAACAAGTCGACTGACTGTTTTCACTATTGAGCACAACTGGCGAGTGTGCAGCTGTCTTGAAGATTAATTGTAACGCTACCCCAAAACGTAGATACAACTGCAAACTAGTATAGATATATGCGCCAGGGTTCAGGGTAGCGGCCGCCCTCCGAGCGCCGGGGGGGGGCGTGGATCCCCGGGCCTCTTTTGGAGGCGTCTGCCGGGGGTGGAAGGCTTCCAAAGAGGCGCAAGGGGCCTCTTTCCCTCGCTTCCAGCTGCCTGCGTGTACCCTACAGGTTTCCCATGTGCTGGCCCCTCGCCGCAGCAGCAGGGTGCCGGGTGCGGAAGGCCTCTGAAGGCGGCAAAAGGCGCAAGGCTGGACCCCCTCAGCCGTGTGGCCTGTAGCCTCCGGGCCCTTGGTCATCGGCCTCCTGCCTCCTGTGGTGAGGGCAACCCGGCAAAAGGGCCCAGGTCTCCAGACCGTCGCCGCCTTCGGCGGCCTTCTATGTCGGGAACACGCAGAGAGGCGCAAGGGGGCGCCCGCTCCCAGTTTTGACGCCTTCCACCCCGACAATCCGCGCAAAGCAGCTCGGAAAAGAGCGCGCAAGCGCCAGTGCAGGGCCATTCACAGGGGGGCGGGGGGCCGTGCGTCCCTATATCATATATAGAAACTTCACCTACTTTTGTATAACTCCACTTTTACCCAACTAAGACGAACTTACTTCTACATCAACTTGTACGTATTACGGAAGAATACTTCTGTTTTTTGTTTGATACAATTTTTCGATGCCCTGCAATTCTGTGGGTTTGAATGAATAATGGGCTTGCTCGACTGCACATGCGGATGCTAGGCACAAACCACGAGACAAATTCTAGAGCAGCTCAGAAAGAATCATCATATCCGAAGAAAGTATATCAAGAAAAATGCTCGAAAAATCAATAGCACTTCTTCCTTCCCAAGTACGCTGCAATGACGAAGGATTCCCGAAAAGTCTAAAAGAACCATTTCTAACTACGCCGCACAGTGCACGGATTTTTCTGCAACAAGAATAGATGGCATACATCAGAAAAAGATGTTGACAGTTCAGGTGTCACGCATGTTCACGGGAGCTTGCTACTCGATGAGTAAGTATGGCATGTTGTTCGGCAGATATACGTACACCTGTTGGCGGATTTCAAGTCCAACATCCATCACCGGTAACACAGACGAGACAAAACTCTTCATCCATCGTTAGATCAGCTCGAGGCCACACCAAAGACACATGCCATGGACAAGTCTGCAGCATGCCTGAGAAGTCCGCCAATTAGCGGCTGCAGAGTCATCAAGATTAGATCCATCACGGTTGCAAAACACAAGAACATCGAGACACAGAAGCAGCAACACACAATAATTGATGCTGTGCTGCAAATGTTGCAACCCAGGAGTATGTGACAGCAGAACAAAAGTCTCACACTATATACAGTTCAAGAAAATCATGCTCTTTCACGCTTGCGACATTGCAAGCCGGGCGGTTCGTTTGATTGCATTTAAGACACGGACAACACCGATGGAGAACCTACTTTCTCGACTTGAGCCATTCGAGCTTTTCATAACATCAATGAACCTTCGAATATCATTGCGCGTGCCCTACAAGATGTCAAGCACAGGGGGAACAACTGCGAATGAATCATGAATGACAAAGTACCATTGCTGGCCGACAAGGTCGTTCCGGTAAAAGCGGGTGACGGCTTCGCTTGCACCGCCGAGCCGTTTCCCAGAATGTCTGTAAAAAAGCCAACTCGGTGGTTTATCATCTTCCGTGCCACTTGATTAATCATCGTCCCTATGCTCGTGCGCGCGTTGCTGGCCACAGAGGCTCCTTCGCCTAGGCCTCCATTTCCAGTGCCATCGCCCGTACAGCCTGCGGCGGTCGAGACAGGTTCCCGTTCCGCCGCTGCCGAGTCCGCACAGCTAGTCCCGGGCGGTACCGTACTTGCACCTCGGAGGGGCGCCATCATGTGGTCTAGCAAACTCGTGCCCGCCGAAGTAGCCGCAGCGGTAACGGCTGTGGTAACCGAAGCTGCGACAGTGGATGGCGAGCCAGTAACGGTTGAAGAGACCACGGGATAATGGTTTTCAGACGGATTGGGTCGATGTTGCTGCAGATACGGCGGACTGTCGATTTCCAGGGTTTCCCTCTTACTGGCACTGCGATCTGTGGGCTGCTCTGGCTCTCTTCCGCTAGCAGTGTCGTTATCGCCTGGAGGACGAGCGTCATTCTGGTCTTGATGTGCTTCTGCAAGTTGCTGTCCGGGACTTAACGAAGCTGTCCACCTTGCAATCTTTTTATGTTCTGCTTCAGGCGCAATATCTACGGCCGCAGTAGCCGACCTCCCGGACCCATTTCTCATCTCAATGCTCGAGTACTGTGTCTGTGCCGCGGGCGAGTCCGATTTTGCGATAGCCGGGTGAACCTGCGCTCCCCCCGAGACCCGAGTCCCTCCCTGAGTTGCCGCAGTGCTTTGGCTATTTGCGCTACCTGCAAGAAGTATGTCAGTGCGATATTAGAGGCGTAGAAAATGCGTCACAAGTATCATCTGAGTAGCTTCATTCTCTTGTTTTCTTGTCCCAGATGACTTCGGAAACGTATTCCCTGCACCCTTAACTATGACTGACGCTCGTCGTGCTGCGAGTCGTATTGCTCCAGATCTTCCCAGCGCCTGGAGCGGTACTACTGCTACTTCCTCCTCCTGAGTGCAGGTGTACTGCTGTCGGCGGCCCGCCACTCGAATTCGTGCCCCCTCGATGGTGCGTGCTGTCCTTGCCTCGAGTACACAATACACCACCTAGAATGTCCCCACCCTGCTCCGCTGGCGGGATGGCTGATTCAGCTTTGACGCTCCCAATGCCAAGACAGCTTTCTTGCGGGGTCGAAGAACTCTGCGCAGCTGCAGTGGACCGCGTGGTACTGATCGCCGACGCAAACGCTCCCGTCACCTTGCTAGAAGACGCATGAGAAAGACCGCGCGTCGTTGATATTGTAGACGGCAGCTTCACTGGCGAAGACTTCTTCAGCGGCGCGGACATGAGCAGCGCCCTCTCGGAACGTCGTGGAGAAGAATTTTCTAACTGCATCTCTTCCATTACGTCTTCGTAATAACTCTCGGACCTGGGACGAACTAAGGATTCTACTCCGCCAGAAAAAAACTGCTCCAACTTCTGCCGCGTTTCCAAGTCTTGCGTCATGCTGTCGACGACGTGAAGCAAAGGAAAAAACGGAGACAGATACAAAATGATGATGCGACTAATGAATTTCCAAATCTACGTAAACGATACTACTTGAATACGATTTAATATCAAAATAAACATACTCTGTACAATAATGAAGAGACGAAAAAGAAGAACCGGAACTAAAACTACAGATCATCAACAAACCTAGACCGGACCAACAGGTGTCGCAGACTGAAAAGCCCCCTTCACAAAGAAGAGACTGCGGCAGCTAGAAGTGATCAACATCAAAACTTTTACTTTTTCGCGTTCATTAAATACTTGTTTACTGACATTATTCTCAACGATTACTATAATTCGACTCCAAGATAACAGACAACAACTACTCTTTCGAACTTCCTTAAAAAACACGAGAGAAAAACTCACTTGACGATAGCTTGACTAGAGAAGATGCAAGTTCGTTTGTGGCTTGGTTCTTCGAAAACACGCCTACAGTAATTCATTTCTACCTACTAGAAAACCTTATCAACGACCATCCATACTAACGCCAAGCCTACCGCTAGCTACTTACGAATTGAGATACGAACAAAGGACTGAGTAGAACTATATTCATTCTATATAATGAGAAACACGTCTCTTAGAAATACGTGTATAGATCGATACAATGACTCAAATAACTCCTCGGGCAGAGGCACAAAATGATGATCACAATTGAAAGAATATATCACGACACGAGTAGGACACAAATCTATCTACAAAAAGAACTAAACACTACTCGAGCACACATAAACACAATGTTGAGTATACTGCTTTTCGCAATTTCGTTTTCTTGGAAACAACAATATGTAATTAGTCCTATGTTGACATTGAAATTTACAGCATAGTTTGGGGTTTAGATGAAGCTCTACCTGGCAACGCTCTACCTAACGGATGATGTTATAGCAGTGTGCGTGGGCTATACGGTCTCCTAGGCTGCAACACAGACGAGCACAACCTCATTCCCCGCTAAGCCGCCTGACGCGTGCTGAACGAACTCGCGCGTGTGGATGACCCGAGAAACTCGGAATGCGTTCGAGCTTCGCTTCGTGAAGTAGACTTCCAGTCACACGTGGTTCATGCCCCTTCGGTCATGGAACGATCAAGTAGCCTGATACTAGAAGTCTTCGTCGCATACATCAAGATAACAACCTACCTGTCTATTTGCTTATCAATCTGTAAAAACCCAATTTACAAATCGGAGTATACATCTTCATCTCTGCTATCCAAATGCTTATACTTACCCTGTCTTTCCATTCTAAAACATCTGGTGTGGGGAGGAAGCTCATCGAAATCACTCTGGAAGGACGTTATATTTCTGAAGCTCTACTTAGCACACAGCAGTGGCAGCTTTTCTGCGTGGAATTTTCGTCATAAAACCCGAGACCGTTTTTATTGTGATTCCCGATTCTTTCGCAAGCAGAGTCTTTGACCCATTTTTTCTAAGTGAAGACTATTACTTTCTCTCTACATACAGCTACCATTACCATGTAATCATTAGGGCCAAAATTTAATAGATCCCACTCAGCACGTGCAAGGAATCTTGCCAACTCAAGAGTTTTCTGGAGATGTTCCTCTCTTCTCTTGTGACCACTCGTTCCTCTAGCGCCCTCGGCTTTCTCTCTCGTATAACGTCTTTCAACGGTCCAGGCATGTCCATCCGCACAATGCCAGACTTTCTCGTCTTTTAAACTAGGCTTTTTGCCAGTTGTGGACGCCATGCATTTGTCTCTCAATGAGTATCAATATTGGCCTCAAATTTTACTTACGTTCTAAAGAAATCGAGGACTCCATTCAAACGTCGATACCGCATCCGCTCGGAAGTAAGATTTCATTCAATTAGTGCGAAGGTAAGATTTCCAGAAGTAAACTCACTTTCTTCCTGTCGCCCACGACGGTCTGTTTGTAGTGCTACATCAACTACTTCTCGAGTACCAGATGATGTACTCCGGATAGCACTGATGATTGTCGTAGACGATAAACTCTCGGAAAGTATTCCGACACTTTTCTCGATCCCCAAGAACGCAGTTGTACTCTCCACGTGTGCACTGCTTCACTAAATCATCCACGTTTGGGTGCATTTGATCGGTATAAAGCACATTTCCGCACGACACGCGACACAGCAAAAGCGGCCGCAGTCCATTCGTTTTGTAATGAAAGCAAAGCACAAGGATGACCTTGTGCGCAGCAGATGCTGCAGGTGCAAAACGGGCGGCGTACATAGATGATTAACATTATGAATATTGTCAGCTTGATGAACACAACACTGCATGCAAATAATCACTCACAAGACCTGATCCACCAACCTGATCTATCAAGTTTGGTAAGCATAACCAGTGTACTTGTTCGTGTCCGCTTCCGTGTATTCGTCGGACTTGGAGCATGCTTCTGCGAAGTAAACGCCACGTCCGTAGAGGGTTCCAGCATGGCTGCCAGCAAGATCCACGCGAAAATCCGCATTCGTGATCGCGTGCGCCGCCTCTGGCCGTGTCCCGTGCCAGAGATAAAACTCGTTCAAACCTGGTGCGATCGGCTCTTCGTCCAGCCCGAGCGCATCGGCCCATTGCTGCCGTGCGCGAAAAGTTTTTACACCCTGTGCGTCTAGAGTATTGTATCCGCGTATCGATCCTTTGAGCGAGCTCGCACTGGCATTCGATTTGTTAGTGATTTTCCCAAAAATTTCGTCCCGGCGACAGACATAGTTCAGATAGTTGCTAGGCTGCTGCACTTGGATCACTTTCATGACACGCAATGACTGCGGAACGACTTGTCCCTTACGATCGCGCGTGTACTTTCGGACAAAGGTGGCATCGACCAAGTCCTGAAAAACTTGGCGAATGCGCCCTTCCGCTGTGATATCCGGTTTCCAGGCCTCATCTTTGCGCAGAAACTGGAGAACGTCCCAAGTTTTCGGAAGGTTGCGCTGCGTACGGTAGGCCTCAATCGCCTGCGTGTAGAGCACATGATCCTGCAACTTGAGGGAAACAGCCAGATTCAGCGCGCGACCCATCTTTTCCTCGTGTTGAATGAAAGGCACATCATGCGCCGTTCTATGAGTTGTAGGTAGTTGTTAACGTCGCGTCAGTACCAGTAACAGACCTACACTGGCCTTGGCTTCTTCGCTTTTTTTCAAATTTGAGAAAAAGAAATCCCGACTACTTTTCTACCTCCTAGGCGGCGTATCAAAATCTCAGGAACATAACTATCAGGTCTGCGCCGCTAGGACGGCGCGACCCCTGCGCCGCTGAATCTGCCACGACGGTCTGCATGACTACTTCCTCGAGCATGCGCAAGCACTTTTTGTGCGGCAGGTCCACTTCCAGTGCGCGCTTTGCCTCCTCGTAGGCACCGCCGACCGCTTTCACCAGGCTGAATTGTCGACACTGCGACAACACCGTGGAGATCCGCTGTTCTGACTCGCTGCGGACGGCTTTTCGCAATAGATCGCCCATGACGCGACCCGATGCCTCGCGTGCGGCGCGCAATTGTGGCAGATCTTGGTCCACATTGTAATTGACCCCCTCTTTCGCGGCCTCTGCTGCTAGTTCCTCGCCGTAACTAACAACACCCATGAGCGCCTGAATATCCTGAAAGAGCACAGCTTGGTCCAAGCGAGTTCCCAATACCGCTCGCATTTTCTCCAGCTTCAGTTAGCGCAAAAATGCAGGACGAACCGGCTCTACTACACCACAAGCAGAACCTCGCGTAGCAGCATCTCATCAACATCGTAGACCTTCAGTCTACTGCTTCGTGCCGAATCGTTCACGAATTCATTCCCCTGTGTATCCTACGTCAGAACAAAACGTGGAGCTACGTGTGTAAATATGTTACTCGTCGAAGACGATGTAGATGAAAAAAAACGCCTTCCATAATTCAGAGTTCGCCAACGCGCAAAAGCCTCCTTATACTCCGCGACTTTATCATCTTGTTGATGCTGACGGGCCGCCATCAGTGCTTGGGAAAGCAGCGCGAGTGTTTTTTCTCGATCATTCCCCGCGTCCGCCGCAAGTGCTTTGCGCAACTGAAGTGTCACTAGTCGCTTCACGGCCATTTCGTCCCGCAGCATCTGACCAAGAGGGCTGTCTTTGCTGATACCTGGTACGTAGTGCGCAAAAATATAGCGCAACCATAGGTCTACTTTCCTAATATCATCGATAGTCAGTCTTGACTAATTCATTCATGCTATTGATTTTTCTATTTACTTAATGTTAGTCCGTCGTGCATGAGCCTACCTTGTGCCAATTCGATTGCCTGGGAGAGCGCCTGCTCGTCCTCCGAGTCCAACTGCGCCTGGAGCAGTGTCGCCAGGCGATCCAAGCACGCACGAGCCTGCGGCTCGGAATCGAGAAGACCCAGCTTTTGAGCCCCATCCACCGCATCGAATAACGCTTGGACTTCCCCGATTCGCAGCGCCAGCGTGCATGCGAGACTTACATTCTGACGCAAGCTCGTCGAAGATGTTTTTCTTGTAGCACTTACTCCACTAGCATTCATCTTCGTACTGTCATCCTTATAATTGCTGATTGCAGCGACAATGGGTGTCTGCCCGTTGCGGTTCTGAAGCTGCAGAGGCATCTGGTATTCGTCGATTAGCAGCATGGCGATGCGTGACTGTCCGTGGTGGCAGGCTACGTGCAACAGGCTATTTCCGCATGCGGGCTCCCGATAGCCATGCACGTTTAGTCCCTCGCCGTCCTCCAAAATATCCAGCGCGGCCTGCAGGCACTCCGGCTCCGCCTCGGCATTCGCAATCAAAGCGTGCAGGAGCAACTCCGTTGAATTCGAAAGCGTGCCAATGTTCGGTGTGGCGAACGCACAATGCAGCTCCCCGACGCGGACTCCACCCGATCCGAAAATGGGTAGCACTTTGACCGGCTGGGCGCCTTCGTTCGCCAATAGGTCTTTCAGTGTCAGCCCAAGATTGATTTTGCACGTCCCGACAACCTTCCCACTACGCGCCGTCCCTTTTGACGCTCGGTCGCCTTGGCAGCAAGGCAGCATATGGCGCGGGCGGGGGACTGAAGATTTCTCAGAAAAAGAGTCACACATACGAATCGCTCAGGGTAGACAGTAGAAGAATTGAGAGGTCTTTGAAATAAAAAGATGAAATATAATTAAGTGACTCGTCTGCTACACTTCTGACCTAGTCCAAAAAAATTCGTTAAGTGTGTAGAAGTTACACCAATTACAATGTTGTTTGAAGAATCTTCAGTTCTTGTACTAGCTAGAACTAGAAGATTTCATATCAGCATCCTTAAAGTAGAGCGGTCAAAAGCGAACCGCGTTCCTGCATCAGGTGTACATGCAGGCTCTGACCACCGTGCGTTTTGTATATAAGGCTGACTGCAGCCGCGTCCGCGCCACGGAACTCCAGGAAGGCGCGCTTTCCACCGCTAGCGCTGCTCAGAGTTCCACTTGTGAAGATGACTGCCTCTGAGGATCCGCTAGAAGTACCACCGTATCCATTTAGCGGAGAGGACGGAGTTCTTGCTCCAGCATTCACTCCGTGGTTCGTCTTTGTGGCGCCTGCCCCGACGACGCTACAGCTTCCACAGAGCTGGACAAAGAAACCGCCCAAAGTCGCATCGCCATCGACGGCCAAACGCTTGAACTGTAAAGAAAACGGAACTTCGAGGTTCGTCACCCCGGCCGAAGCGGAGAGAGAAAGTTCGCGATTTCCGACGAAAACGTCTGCGCGCTGCTTCATCTTGCGGAACCGCGCATCCGCTCTATACGAGTTGTAGAGATCCATTTTCTGTCTGTGCCACAGTCGTTACCTAAGGGAAGTTTTTTTCGTCTCTTTATCTTAAGTCACAACCGCAATCTTCAGTCGAAAGACATCAAAAATTTCCGCTGGGGATCACTCCGCTGGAGGCATCGCGAGCAGCTTGGCCAATCAACAAAACTATAAAAGCGGCACTCGACCGATTCTACCCTTTGCGCCATCTGCTAGCCTAACCCCTTACTCCAAAGAGAGACACAAGAGGGACAGCCTTTACATCCAACACACTGTTGGCTGGCATACTTTTCCGGCAATGGTACCAAGACCAACCAAGTCCCAGTAATTCGTTTCTAATTTCATAATAAAATGACAGTGAAAAGTACAAAATGAAACAAAAAAAACTTCTGTCACATCTAGTCTGGAGAACAGGTTGAAAAATATGAGCTTCCGAGGGCCCGCTTCGGTCCGTGGCAAGCATACACCCATCAACATCATGACAAAAAAAGTGCTGAGCAATCAGACATAATAATTTTGAAACTCTGGTGTCGTGGTGCGCTCCTAGCATGCTGTGACATAACTGTGCAAAATATGAATTACACTTCCTTCCTACCCGACGCAAAGCTTCACCTGGACGAGGACCACGCGGAGAAACAAGGGAGGCCTACCTCCCAGGCCTTTCAGAGATTGCGATTTCTCTAGCAATCGCGGCTCCTCGCTTTGGCCTGCTACCCTCGCTTCCGATCAAAGAAAACAAAGTAGATCTGATCAAGTTGTAGAGAGAGGAAACAAAAATATCAACAACGAGAACGACAAAGAGAATGCCGATATTAAGTTACACCCTTGTTTACATTTCCTTACGTAGATCAAGATCTTCGAGGTACTGCGTAGCGACTTCTAGATCATGTCTGCGGTCACTATGCGCTGACCATCCATCGTCCCATACGATTGCGCCTTTACTCTCCTTAGCGAGATGAATCTCTCATCATCCTGACCTGAATTGACTTCCTTGAAATACCGAGAAGCGGAATTAGGTCTAGAGGTGGCGGTACGCAATGGCGTGTTCTCACTCAGTAGAGAAGTCCACTTGGGATGATGAGCAACTGGCCTTAACCTTGGCTTTCCGAGTTCCGAGTTGGTGAGACGAAAATACAGGAGATATGTCAAGTGGAAAAAATAGAGATGAACGGCAACGACTGCCGCAATCACGAGGAAATACGATAGCTCTTTAGTGCCGCAGGACACGTTTACCTGATCATTGATAATTACATATTCATGCTTTCGTTCCGTAATATCACAAGTGAAGAAGACTCTTGCTTGTCTGATTTCATACGGCGCACGAAACAGAAAACTAGGAGCAGAAGATGAATCCCAGAAATCGACAGAGATTACAACTTCTTTCAGGAAAAAGAGCAAATATTACTCGAGGTTTCAGAAGTACAACGAGAAACTATAATTATACCACGCCATCGTCGGGCGGCTCAGTGGCGACTTGTCCCGCAGAGCGAATAGGAGCACTGCCACTGGCGGGACTTGTGAAGCCCAGCGACCCTTTGAGCTCCCCGTACGCCCCGCACATGTTCGCCATGATGGAATTCAGCAAAACCGATGGAACCATAACGCACACGCGTAGTGCCAAGTAGATCAGATAACCACGTAGATACTTAGACGTGTGAAAGAAGTGACGGAAGAGCCCTCTCTTCATAGATACTCATATCTTTACGAGTTACATAGTTTAGACAGAGCCATATCATCCTCCGGTCGATTTTCTTGGATCCCCACAAGGCACCAGACCGGAAAAATAAGGCCCAGAAAGTTGACAACGCTGAGAAGCGCTCGTGTTTCGGAAATATTCTCGGAATAAAATCCAAACAAATTAGAATATACATGTAGATACCTAGTTGTTTCAACGTAGAAAATTGGTCTTAGCCATGCCAACATCAGCAAATATTTCATCGTTTGATGCTTTACAACAGCGCGTTATCAATTTGAATTTCTTGATTTTTCTCGCATAAAATTGTTCCAGGTGTTAGAAGTGGAGATCATCATCATGGTGTCCCATTTAGTACTTCGAGCCTAATGCGGGGAAGTGGAGATTCTACTTATCCCTAGTAATATTAAAGATAAAGTATGTAGCATTCTTTTATGTTGTTGGAAGAAATTTGCTAGTTGTGATTAATAGATTTAATATGAGACTTAAAAATGGCCGCGGTCGTCGGGAAGAATGCGCTCAGAATTAGACCTGAAAAGCTTATTCCGATGATGTTCAAGCATGGCTTTGTCCTTGATGAAAGTTGTACTAAAACTGCGATACGAAATAGAGCAGAAGTCTTGATCTTCTTGCTGTTGTCAGTCTTGACGGTGTTGAATATTAAAGAGCTAAATTAAAAAACAACAACGACCCCGCCAAACTCTCACTCTCCCACTTCCAAACCCCAAACTCTCCCTCTTTCACATTTGAACTCATGAACTCACGAACTCATGAACTTAGAAACTTGCGACCTTATGGGCTTGGGAATCAAATCCAAAAAATTGAATCGCGGCAGAACTTGCCAAAGTCAAAAACTTTGAAATTGGGCTCACACCTATGAACTTACGAACTTACGCACTCCTGAACTTATGGGCTTGCGAATCAAATCCAAGAAATTGCACCTCGGCTAAACTTGCTAAAGTCAAAAGTTTTGGGATTTGAGGGATTCAAATCCAAGAAGTTGGGCCTACACTTATGAACTTACGAACTTCCGCACTTCTGAACTTATGGGCTTGCGAACCAAATCCAAGAAATTGAACCTCAGCAAAACTTTTTAAAATCAAAAGCTTTGGGATCTGAGGAATTCGAATGGAATCCAAGAAATTGGGCTTACACTTATGAACTTATGAACTTGCGCACTTCTGAACTTATGGGCTGGCGAATCAAATCCAAGAAATTGAACCCCGGCCAAACTTGTTAAAATCAAAAGTTTTGGGATTTGAGGAATTCAAATACAAGGAACTGGTCTTACGAATCAAATCCAAGAGCTTGAATTTCAGAAAAACCTGCTAAAGTCACAAACTTTTGGATTTGGAGTTTGGGGATTTCAATTCAAGAAACCCCTGAGGGACTTGCTAAAATCGAAAATTTTTGGACTTGAGAAATTGAAATCCAAGAAATTAAATCGCAGTGAAACTCGCTAAAAAAAGCGCAAGTTTTTGATTTGTGGAATTCAAATCCAAGAGATTGAACCTCAGCAAGACCCACTAAAATCGAAAATTTCTGGATTCGAGCAATTCAAACCCAAGAGGTTGAACCTCAGCGAAACTCGCTAAAGTCGAAAACTTTTGGATTTGAGGAAAAAGATTGAATCCCAGAAAAGCTCCGAGATGTTTTTACCAAAGTCGGAAGTGTTTGGATTTGAGCAATCCAAACCTAAGCGAGTGAATCCCCGAAAAACTTGCCAAAGGAACCCAAACCCAAGAAATTGAATGCCAGGAAAAATTTGCTAAAGTCGTAAACTTTTAGATTTGAGCAATTCACGACCAAGATCTTGAATCTCAGAAAAACTCGCCAAAATCAAAAGTTTTCGGATTTGAGCAATTCAAACCCAAGAAATGGAATTTGAGGCGAGCTGAGTGCTCCGCGGGTTACTTCGAGAGGAGGGGAATCCTAGCGCGAGGGGGTGTTGTCGGGCGCTCCAGGCTAGTAACTTTTAGCACAATCTATCGAAAGTGCTTGCTCTTTCAGTTCTCGAATCGTCATGATGATCAACATGAATTTCTAGCCAATTTTTGTAAATACTCATATTGATTTTCATCTGGACACCAATTACTAAGTAGTACTAAGCAGTACCGATTATCGACGCAAGAAAGGTGAAGACCGCATAGCCTGCCACAGCTGTTGTAAGCGGAATCAGGTCGAAGAAGACGCACGCGCGATCAGGATTGCCGGAAAGCCACGTTGGTTCTTTGAATTGGTTTACCAGGTCTTTCTTGAACTTGTTGATTCGCATCAGGTAGAGCATGAGCTTGTATTTCTGTGAATCGGCGCACACAAGAATTTATGATTCTGGTAGTGCATGTTGTTAACCTAATTCCAAACTGATCTGGATTATACGCATCCAAATGATCACAAACGCAAGCACACCCACGAGTCATACATACGTTGCACCCACAATTTTTCCATACAGCCGTTGCGAAAAACCAAGATTGTGGTAGATATTAGTCAGCAAGGAAGACTCAGAGTCGGAATAAAAGCAATAAGCAACTGGCAGGTCGACTGTATTCACCTGTGACTCCGAGTTCAAAGGTGACAATAAAATTGCATTCTGCAGCAACTTCACACAACAATTTATCGATACCTCCCGCACAAGCACGGCTTCGACAGCCACAGCCACAAGAATCAGCATTGCCGTAAGCCAAAACGGAATCTTTTGCGCTACCGCTTCATCAAATAAAAGGTATCCGAACAAAAATTTAGAAATGTTGTACAAGTATTTTTTCACATTATTATAATGCATGGATTTACAAAATGAAAATCATTCGGCAAAATAGGCCATTCGTGCTAACCTAAAAAACCAGGGCAACGATGATGGCGGTGATGATGATGATTAAGATTCTGATTCATCATCAGGATTTTTGAAATAATCATAATCATGGCCTACAACTTCGTTCTCAGACTGATAAACAGCGAGTCATACGGTACGGCAGGAAAAAAAATAAGGACAGGACGCGCCAGTATAGTCCCCATTTCAGCGCGACCGTATCGTTGAAATGCAACGAGTACCAGGACAGCACCGCTGCCAGCACATCGACACCTCCGACGGCGCAGAAGAACGCCAGCGCGGACGAACTCTGCGTACTTTTTGGGAGTTGTGTTCCCACGATGAGCAAGGCGCAGCCTCGCGAAAATTAAAGGCACGGGATGTCTCGAGATATCGAGAGAATGAGAAATATCTTTATCATTGTTAGTACAACCCCGAACGACATGTATAAAAGAGGTAAATTTTAGTACACCTCAAACATAGGACGAACCGCATACGTGTTCGAAATCCTTGCACGGAATGCACTTTCGGTCAATTTAATACATCTTTAAAAAAACGATCATTCATAAGATAATAGCTGGACATTTAAGATATGCCCACCCGTGCGTAGAGGCAGAACATTCAGAAACTTGGCTGGCGGCCTCGCCTCCTGAGCTCCGCGGGCGTCGCTGACAACCTGCCCGGCCGCCCCTCCTGGACCGAACACTGCTTCAGCCATTTTTCTTCTAGAGGGGACGGAGTCCGGCAAGCTTCACGTGTCCCACCGTGTTCCTCGCAGAACCCCCCATCTGAGAGCCTTCAAAAAAGATTTAACAGCATCAAGAATGAGACACATCCGCTGTCGCACTCGGCTGTTACCAATAAAAATAATCTTTCGATCAGACTCCTAACAACCTAGGTGGAGGAGACAGATATCTTAGGTACCACCTCCAGCACTTTTCAGTTCCTTTTTCGCCTGCAGTCTTCTCTCGCAGGTATAACGCATTTTCTTCTCACTGTTTCTCATTATCTCTAGTCCTTGTGGTGAGTGATGAACGCACCATAAGACATTGAAATGCCTGCAGTTCTTCTTCCTCAATGCGAGGCAAGCACGGGCAATAGTTCCAACACTTGTTGAGCCTAGCCATTTGTTCATTGGCGTGAGAACAGCGCTTTCTACTGTCTAGAGGGTTGCTAGGTTTCAATTATGCGAGCGATGAAGCCACAGATTCACAGGATTCCCACTAAGAAAAGCGAACTTCCACTTTGCGCCCATTTTGCTTTTTCCAAGTGGAAACGCGTTCGAAGTACGCTTTCTGTCTTCCGATTTGCCTGCTCATCTGCCAGTACGAAATTTGTTTTTCTGAATCCAGAAGAATTTCACTTGCCGGTTCCGATAATAAATTGACTAAAAACTGACGCTTAGCCTCCCCATCTGCGCCAGGATTCCGGAAGCGCGAAAACCAATCACCATAAGAAACATGCCGAACATTCCAACCAAGATGTGACAGTAATTGATGCTGCAACTTTCGAAGACGCGTATATCGATTCGTGCCGAAGTAAAATGCCGTCTGGCGATCCAACAAAATGCAGTTTCTACGATCCCAGTCTGCACCAGCGGCAGCGTCTCCTTCGTCTTGTTCGTGAATATTATTGATGTCGCTTCTGCTGCCTGAGCTATTGACCACGCTCTCTAGGCCGATATCAAGCCAGAAGGGACCCCAACGGAAAGCATTACGGTGATTCAACTCCAGAATCGAAAGGTGTTTGCTAACATTCCAATGAAATCCGTCGGGCGACTTCGAGAAGCAGGGTATATGCCGCATTGCCAACTTTGCATAGAACTCTTTCTCCTGCTTCGTCAGGTCTCTCCACACTTCCGGAAACAGAACTCGACATACAACAGCAGTCTCGTATGCTTTGTAACATGAAGGTCATTGATCACTATGATTTTTATCTGCCTTCTGCGACAGGAATCTAAAAGCGAGTAAAGCTGCTCCTGCTTCACATATTGACTAGTCAAAATTATTGAACTACAGCGCTTAGAGATATTGTATCTAGTCTAGTATAAGTAAGTAAGTTCGTATCCTGGCTCGTAGTAGAGAGGGAAGGAAGTCACTCCTCAAAAAATCTCACATAACAACAAGTGATGCGGCCTCGAGGTGACGAAAATCTTACGAAATCGAGCCAGAAGGTAGTGAATAAATTCCGGTCGGTCAATGGCAAAGACTGCCGCAGTCACAGGATTCACAGCGTCACGAAATTCTTGCGCAGTGCAGCGGTCATACTTCTCGAGCAAGGCCTCGACCAATCGCGCTCGTAGACTATCCGCGTTTTTGTGATGGACAGGTCGATCTCCCTGCAGCATCGCAGGAAGCGTTTCAGTGAGGTATTTTCGCAGGGACAGCTGAGTTGGAGAGCTTTTTTGCAGCTCCACTCCCCTACTTTGGGAAGGCCCGCCAGTCTCTAAACCATTCGTAGCACCCACCAACGAAGCAGCAGTTGCGCCACCCGTGCGTGATGACGTCGATAAAAACGGATGCTGCTCGTGGTTCGAAAAATATTTGTCATTCGCAGGTTTTCTCTTCTCTTTATTGACAATGCTGGCCTTACCGTCTCGCCCCGAAAAACTACTACTCTTCTGCTTCTCCCCATGAGTAAATCCCTGTATGACGTCTAGGCTAGCACAGGCATTCGCGATCTTGACAAAGTCGGGTGGTCGGATGTCCTCCAGTTTGTCTAAGGCAGTTCGTAAAGCAAGCTGACACAACTCCACATCGCGATAGTGAATGCGCTTGAAGCACCATAAAAGCGACATCAGTCCGCTCGAACCCATGTGCGGGATCTGCTCCACGAGGTACGGACGGATCCCGAGATAAAGAAATGAAAGTGAGACATGACTCTTCTTGGATTTGGATTTGGAGATTTAATGAGCGAAGTGCTTTTTTTTGTAATGCCGGGAAGATTGAAAGAATCCTAAAAGGCCATGTGAAAAAAACCTAAAAGGACTTTTACAACGAATCCCCGTGGTACATGATCAGCATGCCATCGTTATGCGAGATTAACAGAGACGATCACCTCATTTCTGGAATCTCAATTTCCGAAATCAAGACAGAGATAGCTTTCTTCTTCAGGCAAATCTTTGCTGCATATGCCACAGTCTTCCAACAAAATCTTGCGCCATAAAAATTCTCTGGACAAGTATTCTGCTTTTCCACATGCCCACAAGGCGTACCCCCAATCTACTGGATCCAGGGAGTCTGCGATCTCCAAAACCCGCGCCGTGTACCCTTTCCACAATGAGATATCGCGTTTTCGCCACATTGCGGCCTTGTGCATGCAAGCCGTTACGTATTTGGCGTCCATGAGACCCGGGTCGGACGTTAACACGACCGGCAGAGCGATGCGAAACTTTCGTACGCGGCGTTGCGACCAAGCTCGGAACCTCTTGTTGTACTTCGTGATGCCTTTTCTGCGGAGTCGATTTTCTGCGCGCGCGGCTCGCACAGCAAGCCGTTCAAATGGGCGCACCTTGTTGGCTTTCGTGTTACTGTCAAACACAGTCCGAGAGAGCGTAAAAAAAGCTCGACGAGAGCTTTTGAAAACTCGCGCTGTGTTGAACAACGGAGTGGCTCTCCTGTTGAACGAAGCTTGCGGTCGGAACGCCATGAATCCGGAGATCCCCTCAGCACCGTGTTCTGTTAAACAGCTGCAAACCGTGTTCTGTGACAAATCGTTTCTTCCTTGCGGCGGGTCACTCATCTGCTTACCAGTGCCATTCACCCACGCGATATGATGCTTTCGAGGTATTAATTGACTAGGTGCGGATGCAAGACACTTAGCTTCGCGACGGTTCCCCACTCGCACCGTCGGCGTCACCTGTGTCGTGATGCCCCGTATCCTCGAACCGCAAGTAGGCGTGCCAGAAAGGGGAGCCACTGCGCCGAACATCTTCATTTTGTTGCTGTTTTTCATCATTATATTTCATTCACCAGATTTTTTAAAGCATTTCAGAGATGGAGTATGGTTATTTCGATTGACCTCGTCCATGCGACTCCAGGTAAAGGTATGGATCGTGAAGGAAAGAGGGAAGAATAAAGTGCGTCAAGATCACCGCCGCTGGCATCGTCCTGACGCGGTTAAAACCAAACAGAGCTCCAGTTTGGAAAGAAGGCAGATGCGATGACCAAAAAAAGCGCCGCAATTACACCTAAATTCAACAGTGTGTCTCTGTAGACTCGTCGCTTGTTCAAACGCTCCCTCGCATCCCGTTCGTCGTCCATCTTGCTTCTGTTATTATGCTATGAAACCAGTGTAGTACAGAGACGATTGATGGGGATCGTCGAAGAATAAATAGCAAATGATCACATATCAACGGCTTCCTCCTCTCTTGTAGTTAGGAAAGGAACACACAAAGAAAAGACGAGGTGCTAAGTCAGATTAGATTCTGTTCGTTTTCTAGGTTGCTACACTCTCAGAGCAGGCCGGAGACAGTCATGTATCATCTCCCTACTCAATGTCACGTTGCAGCCCGTTGTCGCATACGACAAACCAATACTTGTTCTTGACGCGCCTGTTCCTGTACAGAGACTGGTAATGATAGACGACCCGCGGAACATTGAGCTTTGCCGAACACTTAGCATGGCCATCCTGCAGACGCTCATCCAGAGACCATCGGCGTCACAGATTGTAATCTTCATCTGTCGTGAATGTAGGAATTATACCATCGCGTGCGCCTTGCGGAAACTTGATTGCGACACTTCCACATATCGCTGACGCAAGAGCGATCCCGGCAAGAATTACACGCTTGAATGAAGTAAGCACTTCGCGTCTCTCGTATGGGGTCCACGACTCACCACCAATCATTTTAAAATCTGACAAAGCTAAAGCTCCTGAAAAATCTTTAGCTTCTGAATCCACACTCCCAACACCAAGGCTATTCCTATTTTTCCTATCTTTCTTCAAATCTTCTAGCCGGGCACCTTCACCGTCACCTTTCTTGCTTACTTGTACGAATTGGATTTGTTCCATTTTCTTCTGCAACTCCTCCAGTTCGCCCGACGTGTGCAAATCTCGCAGCTCGTCAAACAGCACTTGTGCGCCCTCGAATCCGCACGCACCTTCACTCTCTAAACTTTTTAAAACTAGGGAGATATTGCTCCGGTCTACGAAATTCCCGCTTACGGCGATACAAGGCTCTGCATTCCAAACTTCGTGCGCCCACCCGCTGGGCACAAAAATCGCTTCTCCTGCACCTACTTCGCCCTCGTAAATGGTTGGCTGGCGCAAGCCTTTCTTGGCAACTTTCGCGCGGACAGGGCCTCTTAATTCTGCTTTCAACAAAGGCTGATGAAGGCAGTCTTGCGGGAGCCAGGGGGACGAAAGGTCATCCAAGTAGAACGGCTCTAACAGCGGCAGATCCGTCGGAGAGGCCAGCCGATAACGCTTCCGTCCGACACACACAAACTGCCAAAAATGGGTGTGCGAGAAATCTACGTGAGGTCCAGCTCCCGCGCAAGGGCCCCGAAAATTTGCGAACAAAGTCGGAAAAGCACTTCCCGACATCGGAAGAGCCCGCACCTGCGCGGCGCTCAAGACATCTACGTGCGGCAACGGCGGAAACGGTCGAAACTGCTCAGCAAACGCCCGTCCTAGCCGCGTGCGCCACAACGCGAAGTCAAAGATCAACGGTCCACTTTGTTGCTCCTCGTCATGACCACCCACGTGAAGATTAGCGCTTCAGCTCCACTCGGTGGTCTGCAACATACAGGCATCAGAGATACTGAAACTCAAAGTTTCAGCGAGAGCGACCAACCTGTCAAATAGGTGACATTCGTCTACACCACGTACAGGGAGGTGGTCATCAAAGCGTCCCGCATCGAATGAGAGTTCATCCTCGAAAACAACACAGACTCAGCTTCAGTAAACAGCCTTAATTTCGGCCTCGTTCCATAGCTCGCGAAAAGTTTTGGTCTCCTGGTCGTCCTGCAAATGGCCCCATACAGGGTCCGCGCTGCCGTCTATACGACGCCGGGTGGGCAGCCGTAGGTCTCCTAAGAATTCCGACAATCGCGAGAAGTCTCGCAGGAAAGGTGGAACGGTACCACCGTAGTCATTACTGGACGACTTTGCTGACATCGATTCTCGACAATTATACACGAATGGTCGGTCGCGGAACCGCAACGCTTTTTCCCCACAACTTATTCGCGCAAGGGGCACTGTTACACGAGAACTATGTTCATGAAGCTCACGATCAATGGCATTCTCTTTGCCTCTGCCTTCTCGAAGTCTCCGAGGAAGGTTTTCTTCGTGCTTTCGACCTGACGCGCTGAAGCCCATCCGAAGCTGCTGTCGCCGTTCTCGGAACTCTATGTGACGTCGCGCGACCTCCTCAGCAAACCGCCACTCGTTGCCATCGTTGCCACGAGCTAACTGTAATGCCTCTTCATGTCTGCCACTCAAGTCCAGCAGGTGCGCTCGTTGAAGTCGCGAACTCCCACACTTCAGTCTCTCCTCAAGTCGCTGCCGGTCTGCGAGAAGAGCTTGTATTCCCCCCAGTTCCCGCAAGAGACTTACCCGCACATGGCTGGGTGGATTTTTCTGCAAAACCGTACAACGAAATAGCGCCATCGTATTTTTTGTGAAAAGAATTTTCGAGCATAATCAATGATCTTTGAACATGCGCATCAAAAAATTCACAACTGCCGAGGACACATGGCAGCGATGAACAAGAGCATCCCGTTCCCTAAAAATCAGCCAAGATACTTATGCACGATGTTGTCCATTCCAGAGCGGGCTATGTAGTCTCTTCGTTTGAACACATAAGCGAGAAAACTGCACCGCACCTAGAATGATGGCAGTGCTCCTAAACACTATCGTCAAGAACCACGAGCATACACTATGCGCGTCTCAACTTTGTTTTCAAACATCTGCCATTCTATTGTCCACCACCATGCGTCCCGTACAAAGTCAGAAGATTTGATACATCTTTTTGTAAAATGCCAAATTTCGTCTTTTGCTGCGTGTCTAGAAAACCCATTACCATCTTCTGCTCTTGTGAAAATTCCTGGAATTCTGTTCGCGAATTTTCCAAGTTCGTCCAAAGGTCTCGTACCTAGTATTAGGATTTCAGATAAACAACTTGAACTCTCTCTACCTTTTGTACTTGTTGCTTAAGAAATCTATTTGAGGATTCGAAAGAGCAATACATCTAATAAAAAAGCACATTGTACTAGTAAGCACGAGAGTAACAGGGTATCCACTTGTACCTGCTTCTTGAGTGTCGCGGCTGCACTTTCGTTCTCTAATACTTTGGCGTTTACAGTTTGCTGGGGCTCCATGGCGTCTAAAAGAACTTTGATGTCGGCAACGACTTCCTTAAACCGATTGCCCATATACGTCTGGTGGAAAAATATTTGAGAGTAAAGTTGAGATTGCCTTCCCAAGATGAGGTCGTAGGTAGTTTTATGCTGTTGTGTCTCTATTTCGAGCAGAAGCAAGAAAACTCAGTACGTCTAGTTGCTTGTAATCGGCCCGCCGGAGATCACCCTCTTCCTCTAATCGTGCTTGCCAGTTGCGCTCAAGGCGCTCTATCCACTCGGCTTTATCCAGCACTTCACCCTCTAAATAGTCGACTTGCTTCTTGAATGTGTCTGTTGACGCAAAATTGTCACCAACATACTTCTGCATGGTGCTGTAGCTTTCCTGTACCGCCCGCTCCCTGCAGGAATTTTTTGACAGAAAACTTCCTCGACCTCAAAACGGTATCACTAGTTATTTACGTGAGGGACCGAAAAAACAGCACAAACCGCAAAGTGACCGTATACTTATATGAATCGTCATCACAAGGCGCAAGAAAGTTGTAATAAATTCATCCCTCCTCCTAAAACTGTCTCTATCTGCTGTTGTAGTACATGCACCAAGAAGGTATATTAAGATGAAATAATCACGATCCCGCTCACCTTTCCGCGTTCGACTTTTCTATCGCCTCGGTTGTGAGCTCTTTAAGTCTTGCGACAGCTTCATGCGATCGACCCTCCGACGCTTGGATGCTCCCGCCCAGATCCTCTACACCTTTTGTTATTCCTTCCAGTTGAGTCCGCAACTTTTCTATCGCTATTCGCTGCTCGCTATCCCTGGAAGCGGACTCTTTCTCGTTCGCTTGTCGCGCGAGTCGTTCTTGCTCAAGCTTCTTTTCAACATGCTGGTGCAACTCCCGCCTTATCACCTCTAACTCCTGTTTCACGAGTCGCTCCATGCCCGACTGCCGCTGAACAACATCTGTTGTGGAGTCATCAAAGGCAAGGTCATGTTTTGATGTAGCCCATAAAACACGAAGTGAAAGTCACAGCGGTTTAAAGAAGATATAATATTTATATATTATTGATCTCTTCCGTATCTACAGTATGATCCTGTCAAGGCGACTTTGGATTAAACCATGATAGTTCGAAAGGGCAACAACATTAAAGCAAGCTCCAAAAATCAGTGTAATAGTATTCCGTGTACTAGGAAGGTAATAGATTGCAGTTAGTTCATGTCAATGTCATAAAAAACAGTACCTTCGCACTTTTTTTCCACCGCTTCTATTCGAGTCGTCATAGCTTCTATCTGCTGAAAGGCTCTACCCGTAACATTTTCTACTTCGGTTGCTATAGCTGTCATACTTTCCTCTAGCTTCCGGTTTATCTTGCTCTCGTTCGCTACCCGCTGCTGAATCTCTCGATCAAGCGCCGGCTGCAAACTTCGTATCACATTCGCCACGGAACCCACGCCTGATGTATTTTGATTTGATTCATGCTTTCACCTATGTAAGAGAGTAGATCCAAACGACCCTGGCAAGAGAATCCCCGACCAATTTATTACACTTACTAGTTACGAGTAAGACCATCATTTCAAATCCCTATTCTTTTTAGAAGGAAGAGGAAGTACTTCTCGGCCCTCTACTATTAGTGAACTTTTTTCTTTATTCTATGTCCTATACCAATCTGTCTCTATCTTTCTTCTACTATCATGTGTCCATCAGGATTGAAGTACCCTGTTTCCATCCTTGCTCAGAACTTTCGCCGCTTTTAGCGAGTTGAGTCGTTTTTCGTGAAAGTTTCGTTACCATCGCAGATTGGCTCGAACTGACTGACTTGATGAATTCGCGGATTTTCAAATCGAAATCTGCTAGTGTCTGCTTTCGTAGGGCTCGCTCTTCGCTGACACGATCACGCAGTTCCTTCGACAAGAGCAAACCCATCTCCTCTATCTTGAGGAGCACCTCTTCTCGAAGTTTGTTCATCTTATTCCAAGGCTGGATGGAAGGGAGATCAAACTACTTTGTTGAGAAGTTCTTCTGTGGCTGTGCTCGATCCGCGTTTCTGCGAAATCAAAAGCTGCACGATCGTGCCTTTCTGAAGGACAAATTGTATCTGTGGTCCGACAACGTACCACTCGGTTCCGCAAGAGCGCTTCTGCAAACTGTGTTCCTCTATGTTCGCACTGGTAGCTGAAGCAGTGCTGTTTCTTCTCTTTCTTTGTGTTTCACGTTCTAGTTGTAGCGAGCAGGGCTACGCTACTTTCCTGACTCTTGTCCTATACAGCAATGGAAGTGTCGACAAGTTTCTTCTGAAAGCTTTCTACAAAAGCGACGTAGTCGTAGTCCAGGGTGAAACCTCGTCCGACCGCGATTCAGTAGCAATGAAGATCTTTTTACACGAGTCCGGCGCTTGTGGCAGGCGAAGATAAACTCGTAGGTTATCACGGACTGCCTCCGCCATGCACTAGATTATAATGTAGGAAGTAGGACACGAGCGTGTCAGCCGCAGCATAATCGAAAATCTTCACTTCGGTAGCTTCCCACTACGGCCTCAACAAAAGGCGTCCGAGCACGGCCTCCTACAGTTTCGAAACGGCCACTGCGCGACTTCAGCCCAAACGCACAGTGGTTCTAGCCTCGCGGCTCGTGGTCCTAACGTGGTCTCCATGAAAAAGCGCACGATTAGAGATATTCACGCCTTTCCTCAGGTTCGTACTCGCGGAAGCTTCCAGTCCCAATCACGGTGAGGATCTTCGCACGCCTATCTTCGTTTAGCAACCGCAAAATCCTCGCCTTCTAGACACATACAAGTCAGAGGACAAACTCAGGGCCTGATTGCTCTCGATGCAGAAAATGAGTGCTGACGCTGCATCGAACGTATTCCACGGCGGTCGCTCGTAGTCGGCTTGTACCAACGGTTCTCCAAGTTAGTAGAAGCAACGAAGTCCAATAATAAAAGCTGCAGGAGCTCAGCGAGGAGGTGCCCACGGTAAACCAGACGAGAAGAGTCCGAAGAGAATCATTAAATTTGTTTCACCTGCCCCAACCAAATTGTTGCTTGCGATATTTGCGTACTATCTTTATTAGATCTTTTAGATATCATATAGACGTCGATTACAAAAAGTTCTGCTCTTTTTCAAGTTCAACTATCGTAGAGGGGCCGCTGATGTACCACATAGATGCATTCTCATCGAATGCATGTGAAAAATGTCAAGAGCTTATTGGCATATCTGTACCTACATCTTTGTAGCTCGTTGTGATGTTGCGGGATTCACATTTGTTAGCTTTGTCTTCACAACAAGTTCAAGTTAAATCATTGGTGACTTCTGCGGGAATAGTATTCAATCTTCTTTCAAGGTCGTGCAACAAGGTCCTCCATAAATCCGACAAAAAATACAGACGGTCGTACGTCGATCGTTTCTCGAATAATAGACGCCACCGATTAGCAACCGCAAACTTCTGCCTGACGCCTTTTTGCATTTGTCGAGCCAACGAGCGCTTCAATATCGTCGTAGTACTTCGCAGCGATCTCATTTTCAAACGACAAGAGTAGATATGGTAGCCTTCACTCGAACCGAATTCACGAATTTCATCAACCGACGAAGCCAGCCGAAGGATACTACTGACCAAGGACTTGACGTCGAGCTGACACCTTTGTGATTCTAGTACAGTCGGCACGATTATGTCCAGACCGTATGTGAGTTTCCAGATCGTCGAATGGACACAGAACTGGAACGCAACGCATGCTCTGGAGAGCTTCTAGGATGGATCGTTCAGCGCGGGTCGTCCCAGCGCCTTTTTTGCATGGACTCGAGCCGCCTGAGAACCTCTTGATCGTTTGTGGCTTGGTTTCGAACAAGGATGGACGTAAGCTGCGCAACAAGTGGACACTCTCGACTTAAACTGTCTAGAGCCATGATGAAAATCCACTTCCCGCAACCGTTCCCGTGCCAGGATATCGGCAACGACCATGGCCTAGTGTAAGCATCGGTTTCCCCCGGAAATGGTCCCTGATCGCTCGAGACATGCAGATCCGACGGCTGCTGTCCTATCGATGACGGCGCGCCCCCGTTGTTCGGCCCTTCTTCTATTTTGCCTTGCTCCTGATTGATTCCCTGGTGGTACTGTGCTCCACCCATAATCCACTTCTCCATCTCGCGCCGCTTAAGAAACAGGTCCGGCGCTTCCGGATAGAAGGGCAGAGAAGCTGCATCGCTAGTGGCCGTCTCCTGCAGCGTAACCACCCAGCTCTCCAGCGGCGTCTCTTTCTGACGATAGACTGAGCAGCCACGCGTGGTGTACGTTCCGTGCGACAGCGGTGAGAAAAACTCTATGCGGTCACTTTGTGTGCAGCACGGCTCCACTGCGCAGCGCGGGCGCCAGCCATCGGCACAGGCAAGGTTTTCAACTTCAATGAAATTCCCGAATATGCTCTGCCACACGTCCAAGGCCACTGTGTCTTTGTTCTGCCAGAAGTACTTCATAAAAAGATTCTATTAGAGCGGAACCAGCCACAGAGCGTGTCCCTCATAGCTGATAAGACGACACGACCTGGGGGGCAGTAATGTTTCATAAAGCTCCCTTCTTCTGGCGCACACACTTCTCGACGCTGAAGTAAAAAAGAGGCCCAATAAAAGCTCTAAGCAAAATCGATAAAATGAATTTCATCAAGAGCATTCTTAATATTGATCCGGTGAGCCCTCTCCGCTGCCGCACTCCCTAGATCGCCGTTTCTCCTCCGTAGAGCGACAGTCTTCCGCGAATCCGATGACCGTCGACACCATCTGCGCTAGGTGGTGCGCACGACCTATGTAACCGCCCGCGTTCAGGTACTTGCTGAGCGTCGGTGAAGGCGGAAAATTGTTCTCGTCCTCAATCGTACACAAGTGCGCTCCACCCCAACCGCACAAACGCTCGCTTGAAACTACGATCTTCTTGCCGAAAGCACGAAAGCGTTTCTGGATCAGATCCGCTATGTTGGCCACTTTCTCGATCTCGAGTACTGGACTCATGTCATTGAAGAAAACATCCATACCATCCGACACCCAGAACAAGCGCTCGTCTGAAGCCCCCTCCGGAGTCTCAGCAGCGCGGTTCTCCAAATACTCTCGGTACCGTCCCAAACGCGCAGACATGGTCGTCCACTCGAAAATGAAAGACTTAATCACTTCAATATGACTAAACAACTAGGCTTTACTAACTTCAAAGTCGCACACCATAATCGAACTGAAAGTCGCTACTGCAATGAGGTTGCAGACTCCTCTATAATCAAAGGATCTTTGCTCGACTACAGAGGCAGCAAGTTGTCGCAGACAGTTATGCCTTGTGGTGGAAAACTAGAGCAAATGCATTACTATCTTATCCTTCTTTGTATATTACTAGGTCATAACCATGTTGTCGCAGACATTTACTACTCCTACTCCCTGCTTGAGCATGCTCGAGACGAAGATTTTGAAAGCCGGAAAATCTGAGACCGTCCCCTCTCCCGTAACGCACGTGATGACCTGCACGTGGTCGCTAAGACCAAGCTCCGCACTCGTCGGTGGCAATGCCGGAGGCGTCTTGTCCGCGACCGCCTCCAGCTTCGAGTGCCGCATGAGCACAAGATGCATACTGCCCTGGCGCACGAGAACGCTCTGCTCGTTCAGTTCCTCACGCAATTTCTGTAGTCGATCTTTCTCCTGCTCGATTGCGCCACGCACATAGTCGACTTCGGCGTAAAGCTCTGCAAGTTCTACGCGCGCTTCCTCCATGCGACGGATCTCGCGCTCAAGCGGTTCAGGATAGCAGAACGCGTTCGCCTGCTCGACGAAAATTGGCTGGATTCCAGCGCCACTGGAAACGGTGCTGAGCGCGTCGACGCCCTTACAACAAGAATGCGCGTACAAATTCACAGCAAACTTCACGCGGCAGGCTCGCTCGGAAACCTGTTAAACGAGTCCAAGCATGACAAGACTCAGAGAAAGCAGAAAAGCTTTTTAGGATCTTCAGTGATGACCTCAAATCATTCTAGTGGGCTGTTTTTACAATCCCATTTACTTGATTGCTCTTCCTAGCTCTGTTCCAGAAAAACATAATGCGACGTAAGCAAGATACCAGCGTTCCTGCTGTCTCCGGAGAAAAATCTGGCCTCACAGCGAAACGCGCCTCTGCCTCGGTCAATTGCGCACGCACTTCGGGCCGCAGGACTACCGAAGTCTCCTCGAAACCTTTCTCCCAGTCCTTCTCCTCGGAGCTACTACTTGTATCGACGTTCTCTGACTTTGACTTGTCTTGAGCCGACAAAGCACTAGAGGCGAAGTCCTGATGCGAGCCTTGCCCTGCCGCTGCCGCATCCTGCGACTTGTAGTGCGCGTCTTGCCGCTGTCCCTCTTTGTCAAAGATGCGCTCTATCTCCACGTTGCCCTCCGGCTTCATGTTCCAGTGCGGGTTAAAGCCGGTCTTCCCACCAACAAATGCATAACCTTCTTGCTCGAAGAAGTCTTGCAGAACCCGTTTGTATTTCGAGTTTTTCACACTCGGGTGAAGCCACAGATACTCCTGCACAACTTCGCGATCAAGAAAGGGGTAGCGACCCTCGACGCCGTGCGTGCCTGCAATCAGCTCCTCCTTCATGAGGTAGTCTCGCTGCGTGCCAAGAAACAGCGAATGCCAAGGAAAAATCTCACTCAGGTCGTCGGGGAAGAGTCCGCCAAAGTTTGAGTGGGGGTAGATTTTTTCGCCATTGAAGCCATAGTCGGATATGTATTCATCTGCGCCACTGCCGCTGAGGTAGATTAGGATGCCACGTTTGCGCGTTTCCCGACAGATGTAGGACAAGCCACTGCTAGCAAAGTCGCCACTGACGGCCACTGGCTGACCTTCGCGCGCCTTGTACTGGAACGGCTCTGTGTTGTTCAGCAAAAAAGCGTACTCGGATTCCAGCTGCTGCTCTGTGAAGAGAACTACATTGCCTTCCGCGTTGTCCTGCGTTTGCTCCAGGCGCTGCCCAACGATATCTAGGTTTTCGCCCGCGTAGATGGTGTAAGCGAAGTGCAGCTTGCGCAGCTTGTGCAGCGCCAAGTTTATCGCACCGCTGTCGTACCCCGAGGACAGACCAAGAAAAACACCGTGTCGCTGATAGCGCACGCGCCGAGCCACAGCACGCACGAACGCGGCGATCCAGTCGCTCGTATCCATTTTGAACTGCCGTAGATCAAACTCAAAGTTTGTGCGAGTGCCAGTTACGAACTTCGTCGTCAAGTCGATCAACACTATGCTATTCGGAGGTACCTGCTTGCGTTCCTGCACGCCCAGCCTCTCCAGCGCACTCTCGTAAGTGGCCACGTGCAGCCCCCTGTCGGTTGAATACCACAGCGGCTTCGTGCCGAAGGCGTCGGTTGCTAAAAAGAGCTTGTTCCGCCTGAAGTCGAGCACTGCGATCGCGTATTCCCCGTCTAGGATCTGCGCAAACCGCTCGCCAAGCTCCAGATACGCTGGGTAAATCACCAAACCGTCGGAACTAGCAAACCCTGCTTCATCTCCACTAGGCACAATTGAGGCCGAAGAAGGAGTCCCTCGCGGATCTTTTTTGATCTCAGATTCACCCTTGCCAACTGGCGCCGGTGGCGAAGTGGGCAAAAAATGATTCCGATCCAGCTGACGCAGATGCGCCGCACGCTCCGACCCAGGGCCGCCAACACTTAAAAGTTTGTAGTTAATGTCGACTTCCTCGGTTGTATCACCCATACTACTTGATGATGCCGCTGAACCACGTGGCTCCTTATACCGCTCTTCCACCTCTCGATAATTGTAGATTTCGCCGTTGAAAAGGACATGAATCTCACCTCCACGATAGCTCAGTGGCTGAAGCACTCGCTCACCGGTCATGTGCAGAAGGTTGTGCACGAATGAAAAACCATTTTGACGTATGTGCGTCGTAACGTCTGGGCCGCGTCGCTGCATAAAAAAGTTCAAGAACGACAGGTTCTGCAGAACCCAGGAAGTTAGCAAAAACGAGCACATGGTTTTTTCTACTCAGGTTGGTTCCAACTCGTATCGATTATGACAAAAGATGATGGGAACAAGAACCAGTACAACCAACAGTCGCGTATTGATGATCTCAAGAACATTGTACTCGCTTGCACTGTCGTAATTTTCTGTAGCCATCTAGTGCTGCTTTCCTTGATATCACTTACACGAAGTAGCTACTGCGTGCTCGTTCATTCTCATAGTTGTTCACTATCATCTGAGCCTACCTCTATAAAGTTTTACTAGACCTTCCTATCCTGAAAAAGTTCGGAATACTTTTCCATCCTTGAATAAAAAGTGTACCGCTCGGAGTAACGTTTACAAAAGAGCTCACCAGCAGCCAGCAGTCCTGTCTTTCGTCACCGTCAATCAACACGACTCGCCACTCGTACCTATGCTCTCGATCACAGTTTCAAAGGAGAACACATCTTCACCAGCTGCCTACGAGAAAAACTTCGCATTTGCAGTGACAAATAAGATGAGAAATTTGATGTATATATCAATTACGTGAAACCGTGATGATGGGAATGCGCAAGGGGATCGACTAGTCAAATGGGGTTGGGAGTTCGGGGGTCACGGGATTAGTACTTTTCTATCACAGTGTCTATCATAGGGCAATCACATCCCAGCAGGACCTTTTCCGAAGGCAGCTCCTTTGTCCCATGTGTTCCAGCCCTGTTTTTGTCCCTTTTTCTGCTCCCTTCGACCCGGCATCTTAAACCGTACATCCATCCCAGCATCGTTGCCCGGCAGAACCTGTTGATGAAACGATGATAGAAAATAAGCGTTCCTGTTCCTCATATCCTCAGCAGCGTCATTAGGAATTAATTGAAAAGCCTTCCCCTTCATCGACCTTAGTGTACATATGAAAAGTTGCCGATCTTTGCGGTAATCAATTTCAGGTTGGTCTAAGTCCATTAAAGGGAGACAGGTACCTTTCCATTTGCCTGTGCGATCGCTTCCCTCGCCATTGCTACTGTGACGTAATTCACGATGCCTGCGGTCCGCTGGCCCTCTTGTGCTGGCATAATGTGGCAGTTTACGACGATGCCAAACTGTCCGAAATAGGCCTGCAAATCGGACTTTTGCCATGCACTCGGGAAGCCCAATACGTAGAGCGACTCGCACTCGACCGGCCCTGTGCCCTTTGTACCATCAGTGCCTGCCGGTGCGCCGCCCATTGGAGCGCCGCCAGGCATAGCACCTGGCGCAGGAGCCACCATGTTACCAGCTCCCGCTGGGTGCGCGAACTGGTTCATCGGATCCACCCCATAATTCTGACCGCCTGGTGCGCCGCGCCTAAGTGGTGATGGAGAAATATGATTTTGATCCTTGATAGTACTAAGCCTTTGAATATATCAACCAATCGTCAACTGCAGCAGTGTCTTACGAGCCTCATCATATTATATTTGCGTCTGCGTACAAAAGAAACTACGCAAGCAGTATTTAAACATAAAAACGATTAGTACCAATTTCCGAAGTCGCCTTTTCCGCCGCCGTAAAATCCACCACCAAAATCGCCTTTGCCTCCTTTTCCATATGGTCCTTTTTTACTCCCGCCCTGGCCCAAGTAGCCTCCTGGACCCGCTGCTTGTGCCCCGAGCGTTGTTCTTTGCCTATTCTGAAATCGCAAGCGGATCTGTGCTCGCACATACTCCCTGAATGAGCGCTCGTTGAGATCATAGTTGAAAAAGTCTGCTAATCTATCGGCCCGCCATGGCTTCTCGTCATGCAGATCTATCTCTAGCAAAACCTGCTGTAGAGCGCGATTCGCCTCGTCGTTGTCAGCACCTGTGCAAAGGAAGGCGTAAAGGGTCGAGGACGTACAGGTGTAGAAGATACCAAGAAGCATTACAACTACAACGATTACTCTTAGCCAAATTCATCAAAGCACGTTCTGATAGAGCCGACCATTGAATAGTTTCTCACGAACAAAAAACGCCACAATATTGTAATTGTACTTGTCAATGATCCGGGGTTTATGTCCTCCAGATGCGACTCCGTTTGATGATACGCCTTCTGAAGATAAAACTGCAAAGATCCAGGCCACGGACCGTTGTTTTCCGGTGCATCACAGTGTTTGCATAACCGGATGCTCACATCAGCAGACTTTTCGTCCTCCATTATCGTCATCAAAGTGCTCCGACTATGCTTCATGTGTCGGAGAAACGTCCCAAAAAAACAAAACAACGAATGAAAATTGGAAATCAATTGTTCCAATCGATTCTAAAAATTGATCAAATCTTGTTCTTCGCTGATCGGCATGATTTAGCTCATTCAAAAATGCTCAATTGGAGAGAACTACTTCCAAATCCATTAATTTGAAGCATCAATATCGCAAAAGCCAGAAGCGATGCCAGTACAAAAGCAACCAATGCTACATCAGCGATCTCACCGCAGTAGACGTCATGTTTAATCGGTCTTCCTGCCTGTTATTGAAAAACTTGTCAGTATTCGTATTCAGTATTCACTGCAAACCTATAAACCCGAACAAACTCAACATTTCAAAATTGAACAAGTTACAAATGATTCAAATATAGTTCGTCGCGTCTCATCTATCAAGACACTTGTCGAAAGCACCAAATTCGGGAAAGATCATCACAACCTGATCCATTCGCAGCAGCCCGTGGCGCGTCGAGTATAGTGGAGATACATGGAAACCGATACAGATTGATCGACACTTAGCCGCAGAAGAGAGAGGATCCATGTAGAGAAGACACAAAGCTGCTTTTTAGTAATTTTATTTGAATGGGAAGCGGATGATCATGCAGTTTTAGTTTTTTACAACAACAATTTCCAACCGCAACAGATCATGCTTGGATGCTTCAACATCAACCGTCTTTTCGCGATTCATTTCTTTCTTTCTTTTGCGAAGGACCAAAAAGTGTCAAGATCATGAAGTCAAGGCGTAGCATGAAGCTTTGTACCTCCAAGAAAAACACAGCCAACAGGGCAGAGTTGTACTAGGATTCAAGGCTACGCACTAGAGCAGAGTGAGTTTCGGTTTTTCCAGTCCTTCCTTTCTCAAGCGCAATCGCTCCTGCAACGCTGGATCCGCTTCTTCTGTTTTTCGTTGATTGTAAAACTCGAGAAGACTTCGTCGCATGTGCCGATCATCATCCTTCTGCTTCTTTTCTTGCAACTGGCCTATTGAAAAACCGACAAAGGCCAGAACGTGCAGGATCGGCGTCTGTCCGCCTTCGCGAACCCGTTGCACAACCTCACAGTGCTTTCGCAGGAGCTCAATACGACCATGCAACGACGAGGCGTAAAACTCGATTGAAGACAAAAACCTGTTCCAGAGCGGACAAACGATGGACAGCTCAAGCTTACTGGATTCCCTAGATTTTCCATCAAACAACCAGTTAGATTCACAAAACCTAGCTAGGAGCACATATTATAAGAATTCTAGAAGCCTGACAGTATCTTCAGGTACCTTCTCCTCAACTGCAACAGGAGTTCCTCTGGCTCGACTGAGATTAGGAGGTTTTCAATGTAGCCGATCACCGTTTCGAAGGGAAACTCCCCCTTTCCCAACGCTTCGTTACTATTGAAGTCTTCCTCCTTCATTTTCGTCACTATTTTCTGCACCAGACGCACCCACTCCGGGACGATCAGCTGCACACCCTTCTCCTGTCCTCTTTTCTTCGCGAAACTCGCCTGTAGCATCCAAATGGCCTTCTTCATGTCTCCACGCGACTCGACCGCTATACTCTGAAATAATTCAGAAAGCGTCTCCGGGTTATATTTCAAATCCACCAAATTGTCGAGACGCTCACCTGGGAACGAATCATTCTTCGATTTTTTTTGTTATAAAGTATCTATTTGTGCCGAATCTGTATCCGATGAAAGTCGCCAGCAATAATTTTTTCTCGCGAAATTTTATCTGTTCAGGATGGCTACTGTTACTTTTCAAGAATCGGCAGGGCTAAAATCCTGCGTTATAACAAAAGAGTTTCACCTCGTGTACAGTTACACGAAAATGTAAACGAGCGAAAATGTAAACAAATTGATACGTTCCGCCACGGTTGTTAAAATGCGCACGATCGTCGCGTTGTCTGGTGCTGCTAGTCGTAAGCGCGTACACCTGCCTTGTATGGGGTCGATGATGCCCTGTGCGTCCTGGCAAACCAAGAACACTTTTCGGCCTTTTTTCGCCACCGACTCCATCGTCCGACGCAGAGCACTTTGCGCATCCATTGATAGGAGGTGCGCATTGTAAACCACAAAAACCCGAAATCCGGCAACGTTGTGCTCCCCAGCCTCGAGGAGATGAGAAACCACTTTGCTATCGCGCGACCCGACCATTCCAGAAACGTCTAGCTCCGTGTGTACTGGCGATGTAACATAGCGGACTTCGACACCATTTATCTTTTCCTCGACGACACTGCTGTTATCTACGTGCGCAGTGCCGAACAGCGATCGCAGCAGTGCCAGCACACCTGTTCTGTTTCTTAAATTAGAATATCAGTGTTTATAATCCAATAACTAAATGCATGATTCGTGTTAAGTAAGCACTTTGAATCAATCGAGATGTGGGAGTAACGTGTGATGTCGTAGTCGATGTCGGTGCCCTGTTCTTTTGAGCAACGGAATACGACGACACAACAAATATTTTCTGAAAAGTACGTGTCTTTTTTCCACTGCCAGCTGGTCCTACAAGAAGAAGATGCGGAAAATTCGGGTCCCCTAGTATTCGGCGTGCCCGATCCACCACATCCCGATTCCAGTCTAGCTCATCTAGTTCTTCAGGCGCATACTTGTCGCCGAAGAAACCAAAGCGCTCTTTCAACTGTCTATACTTGTCTGCTAGGAGCTCCTCCTCCGCGATTTCGACTACCTCCTCGTCAGAGCTCGCGTCGAGCATCTCCACATCGCCTTGCTCTAGAGTTGACTCAAACGACATTTTTGAGAAGAGTGAGTCTTCTTGTTCGAAACAACCGAGAGTCCACCAGCAAGAGGGGATTACAGGTTTACTTGCGGATATGGTCCGCAGAATATTTCTTCGCCGCCTCACCGATGCACGTGGGCGCGGCAAGCTTCCCCTGTCAGTGTGTCCTTATTCACTTTAGCTTGAGTATAAACGATCTTGAGCAACGAGGACCACACGCATACAGCTGCGGCACGTCAGTCGCGAAACAATTTACAGAATCTATGTCAGCGTTGGTCCACGCCGTGTTGCTAGTCTCGTCAAACAGCGCGAGTGTTTGCGCCACTCCTTTAGCCTCGAAATCGCGCTGGCGACTATAACAACAATTGTTGAGGTGTCAGCCCACGTCGGAAGCAAACCACGTGTGCAGCTTCAACTATCATTTTTTGCAGGTGTGCACCATTTTGTATACTGTGAAATTCAGACTCGGTGTCCCCATAAGGTGACCATTTTGCATATTGCTTGAATAGTTACTCGTCTTTAATCATCGTTCCTAGCCATTCAATGCGCTATTTGCCTCAAGGATATGACTAGAAAAGAACGTGTATCCTACCGTACGGGTCAGTGCTAAAATTTTCCAAATTTGGAAGATCACAAGTCTTTAGTACTTTTTCGTGCTCAATTTCGAAGAAAGGTCATCAGAACCACATCAACTTGATCGCAGTAAGACAGATCCACGTCATACATGTCCTTCGTCAAAACGTTCAACTAGTTTGGGCTTCTTTTTTCATACTTCATCTGAATCTGATCGCATGAGCATTTGACGGATTTCCATTACCGAAAATGGTCACATATCCGATTGACTTTGTACATGTTCATCCGAGTATGTCTCAACCGAGCCATCCGCTCCATATCCACCTCATATCGTCCATGACGTCGCCCTGAGCTCGCATCCTCCGGCGACATGGCACAAATTCCAGACGTTGCGGAAGCACCCGCTCAGCGCCGACGCATCTGTAACGTCGCTTATTTCAGTGACATTATTGTCCACCCACATGACTTCAAGGAATAGCACGTCTACGAGTTCTGGTCTTTTACTCAGGAATGAGACACTGTCGTATGTAATTTTTGTACCACAACACGGTAGCTTCATCTCATGAAGCAGAATCCTTTCTGCATCCACGAGCGTGCGTCGTCACAACACAAAATACAGAAGAAATCGCGTTTTCTACCTTCAAAACAAGTCCAGAAATCATAATAATTCGTTCTTACCTATATATCGCATTCAAGAACAGAGAGTCGTTTACATGTTGTATAAAATGCTTGGAGCAGAGCCACCACCATAGTGATAGTAGAGAAGGGATTATTTGTGGCAGCAACAAAGGCTCCTCGCCTCAGGATTGTTCAGTGAATTCTACGTGTGATGAAGTAACATCTTATGAAAAACCGAACACCAAATCCAACTATGACACATGAGCTGTCTACATGAAGCATAATGTTTACGTAGAACGAGGCTAAGAACCCAAAGTCGCAACTTGCCGCTCCGATGCACTTAAATAGCCCAGCTCGTCAGAGCTCGTGCCTGGGGAAGCAGCAACGATTGTAGTTGAACATTCCGTCCCAACATTGCGTGTTTCCATTCGGTCCGAATTTTGGGTCGCAGCAAGTGTGGTAGTCAAAGCCATCGATCCAACACTCCGTGTTTCCCATCGTCAATTTTTGCACATCTGTAGTGCAAATTTGAAGGTAATATCAATGAGCATTGAGTGATAACTTCGTCAGGTGTACACCAAATAAACTTGCAAATAAAGTGCGCACGTTCGTCGTCAATGTTCTTATTCGTCATCATTGTGTTTCAAAAGGTTACTCTCTACCTTCGGCAAGACAAAACAGTTGCTGATATGATCCCGAAGGATGGTAAGAGGAAGCGCAAAGCCTAGTAAGGTGACAGGAGCCAGTTGCTAACCGAACTCTCGAAAGAGGAGCGCAACCGGGGTTCTTATTAGGAGTTGTCACTAGAAACTCAACATACAAACCGCCCCTCAAAAATCAAACTCTCATACCAGATCCTCAAGCTTGTCCACAAAACTCTAAACAGCTCGGTGTCTTTGTGAACAAATTAAAAGCAACACCGTAGAAGACCCGATCGCAGCAATGTGAATCTGAGCACACAGCTTTCATAAGTGCTATTTGAGGGTGTCAAGAAAAGAAGCTGTAGCAAGAATACCTGGCGGCGCGCAGGTCTTGGCACCGCTTGACCAACCCTCCCCGGCTTCCCTTCCATCATCGGATACTCTCATCCAACATTTGGTCATACCTGAAATTTTACGAAATAATGCCATAAAAAAAGTACGAGATAGAGAGGAGTGGCGGAACGAACGCCAACGTGAAGTAATCAAAAATTTCCCCAACTGAAAAATAAAGCTGACTATCACAGGTATGGGTAACAGACAAAACAAATAGCTACAGCTTAGGAAAAAAAATACCCTCCTCTGTGCCGAAGACCCACCAAGCGCACTCAGGTTCGGAATTGCACACGTTGATGCATGATTCAATTGAAGATACAGCATATTTATCCGTATTCTTGCAATCGTCAAGAAAGCACCTAGTTGGGCAAACGCAAGTAAGAGGAGGGAAAATAATCGTTCTCATTCACAGGTACGCCCTTAGCATTTTATACTACTCTAGTCAGCAATTTTCCTGAAGAAATCACTCTTATTAGAACACGAAAGCAAAGCCATCTACGATCATATTGGAGTGCGCTAAAATTACTTTCCATTTAAGTCGTGTAGATACCCAGCTGCTGCTCCGTAGCCCGCTACGTTCGTAAAAAATGCCTTCCCTGCATTTCGGATCACCGTATTTTGTTCAATGCAACTCGGCCAGATTGGGTCGTCAGCACTCGCGACAGACGCCGCAATGGCGAGAACCGCACTTGTAACTACGCGCATCCTGATAGTAATACAGATACTTCGAGATGAAGATTGCTATTACTACAGGTCGAAGTTCAAAACACTCGGATGGCTGGACTCTGTTCTCCAATCCCACTTCCCTCTCTACTATACAAATTGAAACGTGCATATGTCTCTCCAAATCTCTCAGATTATTCCCCTCATTTAGGGAGGGACAGTTACGCAAATGCCTCACGTGAATGAGGATAATAATCCGGACATGACCACACGATGACTCGACACTGCAACGCTGGCAAATACTTGCTCACCTCACTCAATCTCACAATGCGGACACGTCGAGACCTCCGGCCATCGGACTCCAGTTTCACTGTTGAGTGGAACACCGTTCTTTCTAGAATCAAAAAAATTCCATAGACCCTTTCGGCGAAGACTATATACAGACGGTGCGAATGGCGCGTAAATCAAATCCGGTGCTACTGCGAACCTGCGAAAAGAAAAAAACACTGGTCAAAGATCGGATTCTGATCAAGCAGGTCCACTGTTCCACTTTATTGATCCACACGATGTCAAAGTAAAAAAAATATTGGCTAAATGTAAGAATTCAGATCTTGGATATAATGAGGCTATGGGGATCGGAGAGGAGAGGCGTCAGACTTAGAGTCCAGCGGCAAAAAGAACTCCCAGGCAAAAGGCTTCGTTCGAGCGACGCCACAGTGATAATGCAAGGCCCGATTCTGCGCCTACGAAAAACGCGTGCGTAAGGAGTTGACACGTTTGTTGCCGGCAGAGAGGATTCGTCATTGGTGTTCTGCAACTTGCAGCAAACACTTCCTATGTCGTAAGGAGTTCTCAGTACTGCTACGATGTAGTAGTTTCTCATGAAAGCCTATGCAGCAGATCGATATGATTGCATCAGAAAGCGGAAGTTGTTGCGGAAACAGCGTCTTGCTGCTGTCCTCGTTTGCCCACATTACGTTTTTATTGCCGGCTGAACGACGTGTCACGGACGGTAAAGCGCGGCAGTCTTGTCTGTGGGTAGCACGTACTCGCACACTTCGAACATCTGGATGCTTGTCGCAGCATCGGACGCATACGCTCAAAGGTGCTTCTTTCATTTAGCATTCTGCTTATCATCCCGGAGTTTGCCATCACATTCATTCTCTGCGCTTTTCGTCGCAGCGTCTTGGAATCTCTTATTAGTCTTAGAAGATTGACATGTTGATATGAACTCGAAATAAAGAAGGGCTCCGACTACAATTATGACATGGCCAAGCGGTGCCAGATAAGCTTGAAACCGGTCGTGGCGGAAGCGGTTTCGCCCGTAACCCTGCGACACCAGAATAAGCGGCTCCACGAAATGGAGAACTATGGAGCGCAAATTCTCCAGCACGACGCGCACACCAGCATTTTTTCGAACGACCATTTGAGCACTCACCGCCGCTACAATAGCAACAAAAAAGAAGACTGCGAAGAGGACCTGCAAAACAGGCCTGGCTCGAACGTCAGCGAACACCACTGCGAGCGGCGGCTCCGTGGGATCCACAGCAAGTTTTATGCCATAGTAGGTGACAATTACGCATAGAGCGGTGCTTCCCTGGACGCCTGCAGCGAGGAAAGATGAATAATTGGGCGACATGCGCCCCGCAAATTCCTGGAAAACGAAAGTGACACTGCCGAGCACGTGCGATGTGAGACTCAAGACGAGCCCTAGCAACATCGCTTTAACCGATGTCCGACTCTCTTGTAAGCGGACTTCGTCAATGAGGATGCTTCCTGCGCTTACGACGACGCCTGTGGCAACAAGGATCATCCCGATTCGCTCCGTCCACACAGGCCAGTCCGCTTTCAAGACGAAGGTTCGTGTCAGCGATATAAAAATTAGCTTCGTTGAGGAAACTAGCGTGACCAAACTGCTGAACGTCAGATCGAGAGCTTTTACTTGGCAGTACTTTGAGAGAACCTCAATGCTACCGGCCAGCATCAGAAACAGTGTAGCGTTCCTTATAGCACGACAGGAATCCATCTTCGTCTTGTTGGGAATTCTTCGGTCCTTCGAGCTAACTTTCATTTCTACTGTCGCGTCATCCTTCTTTCCTGCTTCGTCTCTGTGAAAAAGGCACGCACGCTCATCTTCAGCAAAAGCATGTTCGTCGTTTTCGATTTGTATCGTGCCTTTCTCAAGATCGTCGTCGTCTTGTGCACACGGACTCTCCGCCGTATGTAGGAGAAGCACTGTATTTTCTGAACCTTGGCGCGGCTGACCGAAATGAGGCTCTTTTGCGACCACACTCTCGTCAACATAAAAGTCGTCCTCATGTCTAACTTCGTCGCCGCTGGAAAGCACGTGGTTCGTGTCCTCGTTTTCAGCAGTTTCCCCTCCGTCTGCAGCTTTCTTTGTACCGCACAAAAGCTCTTTCATGAAATATGCTGGTAAACAGCAAGCCTGAAAAAGAAAAAGCGCCGTCAAGATCAAAAGCTTATGTGGGAACTTCAGCTCCTTCAACGCATATTCTACTGCAGGTAGCTGTGTGGCGCTTGCGATGAAGTACACGACAGCCGCCACGAGAAAACCACCGGTCAACTTCATTTTGTCGCTAGTATCAATAAAGTCACTGTGCTAGTTCATGGGTCACCGAGAAAACAGAAGCATTGCCTAGAAAAGCAGAAAAAGGCTTCTGTTTCTTACTATTAATATACCGCATACTCATGTACAACACTTACGAAAATTATATGCCCTTCATCATATTTCAATTTCTACCAGCTGTTGACTGCCCCTTCTGGATAAAACAATGACAAAGTTTGTTGCTAAACTCATAATGAGCTTTAAAACGAAGGAGTCCGCTGCATTCTACCATAAGATCGAGACGCTTTCCTCTCAGCAACAGCAATCCATACGGAGAAATGGTTACAATAAACGGACGAATTCGCTTTCGCGCGGCGCACTTACTCCGATGAAGATGATAGAAATAAACTACTAATTTCAGCCAGACTTTACAGTTAGGCCGCTCTTGGTATGCCATCACAGTGAGATCGACTTATTATTTTCACAGTGTAGTACTAGAGTTCACTTGATCTTTTTCTCTCTTCGCTTTTCGTTGCTGTCCAATTCTGATCGGACAATGTGCCGAAAAGGAGCTCACGTCTCATGTCTGTCATGATCTAACATCCATGATTTGCGATCGATTCATATGATCTTTTTCACAATTATACAGACCGTTAGATCATTTGGCTCTGGCTGACCCACCATCGCGAAGATCGGCGCATCGTAGCATGCTTACAGAGCAAAGAGGTAGCCTTGGATGGAACGTAAAGGAATGAGAGCAACAATAAGTTGCTGGATTTGGTGTTCCACCTATCTTGCAGACTAGACGACCAGAGAATGAGGCGTCAGATTGAAGATACTCACATTCGACGAAGCGGGCCCCAACTGAATGCACAGACGTGCAACTCATAATTCAACCATCATTGAAACAATTGACCAGACCTAGTAAACTGATAAATCGTACCTTAGCGATACCCACAAGATGCTACTTACTAATGAGGTCTTCTAGTGTCCACAACACATACTATATTCAAATTCGAAACAAAATCATTTAATAACTTTAAGCCCCAAGGGCGGAAACATCTCGAGATCATCGACGTCAGGGGCACACACACCCTCAGCCTTTGATGCGCAAATTGGCGCGGCGCAGACCCTCGTGACATTCAACATCCATGCTCCATACCCGTCCTCGCTACGCCCGTCCCAGCGCCACAAATATTTCGGTTGCACAACAGTACGTTCCTTATCGGACACAGCTAGCGATCCGAACTTGCTCGCTTCGGTACCTGCTTTTGCGGCATGAAAGCTCGCGCAACTGACATATTGCTCGAATTGCGACGCGAGACAATACTTCACGTTTACGTATGGGTGAGATACATCATTCGCATTCTTGTACACTCTCCACAACTCTTTAGTCGCATGGTAGGGACTGCTTTCAACGCCACGTCGAAGATAATGCCATGCTTCTTGGCGATCATCTTCTTCCGGAGGCGCCAACATTCGTATTAAATCCTGCTTAAGCGAACAGTTCTCCTCTCTTTCGCTCGCCGCGATGACAGTATTGAGCGGGTCACGGACTTCCTGCAGACCATCAATAAAACAAATTCGCGCCACTGCCTCGTGACCCCCGTAGGCTTCGGCAACCTGAGCGAAGTGACGCGACAGAAACTGTGGCCCCACGCTTGCAAACTCCTTCCACGTGTCCTCGGAGTCCAATTTCCTCCTCGCCAGTGGATCGGTTCCAGCAGTTCTCTTCGGGGCCTCGCCTTTCAGTTTCGCTTGACTCGTACACTTCCTTCCGGTTTGCGCCCACCCGGCGTCAAAGTCGAAAGCTTGCCTGTGGCCGCGCGTTGCACGAACATCTGGCGCGAACCCTCGTACGCCCCAGACCACGACGGGCTCAGACGCCAGCTCCTCTGTGTCAGCATTGGTGTCGGCTGCTTCGTGCAGGTCCATCTTCATTTCGTCGTACTTAGAAAAAATGTATCTGGCAAACTTGCCTCCCCATCCATCGACCCCATCACGATATTGCCGATACTCCTCGTCTCCTGCCGCAGCTGGTTTTTCGAACAACCCCCTTTGCAAATAATCGACGCTCGACCGAGTACCGGTGTCAAAACGATTCCACTCGTACCTTGGTACGTGACGCACAAGGCCATGCAAATGAGCAGTTTCTGGAAAAACATCCTTCAAGGCCATGCACCACTCGGGATCAGTAGTCAGTGTCCTGTGCATCCGGATCAACCCTTCGAGACGTTTTTTGAAAGATTTGAAATCTGCGGTAAGTGGCATCAAGGCTGTGAACTTACTGTTTCTCTGGTCCGCATAGCAGTGCTCCACCACATGCACGCCTATGAGACGACAAAAATTGAAATGAGCTTCCGTCGACTCCCAACGCGGATTCCGCAAAATCGGCAAGTGACCCCCATCATAAAAAACCCCTGAATCGGGCCAACGCGGATTCAAGGTCGTAACCCGCATTTTTGTCTATTCCTGGCTTTCTCCGAAAACTGAAAAAATTTCTGGAAAATCCTATGACGCAAGTCCCACACATAAATTGATATCAACGCGGAGTTGTTGAGAGGACCCTTCAAAATAGCAATAGCATGTGAATCTCGTCGGACTGATACGAGAAGATGGGGCTCATCTTCTCAATAAACCAGGTAGGTGTGCATCGCAAACCTGTTCCTTGGAATGTGAAAAGCCTTGCCTCTGCAAGAAAAATGTGCATTTTCACTATGAACTCAGCGTGGAACAGGGCGAAACCTTTTGCACAGTTTTGCGCGACAGGTTTTCACCGATTTTGGGTGGATAGTTCAGAGCGCAATTTCATCAACTGGAACTCCTTCTCATTCCTTTCACTGATATACACTTTTCTCATTCCTTCCAGATGTTCCAATAGCTTTCTTTCGAGGAACTGTGAATTGATCTCCCTGTTTTCATTATTGTTTCATCTTCATGATCTATGACCGAGTACAGCACAGATTTGTGATACTCCATTAAGTGAAATCAATGTGCGCCCAGAACATCGTATATCAACAGGAGAAGATGTTGTTTTTGCCTACTTGTTTCATCTGGTACTCCGCGCATTGCCAATTAATCACCTACCACGGAGAATTAGAAGAGGTGTTCTTGCATGTGCGAGCAGTGCAAATTTTACACACGCCTCCGCTTACGGCACTTGTGAGGATCGCCTTTGGGCAGTCGAGGCAAATGTGTAACCCGAGTCACACGCAAATTGTGAGCTTGGAACGCTTGCAGAACGATTTCCATCTTCTGGAGCCACCGAAAACGAACCTCGCACACTGTCACGCCTAGCCTCTTGCATTTTCGCGCTATATTCTGTGCAACCCGGTGCGCCGCATCCGCCGCGCGGCGCGCGCTTTTTCGCAGCCCTACATTTCCAGCATGTGAGGTGAAAACAGTGCGGTTCTCCCGGGCCTTGTTCACCACCGCAATCCACAAGTTGTTCTTGGACGATGTAATTACGATCTCGAATACATCTGTAGGCTCGAAAATACGACCATGGCGGTCCAGATCAATGTTGTGGAACTCTGGCCGACCCCGATTGTTCGCATACTTTGCGATGTTGCCCTGGAGCTCACGCTTCTCCTTCTTCGAAAGCTGAATCACCTTGCGCTTGGCTGGCATCGCATCTTTGATGCTCTTCAGAGCCGCTGCTGCTTGTGGAGAAAACCCAAAACACCTGCGTTGCATGGAGACGGAAGCCTCCATTTTTCCCGTGGAGTTCATTACCGGCAGCAGTGTTGCCTGAGAACCTCCTGGACAAAGTGGTCGCTGCTCGCGATCGGCGTATACCTGCACTCTAGTGCCAGGCAAGCGTCGCCACGACCAAGCTGGCACAGGAGGGAGTCCTCTAGCCTCCCCCAACGACGATGTCATTGCACGAGCACGAAACAAACCTTCACCCGAAAAGACCGTGCGGAATTTCGAATCGAAAATCCGCGACGCCGAAGTCCCATGTACAGATAGTGGCTCTACTTTGCTATGAATCGCGTAGACGGCTGCGTGGACGGCTTCCTGAGCTGAACGTTGCGTATTTATTACAGTCCCTGAATACCGTCGAACTCCATCAACATCATGCTCCGGAAATCTAGAGGACGAGGAGCTACTCGGAGTTGCTCTACCAAAGCACATCACTGGGATTGGCGGCTGCGACGACTGCGGTGAAGGACCATGAGAGGAGAACATGAGCCATTGCTTTGTTGTTGACCCGCCGACAGTGGTCGCAAAACGTGGACAGTAAGTCGGCATGCTTTTTTGTCAAACGAAGATGTCGCCACCGTGGCTACAACTTACAAGAAAATCATATCTTTTGCCAGATCAGGAAATAAGTGGAAGTGGAAGAGTCACGTCTCTCAAAGAATTCGCAATTTTTATCGCTTACTCACCGCAGAGAAAAAAACACTTCGAAGACGTCGCTCTGCTTTACGAACGAGCGCAGACTGCGCTCTAGCAGTTTGAGGCATCAAATCACAGTTAATTTCAGCACAAGCCGCCTCTGTATCTGATACACGCGCCACATTCTCTGTCCTGCTGTGTTCGGTAGGAAGCAAGGCAGCGAAGTCTGTTCATGCTCTCCTATGCCACAATAAATGAGTGAGCCTGCGAGATTCCCCGAGCTCGTTGTGCAGTGCTCACCGCGAAAGCATACTCACGTTTTCATGGATTAAGCATGCAATATCGAATGAGCCGGCTATATCTTCAATCCATGATGAAGGATGTTCTAGGTATGACAAGCTACAACTATGCATCAAACGACAGCTCGACCCCGAGCTTCGATCCTAGTTACTAAGGGTTCACGATCTTTTTTCTGCTGGCGCTCTTGCTCAGCTGAAGAAACGTTAACTAGCTATAAATTCTCGGTTGCTGCTGGTTGCTGTATTCTCGACAAGTTGGAGTTCTGCGCGGTTGAAAACGAAACAGGAAACAAATTACGCAATGAATAGCCTTATCTATAATTGCTCAAGCAAGTTGGATTCGTTGGATTCTTCTAACACACCAGAGATTTTAACGATTTGCGAAACATTCTAAATGTGGTTCCCTGAACGATGACTGTTCAGTGGCTCCACAATTAGAAGTTCTGCAACTAAAAAGTGGTACATCTGAGGTTCCTTAATATGGGTATCAAAACGATTGCTGTATTCTTAAAGACAACCTGATAAACAATTGTTCCTTATGAGTATCAAAACGATTGCTGTATTCTTAAAGACAACCTGACAAACAATTATAGAATGCCGAATATATTACCGAGCAGAAGTCGAAGCTCTTTGTTTGCGTCTTCTCTATGCAAGGTACTCAGGCAGTGCCGGCGACGCCAGTTCCCTCACCCGCCTCCTCAGGCATCGCCGTGTTGGTGGCGCACCTTGGCGCCGAAGTCCAAAAGTTTCCGAGTTTATCGATGGGCCGGAACTCAGCCTCGAACTGGTCAAGCGCATCGTACACTTCTTTGATATCGGAGCGAGCCGTGGCCCGACGAATTTCGAGATCGGGAAGCAGCTTCGGCTCACCCGTCGGGTTTCGGGAGGTTCGGTACCACGATGTCATGCGTGTAATCTCATCGTCAACAACACCGCGATCGTAGTCCCGCTGATAATCTTTCTGCAACGACGTTGCGAGCGGCGTACGTTCCATGATACCTAAATTGCCGATAGAACTGCCCATGAACATCCGAACAAACGTAGGCTTGTTCTTCATCACAAACAGTTAGTTCCATAGGCAATGAAACAAAGACTAAGTTTCATCGGGAAACAAATTGTAAAAAATTACACTCCCAAAAAAAAACTCTTTTCACTACCATTGAGTTGAGGCTCTGTCGGAAGCGGTTCGGGCGACGGGAAAGAGGTTTTGTCGGGCCTGTGCAATCGCTCCGGATGCCGCACGGACAACACATCTGAGGTGAAAGAGGCATTGATGTATTCCTATTTTCTTAACAATTGTGCTGCCTGGACTACATTCACAACAGCTTGAGAACTTCTAAACAAGTAGTCCTATTTTGGTGCTGACGCAGACTTCTAACTAGACCTCTTTTGACAATTTTGATCATGAAGAAAGTTCTGAACAGCGAAAATCATTTACAACGTGATTATCTAGAAAGCGAATAAGAGCAATGTACGTTGCAAAACTTTCTCCTTGACCAAGAGCGAGTCTCTCTCGCCCTTTCCAGGCTTCATCTTCTCTAGCGCGATGGCATTGTCGATTAGCGCTGTAATTGTGAAAATGCGGACAAGTCGGTGGGGATTGGTAGTAGGTTAGGTAGTAATTTCGTGTCTATTTATTTACCTACAATTTCATCCTTCAAGAATTTGTATAATCTGAGAGGAAACTAACCACCCTCCTATTGATCTTTCTATCGAAAAAAAAGTACGCAGTCCTCGGAAGTTCGTATGACTAGTGACATCAGCCGTGGCGTACTCCTCTCGTGCTTTGCTAAGTTCGTTCACACGAGACGTCAGTATTGGCCGCGTGTGCTTCCTAGGCTCCCTCTCGGCAGTTGGCTGACCCGCCATCTGCTGTAACCGCTGGTTGTACTCAGCTCGGTCTGCGAAGTCCGAGAGAATCTCTATTCTCCTGTTATTCTGCCAAGCCTTCAGCATCCTTTTAAATGCGTCCTCTCGCATCATTTTGGCTGTGGATTTTTTTCAGACGACTGTTGTTGTCAAAGTAAGTGAGAATGCATGTTGCAAGTATGATAGATACGTTGATTCGAGCTTTTTCCATCTCTGATTCTCGGCACGAGAACAAAAGACTTCATCCGCCGCGAAGAAAGCTTCTGAAAAAATAATACATGTGATGACATCTATTGCCCTCTGATCTCCTGCCAAGACCTCTGGCGTGAGAACCTTCTTCAATGCCCAGTAAGGCAAGCTATTCACATCGCCGTCAAAGGTGTCGAAAATATCGTGAAATTCCCTTTTTGCCCGGATATGCGGCGTCCATGAGGTCGCTCGTTCTTTTCTCATCCTCGCCCGCTTCTGCCTCCAAAACCTGTCTAGCTGCTCCGCCCGAGCTCGATTTACAGATCTGCACAGATTTTCAGAGCATCAATTGTCTTCATAAAATAGAGCGACTTGCAGCGAACCCCATTCATATGCCAGAAAAGATCTTTCTAGGTGTTAGGAGGGTAGTTTAGAAACTAGACAATGATGTTCCATCCTAAAAATAGAGAAGTGGAAATCACACATACAACAACCATCCGAAAGAATAATAGGGCACGAAAGGTACGCTTTTCTCTTTTCCCAGTTGTCTACTATGTCGTCCATAGCATCCATTTGCTCGATTAATCGGGCGTTTGTCTCCAACCTTGGGCCATGAAAGGCCTTCCATGATTCGTACCCCGCGTGTACCTGCTCAATGTGAAGAAGTAAACTACAGATTTCTAGAAAACAAACATAGATATCGTCTTCCTTACTAAAAAGTTAGCCAATTACTTGAAAACAAGGATCATCTTATACTCTGTTTTGTTGAACGATGATACTCGTCGATCGAAACAAGCAACGATGCTTATCTATCGTTTCAGAAATACCGGATCGTTCCATTTGTTTGAATTCGCCGGTGTCCGATAATACGTGTGGTTTTTGAGAGTGTGTCCCTGTTTTGTCCGCCATCCCGTTCCGCCAATATCCGGTACTGTTTTTGCCAATTTCCACTGCAGCAAGTAATGGGAAAGATAAAGTGTGATCTTGATATTGCTAGAGAAGTTGCCATCAAAAACAAAATGTTCATGTGCTACGAAATCACAGTGGTTGTGATGTAAAAATCATGTTAACTAGTTGTAATCCTGGTACCTTGACAAGACCCTTGTGGGTCCTTTCCTTTCTGTAGCGAAAGTCGCCGTCCTCCACATTGTAATTGTAGTCGTCAGAAACTGTTGTTGAGGGTAGCGGCGGAACGAAGTCCGGGCTTTGCTCCACCAGAGTCGGCATCTTGGGCGTACCAGGATGCCGGTTCTTCGTACGTTGATTGAGTAAAAACTAGTTGCTGCTCTCGACGATGAAATTAATCGATCTGCAAATAGTCACACACCAGGCTCAAGTGCGCAGTCGTAATGTAGAATCTGCTCTGAGCAACTACTTCTTTGTCGTGAACAGTCCGTCTTCGCAAGCTCGTACTTCGACAGCTTTCGCCTTCTATCGCACCAAAAGGCGTTCTTCCCACGTCGATCCTATCGGTCGACAAATCACTTATTCGGATTTGGAGTTCGCCTTGCGATATTAATACGTCTCTGATATTGCGAATATCAGTCGCAAGAATCTTTGCAGAGAAACTCCACTTCGATCAGCGATAGCGCGGTCAAAGGTACACGCTCGCCTCTTCCCGAATCCACTCCGGTGGCTTCTGACTCACTTGTGTGTGTCTGGTCAGATAGTGACGCTCGGAATGCTATGCTGCCGACTTGATAAAACTGACCTACAATGCGGCGTCACCGGGCTTGAGCCCGCCGATGGCTAGTTTCCTAGTGGAGCCCGAGCGTCTCCATGTAATTCAGTCTATTTTCTAGCATACTAACACTTACACAAATACACCATCATGGTTATGCCGTAGCAAGCCGACTCACCAAGTCGACTCGGGCTCTAAAATTTTGATTGATGACGTCAGGTGCTCATTTCACTTATCTGCATGAAAAATGTCATGTGTCCTTCGTCTTTTTTGCTTCGTAGAAGATGCGCTGGCGCGGCAACGTCGATGTTGATTCGAGACGATTTCGACAACCCTCAATTGCAATCGACAAACGAAGCACGGAAAATCTCTTCTCAAGTACTTACTCTTCTTTCCACGTTGACACAGTACTGATCTCCACAGCTTCTACTAGCAACAGGACAACAAGTCGCCTCGATCTATTTTCGAGGACTACAACGAATAGCAAACGTCTTCTAGGCGTTGTTGTACTTATTCTGTGCACGAGGTCATCGCGTCCGCTTCTTCATCAGATATGCTTCCATGCAGACCACGCGATTGTGAAACGAAGAAACTCTCACGTACTAAATCTAGAATCTCTGAAGCTGAACAAAACGAAATACGACATCGACAAGTAAGCAGTTTTTCCAAGGATACAAAAATGACGAGTACTTATGAATCTATGCAAGAAGATGAAGAAAGCCACATGTAGAGGAGTCGAGCAATGCTAAAATGAGTCAAAGTGTACGCGGTTCTCCCTATCATAGCCACAATAACAGATAGCAGAAGTAAGCAACGAGTCAACTACACAACAAGGCTCTAAGAATTTTTTCGAGATGTGCTCCGGCGACGTCGTCGAGCAACTTGACCATCTCAGGTTCATCTACTTACATCTCGAGCGTTTCCGGGACGCCCAAAAATCGTCGTAGGCCAGGGCACGACTTGAAATAGATGTAGTTCTCGTCCGAAAGAACTTGAGATAAGAAGCGCTCCAGAACGGGTGCGCGCGCCGCGGGCTTCGGATCCGCGATAAAATGATACTTTCCCGGAAGCGGCGGCAGGAGAAACTCACAGATTTCCTCTCCTGCGTGCGCAATGAGCTGCGCCCGCAGATGCAGGAAATCTCGGAAGCGGCGCCGCTGCGTCCACGTCGCAACCACGGTGCAATCCGCAAACGCGTGAACCTGCAGGCAGTAGGCTATAAAGGCACTCCCCTCCGCATCAAAACGCTCTTCCCAACTCTGGACGGCTACTTCTAACGTCGGCTCGGAAACATTGATATTCATGTCCACCGCTGATGAAGGCATAACATCGTCCTCACGCGTTGTCATAACTCTATTTTCAACGCCTAGTGTCGGCGTGATAGCTGCGAGGCCATCGCGATCCAGGCCTCCCCTCGATGTTGAAGTGTTTTCGAATTCGGCATGCTGCGCGACCGGTGCTTCGTCACTTTTTGTGCGAGACGGCGTGATGTCTACGGCAGAGAGAGTCATAGACGACACCTGCCGATCGTCCAACAAGCTGTTTTTACGCTCGTCCTCCTTGTCAGAAGCACGGATGTCAGTATCACTTGCCGTGGCGCCAGAGGTTCCATCATCTTGTTTAATACTTTGCGAACTCTGAGAACAGATCTGCACGTCCCCGACAACAATCGGAGCGCTTATATTGTGCCGAATACCACCGACCTGAACCGACGCTAGCTGCAGTGCCGATCGCGGTCGCCGACAGAACGTCGTAGGAGAAGGTTGACGCTCAAGCCCAACGGCAGCTTGCTGCTCAGAACCAGATTGCATACTACCACTGGTTTCTATTTCAAGAAATTTTGCCAACGCGCGGGACCTGCGCACCTCCGGGATAAGCATAACACTCCGCAGCCAGTGTTCCAAATCAGCACGACGCCGCTGGTGAAAAGAGTAGTCTTTTCGTATCACCGAACGCATCTTCGCTGGCAGCGGTGGAATTCGCACGGGATCCCTCATTTTTGGCAGCCTTTCGACAGATGCACTCATGCCTGCCTTGTTTCTTTTCGGCGCGAAACTTGGGGTCGACGTGGAGGTGCGAGCCGAGAAATCCCCGCCATCAGGCTGTTCTTGCACGTCTCGATGTCCTGTAATGTGTTTCAAATGCTGATTCCGACTAGCATCTTCTGTTTCTTCATCGGATTGATGCGGACTGTCATCTAGGGCCATTTGGCCGTAAAACCGCGACTGCAACGCCTCCCGCACCTCTAGCCGGAGCGCTAGATCGAAGTCAGCAAATTGGTTGTAACGTCGCGACACTTCTACTAGACTCTCAACAGTAGCGTCCGCAGCAGCTCCAGCCATGGCTCGTGGAATCACTGCCACAACGATGTGGTACGCAACGAAGAACTGCTGTCCGACCCCGGTTAACGCGAAAAGGCTGCGCCCCGTAGGCGAGTGCAGCGCATTGCCCCTTTGCTCTGCGACCAGCTCGTAATTTGGAATCGAAATATCGATCCAAAACTCGCTGGTCGGAGAGAACGCGTCCGATCGTCCTAAAACGTCTCGGATAACCTCCTTCGGCGCGTTCTCTCCTACGGAAGCAAGGAACATCAATCCTCGAGAGGCGTCGGACTCACTCCTGTCCTGCAAAGTAGATCCGCTTCCGAAAGAAGGCTTGTGCGAGTTCAATGGAGTCTTGGTGGCTGTGCGTGGAAAGAGAGACGTACCAGAAACCGATACCCCTGCATCACTGTAGTCCAACAAAGCGCTCTCTTCCACCTCTCCATGTCCGGTTTTGTGGGGACGCCGCGCCATGCCGGGTAGCGATTCCGTCGATGAGAAAGGCGAGGCAACACGAATGTCAGGCGGCATTCGACGTCCGGGTCTGCTACCAGAGCTGGTAGTATTACCAACAACGACTGTGGTTGCTAGCCCGCGACGTCTCGGCGATGCAGACCTGCCAGACTTCGTGCGACTCACACTCCTACTGATGTTTCTTCTCAGATCTTCGTCCAAAATGTTCAAGAAGTCTAGAACGTGATTGGACCGGTGCATGAAGACCTCTACTGTCAGCCTCAAAAACTCTTCGAGTGCTCGCCTCTGTGCGTCGGGTTGAGTGATTGCGCCCTCAGTCTCGGGTAAATATGGTATTCGGCAGCTCAGTTCTGGGGACGAATCTGCAGGAAATGCAACTTTTAACGTTTCGCGTAGCTCTCTGAAATCGCTCCACGACTTTCCACCAAGGAAGTCCGTAACTGCTGACGGATCCCGCGCATGCAATACAAGATTATCAGACTTAGTTGCTGCAACTTCAGCGTATCCGCTGACTCTACCGTCTACGACTGCTGGCTCTTCCTTGACATTACCATGAACCTGTGCAACAACCTTCCACAGAGTGGGCTGCTTGTCCTTCTCTCTCTGCCTCTCGCTCTCTTCGTCCTGTTTTAAAACGACCGCAATAGCGACACACAGGCCTATACTAGCCCCGTACGCGTTCCGATCAGGTGAAAAGCGGCTACGGAAATTTCTTCGCCCAGAGAGGTAGTCTCTTACTATCGGACTCGGGTAATTGCTTCGCTGCACATCAAATCGACCCGTTTCCATCGAGAGCGTCGGTGGGATATAGTGTAGACCTGCGGCCGGCCCTGTGGAATCTGATGAAGATGTTATACCCCCCACAGCCGACGAGAAATACAACTGCTGGCCCTCTTGTTCTAACACCTCTTTGCGACCATGATGTGGCATACCATCGTCCCTAGGCGCACGATTAAAATTGCGCAACACTGCGTTCGTCCAGAACTCGTCATCCACGGGCAGGAGAGTTTGGCTCAAAGGGAGGAGCTCGATCGGAAGATCGTGTGCCCAGAGCGACAGGACCATGAGTACGCATTGACACAGAGCGTATAGCATCGCTAACACTTCGAAAAGAAAATGGATGAAGCCAATATCCTCGTAATTAGGAATCAAGTAGGTGGCTTCATCTTTCGCTTGAGCACTACCGTTTGCATTGATTCCCCTTTCAAGTTCTCTTGGATGACTGGTGGATGTAGTTGCTGGCGCAAAAAAATCCACCACGGAGGTATAAGAGTGTCGATCTGACCAACTCTCGCCAGTGACATCTCCCTTTTGTCGTGGTCGTTGCTTCTCTTGAAACTTCTTCGTCCATCCCCCATCTTCGACTACTTGGCCTTCTGAAGAAAGTGGCAGAGGGTATTGCTGGGAGTCCAAGTTTACGGCTTCTGGGTCTTGCTTATCTCGGAAGTGAAAGGCGTTTGACAATCGACCTACTTGATGTCGCGCAGCGCCAGTTATGTCTTGCTGAAAATCACTGAAGAGATGACCGTCATGTACGTGCACGTTGAAAACGCTTGGCACGTATCTTAGACGCCCACTTGAATGAACTCTTTTTGCGAGCTTCTGCTGCGTTCTGAACAGAGCCCTTTTTATTGCCCTACCTTCTAAGCAGAATTCACGACGGAGCATACTCATTAAAACAAGTAAATGATTAAAGAAGTAGAAACCACCCTTAAAAACTTGCTGCCTTCACGTCCGAGTGGAAAGGACTGCGCACTGTTTCCGTATAGCAGCACGAATCCATAGTCCGATAAGCTAAGATAAAAAAGGAAACGCGCAAGACCTTCTAGTCCACCACAGAAAAAGAGGCCACGAAGCCCTATCCATGTCTGAGGAAGATATCGCTGGTATTCTAGGACTAACAACCGATAAGCCGCGGCGAAGACCAACACGTGCAGCACCGCAGAAAGCGCAAGCACGCTGTCCCTTTCAAAGAATCCATAGTGCGCCACGCAGCCACAAAAGAGTAAGAAAGAAATCCCGCACAAGGTCAGCAGTAAAACGCGTTTCGCCAGATGAATCCGAGGGAGCTTCTTCGGGGTCGCACAGATAGCCGAGGCCACAACTTCGGAATAGCGTAGCGGGCCACAGAAAAGCAAGAAAATCCAATATGGAAGAAGAAAACCTACGAGCTCGGCATAGCAGGTATAGTCTGTGTTACAAAACGTCGAAGGATCTTCTTCCGAAGGCATGGTTTTCTTTCATCAATTGATTTACAAGAATATCTTTGAAACACTTGCATCCACAGGTGATCAGTCCCCGTGATTGTCATTCAAATCACGAGTTGCCCCCTCTTAACTCAGTCAACTCGGATAAACATTCTTATAATTTGGTGGAGGCACAACCTCGTAATGCCACACTTCTTGCCAACCTGCCAGACGAGACAATCATAACCGATTAAGTATAAAGTGTGTGTGTGCTGCTTCCGTCTCTTTTGAACAATTAAAATTATTTCACTGGAAAAAGCGTGCCCTAGTTGTTAAAACCCGCCGCAGTTTAGCTTCTGGAAAAATACGAGAAGAATCTGTTTCCTGTACCATATGCTGTCCTTAGGATAATTATTCCTGATCCGTAAAAGAAATCACATAAGACCATTAGGCCAACAGCCTGCGCAAAAAGAAAATATTTCGAGACCGAAGAAATTAGGTAGCCGATAACGATAGCAAAACCTGCTCTATCTCATAATGATGGAGGGGAAGAACTGACGATCATTAGATGTTGTTTAGTACTTGAGGTTCAATATAAAATTTTAACAAAATACCAGCCTACAGAAGCGACACTAGACTGACAAATATCCCCTGGAAGCTTTTCAGAAAAGTTCCAAAACTTGACTTTGTTTTTGTTTTTAGATCTCCTAAGGCACTGAATTCTGGTGATTCATGAGGATGGGACTGTAAGTGGGTGTAATCAACTTCGTCTTTATCTAAGACGTTGTGTGGAAGAAAAGAGCTCATCTCCCATCGTCTCTTCTCCCTGTAGAGTTTCGGGCACCTCCGCCGCCCCCACCCTCTAGCTCTAGCATATCACGGTCCATACGAGCCCGTATTGCTGCTTCCATAGGACCGAATGCCGACATCCGCGTGCGTCGTGTAGCCGGAGCGAAATCCTCATTGCTAGTTGCTCTACTGCCTCGGCCATCCCGACGCAGAGCGCCATACATAGCTGCGGTACTGTTGCGAGATCTCGCGAAGGCGATATCGTCTTCAGGATCAAATCTGGAGGAGGCAAACACCCGGCCAGTTTCTTGTCTTCGCAGGTGGCTCGCGCGCTCTCGCGGACCAACGCCGAAACGGCTCCGTGGTGCTTGGGTCTGCTGCTGTGCGAGATAACTGGCTCGCGCACTGCTTGCCACCTGCCGATCTCGCGCGGTTCGCGCATAGTCGTAGTTATCGCCGAAGATCGATGAGGCGTCGCGCGCAGCTGCGGAGCGTCGCTGCAGATCGAGATACCGAGCGCCCGCGATTGAGCCGCGACTTCCATTTGCGCTTGCCCTCTGACCGCCGACGGCGTACGTGGCATTCGGCGCCACATTCTGATTTAAGACGCGTCGTGGCGTAGGCGGCGCATCGAAACGTCTGCTCGCTGCCTCTCGAATTTCGCGATCCCGCTGCTCGGCCAGTGCTGCGAGCGAGGGATAGTTGCGGGCAAACTCCCCACCGCCAGCGCCTCCCATGGAAGGTCGAGCGCCGCCCGTCATATCTTGTCTACCGAGTGCTCCTGGAGGATAGCCCAGCTCTTGCTGCTGGCCAACGTCAAGGTCATGTCCTCGTGATTCGAAAATCACTTGACGCTGGCTAAGTCGCAACATTCGCTCCTCGGCTTCGGCCTGCGTAGTGGACATTCCCGCGACCTGACTCATGAGCCAAGCATCGTCTGACCCAGCGACGCCACGTGCGGCCACGGAATAGCCATCGCTGGATCCTGCGTCAGGCGAATCTGCGTAATATCCCGCGCCCCCTCCGCTTTGGACCGGTGCAGAATACCCACGGTACTGGGAAAGAAATTCACCAGACAGCAGCGGAGGGACGCCCAAGGTATCGCTCTCCAAGGTATTGTTTTGTGGCAGTTCTGCTGACCAGGCGCGATCAACACGCACGTGAGAATGGCCCGACATACTATTCGCCGCTTGTCGTACTTCTATTGGGTTACGCTGCTGGTTGTTGCGCTGCGAACTAGACGTGGAAGGGGGACCCTGCCGTGAACCAGCACTACGGCCAGATGATATACCCAAAACGGAGGGGTGGATGTTGTTGTCGCTCCATTGCGCATAGCTACCGTCGCTCGCTAGATTAAGGGGAGTGTAAGAGAGATTCGCCGCACGCTGCGTTGCAGAGGAGGACGCAACGCTTCCCATGTTGCGCTGCTCAGGTTGCGCCTGGTACGTTGATTCTGACAGTTCCATTGCATCAACCTCGTTCGTGCCTGGCAAGCCAACACCTCTACCCCCCGGTGGATACAGCAGACCCTGTCCACCAAGCTCTTGTTGACCTTGACTCGCCTGAGCCGCTGCGTACATGAGACCTTGGTGAACGCGTGCCTGCTGCGCAGCCAGCAATGGATTCGTTCGAGGTACCGAATTGAAAATGCGCGACGCGGCAGCCACAGCAGCCGGATCCAGATTTTCTGCAGATGCAAAACCGTCGAGAAACGGCGCGGTGCTCATACCACGAAGCTGCGGGTGAGGCGTCGCGATCGCTGGGATGACACGGCGTTGGCGTCGTGGAGGCTGATCTTCATCTAGTTCAGGAATGCTGGCAGTGCGCCTCGTTATCTCCGGTGCTGCATTTGTGCTTCCGAATGGTGGCACCGCTGTTGACGGACCGGATTGCGCCATACAGAGTTGTCCATGCTGGACCGTGTACCGCTCCTGCTCACCGTCGCTGCTATCGACAACCGAGTGAAAAGCCTCGGACCCAGGCTGCGCGAGGAATGACGGCGACACTGGCCCTTGTTGGCCGTTGCTCCGCATAGAACCCATGTACGAACCTAGTGTGCTCCTGATATCGGTAGTCTGCAAATTCTGCTCCACCATTTCTGGCCCTGACGGCATAACCCTCCGATAAGGCAATTGCTGCGGCGGCGATGAGAATGCTGCTCCGTCCTGCGCTGGGTAATGTCCTATTCCAAGGCTCGCGTCTGGAGTGGGAATCGATGACGCACCACCCCTTCCCGCCTGTTCCAGTTGCGCTAGAAGCGCCAGGGTCTCCGCGTTTGGGATCGACGCCCTGCGATTGGTGCGTGGTCGTGTGCGCGTCGGGGATCCTGGTTCACCTGCGTCGCCGTTGCGTCCCGCCTGAACTGGGGTGCTAAAATGGTCTTCATGCATAAGATCCTGCGGATCGCGGCCACTGGCCATGCGGATCTCGTGGTCAATCATGCGGATCTCGTGGTCTAAAGCCGCCGCTGCGCCCACATGCCCGTTGGCGCGGATCATGTCAGCAAGCGCTGACATGCGACCCGGACTTCCGAGCCCGTTGTTCCCGGGTACTCCTCCAGCGCCTCCGGCCGCGACTACGGTTCCCCGAGGCAACTGCAGACCCGCCGCAGTCAGCACGGACGCAGCCGAGCCCAGCGTGCTCAACGCCCCGCCTCCTTGCATCAGTGTGCTGATGAGCGCGCTCGTCTCCGCACTGCTTGGTGGCAAAATGCTACTGTCCGCATTGCTTGTCGTTGCACCATTCGCCCCTAGGCTTACTCCATCGGAGACCGGAGAACGGCCTTGCTCTAAGCGATTTCGTTTTTCTATCAGTTCCGCGACTCCTTGCAACATCTCGAGCTTTTCGTCCGTCAGGTTCGAGGCCGCAGGCTCGCCCACCATTTCTATGGCCTTCAGCAAGGCATTCGACCAAAAGTGGTCGCGAGGAGCCGCGATGGGTCGCACCTTAGGATTTGCATTCATTTCCACGAGGTTCTCGAGTGCCACCGTGTCTACGTGCTGCTGCATCCCAGCTTCAGCTGTCGGCGGCTCGAGCACTTGCATGCGGTGCATCGCGCCTCCGTGGCCCCCGAACCGCTGGTATGGATTCTCGCGCACGATCTTGCCGGGTTTAGCGCTCGTCGTATTTGCCACAAGAATTTCACGGAAACATGAGACCAAGGCCAGAAGAAGCGAGACGTCGATACGCACAGACTCGACGCAAACCTCCCATAGATGCACAAACTCAGCGAAAGCCATTGCCGCACCACCGTGCTCACGCCCAACGCCATTTCCAATCTCACACAGCGTTTGATTGTCAGCCACTCTCCGGAATACCCACTGTTGAGGACCCGAGCTCAAAATAGTCAGTACCTTTTTAAGATGTGCAAATTCAAGCTGTAAATCATCTGGTGGCGTGCAGAAAAGAAGACAATGTAGAGAAAGCGAAGAGATGGTGAACTCATATCAGCCTGTTCACGGATTTCAGACCTTGTACACAAGCACGAAGTATCTTCAGAATTTTTACCAGACCTCCGCCTTCCTGCTGCGATCCTTGATATACATCATAAACATATGAATGATCTGGGTTGCCGCTGTTTGCGCCCACCATTCGAGGCACCAGTTCGTAAAAAATGTTCCTCGATAATGAGCGTCCGCTATACACTAGACCCCTGCTCAGTTCCCGCAACGCCTGATATTTAAGATGAGTTAGGTGTTTAGTTTCCTGCGTTCCTATAATATATTTGTTTCACCTCACACCCGCACCGAACTCAGGAGGAGAAATGGAGAATGACGAGCTGTCGCTGAATGGAACAGAAGAATGAAAAATCGCTAGGCATGACAGGCACTTGTTCAGAGTACACAAACAAAGTGGGATCGGGATGTTACAAAAAATAGTAGTACCCCGACTTCTCCTTTGAAGACGTCTCTTTTGAGCTCCCAACAGAATAGCATGGTGTTCGGCTGCACTCCGTTTACCTTCTTGTGTCCAGATTTGGTTACGATGGTCTGGTAGCCTACGAGCGCGGTACAGCCGAAGAATTTCTCGAGCGGAAACTGTTCGAGTAGTTGAAGTGGACTCATGCCGAAGTCGAGCTTACAAAGTGCAAAGGGTGCGTCCGTGCTGCTCTGTGGTGTGTTTCGCAACGCCCAGCCAGCTCCGGAAGTTCGGAGCCCGCCTTTCTTAAGCGGACAGAAGAAGCCCTCCTCAAAAATACGGTGGCTCTCTGGTCTGGCCAAAGATGTAACTGGCTCTGGAACTTGCGCGTCCTCCCCCCGCTGGTTGCGGTGCATATCCAAGATTTGACTCATTGAGCGAAAGACGTATCGAAGGACCTCATCATCGTTCTCGCCGGATGAAAAGATGCTGGCGAGTCCGCTTCGCTTTCGCCTCCCGTCTGAGGCAGCACCTTTATAATTTAGGTACTTCTTATACACGACTTGTAAGTCCGAAACTACATCGATTTTCCTACCGTTTTGCGTCTGGACCTGCCTGTTGCTAGATGAAACAGCTCCTCCGGTTGTTAACTGATCGCCAGAAAAGTCCATGCGCGGATCGCCTTTTGCGCCCCGTCTGTTTCCCGCATCGCTTTGCTGGAGACCATTCTTCGAAGCTCCTGGCTGTGTCAATCGGGTCTCCGACTTTCTCAGCCCTGGAAGACCACCGTTAATCGCCGGGCTAGTCGCCCTCGCGTTGTTATCGAAGCTCGGGCGTGGAGGTATCCTAATAGTGGGAACACGCGGCGCCGTTCTAGCGGCCTCAGACACACGCGTATCATCGGAGTTGTTACTTTCGCGTGTTAGTTCACGCCGAACCTCCGCAGCCGAAATACGCGGCACACGCTCATCATATCCTTCATATGCGGTTACTGCCACATTCGTGAAACGACTGGAAGCAGCCGACACGAAAGCGCGCGACTCCGATCGGCGACGTCGAGCTTGGTCCAATGCCGCGAAACAGATCTCGTAGGCAGAGGGACTCCCCGACCTTTGGTAATGGTCCACGACCATGTTCGGCCGCGACATTTTGACTCACGATTCCGAAGGGCGGTGACGTCGGTGTCCAGCGCACGACAAACTGGAGAGGCACTTGCCCTCGAGTCAGACACGGTCCTCTGGCGACAAAGCAAGCGTAATCTTCATTCTTATTCGAATTCAAACACGACAGTGCATGCTGCTAGATGATCAGTTCATGAGATGGAGGGAAGTAGGTCAACGGGTAACATTCATAGCGGATTGTTTCATTCCAAAATATTATGCACCGCACTGTATACGTACAACATTTCGCTGTGTGCAAAACGACCAGAACCCGAGACTTAAGAAAACTGAACCCGTAGACAATACAGGCGTGTCGTCCGGACGATACGTACTCACACTTAGATTCCGGAAAGATGGAGCTTCTAAGATGCCAAAAATTTGCCACTGTCTATTTGGCAGATTCAATCGTCCAAAAAATGGACTCTAAATGTGCTTCACATCGGGGTGCGAAGGCCGATCGACGCTAAGGAAAATCGGTAGATCTATATTTACAAAACATGCATGCCTGAAGTTGGACTCGTAGTATCACAATGAATCTTAATCCTCAGACTGGAAGTGCAAAAGGATCATGTGCAAGATTCAGGCCACGCATGGCATCTATATGCTGCTTCATGACTCTCAAGAGACAGACCGTTCTATTTTTACAGAGAAGATTGCCTTTCTAAATTTCTTCCACGTGAGGGACATGTCGGTTCAGGATCACTTCCCACGCGTTTAGTTCACGGTAAAGATACAACAAATGCAGGTGCCAAGTTTTCGAACTCCAGATCTTTAACCCAACGACGACCGCAAGGGCCACATCACTCCACGACAGATCACCATCTTATTTCCGTAAATGCACATCAGACAAAAAGGCGATTTTGTCACATACCGACCTTCAGGCTTCGGGCTCAGATCATCACATCTTGAACACTCTCATGATGGGTTCTGCCCGGCTCTAAAACATTCTCGATCCAGCCCACACACGCGGGCACATGACTCAAAGATAATTGGAGTCACGTGCAGTGGCGAAGGCATCAACTTTTTTGATGGGCGTCTTCTCGATACTACCAGAAAAAGAGTCCCAGAGCCAAGATTTAGGATGATGTATCACAGATTCATAGGGAAAGTTTCACAAAGAAAACGCCAGTAGCGCATAGACCAGAAGTCGTCACTCCGTCATCCGTTTCATCGAGAGCGTTCGAGTTCACGAGACCCGGGTCGGCTCCGCAGCGCAGCGATGTCACTTCTAGCTCCTACCTGCGATTGCGTACCGGCTAAAATGTATTAGCCTATTCTCAAATCACAAATCCTAAACGCTGGACACGTCATATTCCCGGATCGCAGAGACCAGCAACTTAGTGCTTCAGCTTGGTCCGGCGCCAGTGGCGACGCTTGGAGTTGTACCTGAAAAAGAAGAGATTTAGAAAAAATTAGGTGCGGTTGGAAGATGAATTTACACATTGTCAAATTTAGCACAAAACTACAAAATGGTTTTGGAGTCTCAGAAAATGTCTCTTTTCTTACCTTGCTCGTAATTCATGCGGTTCTACTAATGCAGAATCCTCACTCCGTAATGGAAGTGATGAATGCGACATATCGAAAAAAGTATAAGTCCATACTTGATCTTATCCTGCTTCATGCGAAACCACTGCGGCACCGGGCGGTTTTTCTTCTGCGCCTTGGCGAGAAGCATCTTGAGCTTGAAAGTCTTGATGGCGCCCATTTTGTCTAGCAAGAGTGTGACACAATCACTTATGGCTAGGCCAACTCCTACCCTCAATGTCCCTGTTACAAATTTAGAATGTGACCCAAAATAGATTCTCTTGTATATTCAACGTAGGCCCCTAGCGAATGTGAGGGGACAATGCCTAGTACTAGACAACAATGAGCGAAGCAAGATCCACACAGTTGGCCGTGTTTTGTATTCACAGGTTGAGGGATTACACAGATCTGCTTTCGGAACGCGAATTTCAGATCTTCCAAAAAAAAATTCGTCTTGGATCGGTTCCAGATCAATTGAAAACGGCTTCGGATCACGACCATAGAGACAATGCTTTGACTCTTCCAGAAGGGTCTGAATAGTGCTTGCTGATCAGGCAGGCAAACTCTTCCTTTTGAACCACTTGGAACTTCAGCCACCACAGAAAATTCTAAAGATGGGATCCAAGTCGAATTATCACTTGCTGTTTTCAACTTCACAAAGGGGAAACAAGAGCTAGGATAGGACAAGTGGGAGCTGTCAGACAGGGATAACTTGATTTAGATTCGCATCGGAATCTCACTGATTCCTCCGAATAGAGGTGTCAGAACTCAAGATTGGTCATCATAACGAGGAGCACTAGAAACTAGCATACTCGCTATTTGAACGCGTAGACATCCTGCATCAGACAGGGATAACTTGATTTAGATTCGCATCGGAGTCTTTGGCTCCTCCGAATAGAGGTGTCAGAACTCAAGCTTGGTCATCACGCATGCAGGACGGTAAGAGCAAAGAGCAATGAACCAAGATCTAAGAGGCATGAGCAGCGACGGAGAGCATCAGACAGGGATAACTTGATTCAGATTCGCATCGGAATCTGTATGACTCCTCCGAATAGAGGTGTCAGAACTCAAGATTGGTCATCACGGTAAGCCATGGATCTTTACATTGATTTTCTAGAAACTCGAAGAAGTGTCAGACCGTCGTAGTCCTTGAGTGTTTCTGGTTTCGTACATTCCCCAAAGAGGTTCAGAGGATTGACAGATTAGAAAACAGTGATCATCATACTGGTGATCGTCCTTCGATTTGATCTTCAGTATCTGGACTGTCCAGTCATCTATGCACACTGATTCATCCGCGGCGTGGGAATATGCTGTCAGTCTTTGTCATAAAAGATCATACGTATGTCTCAGTTTTTTGGTCGTCAGAGGCCGTTACCTTGGAAAAGATTAAGCCTTGAAGGTTGTAATCATGTTCTTTTTTGTTATTCTGTTGAAATGAGATATCGAACACCGACATCAGGAAGATAATCTGCTCCTGAGCCCACACGGGCCGCAGAATCTTGACTTTCTGACTCTTCTAGCTCTTCGTTCGCTTTATTTTGCCGATTCATTTAGATTTCGATCTTCGAAAGCGTCCAAAAAAAGCTCGGATAACCTAAAACTTTCCCAACAAGGGCCGATAACCAATCCTTGAGTCATGCTTTGCGAAACTTGAGGAAAAAATCTGAGAAAAGAAGAAGGTGCTTGTGTACCTCCCATCCACACTTCTTGTGTCTACAGAGCTGGCACGCGGGCTCTACTTCAGTCAATTTCATACCTACGCCCCAACCTCTCAAATATGATCAATTTGCGACATGCATTGACTAAACCTAGCATTATACCCTAAATTCTCGACTGTGACCATGACGGTTATCACTCGCAAGCAAGCCTAAGCGCGAGTTGAATCTTTACTACGCGTCTCTGTGCAGGCCTGTTCCAGCTCGACTCCTAATCCGTTGACTATACAAACAAATTCGCAACCCAAAAGAAAAAGTAAGTTCACGTTTTTATGATGGATTTATGGTACTCGTCAGTGAAAATAAAGCAACAGTTCATTCATGCGTGTTCTACACCGAGTTCAGCGAAACGTCAGCTACATGTAATTGATTGATTTTTAGAACTTGACTGAAGAAAGCATACCCATGTGAACGTCCTTAGGGGAGAATATAATCGAACAGCAGACGCCTGTATCCTCAAAAGCAAAACCACTCTGCATGCAAACTAGTATGCCCAGCACATCTTTCTAGTTCCTTGCGGAGGGCCATAGCATCACTTTATGCCCCTATGCCATTTGCGATATTCTGTGTGGTGCCTTGAGACTGCACCGTTAGACGGCGCGTAGTTACCGCACCTGGTGACTGCCGATGTACTGCTTTATCACTCCAGCGCAGCACTACCATTACGAGAAGTACTTCTTCTTGTTAGTAGACGCCTCAATGCGATTCGTGCTCGTGGACGACTTTCGACGCGAGTTGTCGCGCTTGTCCGTTTTTGTGACTCCACCGGTTAGACGCAGAGTGACGACATCAAGCTCCTCCGCGCGCGTGTGGAAGAAGTCTTCTTCGTACGTCGGCAGCCCGTACACGCTCCCTCCCGGTGAACTTCCACCAGGAGATGATCCTCCACGCTCGGGTGAATTCTTCTCACTCTTTTGACCCGCTGGTTGCTCTGCGCCTTCAGACGCGACTACCGAGGACGTCGCACTGCCGCCATGCAAGAAGTTCGCAAGCTTCCCTGTAGAAGGGGGGCTCTGTCGAAGCGGCTGGTCACCCGCCTCTGCGCTAGATGGCTTCTGCGCCGCTAGTCTTTTCTGTTGCTCGATCGCAAAGACTGAATGATCCATATCGTGGAGGAAATCAGACACGTCGCAATCAAAACAATTCGCCACGGTCATGAGGACATCCAGCACGCCAATGGGGGAAAGTGTTAGTCGACTCTGTCCACGCACAGGAGCGATCATGTTGTCGTCGGGCGCGACGAACAGATCAGGTATGCCTGCACTAATTGGATTTAGGCCAGCAAACGCAAGCTTCACGATTTCATAACAGCTGGCGTTACGACTGTACAGCTCGAAGGGGTGCTTCTCAAATTCAAACTGAGCCTCATATTTGTCATGATCAATTAGCTTCGGCTTCAATCTGTCCACCGCGTAGAGGACGTACAGATACAAGAATATGAAGGAGGAAAAAAGGGTGATGTGCTGTTACGAAGGCTCTTCCTTTCCATCCGTTGCGTGTGATCGTCTCTTCTACGTACGCCCGTTGCATCTTTACTCACATAGTTCTAACACGAAACATTTGAACATATCAACGTCTGCTTATAAATCCAGTCTGGCCTTCCATAAATTCTTCCAGGCCGAGCTTTCCGGTGCCAAGCATGAACAGGTCCCTCGCACAATAGCTAAAAGCACGATAAAGCAAAGTCCGTCTCCTCTTGAGTTTAATCACCTGCAAGTAGCCGCGCTGGAATTTTTCACGCGATTTATGTCGTTCCCAAATCTCCTTCCCTGATTCCGAATAGCAAAAACTGAGTAAATTGCTCTCCTCCCAAGCCTCCATCGATAGCTCCCCGCTTGTGGAAGTATCAAAGGAGGACGAGGTCAAGTCGGAGCCGGAGGACTGCGCTCTCTGCGTATCGGTTGTGGTTGTAGCCATTGTTTCTGCGATACTTGTCTGCGCGGCTTGCTCTTGACTCGAAGAAGTCGCTGCTGTTTTGGGGCGAGAACTGCCGTCATTGTCCGTTGTCTCGGTCACGTCCTCAAGAGCCGGTAGGGGGTTTCCGTCCGCGTCCACGAATGCGGGCTTCATCTGCGACTCAGCACGGGCCTCCTCGCTAGCAGAGCCGGGCGCTGGGATAAACTCCGGAGGAAGTGTCGCCGGGTACTGCCGCATCGAAACAACTGTTCCCTGCGCGGCCACTAGTCCACCACCCAGATGGAATTCCCCTGGCGCTCCCCCGACAAGCAGAGACGAGAATGTGGCTCTCTTGTCCCTCCTCCGCTTCTTCATGCGCCCATCAGGAAGCTCCACGTACTGCAGATCCTCGGGTTCTGACTCGAAAAAGTTGGAACGGTTCGGATTCGCGAACCTCTGCTCATACATTTCCTCATCACTGCTATCATCCTCTACGGGCAGAGAGAACCGCACGCGCTGCCGCACGTCATCCCACCCGTCGTCAGTATCGACACTGCTCTCGGAATAAACGGAAGAATCATCTTTCAGAATGCGGTGTCCCTTCTTGCTCTTGTGTTTCTTCTCGAACAAAGCTGCTTCGTCTGTTCGGAAGGCTCGCCCAACGTGCGCGGTATAGATCTCGTTGATCTCGTACTTTAATCTCTCGATCGTGCCACCCTCTGCAGCTTCCATCTTGTCCTGACCTTGCATGCGAATTTTGTCGAACCACAAGTCTTTGCCTCGCGCCAGTTCCAGACGCTTCAAGCTAAGACCTTTCGCTGGCGCCCCTGCTCCTGTGCCGAGCAGAGCTGCCTTCTTGTCCTTAGTGGAGGGTCCGTCGCTGGCATTCGCTGGGGCGACGTTCTTATTGCTCTCCCTGCGCTTATCCGCCTGTGCCTTCGGGTCCTTCTCCTTGTCCTTGCCTGCCCCGCCCGCAGCTCGCGCGAGGCTCTTAGCAGCGTACTCACGACGGAAATCAATGCAATCATTGAGTTCCTGACGCAAATTGCTCCGCACAAAGCAGTCGTGCAGACTCCACACACTCAGCAAGGGGCCTCTCGGCAATTCTGCAGGCGTCAGGCGGTATATGAACCGCTTAGCACGATACATGGCATCAGAGAGTGCCAAATACTGCGAGACGTCGCGCCCGCCGTCCTCCCCCTGACCGCCGTCTAGCTTCGCCCGCAGCCTCTTCATGGTACTCGCTCCATTGTTGTCACTTGAGCCGGACATCGACAAGCCCGAATGGGCGGCTGAACTGCTGGAACTTCCGTACCGGCCTCCAAAGATAGGATCAAACTCACGCCCACTTGCACTCGCTTCGAAGAAATGCTGCTGGTCAAACCGAAACCGACCCACTAGACCACACATGCCATTCCAGATAGGATCCGGAAGCGCAAGCGTCCCCGCCTCCGTCGACGCCTTGCCGTATGCCTTAGTGCCATTCGGAGAACCATCTCCACCTTCCGTCGCGCCGTCGGTTGCCGCATCTCCGTTCCCTCCTGCAGTTCCCTCCGGCGCACCTGGAGAACCTTTTCCTCTCGAGATCGGGCTGGACTTACCGTTTCCACCGGGGCTAGAATTCGGACTCGCACCCCCTCCATCATCGCCCTCAGTAAGAAACGTCTTTGCAGCGGCTTTCTCCGGAGATGCCGGTGGCGCTTTGTTACCTCGTTTCCTTGGGTCTTGCTGCGGCAAGCTATTTGCGTTCTTTGCCGCATCCTCGAGAGCTAGCTGTTGCCTCATGCGGACTCTGAAGTCTGCGTCGCCAAACAGTGCCGTTGCGGCCGCCTCGCCTCGTTGCTCAAACCACCAGTCAAGAAACTCCTTTCCGAAACGCCCTGCATGTGCCGGCAACAGCGTCACTCCTCGGTGAGCAAGCATGGCCTCAGGTGTGCCTATCGCCTTTAACACGAAGTCGTGCGCAGACGTCGCCCACACGGACTTCTCGTGCTCCTCTTTCAATTTGCTTTCCTTCGCCTTTCCACCAGCTTTCTCGATGCCAGTGCTCGCTGTTTGGCCAAAGACGTTAGAAGAAAGCGCCACTTAAGGATATACAACCGGCGCAGGACTGGCAGGACTTGCCACTACACAAAGAAAAATTTCGAAGATATTTCTAGAGTCAATCGTCGACCATCCACCCACTTGGAGGATGATGGGCTACCCACTCACGAAACCAAGAAGTATTGCGAGAGCACCAGTTTCCTTTTCTACTCGCGTCCACGTTCTTCCACTTGAGTGACAGTGCGACTAAGGTCTCTAGCCACTCCTAACGAAAAATTTCGTGTTGCAGAAAAAATGCGTGGGATCAAGTCTATCATGAAATACCTTATTGATCAGGGTGAGCAGTATCTTAAACTAACACGTCACCAATAATTCTACGCAGCCTTGTAACATAAGATCGTCTCCAGCTTCAAGTTCTGCCTCCACATTCAGATTAGCGGGTGGCTTCGGCGCACCGGCGACGCCCACACTCATGAACGCAAGGTTAGAAATGGAATCGTGCACTTCTTCGTTGCTCATGCGCTGATGGATCCCACGCGGTGTGTAGTTACCTTCGTCTTCTGCGAAAAGGCGCTCTCTCAATTTTGCAGCCACTTTTTCTGCCACAGTTACATTCCGTCGCCGTCTCGGACTGGGGCCAGCCCCGCCATTCGCTACTCCATTTTCTTTTGGCCTTTTCACCCCTCCAGTGTCGCTACCGGAAGTTGTCGTGGTTTCGAACTTGTTGCGCTTCTCCGGGTTCGTTGCCTCCGCTAGTGTTGTGCCCATCTGCTCCGCCTGCTGCAGCATCAATGCATGATACTGTCCGAAGATCTCTGCTTGCCGCAAGACCCACATTTTTTCGAGCGTGCGCTTCCACTTCAGGGGTCCTCCTGCCGACGGACTGTAGAGGTAGTGTTCCGGACGCGCGGTGCGTAAATTCAATCGGTTCCAAAGAACCACAACTCTGGTGGGCAGCTCCGGTGGCCGCATGTTGTCGATTTCCACCACAACAGCTTTCTTCGCTTTCTTCGTGCGCACCTGACCACTGTCTGCCTTCGATACTACGTCTCTATTGTCGTTTTCCTCCTCGTTGCTGGATGTGGCCGCGGAAGAGGAGGAGGAGGACAAGTCTCCCAGCTCTTTCGGCCGATAATCGTCTCCAAAAAAGAGGGCTCTCGTGTCGTTGGGCCAGTCTGGACGCTGCGTCCACGCGTAGTCCACGCCACCTCCGTACTTTGGCAGTCTCCGTCGCTTTCGCGCCGATCCTTCCACATCTAGTCCACTCTCGTAGAAGCGATTATCCTTAGATCGCCGCTTCTGGGAAGCACGCGTTTGCAGGACGAGCCCCGTGTCCGACCGAGGCCATCTGACATCCGGAACGCTCTCGTCCAGATAGGCATTCTCTGCGGTGTCGCTGTTTTCAGAAAGATCGTCGCGTAGCGTTGGAAGCGTGTGCAGAAAGAAGTTTTTACCCTGTCCGTCCTGCGGCATGTCTCGTCGGTACTTCACAGTTTCGTACGCCTCGTACCGGTGCTTACTTTCCGCCCGCAGAAATTTCCGTTGCTTGTGCGTCAAGTAGTTGTCGAAGGCCGGCTTCTTCGCCTGCGCAACCAGCTTCTTCCGCCGCCGCTTTTCATGCTCGTCCTCGACTAGAAGCACGGAATCGACGTCACCACCTAAGGGTACCCCGGTGTTCCCGTGTAACAGCACGTCACTAGCTCGCGACCCAACACTAGCCGCCGTGACGGCAGATCCAGGTCGCTCAGCGTCTCCGGATGAATGCCCGTTATGCGGATCCGGAGACGCAGCCTTTTCCCCGCGTGGGGATGCCATACTAGCCGCGATTGAGCCATTACGCCTCGAGTCCGTCTGTGTCTCCTGCAGCAGCTCTTTGAATCCCTGAAGATTTGTCGTGGTGAAAAATTGAAATTATTCGCCAACTAGTGCACAAACTCATCCTCTATCTTCGGATCCACATTATGAATTCCGCAAAGTGAGTCGGAAAAATAAATCATCGTCTACAAGTCTTCAACGTTCAGCCTGGAACAGTGGCATTGTGAATACCCGTGCGCGATCCCTGCTATCGCCAAATCTCGCTGTCCGTCTCTTGAGCCGTCGACGTGGAAGTTGCTTCAAAGCCTCCTGGTCACCTTCAACACGCAATACCATCGTTACCAGCGAGTTTTTCTTCCCCCGCTCTGCAACCGTCCACTGAGTGACGCCCGTCATGCCCATGCCTGCAGAATTGTAATTCATGATGAGAGAGTGCAGGAGATTCGCACAAAGGCCTTTTTGCGGTTGCAGCGCGTCTTCTATGAAAAAAAACCTATGGACAAAAGACAGTCAGTATAATCACACTAAGCAATAGTTTCACCTGCGCCTGTTCAATCAAGAAAGCGAGAAAACTATTTGTGTTGTACCTCGAAATGCGACGAGCCTCTGGACGCCGACAATAAGCCACTCGCTAGCATTCTTTATCTTTACACGTGTTGCTACAGGCAAACTCGCCGCGTAGGTTTCTTTGTTGAGTACCGCGTATTTCCGACCAAACTCGCGCATTCTATCACGCAGCGTTGACTTATTTCCACATGACTTCTTGAGGTACGTGACCCACTGCCTCATCGAGAGTTCTTCCTTCATAGTGATCATTCGCTTCGCCTGCCGTGCCTGGCGCTGCGCTGCTATCACCGCAGGATCTTGCGCGTCGCCACCCTTCGCCGGTACGCCTGACGTGTCGCCTTCTCCATTGTCGCTTTTCTTGCGGCGTGCTTGCATCCGCGCTTGCTCTGCCGCTGCTCGGTCGCCGCCATCGCCTTTTTCTGACGGATTAAGCTTCGGCCAACTCGCGTAGGCGCACAGGTAGTGGTACGCCTCCATCAACTGGAGTCGGCTGCAACTAGAAGGCGGAAGAATAGGGGCTATGCGCTGCGGCCGGAGCAATGCCTGACACTCGGGAACAAACCCAGCAGCGGAGCCCGGCGACGACCCGCCGCGCCGTCGCGCTGGACTTGGCGCTAGTGCCAGCATGGCTGCGGTCCCTCCTTTCAGCACCTTCTTTTTTGCCACCCCTAAAAGACTCCCGCTTCTTGGGGTACCCCGACCGCGTTTACTAGGGGATTCCTTCTCGCTTGCCGAGCCACCACTCTCCTTACCCTTTGTCTTTTTCGCCGATCCTTTCTGCTCCTTCGAAGGCTTGGTCGCACGACCGCGTTTCTCCTTCGATGGAGACGCGAGCGCTGCAATGACAGCCTCCTCCACTGGCTTGAAGGCGCTCATCCCAAGTGGATCGTCTTCGACAGTGGTAGTAGTACCACCCGAACTTTTGGGAGCCTGTCGTAACCGCTGCTTCACAGTTGGCTTCAGCAAGTTCGTCTCTTTCGCAACACGATCACACCAAAATACGGCACGGTAGAGGTCTTCGACGTTTTTCGAAGGCAAGCCTTCGTGCTTTGCACGTCTCGACAGCCATTCGTTTGACACGAAAAGCGGTCGCCGTGAATGCCTCGCATCTATTCCTGCACTGCTTAGCATGCCGTTCAAATGCCGCTCGTGCTCGTTGATCTGGTAGTCGATTCTGTGCGGTTCGACCAAACTGCTGAAGTCAATTTTTGCGCCACCAGCCCGAACTGCATTTTGCGCAGCAGAACCATTGGCTTCATTGCTCGAGCTCGTCGTGTGCTGAGAATCGGATATGATCGCATCGAGAGTGCTCACGCTTGGCGGGGGTTCGACGAAGTCGCCCTCCGTGGACACTGACGGAGGAATGACGTGCGGCATGACCGGTTTTGGACCTGACTTTTCCATTCTCCTGTTGATCTGTTCCCGTCGAAACTCCTTCCGAGCGAGCGGTCGCGCTTTTTCCATCGCTAAGACCAACGCAAAGATTGGGTCAGGATAGTTCGGAAAGGGATCCACCGCATTTCTTGGACCTCCAAACGATGCACCGAAACCGGTTTCGCCATCTGATGGGAGTGGCGAGTCCGGCTCGTAGTCCGCCGACTGCTTCTTCGCTGCTATAAACGAGAACTCCATAGCATTACGCATTTTGTCGTTGTCCTTGACACTTTGCAGTACCGGAAAAACGCTGTTCTCCTCGAGCGTTTGGGAACCGAAGAGTATTTCGTTTTCACGCAGAAAGCGGCCTAATTTCTCCGCTGCGGATTCATAGAACTCCTTCAAAGTGTAGAGATTCGGGTCCTGCCAGTTTTCCTCGAGCCACTCATGCAAGAAGGTCCGTACACTGTGTTCCCGAAACTGGAGTATCTCCATCTCACGCAACACTTGGGTACGTAGGACAGAAATGAAACGATCCAACTCTTTCTCAGAGATCTGCGGAGGAGATTCAGTACTATGTGAAAATAATGATTATCCATCGCAGAAAGATGTTGAATAGCGTCTCTAGACAAAGTTCATCTATGATTGATTCCGGTAGTTCTAGGACGACTGATACAACTTTTGAGAGAGCAGTAACTTTGTTTCGAAGACGGAAAAATCATACGCAAGTCCTGACCCTGAAACTTTTCGAAATACCTTTTGTCGCTCGCGGCCTGCAAGCAAGTCCTCGAGTGCTCGTGCGCGTTCCTGCTTTTCCTCGCGTTCTTTTGAGGATCCGGCCGGTTGCACATTGCGCAAATTCCTAGCCCAGCCAGTTCCCATTGCGAACTCCTCAGCAAAAGGAAGCGGTTCAGCCAGCAGCCTGGTAAAGAAATTCTAGAACGATCACAAATAACCGTCTGAGATTTGTTGCATGAACCCAGTAAAGTGACAAGAAAATAATCAGCGTAGCCAAGATAGTAAGTACCCTCCACTCCCCTTAGCCTTTTTTCGCTTCATGCGCATGTATGCGCTCATCTCTTTGTCTGAATCGGACTCGTCCCCTAGCGCAAAATTACGTATCCTCTCCGCGTCGCGTCTCTGCTCCGCCAGCACACTTTCCATGCTGTCACCGGCAGTGAGCATGAGTTGCCTGCTGCTTTGGGGTGAAGCGGGTCGTGAAGCAGACGGTTTCTCGAATCGCTTTATCATTGAAGCAAGGCTCTCCGCGGGACCCATGCTCACCACTTGCTGCGCCACCTGAAGTGGTTTTCACCAGAAACGATAGCCAAGTATTTCACATAAGAATAGCAGTACCCAATGGCACACTGCTGTTGACTCATCCAGTGCGTCATACAAAATGCTTCAAAATGCGCAAAGACATCACAGAGTTTACTCCTTCAGCAACTACAAACTACAAAATCAGAGGCAGTACGCATGATCCATAGTCTTCCTCGTACATGCGCTTGACCCTTTTCTGCGACTTCTTCCAGCTTTTAGCGATAGCACCACCCGTATCATCTGTGTCTTTCAGACGTTCCAAACCCCGCTCCAACACGGAGCGCTCCTCAGGCATGTCGGATGCATTCGTTTGCCCAGAGAGAAACCGCCCCTTCGGACTGGCTTTCCGGCTCACAGCGACACTGCTACCCTGTGATGCTCCCGCACCTGCATGCCCAACATGTGGAACCTGGGTAACTATTGTTTCAACACTAATCGCTGTTCTCGCATTTTCTTTCGGGGAGATAGGCAGCAAGATTTAAGAAAAAATCACTTGCACATGACCGACATGTTGAAGAAGATTTCTCACACATTTGCCAATGAAGTTTCAGTAGCTCAACATACCAAAGTTTTCGCGTCATCCGCCCGCTGCTGCTGCTTGTCGCGAATCGCACGAATATCATCCGCGCCGACCGCGTCGGAGTTCTTGAACCGATTGCGCGAACCGTGACCACCTTCATCATCTGCTTCAGACTGATCCCGAAGTGCGAGGGTGGTCGAAGTGTCTCCCCCTGAGTCATGCCACGGGCTTTCCGACCGATGCTTTCGCCGCGAAGAAGTGCGTCTTCTGGCACCGCGTCCGCGGCGGCGCGAGCGCCTCAAATCGTCCTCCTCAAAAGATGCACCAGTACCACCTCTTCTTCTGCGCCCTCGGCTTTGGCCCGAACCTGACATTCCCATCCTTGCATTGCGTGCCGCAGCTTCCTGGTCGTCGTCGCCGGTGCCTGATCCCGGACTGGCCGCCTCTGCTCCTGGATCTGATCCCGGGCTCTGAGGGACAAAGAAGCGACGCTGCCTCGTGCTGGCAACTACTGACCGCTGTCTCAGAGTGACCGAGGGCGACGCGTCCGAGTGCGAGAGCGAAGTGATAGAGCCAGACAGAAGGTGGACTCGACCGTCACCACCGGTCGCAGTCGTGGCTTTCGACAAAGACCTTGGTGACATTTGACTAAGCCGTTTAACATCGTCGTCGTGCTTGAGTGCTTTTGCAGGTCGCGGTCGAAAAAACCGGCTCTGCAAATGATCTCCATCGTATCGCATCTGGACGATAAAAATTTTATTCAAGAAATATTTTGGGATTGTGATGCAGACTGAACAAAAACGAAAAGAAACGTGTCTATCTACTATCCTCTTGAAACAGCATGCTCGTGCAATTAAAGTGGCCAGTACCTTTTGATAGCACTTAAAGCAGCCGCAGATTGGGGGGTGTATTCCTGACTGCGTCATAGCTCTTCTCCGAAACCCAACGATGCCCTCTAGCTCTTCAGAAGGCAGCATCTCGCAAAGGTAGTCCTCTTCTGCAAAATCCGTTGCTCCACTCTTGTCTGCCAAAGTTTTGTTTCCTCGCCCCAGAAAAGCACTCTTCTGTAAGTCTTTTCGCGAAACGAGGAACGAATTTCTAGTATCCAAGGCTGACACTCTATTCGTGTCCCACATCGCGCTAGGCTCTTCGACACTGAAATTAATTTTTTCTATCGTCAATATGTGAAGAGAAGAGTCGACATTCATCGTCCACTTGTGATTCATCCAAGCTTCTAGCTACTTTTTGAGCGAAGCGAAAAACAATTCATGGCGCATCCTCCAAAATCTAGCACACTCTAACGGGTCACGATGTACTACAGGTACTAGCAAAAGAAACAGCAAAATATACCTAGATATTATGCTCGGCTGAAGCAAACTTGACTGCGTATGCCCACCAAAAAGTTCATCGTACTTTTGGCCTTTTCGGAGTAGACCTTGAAAGGGATCACCGCCAGCGGCATCTGAACGAGGCGAGATGACGCTCTGAAAGCTCTTCTGCTGAGTTGACGGCAAGAAGCCCAATCCGGGCTGTGGTGTTTGTAGCAAGCCTTCTCGGTTAGCTATACCAGGCCCACCACCGGGGAGCAGGTTCGACCCTCCTGAGACGGAGAGAGGCCCTTCTGCTGCCGAATGGCTTGCTGGGTTTCCACTGTCTGCCAAAACGTCCGAAATCATAGCAAACGCAGGACTCTCACTCGCGCCGCCAAGACCACCCTCTCCGGAAGGAGACACGGCCCCCGCGTCACGCTCTTGCCGCAGTCGCTGCTCACGAGGCGAAAGTCCGGACCTCTTATGCTTCCGGCGTTGCCATCCAGGCGCCGTTTCTTGTCGCACTTCGTCTAATAATCGTCGCATGTCCGGGTTAGGATCTGCCGGTGCCGAGCGCAGACGCTCTGACGTTGAGTGCTGCAGCTTCGATGAGGCAACCCCGAATCGTTCCTGCGAGCGCCGCGGGGCAAAAAGCACATCCTTCTCGTCCGCGCTACTTTCGCCACGACTGGCCATGTGGCCCCGACTTCCTCCTGGAGGCCGTTCGAAGACATGACTCGCCATACCAGCTCCAGCTCGGGGCGACACAGTCTGCCTCAGGTCATCCTCGTCTGCACGTAAGACGAGCTGCGCAGCATCTGACACAGCCTTATCCTTCGGTTCTCGAATGTGAAGCTCCTCGTCCTCCAACTCCAACGCCTGTCTCCGTAATTTTTGCGGTGAGCTCGGCTTTTTGGCGCCTGCAAGGGGGTCTAGCGGAGCCTGCTCTTGCGTTCGGGCCACCCACGCGCCAGGTGTTTGAACGAAAGGATCAGTCCCACCGCCGTCGTCGCCCGAGACCGCGACTTGCGCTCCGTTAAAAACTTGGCGGTCCTGGCTCTGCGCCGCGCTACCCGACACGTCAGGTAAGTGCGGCGCGTCTTTGCTTCCGACATGGACTTCGCGGCTGGTGGTGCGCATAGGGTCTAGTTCGTCTGCCACCAGTTGCATGGCCTGATCTCGCAGAGCTATCATCATCTCATGTAGCTCGGCTTCTTTCGCCGATTGCGAGGAGTGTGGGGGCCGTTCACCTACAGTTTTTCCGCCTCTCTCTATTACCTGTCTTGAGACAGGAACTTCTGCTTGCAGCAGTACCCTTTCCGTTTGCGCCTTGCTCATCTCGCCTGCCCACGCTCCGTCCTGCTCCTTACCCAGAGTTGGCAGAGGTTTTACGTATGCTCCGATCGGAGTTACAATTACATCGCCGTCTAAGTACGGCTCTGTTCTTTTTGGACTTTTCGGCGAGCGCTGTGTAGATGGCGATCCCCCACCCGGCCTCCACGGCGCACGAGGCGAGCCTCTCTTCGGCGACCCTTTCTGCGACGACCCTCCGCGACGCGGTGAAGCATCATCGTCGCCTGTGGCGATTGGCGCGACCGGCCGTCCATGGTGTCGACTTGCAGCAGGACTGGTGCTCCTCGCTGCGCCTGCCATCCCATTATGCCCACCCTCAAGCTCGACTTGCGCTCCGCTTAGTATCGGCCTCCCGTAGCCGTCCGTGCTCGCTGGATGCTCTTCTATCGCAGGAAAAGCCGCGCGCCCTAGCCCACCACTTGGCATCGTCGCTGCTAGCCCAGACTCGTCCACAGTACCGAACGGTGGTTGCGCTGCACCAAATGGGTGTTGTACGAGGGCGCGTCGCTGTTGTCCAACTCTTGTTGCTTGGTCGCTGTAGGTCATCTTTGGCGGCCTGCGGGCTGAAAACTCGAACTCACAGCTTCCTCCGACCAGCTCGCCCTCCTCAAGCGTCTCATGCCCCGCAGCCGCGCCAAGCGCAACAGACTGCAACAGACCGACTAATGCGCGTTTTTTCCGTTCCAACGTCTCAGAGTCGGGTGGTGTAGCACTTCCGTCGCTCGGACTTCCGAAGAGCAAATGCGGGTCTAATTGCTCCACGTGCTCCTCGATGATAGGTAACAGCTCTGCTGCATGCACGTCCTCTAAATCGTAGGTTTCAGCTCTTACATGCTTCACGATGTCTTGTATTCGATCGAGAACGGATGGCCTATTGGATGCGTCACCTAGCCCGCCACCGCCAGCTTTTGCTTCTGCGGATGCACCTCGCGCGCAGTATCCCGACACCAAGTTCTCGTCGATACTTCGCAGCTCAGAAACAAGTTCGTCTTGTAAGTTCGTCGCCCGGCGCGTTGTGGCCTGATGTTATATTATTGACACACAGATTGCTCTCGAAAAAGTTGATGTCCGTACATTATTCTGAACAAAATGAAGAATTTCGTAGCGAACATCTTAGTACGACAAGCACAGGACTACCCATGGTGATTCAAAACACAGTCGTACCGAATCATCCAAACTTTTGAGTCGCCTGACTTTGGCTTTTGACGGCGATCTAGCGTGGTAAAGGTTCGACACACCAACAAAAAGTGGAGCCTGCATCTCGTTGTAGCTCGCGATATGATCACCCTTGGTTCCTTCCATCCAAGTATCGAGAAAGCATTCCCTACCCCGCCGTCGTTTCGGGGGCGAGCTGGTCTTGCGGACCGGTGGCCTAGAATGTTTTAGGAATCTAAAACAAAAGAGACCCACTAACTTCTGTAGAAGATTCATGCGGACAAAAAATCCGAGTCAGGAGGCTCTGTATCTGAGAAGACAAACTTGAGTAACAAAAATTCGATTACCTTGTGGACGAAGAGGCCGCACTGTCACCAACCCTGATTCCGCTCAGGGCTTTTTTGTTCTTTGCGATCATGTTCGTTGGTCCCTGGTCCAGCGAGACCTTCCGTACCGGGGGCAACTTGGCGCCCGAGACGCCCTTCGTCGGTTTGTTTGACGACATCGCTCGGAGCCGTGTCCCGCGTCAAACACGCTCAAGAGAGGGTCTGTGTGTCGTCTTCGTCTTCGTAATTTTCTAAAAAATCGTAGAGTTGCCACCACCACGTCTACTCATGAGTGACGCTTTGGTTTAGGGACGGAGCGGTTCCCGCGGACGGGAGCTAGACACGCCGAAGCTTGCGTGGTCCATGTCTCTTTGTTATCTGCCGGACCATCCGTGCACCGGGACAGAACGTCTTCACGCTCTGGGGACTGCTGTTCTTTGACCGACAAACAAAGAAAACAGGGAATGGGAAAGGCACATCAAGAGCAAGTATGAATATAGCTCAACTAATTAAGCAACGCGATGATTCGAAACGAGCAACCGGCGACGGCACTTCATCCACAATGAAGGTGGGACAACAAAATCTTGTTGCCGGCAAAAAGGCTACCAAAGCGCGTTCAGGTAGTAACGTCGAGTTCCCGACGCGACGCCTACAAAGTCCTTTTCCCGAAGCGAATATATGCATCGGGACACACGAAAACTAGCTTCATTCGGATAGCGTTTTCGAAACGAATCACAACAGCACGACTGTCAAATCACCCTGCAGATGAAACCACAAGAATGACACGTAGCGATAAACTGTAGATAGCGAGCGGGCGTTTAGTACACGACGGCGTGTTCCTTTCGACTATGCTAAAAAATGCAGTCCAGGTAGCTCACAGACACGGGTCTAAAAGTCATGACCGTGTAGTGAAGCAATAAAAATCGATGACATTCATGTTATGAACAAGATGAAGATGTTGCGTGTGTTAATTACACTACTCGTGGTCCTACACAGTGCGTAGAAAGCGCACTTCCAGGCTAGCTTCACATCTTGCTCACATCCTTCGGCACATCGCGTTCGTACATGTCGAAATCGATTGTCGTCTCCTGAGGTTCCCACAGGCCTTCTTTGAAATTCTGGATCTCTTCACGTATTACCTCATCTCGCTCGGCTTTCGGCATGCCGCTGCTGCTCGAAAAATACGGTAGTACTTCCTTCAAAAACACCAGCATCCCTCGAAGTCGATTCGCAGTCAATACTACGCTGGTTGTGCGTTTAGCCCCACCAGCACTCTCGTCATCCGACGAAGGAGAAGGTAAAATGGCGAAGGCCGGGCCGCGCAACTCCTTCGTAGCACCAGAAGCCGAAGGATCGAAAGCGCTTGCGCCGAAGGTACAATCCTTTGTCAATACCACTGCAGCGCTATTCACGTCATCTGTTGATTTGGTACAAACAACGAAATGAAATTACGATGTCTCTAGGGTGGACCTGTACATGACCGTGGATCTTTTGCTCAACCGCTTGGTATCCATCAGTCACGCTTAGGATGAAGTAGTTTGTTGCATGGGATAAGCCTAAGAGTGTATGAAGTAGTTTCACCGCTGCAAGTCGCTTAGGATGAAGTAGTTTCACCGCTGCCTGCGAAAGTACAATGCATTCTTCATAATGAGATTTAAAAGAGGAAGACACGACTGCTTACCCTGTTTCGCGACTGCGCCAGCCTCGCCACAGTCGCAGCTCTCGCAAGTGGCCTTGGGCCTTTTGGCTTTTTCCATGTTGATCCAAAGCTGTAGGCCAGAGAATCCAAGTTCTTCGGCAAAAGAGGAGTAGAGCAAGTGCGAGCAACCGTTTTCCTGTTGGATGTGCTTCAGTGCTAGATCCAGGGAAGGAAACTCCAAAGTCACCACTTCGTTCTCGAGCCCATCCCTTGAGGTATCGAGACTGCTGTTCGCGCTGATTCGCACGACGAGAACCGCCCCTGACATCCTGATGATGTTATGGCTGGCAGAGCACCTGTGCTGTAAGTGTGCTCAGGCGCGCATGGTCGATTAAAGATTAAGATTTTACAGAACATGGATTCGGACGACAGCAACACGCACGGCAACGCACGATATTTTTCACACGCGATGATGAGTTTTGTGTTGTCGTTTGAATGGGCTTTCAGGAGAGCACGATAGATTTTGGGACCGCACTCCTTCGGAACAAGATGAAGAGGGTTTTTACATCTCTCGTTGCATTGGGTGATGAACGAGTGACGTTGCATGCCGACCGCGGAGCAGGCGTTGCTCGACATAATATCTGCGCCTGTAGTGACAGTGATGACGATGCCCATCCTCGCTGCAAAACAGGCACGGCCGACGAACTTCGAAAAGCCGCGAGTGCGAAACGAAATATTCGTAATTAACCTCTTTCTTTCAACATACACACACAGGAGTGTCGTTATCCGATTTCATAATGTACCATGACGTCGCTTTTATCATCCTCCATTTTTGACCATGTCTGAAATCAATGCAGAAAATATTCGACGCTCGATGCACTATGTGTGCAAAACTATGAATCACAAGACCAAGAAACGAAAAAAGAGAAAATCACTATGCTCCAAAAGGTATACTAGCAGCAAAAATGGATTGAATATACTTGTTGTTAACACTCATCAACATGACTCCTCACTTTAATACAGCTACGGGATAGGTAGTAGCTCAATGGAGTCCATGTGTGCGTGTGTCTGTGTAAATAAGCTTAAGTATGCAACCTGTGTTGATCATGTGAACAGTTGTACATTGTCTATAAGCTAACTATACAAGAAGATGTTACCTAGAGGTTACAACGATTCCATCCGAAAAATGCTTTTCAAGTCGATCGTGATATGGACACAACTGCATGAAAAGGCTGTTGATGCCCCAACAAATAGACGATGTAAATTCTGTGCGCTTTCGCAGCAGACTCAGAATGAATATGTGATAATGTGTGGTAACAATTAATCAATGATAGACTTGTTCAACAAATGTGACATACCTTATCAATGGAAAACTCGTATAGTCTTTGTATCATTCTACACGCAATGAACGCTATCCTCTGTGTTAATTTCACAGTACCTACTGAGACTTTTATGCACAAGTCTGAGGGAGGTCACATCCGTTTCGGCGACCTCGAAGGCGACATGGGCAGGCCGCGCTTTCTGGCGGCAGTACTAGAAGCGAATGCCGTTTCGTTGCCGTTCATAGGCGAGAAGAACCCTTGCGCGGATGGGGAGCCTTGGAGGCCTCCGGTACTGCTCATCATGCTATTCATGCCGCCGAGTGTTAGAGAAGGCATAATTGGAGGTGGTCCTGCTATTGTCAGAATTGAGTTCGGTCTAGAAAAGCGAATTCTCAACATTTGGCGCTGTAGAGACCAATTTGACCAAGTGAGAACAGCAGCCTCTATCTTCAACTCTGTTCTGTGAGCTGTTTACATTTTGCTGCTTGTTCGAAGCAAGCGTGGTAGTTGAACAGGTATTAGCTGTAGAAAAAAGTTATATTTCATAAAAGATTTGCGGTCATCGAGGGCAGCACTAGTCCTGCACTGGTTCCTGGGCGCATCGGACTACTTGGGTTGCTGCCAGTTTGGCCGAACCCGACGGTTCCCGGACGGGAGGTCGGTGACTGAGCAAACTTACTCGTTTGTTGAGTGCGTGGCCGCAAAGTGCATGGACTTCCGTTATACCTGTGCACAATGAGGAAAGTGTGTTGATTGCCATTCCACGATGACTCTATGAACGAAACAAAAATGGTTCGAAGATGAAACACTAGCACCAATATATTACTTTTATCCAGCCTTCCAACTACAACGCCTTCGACGTATCATGCATTGATAAAGTAGAAGTACTCTATATACCTAGGCGACTCTGCGTTCTTACTTGACACCCCGTGTGGATTATTCTCGATTGCAAGGTGTGTTTGTTTGATATATCTCTTGATGAGATTGATCAGCTGCGGATCGTCAAACCGCTCCCCGCAGATAACAAGCTCGATATCTACATCGGTCACATCGCCTTTACCCTGGATACTGTTAAATCCGCCACCCAGCGCGATGGAATGCATCTGCGCTGCGGACTGTGTAGCTGTAAAATTTTTGTGAATCAATATTAATCAAGTGTGCCATGCATGTTGAATACATTTGATGCTTCTAAGGCGATGATAGTTAAAATGCGATTGAAAGAAGCCAAAATAAAATGCCCATCATTTTTTGGTGAAATGCCGCTGATGCTGAAATGATGATGGTTCTTAGTACCAAGAACCTGCGGCATCCGCTTTGGTAAACCTGCAAGGGTAATTCCTCTATCGTCAACAGGTGTAATGGTGGCTTTGATGATGTCGATTGTCATAGTAATTGCGCCCTTCTCGTCTACCTGCTGCTTCAGTATTTCTGTCTTACAAAAATTTGGCCAATTTATCACGCCTTTTCTGCACCACCAGTACTGCTCACAGAATTCGTCAGATCGCGGTCCGACCTGAGCGTAGATTAAGAGACAAATGAAAATCATGAAAGAGTACTATTTGCTGATTACTCGCTTGTAGAAGGCATTTATAGCATGGTATTATGTTCGGCGTTACAATTTGAAGGAATAGTGTTCGGCATTTACACAAAGATGGAAATGACTTTTCCTCCGGTGAAAGTAATCTTTTGGCAGTACGTAGCCTAAAATAAGTACCCACAGATTGCTGCCAAATATGACCCTCCATTTGACTGCAACCTTACACCTAGACTGCATTGTCGGTATCCTCAGTTTTACTGCTGACCAACCGGGGAAGCTATTGTCAACGCCATTTGGATACCACTCCACTTGAAGACCCTTAAGACCCCACAGCGTGAATTCCTGGCTCATGCACGGTCGGTCCTTGGCATATTCCTCTATTTTTTCCTCCAGCTTCGTGATTGCATTAGAACAAGATGGAAACGGCCGGAGACCAAGGACAACGAACAGTTAGTATATGTTGCACCCTTTTGTAAAGCAACCAAACTATCCTGTTCAGCACCACATCTTCTACCAAGGGCCGTCGTCGTCGTCCAGTGCAACATCTACCGATGAATTCGTTCAGCCGTAATCTTCCACTTGAATGTCCGAGCGTCATGATCCTGTGTGGTTCGACCCGGAATCGGAATACCGTAATCATCGAAGATCTTATATGCCTCGTCTAAACTTTTAGCGAGACCCTCCATATCCTCTTTCAGCTTTGCTAGTTCCTCCGCCTGCCGCCCTGAACATAGATGTGATCACAGAAACAACATGCAGCCACTTTGACTTGGTAGAACCGATACGGGATCACTGAAATGAGTGTAAGGAACGTGGCGCATATAATATTAAAATCAACAACGACCCCGCCAAACTCTCACGCTTCGACCTTCGAACCCCCAACACCCTAACTCATGAACTTTCTTAGGAACTTACGAACTTCGGAAGAACCTCTAAACTTCTGAACTTACGAACTTAAGAACTTTACGAACTTGGGAACTGACGGCCCTGAGGCTTCAAGCCTTCAACCTGAAGCCTACAACGCGCCCCCCTGGCGTTCAAGTCTATTCTGTTGGCGATAAAGTTAAAAGCTTTGGGATTTTAGAAAATTTGAAATTGAGGCCGCAAATTTGAAAGCCCGAAAACAGCAAAGTTGCTGACTCTACTATCAAAGAGAGACAAATTCCAAAAAAATTGGAAGCCTTTCATTGCCTTGAGGCTTCAAGCCTTCAGCCTGAAGCCTTCAACGCGCCACCCTGGCGCTTAGTTGTTTTCTGTGGCCAATACAATTAAAAGCGTTAAGGCTTTGAAAAGTTTCAACTTCAAGCCGAAGCCTCAAACTAACTTGAAAGCGAGCAAATATCAAAACTTTTGATTTTATCCAAGGGAGATAAATTGCAAAAACGCTGTGCCGTGATTAGAATCCGCTGCGCGTTCCAGTGACGCGTCACCCGGGCGCATTAGTCTATTCTTTTGGCGATAAAGTTAAAAGCTCTAGGACTTTGAAAAAGTTTACCTCGATATTTCAAATCTGAAAGAAAGAAACCACACGCAAAGCTTTTCACTGCCTTGCGGCTTCAAGTCTTCAACCTGAAACCTACAACGCGCCACCCTGGCACTTGCGTTCGCTTTGTGCGATAAAGTTAGAAACTGAAGGCCCAAACTTGAGTGCGCGAAAGTGGCAATGTGTTTGAATTTATCGAAGAAAGACGAACTTCAAAAAAATTATGTGCAAAGTTTTTCAGTTTCTTCGAGGAAGACGAATTATAAAAGTTCGAAAGTTAAACGCTTCAGCCTTCCGCAAAGGTGCTAAACCTAACAGAAGACCAGCAAGCCCCCGGCCCCGGGTCTACCATTTCCAGGCGTGTCTTTTCAATAGCCGCAGACCGCCAAGGGCCCGGCTCTTGTGCTGCTCCGCCGATCTATCAACTCCGGCAGACAGTTGCCGCGTAGGGAAGGGGCCGGGCAAGCGGGTCCACGCAATGGCGGGGGAAGTGCGTGCAGAGGGTGGAGGATTGTGGGGTGAGTGCTCCCGGGCGCTTCAGTCTAGTAATGTATCACCCTTGTTTAGGGAAATCAGCATGGGGTGGGAAGCAGGTCTGACCCGTGCTCGCTTGCTCTTGGGATGAGCACGAAGGCAATGGCTGTCTTCATTCTCAAATCAAATGGTGCATGGCGTCTTCTAATTGATTTAAATAATACTTGATGTTTCGGCCTCCTCCTCCGCCTTCCGGCGCTCCTCGGCTGCTTTCGCGGCTGAATGTAAAACAAAAAGATCCGTCAGACTGATATGTTAATACTACACGGACTAAGTACCTTCTCTATCTAATACTTGTAGGAGTTATTTTTACTCACTAGTCTACCACCAATCTTGTTATGAACCACCGTGCCACGGCTTGATATTCTCAGGCCGTTATTCTAAATTACCCTGTTATGCACAAGTTGTCTATTTCGTTCATGTTGTGTTTACAAAAAGCTCATTACCGGCGGCCTCCCGCTCTCGACGCTCCTCCTCGCGCTTCTTTTTCTCTTCCGCAGCTATTGTTTTATGTTTAATTAGCATGTAATGTTGTGTCCTAGTGACTATGTCGACTCTTGTCTACAACTATGTCTAAACCTCGTGTTAAAAATAATCTTTATCCTTGCTCTGCTCTCTCTAATTATCAGCTGTAAAAGATGTTGTTTCGTCAGAAACTTCTAAAATTTTTGGCTAAAGCCCTTTTATCTACCTGCAAGTTTAGCAGCAGCGGCGGACTCGGCTGCGGCAGCTTTTTCTGTAAGTATTTGTAGACGAATGTTGAGAATCTTTTCCACCATCAAAGCATACGGAAGCGACGGTGTGACTCAACATTAGTGACAGTTTTGGTTCCAGACTGGTGTAAAATCTTTGTAGGTATTCTAAGCAGGTACAGCGAACGAAAAGGGTCAGCAGCAGCTACCGGGCGATTATTTTCTTACCGAACAAAAAAACAAATAGAGACTATCTAACGTTTAACACTTCATTTAGCTAATTACCTTTAGCGTCGCCCACCTCTTTATCAAGCTTTTCTTGCAGGCTCTTCAGCGAAGCTAGAGGAGAGAAAGTCGGGCATTCAGAATTATTTCACAATCCATAGTGAAAATAACACCGAGAATCGTACGTGATTCATAAACCGACCCCCGCTTTTGAACTCTCTGCGCGACCAAAAAAAAGTAGCTGCTGCTGACCCTTAGCCGACATGTAAAAACTAACAGAAGGAATCTGTCTATGTAGTTAGAGCTGGGTAATTTAACTGCCGCAGCTGCTATGACAACTAAGGTAGAGAGGCATGCTCGCGTTAACTGCTACTACTCGATATGCTCACATGCCGTTGACTCAAGGAAGATTAATTAGCTATGGTAAGCGGTAAAAAACGTAAAAAAGTATCAACTAAAACCAATGTATCTATGTAGATACTATTCGATCGCTGAAGGAGACAACTCCGTAGTAAGTAGTTAACAAAAAATAGGAAGAACTCCACAGAAAAAGCAGCAGCAGCAGCAGCCGAGGAGCGCCGAGAGTCAAAAGCGGGGGCCTTTTTAGTTTTTTCGTTTCGCATCGCAATGAAAGAGCTAAATCAGTGACGGCTGCTCTCTCTACATGTAGTAGTAGTAGTAGTAGTACAGCGAAAGTTTATGAATCACGATCACGTACTCGTACAAGCATCTTATACTGATGAAGTAACATGATCAGGGGAATGTTGAATGGAAACGAGATATTACATCATGCCTACAAGAGAATGGCGGGATACTTAGGAAGTTACATCTACTTTGGAGAGGGTCTATAGAACACTACCCCTTGCAGCCCCAAGTTCGCCCTCTAGGGCGCGCAGCTTCGCCTCGACAATAGCCTTTTCTGTTTTTGTCGCCTCCAACTCCTTTAGTGTCGTCTCCAGTGAGTTCTTCGCTTCTAATATTTGTGCATCTGCTGCCTTCAGCTTGTCCTCTTGCCTGGTGTTGAGTTGTGTCAGAATATCACAATGCAGAATCAGAATTGCAAGACCAAATAAACGGTATTTCTGCGTTTCATCAAAAGATTCTGATGTTGTAATGAACCTCAATTTTTGCCTCCTCATCTACTTCTACAAGAAGTACAGTAATATGTTGATGATGATACGACGGAATACTCATACAAAAAAGGGTACAACAGCCTACTTGGTCTAAGGAAAAAACGAACTTCAAAAGGTTAGCGTCCAACTCAGCTATCCTCGCTTGGAGGGGTGCTGTGCAGGTCTGGAGTTTCCGTTCCGCGTCCGCGAGGATTGTATCTCGTTCTTTGTTGAATTTCTCCGTCAGGTCTTCTCGTTGCTTTTGCATTTCTCGCTGCTTGTCCTGCTCGAAAACTACACGCGCGTCAGCGATTGATGAAACCACCTTCTTCTCAATGCTAGACTCCAATTCGAAATACAAGTCCTGTTGTTCCTGCAACTTCTGCTTCACAGCCTCGACTTTCTTATCAGTTTCAGCGACCAAGTGCCTATAATTGTAAAGAGAGGCAAGACCATCACTGACTTTTTCTGGCAAACTGGCGAGCTGCAGTGAAGAATTTGTGCAACCGAAATTCAATGTTACGAATTGATCCGAAAGAAATGTACTCAAGATCAATCGATTACTGGTGCAAAGAAAGTGAATCTCGAATATCAGTGAAAAAATTTGGTACTTGAACGTGTCGCGCTCGAAGTTTGCCTGCAAAGAATCCTTTTGAATTTCTAGAAGCCGGTCGATATATCGGCGCATCTGCATCTTGGTGATGATTGAACCCAGCCTCAACTCCGCTAATTGCTGCTTCGTCGCCGCAAACTCTGCGGTTGCAGCCTTTTTATAACTCGCATAGTCCTTCAGCGCTGCTATCCTAGCAGGATCTCCATTGCCTTCCGGATCATCCCTGAGTTAGGTTCAATTGCACGATTTGGTTGAGAGATGAGAAACAAAGTACACATCCCCACACGGAGGAGGAGTTGTCCTCTAAAAGAAATTCTTGCACCAAAGAAAGGCATAAGGCTTCTGATCAACATTTTCTGGAAGAAATTTCGAGTGCAAAGAGAAGTGTAAGAATACCCATACAAGTCCGCGTCGCTTTCATAACTCTTTTGATCCCGGACTTCCATTCGCTCGAAAAACGATTTTAGCGCTGCTGTGTCAGTGATTTCCAAACGCTCGTGTCCCTCATAACCCGCTAGAATGACCTGCATATAGAGGATGGCACATCAAGAAACCAGTTAGCCAACGTCAAGCTCTGATACGCAACAAAACAATCTCGTTGGCCTTAGAAACAAAACAAAAAGTTTTAGAAACGCCAAGAACCTGAAACTCCCTTTTTCCGCTGGCAACTCCCATCGCATCGAGGACATCGCTCCGTAGATCTTCCAGAGGCTTAAGCTCTGGGTCCATCAGAACTGCGTCTGAGAGATCGACTACGAAGATAAGGGTGCGCTGCATAGACGTAGGCACTTGAATCTCCTTCACTGTGTAGTCCTCTTTCGGACGCAGGATCGCTCCACCGCATACTGGTCCCGCCTGATAGTCTCGCGGCCCTTGGCGGGTCGGAGATCTTGACGGCGAGGACTTCATCGGCGAGCGTGTGGGCGAGCCAGGCACGCCTACCGGCATCCTTTCCGTAAAAGAAACCTCAAATGAGCCACTCTTCTTCTTTGTTCAATCACCAATCCAACAATACCTTAGATTTACATGGATACCACAGACATCTGAAGAGGGGCCAGCAACTTTTTAACCTAAAGAGCACAGGTGGATTTCCATTTATCGATTATCGACAGGCTCAGATGACAACGAGTAATATACCTTGGCAGCAAATAACGGATGTAATAATACTATCACTTCTTGATAGAAGAAATAGGAACGGATGCCGAGAAAAGTGCAAATTGTGACTCACGCATCATCAATCATGTAAAAAACAGTACTGAAATACATACTTCTTGTGGATGAAAACTACAGGTCTAAAAACAGTCTAAGAATCTACCTGAGGGGGATCTTGTCAATTTGGGGATGGGAGGCATAGGAGAAAAGTGAATTACACATACCAACAGCACGACCGATTTTTACCGACTACGCACATCACCAAGAATAGTTTTGCTCGACAGAGTAGACCTATTTTTCACCGACACCAATCCTGGCATCGTTTATTTTCTTCTTTCGTCAAAACTTTTTCTCGGTTTTTGGCCTGCGACTGCAACAATGAACGACGCATCTTTTGATTGCCGATGAATGAAGAGAAGATCACGACTCTTATTGGTCGCGTCTCGCGCACGATACTAGTGCTGGTTTTTTTGTCCTCGCGTTGATTAAGAGAGCGACTCATTGGGGAAAGACGCGGGCTCAGCCGAATTATGCGTGATAAAGATTCACCACAGAATGAAGGTCTTTGAGTGATAATCCAAGGTCGGTGGTACGTTTGGTACCACCTTACAGAGTCTAGAAAAATAATCGGTGGAAAATACTAGTGGAAAATCTACGATAAATTCGGAAATGGTACTTACGTCAAAAAATATACGGCACGAGGCGCTGCTTCTTTGGCGATCGAAGCAGCTTTCTGTCAAGTAGTTTCTGAGAAGCGCGAGAGATCGCCCATAAAACTCCATCTCATTGATCTCTAGAGTTGACTATGGACCAAGCAACTCAGTCCAGCTAGTGGAAAGTCTGCTGGCAGGGGCTGTAGTTTCCTCCATGATTAGCTGTTCTACGAAGTTGGTGACTTGATTCACGACGCCGGGATCGTAGACGCCTTCTGCTGCTTGCGCTTGCGCGCGCGCCGTATTCACGAGCGCAATTAGGAGTGAAACTTTGTTCCAACCCGATGCTGCGTCACTACTAGAGGCTATGTCCGCTTCCTCATCGTTTACCAGCGCTTGCAGTGCCATCAAGGCTTGCGCACTCGAGTCACTCTTCGATATTCTTGGTTCTGCCGATGAAAAAGAGGAAACTTCAAAGGGGGTCCCCAAAAGCAGTACCGATGCCTGCTGTGCGAAAACAGCCAGGTCCAGGTCAGCACTAAACAGCAGCGCGCCTAGAAACCGCTCCTCTTGCTCCTTCAGGGTCTTTCCGCCCGCTCCTGGCACAGCTCTCAGACTGGTGTCAAAAATTCCGTCCAAAGCGGGAAGTGCAGGTGCAATGGCCGTTACAATTGCGCCTTCCTGATCTATTTCCCGCAATTGCACTGGTCGGGATACTACCGTTGAATCTACTCCGGATGCTGCAGCTCCTTCTCCTGCCAACGCCGGCGGCACCGGAGTCCCTTTTCCCCCTTGTTCCTCCTCGTGCCCTTCCTTGACGCATTGTAGCAGTCTTTCTTTGCCGTTCGGCAGCGCTATTGACACTAAGACCGTTTGCTCTAGACGAGGGCTGTCGCAAGCTAGAATGCGCTGGAAGGCTCCCTGGAGACCTTCGAGACGCTCTCGTGCCCCCGAATGCAGGCGCAGAACGCGGCTTCCGCTGGCCATGACGTAGTCTTGCCCTGCAAACTTGTCTAGTGCGTTGAGCATCGCTTGCGCGACCGCCTCGTCCTTCTTTTCCTGCTCGTACCGCGTGAATTCACCGTTTCTTTCTCTCCGTTCTAGGTCGGCGTCGAGAGAACCGGTGGAAGTAGACGATAGGCTCTTACTCTGAGAAGGCTTGGAGCCCTTGAGGGCGGGAATAGGGAAACTGAAAGAAAGAACCGCTGTGTCTCCGCCACTAATGTGCGCGCGAATAAGACTCTGCGAAGCCTCTCGTAATTGGCTATCACCTAGAATTTTCTTCAGCACATCCATCGCTCGTTTGCCTCGTAGGTCAACTTGTTCCTCGAGCTCGGCAGCGGATCCCTTCGGCGCTGACGCTGCCGTCGTTGTTGTCGTGGAGGTAGCAGAAGCGGAAGATGATGACTGTTCACCTCCTCTCTGACTTAAAGCTGCACTATCTCCACCAAGCGCTGTTGCATTTGATATGCTGAGGCCTGCGCCATCTACTAGATCTGTAACTACCGCTTCCTCTCGCAAGAAAGAATACCGAAACAATGACGTGACAAAGACGCGACAGTACGACAGGTTCCGCATGACACTTCGTACCAGCGCGTAGAGATTGGTCCAGTACCGACCAAAAACCGCGCGCAGCACGCGTCGCTTGGATCCGAACCACAAACCCTCGTACGAAGATTCGGCATCTTCCGGTTTCTCGTCTTGCGGTGATGACAGAGCAGGAGAATTTGCGGTAGATCGTCCATCTTCCCTCTCATTCTTGCTGCTCTTGCTGCCATCCTCGTTTGATGTTGTCGCGCTCTTGGCATTTGCCGTTTCTCCACTGCTCGCCACAGGAGACGCACCACGCGCCACGACCCCGACAGCGGCTGCTCTCTTCGCTGCATCGGCTGCTTTTGTTGCGTTGCTGGGCATGAGCCAGCCTAACTGTTTCGCATGAAACTCCAGCACGACTTGCGTCTCTCCGACCTTGTTTAACCCTGCCTTGGTCTCGTGGCTCTTCGACAGCTGAATATGATCGGACTGCCAAAAGTTGCGCTTCAACCAGTCAAGGCGACCGCTGTTTCTGAGGCTCTCGTCTACGAATTCGGCAGAATCTTCGAAGCGCTGAGTTAACTCGCTCAAGAGTCGGTCTTCGCCTTCCTTCATAAACTCCTCACGTTGCCGCAAAGCGTCCGACATTCCTGTTTGCACGTCGATCCGCAGATCGTGCTCCAGTCCAACGGGGCCCAGCCCGGCTAGCTGATTTCCCAAGTGCCTTCGCCTTGCCGCGGCGGCTTCAATCGAACGGGCCGCATTCGATTTTGCAGCAGATGATATTGCTGAGGCAGCTGATGTTTTCTGTGCTTGCTCATTACTGTTGCTAGAAGTCGCAATCTCCTGGTCAAAACCTTCCCCGTTTTTATCTATAGTTTCTCGTCGCGCGTCAGAATCGGGAAGGCTGTCATCACTGCCAGAAGATGAAGTTGATAACTCACTCCCTCTTTCCCGGATCTCTGTTTCCACGCCATCTGAACTTTCAGATCTCGCAGCCTCCACCTCGTCGGCTGTTTTCGGCGGGTCGAAAAAGACTGTGCGCAGCCGCTCCCACTCCCTGCTTACCGTAGTGAAATCGAATGCGGTCACAGCTACTGCCGCAGTGCTGATGAAAGCACGAACTGCGTCCGTCCGAGCATTCAGCTCCGCATACAAAGTCAAGGGCAAAGCATGCGTAGCGAAAAAAGACCCGCTTGTCCTCACATGCGAGGACGCCAAAACGAGCGTATTGGTTCCCGCAACCACCGTGGTGGCAGCATTCTGGAGGACGAAGGTGGAAAAAACGGCTGGCGGCGCACCCTGGCTCACGAGAATGATCAGAATGTTCTCAAATATTTGCGCGAAAAGCGCGAATGCGATGGAACCAACCCGAAGCGTCACATACCAGCAGGGAAACACAAACATCAGCCCTAGCAAAAACAGGTACGCGGACCCTAGAAGATTATCAACCGTCTCCATACTTATGTCGCTCCACGAAAGTCTGCGCCGACACGTAGGGCAGGTTGCGGTGAGCCCGCCACCAGACACGAAGAGCGCACTCAAACTCGTCTCACTACGGCACTGCGCAATCCACCTGGAAAGACAAACCTTATGAAAGACGTGGCCGCATGTGAGCCGAACATTCTTCTCCGAGTGCCGTTCCATCTGGAATCCTCCCTCTCCGCGTGGGGAAGCAGAAGGTGGCGGCGAGCTGTCGCGCGACCTGTTTGTTGTGCCACGTGGAGGCGTGGCTCCTACGGAGGGGGCGCCATTAAACTGGTGATCCATCCCAGAACCAGCCGCAGACCCGCGACTTCTAAACAGGTTACCACCTCGAGAGCGGAGTCCCCGTGCAATCGCGCTGGCTGAACCGTATAAGCTCTGTTCTGCCCAATCTAATGGTAGAGAATACTGCACAACGTCAGTGGCTTGCCGCGCGTCAGGACTGCCTCGCCGCCCTCCGGATCCAGCGGAACGCCGAGCGCCGCCGGTTTGTTCCGGCAAGGAAGAGCCGCCTTGATGGCCCCCGCCAGGAGGAGTGCCAGCCATTCGGCCCACAGTGCTGCTAGGGGACGCCGCGGGCCCTACATTCGTGTTGCGGGCATTAGGCGCGGGTGGTGATGCCGTTCTCCCCCGTAACCTCCCGGGGGCAGCAGCATTCGACACGGGGGTGCTGTTTGATATCTGACCTGATGAGCCGCCTGCACCTGCGCCGCCACCTTGCGTTCCGTTCGCTGGAGGTGGTGCCACTGTTGCGCGTGTGATCGCGAGCTCTACACGGCCAAAGCCAAAAGTGACGGACTGCGCATCTACTGAAAGATCCACGAAGCTCGGATCCTGTGTATCGTCGATGGTTACCCCAAAGCGACGACGCCAGAAGGATGACCACGCCGACGTGGCCGCCGCTCTTCCCCCGTCCGCCATGTAACTGTCGCTAGCACCTTCATCGCCTGGAAGCCCCTGCAGCTCCAATCGAGACACGTTTCGTACTGCTGGAAAATCGTAGTTCGAAAAGAGACGCTGCGCAGGTGCCGAAGATGACAGCGATCTTGGCGACTGGTCTTGCGTCGGCACCCCACCAATGGAAAAGTCGTCCGTCAGAAGCTTTTCCGCGTGTTCGCCTACCGAAGGAAACCCCGCTTCTGGTCCGTGTTGCGCAGCAGGTTCTTGTGCTCTAGTCGGACATCGCACTAGCCCAGTTGGCCTAGCATTCGGCCGCCAAAAAAAGGGGTACCGGAAGCGAAGACCGTCTGCAACGAGACGCAACAGCACAGCAAAGTAACTCGGCCTCATTGCGTCTGTCTCTCCAGACACTCGGCCTGCGGCCTCGTCATCTTCCGCAGTATCTACACCGCTCACGCCGCGACCAAAATTCTGCCCCGTGAAGCGGTCGGGTCTTCTAGAACTGTCAGCGATGACGTCAGCATCGTCATCGAATTCTTCAGCATCCGTCGCACCGGACGCACCGCAGGAAGGCCTCTCACACGTGGGCTGCCGACATCTCGGTCGCCCGCCACTTCCAAGGTAATAATTCCACGGGAGCCGCGAGAGGACCGCGGTACTTAGACTAGGGGTAGAACTGTTCACGAACTCTTGTATGACGGAATCTGGATCTTCGTTCTCCGAGTTAAATTCCTCCGCTTCTGCAATTCCGATCCCGCCTAGACCGCCACCCAGCCATCGCAGTCGAGGCGATGTGCGTTGGGCAGCTGCCTCGCGATCTGCTGGCTCATCTCCCCAGGAGTCATTATTTCCGGCTATCCCTTGTTGTTCATTCATCAGCGCGGCTCGCCCGACGATCGCGCCTGCGTGCTCCACCTTTCGCGCGCGGAGGCTAGCAGGGGTCCAATGAGGTCGCAGCCGGTTCATACTGAAATTCATGCGTTCCTCTCCAGGATCGACAAAGGACACCTTCTGCGAGAGCGAATCTAGACAGATAACACAGTCCTCATCATGCATTTGCAGATGATAGCACTGACGCCCAGTAATCGAGTAGTACTCCCTTTCAGCATCGATCACTTCATGCGGAAAATTCCATATCTGAGAAAGGACATTGAACAAGGCTGAAATTCTTCGATGAAGAATTACAAAACAAGGAAAAAAACTTAACATCATGTTGTCCTATACAGGACAATTGAAAATAAGGTACTTACAATGTGTCACTGCTCTAACACCTGAAAAATTATAGTACCAGTTGATCGCTTTCGTAGAGGGAGTATCTTCGTCCGAATACCTCGAGAGCGAGGAAGGACGCGAAGAAGGCAATAAGTAGTAATGCGACTGTGTCGTCAGTTAAAGCGTCGGCGCGAAACTCGTCTCTGGGCATCATCGACAGGGTTCCGAAATAAAGTCGACTGGTCATATCGAGATCGGTAATCCGAAACAGAAATATCATCAAGGTGTACTCTTGGAGTGCTACTAAGTGTTCGAACAAGCCGTCCGCAGTAAGGTGGATGTTATATAGGCTAGGATGCTTTTCCACGCTATCTACACGGAGTACCTGCGTGAAGAAAACCATCTTGCCAAGCTGGAACATTGAAGCTAGTGCCAAGATATAGCAGATGACGCGCTCTGTCAGCATCCCGTGCGCACAATACCTATAGTGGTCAGGGGCGTATTGAAAATATCTTAAGCTTAAAAAGAGGACTAGCTGTGGTCAGTTTTCCACGAAGAAGGTAGCCATGAAAATATTTTCCTAGCCCGAGAGAAGGAGGTTGTCTCTGTACTTTGGACCAACGCCTCTTACTTCCTTTCGCGGTAATAAATTGAGTCTTCAATCACCAATAGTTGTACCCTAAAATGCCCGTGAGCGACGTTCCCAGCGTCATCCAGGCGGTGCTAATGTTGGCGTCGTTGACCTTCCATACATTCTTTTCGCCAACGAAAAACCTCGCCATCCAGTAGCACAATTCAGTACCAGCATGCGCTGCAATATTCGCCGGCAAAAAAAATGCGACCGCAACGATCAATGCCGACAGGTACAGAAGGCTAACGATGAGCCAGATCATCAAGTTTCGAGCGGTTACCCACATCTGGGAGAGTGAAAAAGAATGAAAATAAATGAAAGCAAAGAGTACCGAACTACAACAGATTTGCTCAAATCATACTCCCACACGAGAATGGGCTGTGGGATTATAGGAAAAGCAGCACCCTCATGTTAACGAAATAGAGTAACAAACAAGCTAGTCCATGAAAAAATTAATAAATACTACTTCGGTAATATCAAACTTTCAATTTGTCATTCATCATACCTTCTTCCTGAGTGTAAGCTCCGCAAAGCCTTCCGGGTATGGATCTGCACCCAGCGCTTCGGCTATCGGATCGACGGAAAGAAGCAGCCGCGCGAAGTAGCTGTCCTCCTCCTCCCCAGCCGCTGCCATCTTGGTTGCCCTCGCTTGATGGCTTCAACAAGGGCAATGGCGCATTGATGGACTCAACATCAATTCAACGCTCGGAAGCACTATGCGCGCATGCACGCATTACCACCAGTGGAAAGGACCAAAACGACAAAAAAATGCAACGGAAGGGCTAATACGGCGGCGACGAGTTTTCCAGCCAAATTACGTACGACGATGCGAATCTATTCGGCAGTCTGCCTAAGATTTCCCTGACAGTCAAATTATATGTAAGTCACAACATATTTGTGAGCTCAGATTCATCTAGAAAAAAATATATTCCTAACAACCCAAAAAGTAAAGTGAGAGGGCAGGCGTCGGACAGGTGAAAAACCTATATTAATTTCTAATTGTTTTATTGGATCATGTTCATTCAGACCTGGCGGAATCCTTATTCTGGCGTAGAAGGTGGGATAGACAACACTGCAAGTGGCGGTGTTCACCTCGCGTTTCACTGAATTTGCCTGGGAATGTGGATCAATATTAACCATAGGGACAAAAAATCGGACCGAGCCAATCTTTAGCTCTACAAGAACTCTGCTCGCTCCTGTTCATCTAGAGGAATTTCCATTAAATTTTCGGATTTCTAATTCTTGTCGTCCTTCTAGATATCTGTCGCGGCTGCAAGACATATGGTCTCTCACCATGTTTGAACACGAGTGTTTTTCTTTAGTACTCTCCGGCTCAAGCTCATACACAACATCATTTTCTATTCGCAGAAAGTTTGTTCGCATATGAGATCACACGCACATCAACGGTTATGGACCTTCTGTAACTGTAACTGTAACCGTATGGGGAATAAAAAAATAAACTAAAATTTGCGAATCAAATGCATGATCTTCACAGTCGAGGATGATATTAGGAGGAGATGCTAGAAAATCCATCATTTTGCATATTTTCAAATTCTGCATTTCGTTGTTCCACCTCTAGCTGAACTACGCATGCAGCTGCTTCAAAATTTAAGTCACTTTCGACGTATGTAATGCATGCAGAAGCAGAATGTCGAACCCATTCAGTGATAAAAATGAATTGCGTTCTCATAGGTAAAGGCCTCATGGCTAACAGCCTGATTAACACATTCCCTCAGTGGTAATTAGATTATCGCGCTATCCTTTTCACGTGTTTCCTAATCGAACATGTTGCAGTCGTTCAGTAACCGAATAATTTTGATGCAGTAAAAACATACGCTTCTCACTATCTGTCCAGACCTTCTTCTACGGCAAGGAGTGATATAGGCAGGACTCCATTATAGAACGGCCCGTCGTTTCTTGCAACGGTATCTTCAGTAATGGTAATGATGATCAGAGTAAACTTCACGATGCTCGACTCGACTCCTTGAAGTTGTGCAAGTACATTTTGAAATGCCACGTCACCGATATCGCCAAGTACAAGCATATAATTTCACTGCAGAACGAACGACAGCAAGCGGTTAGACCTCAAAACGCTTCGCGCCGAATGTAGTATACTGGATAACTTGCGGGCCACTGAATGTCCACGTCGCGCTTGAAATTGAGAGAAAACTCAGCGTACCACGTTCGCACGCGAGTTCCCCCTTCGGTGTTGGATAGGGTCATAATACGACACTGATTGTTCCAAGAAAGAAACGGAAAGGTCCCAACGAGCTCGTCGTACAGGAACTGCCGCTTATCCTCCAGCGAGGTCATCTCGAACACGATGGGTTCCGGGAAACGTTAGAGACTACAACAAGTAGAAGTTGTGTCAACAACATTATGATGAGCAGTCGGAGGGTCACATTATGAAAACCCATGACACTCGGCCTTATCAGGCGCCATCTCGATGAAGGTTATTTTCCCTCAGGAGGGTCAGTTGCCTTTCGAGATAACGGACTACCCCGGAGATGCCATTGCTTGTACGGAAACATGCACCATAATAATGATCCAAGTTAAAAGACTTCCGCCAGCTTGAAGGATTATCCTCCGCGGATGCTACAACGGAGTCCGAAGAATCTCGTATGCCTGGCAATATCTCCAGCCTCCACGTTGTAAGACTAGCGAACTCGCGCGCGAACTCCTCGCTGCTTTTTGTTTTTCCGCCATCCTCTGAAGTTAAAGGTTACACCAGAACATATCGCCACTCAAAAAGTGACAAACTCTCAGACAGCGAGCTAGCTAAATTTTTGGATCTCCAATCTGAGCCGCCTCCTTATAATACTGAAAACACGACTAATCATGGTCTTAGTGAATGTAGTTTGATGACTCTTAATGATGATGGAGATGATTCGGCCACACTCTGCGCGGACGAGGTCTCCTCAGGAGCATGGAGATATTGCCATGCATGACCGTGTAGCCCTTCCTTCCTACTTTGTGTATGAAGGTCCGAATCAGGATTGCAACCAGTTCTCCTGGAGGATGAATTCAACAAGTCTTCGCTGATTTGAACAGCGCCACGCTCCGCCATGATTAAGTCGGTTTCTATATCGGGCAACCGCAAGGTGCGAAACGCCGTCTCCCAATTCAAGTCTTCGATTCTAAAAACCGAACGACTGACCATAAGTCCGGAGTCACTCCGGACCTGAATTCCTGTATGATTTGAGCCGTACACATCAATGTATTTGATTTCATCAAGTACAGTTGTGAAGGACTCGCTACAGCTTCTGTCGCCCGGATCCTCACTGCCCTGTCCTGCTAGTGGCCGCTTTTGTGGTGCACCGGAAAGGGACAAGGTATTTCTGGTTGTCGACGTGGTGTGGTGGGCACTTGTGTCCGAATCCTTTTCGCCGCTCGAGTGACACCTCCTCGGGCACTCGAATACCGCTGTCAGCGTGAGCAATTGCACGTTTTCCTTTTTAGAGTGATCTCCTAACGATTCTTGCTTGTCAAGTGCAGGTTGTTCATCAGACTCGCTACAAGGTGCGTCTTGGTCCTGCGTTGGGGTCCCTAGAAATGCCGGGGATTCACAATAATTTCTTCTGCTGCGGTCTCGTTGTTCAGGTGAGATTTCTGGTGGCAACAACCTGCCGTCGCCCAGCCCTATGTCGATATCTTTACTGCTCTTATCGAGTTGTGATGGTGTCATCTTTCCACGTGCACCATCCTCTGACATCTTACTTCTGCCTGCAGGCTGCTTCACTGCATTTAAGACCACCACGCGGAAGCTGGTCCATGTATTCACGATGACGACAGGCCCGAATTCTGAAGTCGTGAATTTCGGGGACCGCATGCATTGCTTCCCTGTGATCCTTTTCCACCGAAGCCGTTAGAAGATGCGGTCTAGTCCATGTTCTTGGTAATTGCTAGTCGTTGTAACCTCGTTGCTTTTAAATCCAATCTGCCGAAACAACGTTCTGGCAAAGTAGGTGCCATCCCTGAATATCCATACTGTATTCCCCCATATTTTTTCTTGAGGTTCCCTATCATGGGTCTCCTACCCCTTTCGTCTGGGGATATCTAATTGCAAAATGATTGCGCGAAGCTCACGTACCTAAGCCACAGACCATAATGAAGCACACCGAGTTGCAACTCCCGAAAGCTTGATAGCCAGGAGCTATTGTCTTGCAGCTCGTGCACAACGAAATCCGGCGAATAAAGGAGCACATTTCCCGCAACTGTACGCACTTCCACTGACAGCTTCTGCGGAGTCTCCCGTGGCCTTGCGCCAACCGTCGGCATGACCTCCCGAGCGGCGACAGGCGATGCTGCACGGGCAGGAGTAACCGCCGCTGAGAAAAGCAGCAAGCGCGAGACGAATGAACAGGATGCACGAAACATCTTTCAAATTTTCAGCAAGATTCTAGAATTTCAAGTGTTTTTGCAAAGAACGAACAAAAGAGTCTTGCTCAGAGCTCATACCATGTTCATAATGTCAATACCACTACAATCCAATATGCAGTTTTCTAGTTGTCCTATTTTTTTGAAGAGAATATATAAATTCAAGGGGAAATGCACAGGCATTCACGACCCCACACTTCAGAATATGTGGTCCCCATTCAATTTTCCACCCTTATGCCTCGTGCTTCAATCTTTCTGAATCAACGCTAGCAACCCCTCCGACTTCTTGAAATCAGATACATTCTTCTTCTTCTTCTGTTTGTCCATACCTTCATTGAATTACGGAATATTGACCTGCGTTTTGTCTTGTCAGAACACTTTTGGTTCTGCGTACCACCCGGCTCTTCTTGCCACTGTGAGCTCGACACAGAGCTCAGCAGGCTTATTTTCCATACTCAAAGAAAAAATGTGAGAACATGACGCATAGAGTGTGAATGTTGCCATGTCAAATTGTATCAGTTTGCGATGAAGATGATCGAGTCACAGTCTACAAACTACATAGTGCTGTAATACTCCGCAGCCATGTTGGGAGTGCTTCATCCGTTTTAGCTCTAGTCTTGAGCATCAGTAACTGTTTATCACTGCGACTGCAACCTGGATAGTACGCAGACAACTGAAACAAATCTGGTATGTTTTGTTTCATCGACCTCCTTCCATGTAAAAACAGTGTAAGGCGGAAAGGGGACGGGGCAACGTTGCAGCAAGAACCACAAGACCACGTACATTCACGGCACAGGCACTCAGTAGGGGATTGTGAAAAGTCTGACTTTTCGAAGTCGTTTAGTTTAAAATGAATTTGCACCTATGTAAATGGAGCTCTAAAACAGGCAGAGATTATTCTTGATGGGACACTACCGGGAAGCATGACAGAACGCGTAAAACTGTTTCACTGCGCCCCTGAAAATGTAAAAATAGGGCCATTTTGTTCACGCAGAAAATCTATAAATCATCTGAAAATCCATGCCACAGTTGTGAACAACAAACTCGATGACCACTCACAAGGCTGTGAAGTGGAGAGAGACAGCCATGTTGGTTTAGATGAGGTGTCGATATTAATTCCTTCTGTGCCATCATTACGGCGCGCTGAAAGTCCTAATCTTAGTACACTTACCAACGTGTATCATACTGTAGGCTCCGCATAAACATCTTCACAGGATCCCAGAACAAACGGGTCTCCTCGGCAGGTGATGCCGCCAGTCGAGCCCACTCGTCGCGGTCTCCAAACCGAAGGACCTCGGCCCTCGGGGACTCTAGTGGATATGGAGGCACGTCACCCTTAAGGCCGTCGCCGTGAGGAAAGTCGTAGTCAAGGCCGAAGCAACTGGAGTAGGTCGACGGAAGCGAGAAACTCGCTGCGCAGCTTCACACTTGGCCTGGATTTTCCTCACGCCCGAAAGGAAGGACTGTTTTGCTGATAGCGTGCCCGTCCTCGCTTCCCGTGTCACTTCGGTCGCCCGCGCTTGCCTGCTTGAAGTGCGCAGCAAGCTGCTCTTCCTGCTGCCGCAGATGGCTTCGCGTCCTCTTCTCGCTGAAGGCATTACTGTTATGCCCTTTGCGAGACTCGAATGGAGTTTGCGCAACGGCGGCGTCGTCGACTGCGGCTCCTGTCGCTTCGGAAGTATTCGTGGCCGCTGTGCGGGGGGTCACTTCTGCAATTCTGCGTCTGTTGAGAGGAAGAGGATGGCTCCGCTGCCGCTGCTGATGTCATGCGCTTGCGCCGTGGAACCTCTACGCCTGACGTCAGGCAGTTCGCTTGCAGTCGTGAGAACATTCCGGTTGCCAGCCACGAATTTCGACGAGACGAAGCGGCCCTCGGCGCGCCTCTTACTCGTGACTGTTGACCTTGCGCGCCGGATTTATCATTGCGATTGCTCTTCGTCTCGGCATCTCGGGAATTCTCGGCACTGCCTCCACGCGCGCATAAGCTGTCGCCGCTGCAGATCGCTACGATTTCCTCCGAACTGGGAGACGCTTTTCCGGTAGGCGCCGCCATGATTGGTCGAGCGGCCCGCATAATTCGACCAGCGGGCCTTAATGTCGCTCCCACCTGACGGTTTAGATACTGGCGATGCGTTGGGTATTGGCGATGCGTTCGGTCTCGAGCCACCATTTTCTAGTGGTGTTCGGTCTGAAGAAGAAGACGCCGCCGCCGCCACGAGAAAGGCAACGGCACTGCACAAAAGAGAGGACCACAATAACAACAACGAAGCAAGCCAAGCCCGGTCTTAGCCGAGGGCGTCGAGCACCAGGGAGCTGGGGCCAGGCCGTAAACGAAGTCCGACGATTGCTCCCTGCGTTCATTTTTGATCCTCTTTGAATGGTCAGCAAAAGCCCACACAATCATCGACCGGTGGCAATGAGTTCGATTGTTGCAGTTGTTGTTATTGTTTTAACAATAATTATGAACAATAATCACTACAAGAATTACTAATAAGATGAGCCTAGGACTTTCTAAGAGCAGTATTTCTATGGAGTGAAAATGTAGTGAGGACTTCCGTCAAGTCTCTGAGGCGGCGGGCGTCAAACTTCGCGGCTTAGTACCTTCTAAGTGTGAGTGTGTGGCTGTGGGTTGTTTTGATGGAAAAAGGTCATGAAATACCTTGAAGAATCGACTATACTAGACCTAGATATAGCAGCGAAAAAACGAGACCACGAAAGCGATACAACGACGACACAGTAAGTAAGAAGAGCTTATACATAGTAAAAGTAAGAAAGAGGACTGACTTCAAAATATTAATGTGCGCGCACTTGTAGAATCACACTACTACCGCCAGAGGTCTCACCAAGAGGAAGGAACGAAAGATGAGTACTCGCGCGTTTAGAATTAAGGCTAGTGCTCATGGCTCTGGAGTGCATGCTCACCCATGGGCACATCCTCTAAACGTCGCGTGGAAATAACTGTAAAGGAGGCCTTAAGGTTTGAGCTATATCTTCGAGTTTATTTCGCTGCCAGCGCTTATCTTTGCTCGTATCATCTTGGTGATCCTCCTTAGCCTTTTTGGCATATGCCTTAACTGGTAAATATTCCACTCTACCAGAGTTGGCTATTATTATATGTCCGTAAAAGGGTAAAGATTCCACTTCAACCCTTGTAATTTATTTCGAATAATATCCTTAACGAAGCAAAGGCTCCACTTTACTCCATAATCGTCAGCCAGCGACTTTGACAGCAACGTGGTTAATTTATGACAAAGTAAACCAAGTAGCAGACAGAAAAAATGAACCCCCAGGAGACTAAGATTCCAGCAAAAGCGGAATGTTAGACAGAATATAGCATCGTCAAGCGGTAAGATATTAGACCATAAGTTTAGCGGCTCCATCGTGTGCTGTATCGTTGATGTAGGGTATTCGTTCCAACCCACAAATTAATTGACGGAGGGCCTGAAACTGAATGGTCCCTCCGAACATAATAAAGACCGCCGCTTAGGGATACAAGAACCGCTCTTCTTCTTCTTCTTGCAAATCTATGAACCAAAAAGATGAAAAGAGAAAGTCAAAACACGAGGCCTACATCATGACTCTTTTCAACACAAGCCGACTCTTCAGGATCTTTGCCATGTTCGGCGCACCGCATGATCCAGGTGTATGTATTCTCCAACCACACTCTTTTTGAACCTATTGTCCAACTCAAATGCTGACTGGCTCCTGATATGTGACCAGAAGTATCTTGTACTTCGTGAACAAGATGGTTCCCCATCGTCAGCGGAGTCGACGATACAACCAAGTGTAGCCCTTGGTTCACACAGCTTCGCGATTTTGGAAAAAGGAATAGCTATGTACTGGATAGCCCTCTTGCGCAAATCATACGGCACGAAGAATGAATCTATAAACAGTGTCCTTGATCCGCGTGCTGCGAATGTATACATATGACTCACATCTTTTGAGGGTCTCGGGTGCCGGGGGTAATGGCGAAATAGAAGTGCTTCGATAAAATGAAAAAGAAGTCATGTTGTGTGGTTGACTTGCATTCCAGGAAAACTCCATAGTGGAAATCCTGCGTAGAATAGTGTACAACCCCTCCGCTGTGTTGCGTCTATAGAAACTGGAAAAGGAGCACATCAGCGCAACCGCTTTTGAATCTACGTAAAACTATTTAATCGAAAAGGGGCTGTCGCGTGAGGGACCTTGTGAATCTAACTTACATATGGAAAACAATGAGTCGGTCACCAATCTCGCTCTCCGCTTCTAGTACTCCGGACGCTCGTAGATCCTGAGGTCTCTATCCATGCTGACTGAAGCAATACAGGCTTTACCGAAGGCTGCCGCGGTGACCGTGTCCCTGTGTTCTGCTAGCGTTTTCACTAGTGTGAATCCAGCGTCCTTCGATTGCTGCGCGTAGAGGTGCACCGCCTCTGCGCAGATCAGCAGGTACTTGCCACTTCGGTCGAAGAAGATGTCCTCGCAACGTGGAAACTCTAGCGTCTGGAGCGCCTCCGCTGGACGCCGCAAATCCCACAGCTTCACGAGTCCTCCAACCGTTGCGCTCGCCATATTTGTACAGTTGCTATTGAATCTCACCGACGAGATCGCCAGCTCTGGATCTGGCTTCTTCAGTTGCTCTGCTCCTGCATTAGCCTCTTCAGAAGGCCGCTCAAAAACGATTGGCCCTGGCCGGTCAGAATCGTGCAGTGCCTGAATCTCAAGTGACCCATCTGCGCGGCCCAAAGCTACCATACCGCCACCTGGGTGGTAGCTCGAACTTGTTACACCCGCACTTTCTTCCTTCTTGTGACACACGAGATCTCCGGTGCCAGCATTTACTACCGCATACGACTTATCGCGCGAAGATGTGAGGAAATAAATGTTCTCACTGGAAACTGGGTGAAATGTTGCGCCTGTTACGGCCTTTTTGTGGTATCGTAAAGCATGCAACTTCACGTAGCCACGCTGCCACTCTCCTGGTCGGCCCGTCTGAAACACGCCCACGCTGCCATCTTCCGCACCCGCGACGATGTAGTCCCCATAGCAGGCAACAGCAGATATTGCGCGAGGATTCTGTCAAGAAAGGAAACGAGAATACATAATAAAGAAAGAGATGAATTTTACTGTAAATTCATGAATTTGGCTGTAACTACTAATTCAAATCATGCAGCATCAGTCTGAGTTAAGCAAGGGAAAAAAAGCAAAAGTCCTCTAGTACTTTGACGTTGATCTTGAATTGGTCGACTAGCTGCCGTTTTTCTATATCGAACACGACCACAGTGCCGTCCACGCCGCCGGTGACCACCATGGTTTCGTTTTCCGGATGCAAAGCCAGACAACGGATTCCTTTCTCGGTGGTTGAGTGCAATGGCGCACACACTGTGGGCTCGAAGACTGAGAAGTCCTCCTTCTCCTCTTTTTCCTTCTTCTTCTTTTTCTCCTTTCGCTCTGCTCGAAAGTGCTCTTCCAGTTGCTTCATTTCTTCACAAAAGGCCACGTCTGGGAAGCTTGGTGTTTCTGCCACGAACGGGTTGGTGCTGAGGCCTACACCACTGGCAAGCTCTGATTGGAGCTTGCTGTTCGCCTCTAGCAGCTGCTGCGCTCGCTCTCGCAAAGCATCGTGCTCGCGCTGCGCCTTCACCAGGAGCCGCGTGGCCGCGTCGTCCGTGTACAGCGTGGTGCTCAGCTCCTGCTTCAACGACTTGTTTTCACTCTTGACCATAAAGTTCTCTAGCAACAGCGTGTCCATGTCGTTCCTCAGCAACTGAATCAAGTTCGGAATCGAGTGCGGCTGCGGCGCAAGTGGGATTTGGCTCGGAAGGGTGGCTACCTTCAGCAGCTGCTCGGCAGTGAGCGCCTCTCGCGTCACCGGACAGAACTTACCTAACATTTGCAAATTGTCGTGGTGAAAGAGAAAAGTTGACCGGTGGATCGTCGCAAAACCGGCTGAGAGTGCAAATCCTGACGAAGCGACATTAGTGCCATCATTGTGTGAAACATGCTCTTAAAAACAGATTGTAGGTGGATGATGGATGATAGCTTGAAGAATTTACCACTCAGTATACCTGTGCTGTCAAGATAGGTCTCTATCGCCCTTTTCTCGAAAATGTAACCTTGCGGTGAGATTACGGGTTCGTGCGGCACGACGCCTAAAAGATTGCAAACGACATTCTCAGCCACGCCAATATCTCTGTCGGGAACCACACCTTCACCACCATCAGCCGCAACGGCATCGGCAGTGTCTATTCTTACGCCCTCTTCAGCAGGCAATGGCATCTCCATCGTTGGCGCAGCACTCGTACCAGAAACCTGCGACATGACCATTTCTCTCCCTGGATGAAACTTATAATGCTTAATGCCACTTTTCTTGCTGTCATAAATTCTTCATGCAAACAAGATTGGATTTTAAAGCACGTAGCGAAAATATCAATTTGACCAATCGGCGGAAACAATGTGAAGTAAACAAATCATAATCATAAACTGCCAGTTCTAGAAACGACCAAACCGGATAGTATTAAAACATTCATTCATTCATTCAGTAACGCTACCCTCCTACTACAAGCTGGAAGGCAACCGATCTACCATATGGCACATCAACTTGGAGCAACAACTAGGGACCCCCTAAGCCTAACCTGTTTCAAGTAAGAAAAGAGAAAAATAGAGTAAACCAAATGTTTCTTAGTTGTCTGTACTTTCATCTGCATAACCACTGCCAATTATGTCAGGTCATCACCGAAGCATTTCTTTCGTAAGAATATGAAAACTCAGGAATGTTGGAGTGAAAGATTGAATTTGAATATCTGTTCGTTCAGGAGAACGAGAAAAGGAAGCCCACGGAAATTTTGCTTTGATCATGATAAACTGCATCAGCTTGGTTTGTTCAGCTTTCCACAACCCGCAATTCAAGTGTACAAGAATCAGACCTGTGATAGCCATTGAACCAATTCTTGAAACCAATTTTCATTTACAACATCTACTCAAATTCTTGAACTGTTTCGAATTTGATCATCCAGAAATTCCAATTTCTCCATGGATTTTGATCTGCTACAGAAGCTAAGCAAAATGGCTTTGGTACGAATACGATACCGAGAGCTTTGGACCTTTCTTGGCTGCGCCGGCACCGAACAAAAAACTTATCTGTTCACGCGTTCGATCGTGCTGTCCGAAATTCACAGTAGACTGACTGATCATGTTCGAAAAACTTTCACAGCTCTACTTGTGGAAGATGAAGTCCATGTTTTTACGTTATGAATGTTACTTTTTCGCCACATGCAAAAGTTCTGGTGTGTTGTTCAAATCGTGTAAAGCTATTATCAATACGGCTATGATATGAAGTGACTTGCTTCAACAACATCGAGAACTATTTAGCGTGCTGTGTGGTGCGTCATGCGGAAAAGTTTCTCCTGACGAGTTTCAGGACCAACGCCCGCCGACTGCCTTCGTTCCCAGATGATCTAAAAAGCTGAATATGTCGAGGCCGATTGCCGAGCCGGCGCAGCAGTCAACTGCAGATCGGTGGTGCATGTTCACGAGCGGCCTGTGCCATTTCTGGTCGCACTCTCGCGTACAGCGATCGCGGCAAAGCAGCGCCTTTCTCTCCACCAGCAGTTTCACCAAAGGGAAATTGTCGGTGAGCGCAGCAAACATTAAAGGGGTATTTCCCTCATTGTCGCGCTCATTCACGGCCTCTTCCGGTGAGGAGATGCGAGCAAGATTCCTTCTCCTCGTGTCACCGGTTTTAGAAGTATCTCCCTCACGAGTGGCGGCATTACTCTGACTGCTGTTTTTGTGCGCGTACCAATCCAGGATGCTCCGCAGTGCCCCGCTCGCATCGACTGCCGCATAGTGTTGACCAAGAGCGCCCCGCTTCTGTTGTCTCTGAGCGCCGTCTTGATTATTTCCGCTTTTCTCCGACGTTTCTCTCCTATCTTCACCTGGACGCGGCACTCGTCGTTTCGGTTCACGCGGCTCTGCGGGGCAGTGCCGACATAGCTCCAGCAGTGCGGTACCGCGCCCGCCAGCACGCAGCCTCGGGTCGGCCCCCAGTCGCAGTAGCAAAGGGATCAAATGATATCTTCGCTGTGCAGCTGCTTGGTGTAGCACGGTCCACTCGTCACCAGGCCGCTGATGGAGCACATCGGCGCCTCGGGCCACAAGTGCCTCAACAATCGCAACGGGAGCACCAAATTTGACTGCGGCTAGCAAAGGCGTGAGCCCTCCAAGGGTCGCAACGTTCACATCGCCGTGACCTGAGTCTGCAAACGTCGGCATGTGCCCATTGATTACCTCTCCGATGGCTCGCTGAATCGAGGCGTTTTCACAACACGTGTCTTTTTCCCCATAATACCGAACCTGCCGAGCAGCCGTGCTGGGCACATCTGCAGTCACTATCCGACCTGAAGAGGGAGAGGTTTTCGTCGCCTGTTGCACCTCAATGGGCGGCAGACGCATACCCTGCAGGACATTTTTTGAAGTATATTCTTCCACAAATGCCGATGCTTGAATAGATTGCTGCGGCTGCAGTGCTGCTGCTGGCGCGTCCGTATGAAGTGAGACAACGTCATCTGCCCTTTTCGCGAAATGGGCTTCTTCGTGTCCTTGGTGTCCTAAATTGTGATAATCAACATAGGTCGGCGCCTGCTCGTCATCGTCGGCACTGTTGTCTCGGATACTTTCTTCCAACGATGAGGATACTTCCTCAGGCGTCGCACTGACAACATCCATGATCGTTCACATAACAAATCTTCTGAATTGTTCGTTCATTATAACATACAGGGAACGGTAAGGAAGTTCTACGTCATACATTATTTACCTTTGACACCAACATCTTGTTTCCTATCCATTAAAACGGTCCGGACTTAATTCTATATATAAGATCGATTCCATCAGTCGACTCATGACATGACGAATATGAAAGCAATGCCATTAATAATACACTAACAAACAATGAGTTAACAAATAGGTCTTGGAACAGAGACCAGCAATATCAGGATATTCTGTCCAAGATAAAAACCGGGCACTACATGAGTCAGTGTTGGTCATGGTCGTAAATCCTTGAAACTATCACAAAGATCCACCAAGATCAGAAGGATGAAGATCATCAAAATGACCAAGATCGCCAGGCGAACAAGGTACCCACCGGCACCACTTTCAACGCGTTGGCCTTAGTTGGCGCCAACAGTCAGAAACGAAGTATATAGTACAATATTAAGAGCAATAAAACTTTGCAAACACTTCCTCTCCGAAGCCTCAACCTCCAACACCCGAACCCAAAACCTCCGACACAAAAACAAACAAACCCCAAACCCATGAACCCACGAACCCATGAACCCACGAAACCACGAAACCAGGAAACCACGAAACCACGAAACCACGAAACCATGAAGCCATGAAGCCATGACATGAAACCAGGAAACCCTGAAACCATGAAGCCACGGAATTGAATTTCGGGGGCAAGGGCTTAAAATCAAAAATTTTGGGATCTTAGCATTTCAGCCTCACGAGATTCACTCTCAAAATGGCGAAAAATGTGGAACATTTTCGAAATTTGAAAAAACGCGAATCCAAGGAATTAAATTCCAAACAAAGGGCTTAAAATCAAAAATTTTGGGACCTTAGCGCTTCAGACTCACGAAATTCACCCTCAAAATGGTGAAAAATGTGGAAAATTTTCGAAATTTGAAAGAACGCGAATCCAAGGAATTAAATTCCAGACAAAGGGCTTAAAGTCAAAAACTTTGGGATCTTAGCCCTTCAAAATCAAAGGGCCCACTCTCAAAATGACGAAAAAGGTGGAAAACTTTCGAAATTTGAAAAACGCGAAGCCAAGAGATTGAATCTCAGGGAAAGGGCTTAAAGTCAAAAGCTTTGGGGTCTTAACGCTTCAAACTCCTGCGCCCCAATCTCAAAACGACGACAAAACTTGGAAAATTTTCGAAATTTGAAAAACGCGAAGCCAAGGCATTGAATTTCGGGGGCAAGGGCTTAAAGTCAAAAGCTTTGGGGTCTTAGGGCTTCAAACTCACGGGATTCACTCCCAAAACGACGAAAAACGTGGAAAATTATCGAAATTGGAAAAACGCGAAGCCAAGAGATTGAACCTCAGGGAAAGGGCTTAAGATCAAAAGTTTTGGGATCTTAGTACTTCAAGCGCACAGAACTCAATCCCAAAACGGCGACAAAATGTGGAAAATTTTCGAAATTGGAAAAATGCAAATCCAAGAGACTGAATCTCAGGGAAAGGGCTGAACGAAAGTCAAAAACTTAGGGACTTTAGCGCTTCAAACGCGCAAAATTCTATCCCCAAAACGACGACAAAACGTGGAGAATTTTCGAAATTTGAAAAACGCGAAGCCAAGGCATTAAATTTCAGCGAAAGGGCTGAAAGTCAAAAAGTTTTGGGATCTTAGCCCTTGACTTCAAACGCACGAGATCCAATCCCAAAACGGTGGCAAAACGTGGAAAATTTTCGAAATTTGAAAACGCATATCGCTTACATCTTTGCCTTGCTTAGTTTCTTATTTTGGGGAGGGGGGGATCCTAGTGGGAGGGATGTTATCGGGCGCTCCAAGCTAGTATTACAAGGACATGGGATGTAGGGATGCTAAGAACACAAAGGAGGGCTGCAAAGGCTGACAAATTATTGTGGTGGACAGATCAAATAGATCCATTTCCGAAAGCGCACCGATACGAAAGAGCTCCACCGCAAGATACAACACTTCACAACAAGGAAATACAAAATATGGGTTCTCTCTGTAAAAGCTCTCACTCAGCATGATTCAAGGCGAAAGTAATCTCTTTTGGGAAACTATGACTGTGCAAGTCAGCGAACAGCGACCGCGCTGACAGTGATATGCGTCAGGCGCGTGCAGGTACATGATCCAACATAATTGGGGTCGATACTTACTGTAATCAAGGAAGCCGATGATTATATCTGTGATATTCGATCGGGGCCTAAGTGCCGATAACTTTCAGCGTGGGGGTGAGTGGGTGGATAGACCAGAAGTTGATTTTGCGTATTGATTCCTGATCCTGTTGTTAGAAGGTAGACGTAATAAATTTTAGCAGTGAGTAGAATGGTTGAATTAACGGTTGCAATGGTAGAAATAGAAATGGGTTACGACGCTTCTAGGTGTAGTTGAACTATTTTCAGTTATGACCAGCCTAAGATAGCAATTTCTTCGGTTGCTCCAGAATTTCTACTCGTCCAAAATGTAATTATATTTGATTGCTACACGATGATTTCTGGCCACCATCGAGTTTGATATGAAGGAGCCCCTTCTGCCTCCTGCCTTCACGTCTGCTGGCTTGATGTTGCAACGTTGTATCTAGAAATACGGATCACAGTAGTAAACCAGACAGAGGGACCTATACTGAATTAGAATATACTGATGCAATGAGGAAGTATAGAGCTTCACCCTTTTCATCACGGTGTTTTCCAAGCTAGTACTCCCATTTGCCCCACGTAAAAGTAGCAATAACACCCCTTCTCATGTGTCACGTAACTGCCGAAGTACCTACCGATGACCACGTGCCACGTGCTCTGGTAGCTGTTGTAGTTTTCAGATGCAACATTTCTAGGCTAAAATCATAAGCGATCTAATCCACATTAACTACCAAAGCAAGCATGAAACGATGACAAAGTGCTTGTTGTGTGGTGCAGCTCGTAGTTTATCTGCGAGATTTTATTCGCACAATTTCTTGTAGGACGGAAAAATGACCAATAAAGACAATACATGTCTTGCATTTCCTGCTTGAGGAAAGTGGCGATGTCTTTTTCGCTATTGAACTGCTCCTGCGCTACGATTGTCTTGGCGACGATGAAGTCAAGCATCTCTTGACTCATCTCTTGCTGCCTGATGACAGCCTTCGTGCCCGACATGGTTGCTTCTTTTTATGTTTTCACCGTACCTCAATCAATACTAACGATGATGAGAAACGACCTACATCCATGTACAACACAAGTGCAATTTGCAATCTTGTAAGTTCGAGGGATGAAGGGGCTTCGTCGCTCAGAAGTACTAACGGAAGTTAGCTAATAGAGACGAGTTAGCTCGACGTCTAACGCTAAGTACAACTTGTAGAGATCGAGATACGAAACCACGGAGCAACCACGATCAAGAAACCGTAGCAACGACCGAAATTCGTGTACACAACTATAATTCTCAACAGCTCGTGTCTTAACCATAGATTCTTCGAGGACCGATTGATAATGTCTGCCCAGAGCAGCAGACAAAGGTTCTAGAGGTGCACTGACTAATGGAATTATCACTCAACATCTTAGGGGAGTATCGGTATCCGACAAGGAATCCATGAAATGTGGGATCTTGCTTGGAGAGAATCACGTGTTTGAAGGGGTCACAACTCGGGAGGCGTGCCATCTATTTGAACGGGTCCCTCGGTTAGACACTGCGAAGAAACTCTCAGAATCTGACGACGAATATCCTACTGTTCTTGTCTTTCCTCTCCTTCTCTTTCTCTATGTCAATTCCGCTCACCGTCGTGGCCCTCACCTCATGTCAACGCTGTATCTGCGATTTTTTCTGCAGCAAATACTAACTGAATATGCGCTGGACCAGACGAAGTACTTCATCAATACGAACCGATGCTTAGTGCTGACATCAAACACAAACTCGTGGTCGCCCAACACACATCGGAACCGCAAACGATCACTTCAAGAATAGTCAGAGTTCTCTTCAAAATATCGAGTTCTTGTAGTTGAGCTCTTATTTTCCACGTATCTGTTGTCGAAAAGGTACTGATTCCAACTGCAAACGAGTTTTTGTATATCCAACAACCGCTGTTTTCCGGCACGAATCCAACATTCCTTCCAGGCGCTGAAAATTAGTATCGATAGCTTTCGGTCACGTCTGTCCTCAACCAACCGATCCATAATGTGCTTCATGACCACGTGCTCACACCTTGTTCTTCTACGCGGTCCCGCCCGTGCAGGTCGCCAAGAGGGATCTGTTGATGCCAAAAATTGAGTGCCACCAGGGTGCAGCGATTGATCACGAAGCATGCGCGCACCCAAGGAGCTCAGCGCAGAAACAGTAATCTCTGATTTGCTTGACGTAGACGATCCACTTGCTTGTCCAGGCATCCCTTCCTCAACTTCTCGCATCGCCAGCTGAAAATCTGAATATATTTCCTTTCTGGTAGCCGTCTCTTGCTCGAATGTCATTCGCCTTACTTTACCCTGCTCGCGTCGTTTCAGCCGCTGCTGTCGCATCCACGCCCGTACAGAAGTTCGCTCCCGATGCACTGAAGCCCAACCACAGAACGCACGTGCCTGAAGCCGCGCAACTGGTAAATCCTGTCTACAAGAAGAAAGAGCTCGCTCTTGAAAAGTGTGAGTTCGTGGCGGTCGCGATCGCGAACAAGCGGCGACGGCAGCTTGGTAGGTACTCAACGGCCACGCCTGTTCACCTGGAAGTTACGTAGCATGGAATCGCTAGCGTGACCAAATCGAATCAAGAGAGCCCATATATGTACCGGGGGGGGCCGATGGAGCGGCGGGGGCGTCCGCGCGCCCTTTTTTCCTCAGTGGTGACATGTAAGGACTACCGGGTGCAAAGGCCTCAAAAGGCGGAGCCGGAGTCCCCTGGCGGCTCTCCGCGTGTACCCCACAGGCGTCCCGGCTCTTGGGTCCGATTAGAAGGACGGCCTCCGGGTGAAGAAGGCCGCCGAAGGCGGCCACGGTCGCGAGGCCTGGCCCCTTTGGCGCTCATCCCTCCAAGAAGAGGAGCCCGCACACGGGAGGTCCGTAGGGTACATGCAACACGGCACGGGAGGGCTGTGGGATACATGCAACACGGCCTGGGAGGTCTGTCGGGCACACGCAACATGGCAAGGGGGTCCAGCCTTGCCACCTTTGCCACCTTCGGTTTCGGAAGCCTTCCACCCTTGGCCTTCGGTGCTTCAACGGCCCCACGGGTGGGGGCTCTGTAGGGCCCAGGCAAGAAGCGGGAAGGGGTTGGAGGTGGGCGTTTGGAGGCCTTCCCGCCCGTCAGTCCCTCGAGGAAAAGGGTCCGGGGTGGAGGCCCCCCCTCAAAAAGCTAGAGCGCTGAGCCCTGGAACATCTGTAGCTTTTGCGATGTTGCTGGCGGTGTTCTTTCTATAAAGAATGTACGGACTTTAGCCTGCATCATTATAGTCAAAGAAGTGAGTTTGTGTTTAGTACCTGTAGAACAGGATCGACACGCATCCCTGGAGATCTTTTCAATCGGCGACGGTAAGCTCCCTAGTAGGAGTCTTTCGCATTTTTCGAATCCCCCGGCTTTCCAGGGGCTAACATCGATCGGTGAGGACTCCAGGGGATTTTCGCGGCGCAGCACTTCTTTCGCGGACTGTGGCGCGGCTGCCGCCTCGCCCGGCAGCCACTGTAGCTGCTCCATCGACTTTTCGCAACCTACCGACGCCACAGCCTCGTGCAGTGCAACCTCTGATGTATGTCTCACAGAAACACTTACGCCATTATCCTCCAACATTGTTGAAAAGTCATTTTCGACACCATTTAGCACACTATCAGCCTTTTCCTGCGCACGATCTCCACCATTCGCGCTCTGCGCTTCTTCTTCTTCTTCTTCTTCCGACTTTTTGGAAAAAACGGAAGAACAACTCCTGGTTGTCCCGAGCAGTTCCTTACTTCCGATTGCAACACCGTGTTGCCAGCACCGTGCTGCGAATTTTGCTAACGCCTCTGTCAGTCGAATTTCCAGAGCCTGCATGCTCAATATCGAAGACCTCTTCTTATTTGCTTGGTCGATCACCTCTTCTTTAGAGTCGCGATCGAACCCACGACTTATCGCTGGATTCTTCACGATGCCCTCTTCGACGCGCGTTTTGCGATGGTCTCCATTTGGGCTATTCGTACTCGTGCAACCCCTGTAGTAGCCTCCCCTGGCTTTGTGAAGAAACGCGCTTTGTGGTACATCGAGCTTATCCGCCCATGCTCGCTTTGCCAGCGGTGACGCATGGCCGGGCCTCGTCCCGGGCACAGGCATTGTCACACACAAAATTCAGTCAATAAAGTGCGAAAACTGTGACACAACTAGTCTGAGATCCTACTACAACCCCAAGAATACAACTTACTATCTATCTGAATTGATAAGCGATGCAAAGTGACTCTATATTTCAAATACTGAGCGATACACTGTACCATACAAGACACACAACAAACAACAATGAAAGGCACTAGGAAAAATAATTGTAATTTCTTTTATACCGGAATCAAGTGGTGCAACCGATGGCGGCGATCACGCAAAGGTCCGTAAATGGTAGAAACAGGAGATGTTGATATTTGGTCATGAAGGAACAAACAGAAAAGCCGAGCACAGAATCTCAGCGTGAACAACAGGATGACACGTGTCTCTGAGGTATGAGCACCGAGGAAATTGGCACCGAGGAATTTTCCACCGCATCCAATGAGAAAGCAAAAGAACTACATCCATACGCCTGTAAAGTCGTAGCGCCGTCCACTGCTGCAGTAATCACATCGAAATGCCACATCAATCACGTTTGCTATTTGGTATTAGAAAACACGAACTTCTGCGAGCAAGATTCAAATCACTATTCATGCAAGGAGTCAACATATACATAGCAAGAAACATCTTGTTCCATCGTCAAATGACTAAGACGTTTTAATCATCTGAGTTATCATGCTTACTATAGAAAGATACCAGAAATGCACATTCGGGACAAAACTTGAATATTAGGCGAGTACAAGAACAAGAAGTATTTATGATGAAAGAAAGTTCTTGAATCCGAATTTTCACGCCGAAAAGAAAGTTCTTCAGAGTCAGAGATATCACAGGAGTCATTATCTGAACTTTCTCTTGCGACATGCAAACTCCAAAGCTATCCACTATTCCTTCGGATCAAACAACAGTAACAAAGTTTATCGGCTTTACTATCCGTCACACTGCTGATAACGTGGAGCACGTGGTGGTGGCTTTATTTGTTTGATAACATTATACGCAAACAAGTCAGCGATCCTTGTCCAGGAAAATGCTTACCGCCACATCGAGACAATCGTCACCGCCTAATTGACCACGCCGATCGAAAAAGAAAAGGCTTTCGAACCCCGCTCGGCCGTTGATTTCGCAAGGGTCGGATTTCAACGCTCCTAGGTGTACGATAGCTAGAGATTGCTGCTGTTGTAACGCAGGGGTATCGACTTCCCTATCCGCTGACAGCACACGCATCCGAAGAGCGCAATTGAGAAAGCGTGGTGATGAGGACTCACGGCCTGAGGCACTCGCCAAGTACGAGGACTTCTGAGGTGAAATTTTGGACGTGGGAAAAGGAGCCCGTAAAGGCTCATCGTATCCTGCTGGTCCTCCAGCTTGCGAAAACTGTTCCTCTGCATGTCGGAGCATATCGTAATTGCGCTTTCGAAATTGCGCAATCAGTACGCTCATACTATTCGAAGCAGGATCTCCAGCTTCAACTTCCAGATGCCCGTCTGTTGTGGGAATCACACTCACGCCTGCAGCCTTTTCTGAAAGTGTGGTGCCAGTGCCAGCAGCGGCGTGCGGCTCCTCTTTGAGGCTGGGTGGTACAGCTGGATTGTGCTGAGATGCCACAGTCGTGGCAGTAGATTTCGCATGATCAGTCGTGCTCCGCGCCACCGATGCCGATGGCGCCTCTTCATCTTCATACCAGCTTTGAATGAAGCAGCTGGTGGTTGGACTATCGGTCGTAGATAGTGGCGGTGGAAACTCCTGCATAACTTTCACAGGATCGGCAACGTGCTTGGTCGATGTGCCAACTGCTCCTGCAGCAAGTCTCGGAGTAAAATCCGTCATTGTGCTATTGGGGAAAAAGTCGAATTCGATGCGCCATCTACATCCTCGCGACTGTTCGTAGAGAAATGTCGGACTGAACAAGGAGCTTCCCTTTGGATGATCCCGAATCACAGCCGTCGCGTTAGGGATTCGCCACGTAAGCTTCTCTGAAAACTGGCCGTGCTGTACCAGCATCTGTGGTCGAGTTGGCAAACTACACTGGGTTCGTGGTACAGGGGGCGCACACTGACGCTGGTACCAAGCATCATCGCTCGATCCTGGCCACGTGCTGCCACCCTGCCATCGCGGCCAATCCTGGACTTCGTGTTCGTAACTTCGTCCAGCGTAAAAGGAAGAAGTAGCACCATCTACCATACGGTGGTCTAGTTCCACAGCACTCTTCACTAGCTGCTCACCACGAAAGGTGGCCCTAGAAGCGGATGCCTCCCCGAAATGACCCGCCATCGATTGTGCCGGAGGCAGTAGCTGCCGCTCCATGACTGAATGGAGAGTGGCTCGGTCGAATCGGATTTCGTTCAGCGCGGGTCCGCTACGAGGACTTTGATTAAAACCGACAAGCGGTTCACCTTGACTTCGCAATGGAGGCACGATGGCTGGAGTACTTGTACATAATGGTCGTGGCGAGGAGTGAAACGCGGATCCACCATGATTTGCACCAGCTGACCCCGGTAGGAAACCTGTCCCAGGGCACGTGAGAAAACAGAGATCAAAAAACCCAAAAGGGTACTGATCTGCAGGAAGCCGTACAAGCATCTGCTGTATTAAGTGTCAAGCTCTAGTTCAATATGTGAAATAGAAATCACAAATACTCACTAATCATGCGGACAGGGAGAAGTACGCTCCTCGGTTCCGACATCTCCTCCGGTAGAGGCCGTTGTCGATTTCGTGCTTGTGTCAGTCAAGCGGTCGTTGTTTCGCGAATCTAGTGCTTTTCGACAGTCTTGCTGATTCCAGTTGCTCTTTTTTGGGCACGGACTTGCTTCTCCTGGAGACGGGCCGAGCGGCTCCTTACTGCCGCGATGATGTTGCCACACACCAGAAGGGTGCGGAGAGCATACCGTGTTCTTCGGCCCGACTGCGTCCTCTAACTCTATGATCCTGCTTACCAGCGTTAGCTTTGATCTAAGCCGAGTCTCGGTGTGAGTCAATGATGGCAGTGGCGCGAGAGGCGTTTCATCTGGAGATGATATATTTTGCAGCGGTATCGACGCCCGCAGACGAGACTTCGCGATGTCTCCTTTTCCGTTTGAGTTACCCCTCTTAGTGCCTCGATTCGCCGGGTCAAACGCATCTACTTTGTTAATTCTGCTCACAGCATCTGGAATATCGGTAGACAAGTCATCATAGAAAACGACGCTATCACCTTTTTTCTTCGCATCATCGACTGGTTGATGTCGGTGAGGCAATTTCTTGCCGCCTTTTCGGGTGGGCACATTGTCCGGCAGCTGACCCAGCTTCTTGATGCTAGCCTGACGCTGCATCGTGAAACTCGGATTGACGATTGGATGCATCGTGTTCTTCCCCTTCTTGTTCTCTGTGCCAGCACCAGTACCGCGGTTGCTTGGTCCTCTTACTGGAGGCTTGAACCGTTTGTCCTGAGCCGAGGTAGACGATGGTGTTCGCGAAGCCGATCGCCCCTTGCCCTTTCCCAGTGAAGCGGTCGTCTTTGCCTTGGCTTTAGCAGCTCGAGGATTCACTGCCGCCCTAGCACCCGAGTGTCCACGAACGCCACACGCGCTTTCGGCCGTTGTCTCTGTCTGTGTATGCTGCGTGCGCTCTCGCTTTCGCACGTCAACAACAACGGGTACGCGCATGGACGCGAAGCCACCACCGTCCCCTCCGAGCGGACTGCTGCAGCTCGGACTCCTTTTTAACGTCTCGCCAGGTGAGGACCCATCAAGAGGCTTACCAGGAGCTGCATATGGCGCACCTGCAGCCTTTTTCGGAGCCAGTGTTCTTGTTGATGCTCGATTGCTGTTCCCCTCAGCGAGCAGCCTAGCGCGTCGGATGCGCTCGCGATGAAGCAGAAAACTCTTCTCAAGCAGTGTTGGCGCAGCCGGCGGTGACGGAACTGTGGTGAACTGTTGCGCGGCCGAAGAAGACTGCAAGTGCCCTCCCTCATGTGTCTTGTCCGGCGTCTCACTCTCTGGCGGCGATGACGATGTTTGCAGATCGGAACCCGAGGGCCTGCGCTTCTCAGGAGGTGGCGAGGACAGAATTGCTCTTTTCGACGCTGAGGTTGAGGGATCTCCAAGATCATCATGCACAGAGCATGCAACATCTATTCTTGCCATTTTCGTAGTGGATTCGGAACAAATCGGCGAATAATCGGCACTGGTACGCGCACGCGACTTCTCGCCAATGGCTAGAGACTCGCGGGATGCGCTCGCGCTCGACGCTTCGTTGACGAGCGCACTTCTATTCCCTGGTCTTGCTTCTTCGCTGGTCGGCGCATCGGCGCCTAACGGCTTCTCACACCTGTGGTTTGTCACCGAACAAGACGTGCCTGAGCCTGAGGACTCCACGGGTGTGGAAGGCCGTTCTACATCTTTACCGCTTCGACGAATTTTCGCGGTTTCATTCGCCTTTGCCTGCGCTTCGGCGCTCTGTTGCTCCAGTGCTGCTTGAAGATCCGCAATGCGACGCTCGTACACGCTGCGTTCTTGAGAAAATTGTGCGAACACGTGTTTTCGGCTTTCTCCGGTTCGTATCGCTAACTCTGCCAAATGTCCCTCGAGTCGCTCACATCTTTCCTGGATTACGACAGATAGTATTTTGAACATCAAAACAGACTAAATTAGAGGGCCTGCAAAAACTGTACAAGCCTATTTTGGCAATTTCGGAGACATTCCTCGCACTAGCACTAGTAGGAGTTTTACGATGATTGGCAGTGCCCTTACAATACATCATCCACATTGTTGTACTTATTAAGGTGTACTTGATACTTTCCTTTAAGCACAGAAAACGATACGACCAAAATGACAAGTTACCTTGTAGAACCACAGCGCTTCCTCCTTCTTCTTTGTTTCTTGCTGCTGCATCGATTTCAGCAAGCTTGCTGCGGCAAAAAGCTGGCCGTGCTCGCTGTCAGCGGAGTCTCGGACGACCTGATCGTCATTTCGATCGGTTAACACATCAGGCGCTCTTAATGTGTCACCACCAAACTTTTCAAACGACCAGGACTTATGCTCTGGCACAAGCTTCTCGCTCTCGTCATCCTCTCTAGACTCCACTGCGTCCTGCGTGGGTGAGCTAAGAGTTGTGTAGTACTCACCGAGCGCAGAGAGCGAATCCTGGAGAAACGTTGAGTCTGCGCTTCTCTCCGCGACACCAAGGGCCGACGCGTGGGCCATCCGGTCGAAGGCGCTAGGCATTATTTTTGATTCATAACAGTCGGAGCAACATCGGTCAAAGCTCCTCTATGCAGCCATTATCATCATAGTACTACATGGCAAGGCCGTATAGAGCAGTTTCCTTCTTTTTACTTACATGCGATGCTTATTTTCTAGCGTGAATGGTATCTCTCGTCTCTTACCGCAACAAACCGCCTTTTCCGTGAAAAAAATTTGCAAAGTTCGACGGCAAACAACGCGACTGGATATAATTGACTTGGGCCTCTTGGGTTTGGAGATTTCGAATATCAAAGGGACAAGAGGTAACGATCTGAGTTTTTGACTCACACTCGCTCTCTCCATATACCACACTATCATCCTCCACCGAGTCTCTCGCACATCCGATCTTCTATACTTCTTACGCCAAACTGATATCTATATCAATCGAAGCTCTCTAGGACTCGTGCTAACCGATGGCATTCTTGTTAGTCAGCAGACACACTCCGATGCGTTGTCCTTGTTGTTAAAACACTATCAAAATCATCTACGAGATCGATTCTTCGGCGAGAAGTGCATCTGCGTACTCATATGGACCATTTTAAATCCTGGGGGATGGGGGTAATTTCAACAATATATACTTGTTTTTTCGCTATCACTCATCAGATTATTAATTGGGCAAGGAAAGCACCGCTACAGATAGGCCAGATAGACGTCTTGGCTTAGATCGCCCCTAATAGGGGCCTACGGGAAACTAATGGAAGAAAGTGGCCAGCCTTTTCCCTATTAGTTTTCCACGGTGTTGCGACTCTCTCGCTTCTATTCAGCTTAAGCAGCGAGAAAGCCGCGGCTTTGGCGTTGGTTGTTGACCCTGCTAGGCAGCTCGGCGCAGCGCGTCTGCTGTCCCCGACCCTTGGGGCTATCTGAGCGAGCACATGTCGACACGCTTCGCATTAAAAAAGAAATCCTTGAAGTTTAGAGCTTTCTTATTTAATGAGAAGCGTATCGACATATGCTCGCCCAAGTAGCCCCATGGGAAGAACTCATCGCAGAACTCGGTGAGCATGTCCAAGCCCTCGCATCGAGTTCGATTCCCGCATGGCACGAACTGGATGCGCAGCCTTTTGTCTTATTTCCAAATATTCACGCGAAAACCATTCCAGCACCCAAAAAAATACTTTGAAATATTCGGCGAATATTCCCGAACATTCTTCGAATATTCTCAAACATTCGCAACATATTCGAATATTCTTAAATATTAACAAAACAAAAAAGAGAAAGACCGCCGCAACATCTCCGAGAAAAATCTACGGAAGGACTTCCCGGCTCTCCTTATCGGTTTCGCTTCGTCATCTTCATTCTTCCAAAAGACTGGCCACAGACGGGAGGTCCCATCGGTCTCCACGTGGCGGCTTTTCGATAAAACCGCGCGCGCCTCCATCATCCATCTGCTTCCACTTCTTTCGTTTCGCGAGATACGCGAGGGAGGTCGTCGCCGTCTTGTGTTCCCCTGGCTTGGCTCGTTTTTGTTCCAGTTTGGTCGGGCTGTGTTCTTCTGGCCTGGCTGCTCTTGTGTTCTACGTCTTCTCGTGTGCTCTCCTCGTGTGCTCTTGCCGCGTGCCTAATCTCTGCGCCGTGGCGCGCCGTCTCTCTGGCGGCCGTAGGCCGCCAGGGACGAGGGGGCAGAGGGTTGCCTTGCTGGGCTGTTCGCGCTGGATTATACGGCGCCCACCAGCGCAGCGCGGCGCGTCGTCTCTCTGGCGGCCGTAGGCCGCCAGGGACGAGGGGGCAGAGGGTTGCCTTGCTGGGCTGTTCGCGCTGGACTATGCGGCGCACACCACGCGCCCACCAGCGCAGCGCGGCGCGTCGTCCCTCTGGCGGCCGTAGGCCGCCAGGGACGAGGGGGCAGAGGGTTGCCTTGCTGGGCTGTTCGCGCTGGATTATGCGGCGCACACCCCGCGCCAATCAGCGCCCCCGAGCGCAGCGTGGCGCGTCGTCCCTCTGGCGGCCGGAGGCCGCCAGGGACGAGGGGGCAACGCGTGACCATCTCGCCCCCCGCCCCCCTTGTACAAGGTTAACGGTTTGCGCGACTGTGAATCCCTCTAACGAGCCTGCGCCAAAGAGTGCGCCCCCGGACTGCGCCCAACCATGTAACCTTGTCCAAGGGGGGCGGGGGGCGCGGGGTACAACGGGAGGCGGGTGGATGCGTCAGACAAACTCTCGCCCGTGTAAGTGAAGAGCTAAGGCATGCCCTATCGCCCCGCGGGCGGCCGATGCGCCAGGCGGGGCGTCTTGCCGAGCTTCTGCGGCCTTACCGAAAGACGCTCGCGATTGAAGTTATCCCCTTGGCTCTCTTCGTGTGCGTGCGCTACCTATACCGGGCGCACTTCTGAGAGCTACAGGCGCACAGGGCTAGCCTTTGCCTGTAATGATGCCCCGGACTCTTAAAAAGGAGGGCGAGCCCATGCCTCACGGCGCCGCCTGTCGTCTCATTCGGTTAGTTTGTATCGGTAGCCGGAGGGATTGCAGAGGAGTCGGGCGCGCCGAGCGAGGGAGCGGCGAAGCCGATAAGAAAACGGCGGAAGCATCTGAACAGAGCCCGGAAAGACAGAGGCGAAACCGATAAGGAAATGGGAAGAGGAGAGAGACGAACTGGCCTCGCGATAGGCGGACTGGTGTCCCAAAATGTGAAGAAAAGCGGCAAAATATCGAAAACGGCCGAGAAGTACCACTGTCCCACAACGGTTCCGCTTAAGAGTTTCGCGCGGATCCCCTCGAAACCGATACCCGCACGAAAGTCGAAACCATTGAAGGGGGACACTTCGCGAATTCGAAGCGGCTAAGGGACTCGCAAAACAGTCAACAGCGTCGCGCATTTTTTGCGAAAGCTTTCGCGCCTTTTTCGTTGTTGTATGCTTTGGCTTTTTTCTTATTTGCAACGAAAAGCGTTGGAGCGTGCCGCAGGGCGTGGCGCGAGGTTTTATCGAAACGCCACCACGCGGGGACCGATGGGGCCTCTTGCTTGTGGCCAGTCTTTTGAAAGATACAACACGACGAAGCGAAACCGATAAGGAGATCGGGGAAACCCTTGCGGGGATTTTTACCGGAGACGATGCGGCGGCCTTTTTCTTTTTTGTTTTGTTAATCTTTAAAGTATTCGAATACTTTGCGAATATTTGAGAATATTCAGAGAGTGTCTGCGAATATTTGCCGAATATTTAGAAGTAATTTGCTAAGTGCTCGAATTGTTTTCGCGTGAATATTTTGAGGCGAGACCTCGCGAAGCTCTCAGGTGAAACCGTTCGGGGACAGTGGCACTCCTGGGCCGTTTTCGATATTTTGCCCCTTTTCCCTATCCAGCTGTTTAAATTGTCTATACGCATTCGATTCTCTTTCGGGACAGTTTCGTTTTCTGTTTCTTCTAGTTTATTAAATTTATTTTTATTTTTATTCTTTTTTCTTTCTCTATTTTTTATTTGATTACTTTTTTCTTTTCGTCACAAGTATTTTTCATTTTTTAGAGATCCAAGAAGAGGCGCAAAGGGTGGAGTCCACAAAGCATGCCGAAGTCGCTTATTTGTTCACTTTTGCTTATAAAATGACTACACTCGGCGACTATTTTTGTTCTATTCAAAATCTGGCTTGGTTGAATTAATTGGAGCTCAAAAAAGCAGGCCAAAGGGTGGACCCCACAAAGCATCCCGAGATCGCTTATTTGATCACTTTTGCTTATAGATTTACTACATTTGGCAACAGGTTTTGGAGAGGTCTTGGTCTGATTTATTTTGCTGCCACGATTTTACCTGGTGGCACGACCTTGGCAGCACCTAAACAGCACTAGAAATAATTTTGCTGCCACCCTTCCACCAGTAAAGAAAATATATTATATATATATATCTATATTTTTTAAAAAACTTATGGATAGTGGTGGCAGCAAAAATGCTTTCTAGTGGTGTTTAGGTGCTGCCAAGGTCGTGCCACCAAGTTAATTCGTGGAGCAAAAAAAAGGTCGAATTGATCATAAATTGAAGATTCAGAAAGTCAGAAAATATTCATCAAATCTAAAAAAAAATATTAAAAATTGTTCATTTTTTGATTAAATTTTTTCAAACTTTTTTGTATTAAAAAAAGTTTTTTGTAACAATTTTTCAGATTATCAATAACATAAAGTCGCTGTATGCTTGATTCGGTGGCGCGAAACTGAAGGCCTGCTATGTTGGGAGGGACTGGGTTACTATTCCATATCCACACCCAGTCGCGGTGGCAGAAGAAGCATCGTCTAGCCCTGGGCTGCCACGGACGGCAGCCGAGTCGGCGAGTCTACTAGGGAGGCTCTCACTCCTTCTTATTCTTCGACCTTTGTTGTCCCAGTCGGCGGAAGCAGCCAACCCGGGGAGAGCCTCACTAGGAAGCTGCCGACCCTTGCAGCCCAGAACTAGACGCCACTTCTGCAGCCATCCCTTAGAGTAAGCAACCAGTCGACAAAGCCAGTCGGCTTCGTTTCTAGTTATTCACCACGGCCGCAACTTTCGTAATATTGTAGTCACGAGACGACACCCGAAGCAATGCAGGGAATTGGCTCCCTATGTTGGGAGTGACTGGGTTACTATTCCATATCCACACCCAGTCGCGGTGGCAGAAGAAGCGTCGCCTAGCTCTGGGCTGCCACGGACGGCAGCTGAGGCAGGCAAGTCTACTAGAGAGGCTCTAACTCCTTCTTATTCTGCAGTCTTTTCTGTTTCTTCTAGTTTATTAAATTTATTTTTATTTTCATTCTTTTTTCTTTCTCTATTTTTTATTTGATTACTTTTTTCTTTTCATCAAAACAATTTTTCATTTTTAGAGATCCAAGAAGAGGCTCAAAGGGTGGAGTCCACAAAGCATGCCGAAGTCGCTTATTTGTTCACTTTTGCTTATAAAATGACTACACTCGGCGACTATTTTTGTTCTATTCAAAATCTGGCTTGGTTGAATTAATTGGAGCTCAAAAAAGCAGGCCAAAGGGTGGACCCCACAAAGCATCCCGAGATCGCTTATTTGATCACTTTTGCTTATAGATTTACTACATTTGGCAACAGGTTTTGGAGAGGTCTTGGTCTGATTTATTTTGCTGCCACGATTTTACCTGGTGGCACGACCTTGGCAGCAC